CTGGAATCCAATTCTAACAGTGAGTGGGCCCAAGATAAGCATGATGTACTCTGGACCCCTTGAATTGATGATCGGCCTTTTTCTCTATTCTTCTAGTTTACGGTAGAACCGTCAATCCTTTCAACCGCAACCTGACGTGTGGAGGCTCTTCTGGCGGTGAAGGTGCCCTCGTCGGATTCCGCGGTGCTCCTATAGGGTTGGCAGCTGACGGAGGTGGAAGCATTCGCTCACCAGCTGCAAATAATGGCGTCTACGGAATGAAAACAACCTCAGGACGCATTCCCACAGCCAACAGTACGCGGCCCATGAATGGATGTGAGAGCTTCCCCGTGGTTGTGGGTCCAATCTGTCGCTCAGCGCGCGACTTCGAATACTTTCAGACCGTGATCTTGGACCGAGAACCTTGGAAGGCTCACCCGGCTATGGTTCCAATCAGATGGCGTCAGCAGCCAACTCCGGACAAATTGACCATTGGCGTGTTTTCTGACGATGGCGTTTGCCGACCACATCCGCCTGTGGAGGCTGCCATCGCCAAGCTGACTGCACGTCTTTCTAAAAGTCCAGACATCAAGGTGGTGCAATGGGAGCCCTATAAACACGACTACGGCTATGACTTGATCCAAAAGCTATTCTTCGAAGACGGTGGCGACACGATGTGGAAGGCGATGAAAGAGTCTGGGGAGCCGGCCTTGCCACTGACCGAATGGATCTTGAATCGACCTCAATCAAAGCGAAGGACTATCGAGGAGAGCTGGGCTCTGAATGTCGAAAGGGAGAGTTATCGCAGTAAGTAGAATGGCTCCACTTTCGGTATCCTTCATGAGAGCGGCACTGACAGCCAGATTAGAAGAATACCTGGACTACTGGAACCAGCACCCAGAAGTCGACGTGCTGCTATGCCCTGTGGGACCCGGTGTAGCTCCGAAGCACGATACCAGCCGGTACTGGGGCTATACTGCCATCTTCAATTGCCTCGACTGGCCTGCTATTGCATTCCCCACAGGGCTCTCGGTATCAATCGCAGAGCATCCCATCGATGCCACTTATCAACCACGTGATAACGAATACGATCAGTATAACTGGCCTCAATACGACCCCGAAGTCTATCGAGAGGCTCCTATATCTCTCCAGTTGGTGGGCAAGAAGTGGGATTGTGAGATAGTCATGGCTGCACTCAGGAAGTTGGAACTAGAGTTAACGAAGTACCCTTAGCCGGAATTTTCGAGATCTTGACAGATCAACGTGTTTCGAACATTCTGCAAGTCGAGAAATCAAAGCTACCTAATGGGAATTCAAATGAAATCGAGATTGTAGTCTTAAAAAGACGCTGATTCATGATGCCTGGGAGTAGTATCGAAGTCGGTATGGTCAAAATGCTCATCTGAACGTGCTGAACTGCGAATGTGCTAATCAAGCACCAACGAAGCGAACAGGAGATTTGAATCCAGACGCGGCATGAAATCTGTGAGAGTATGTTTCTGAATTTGGTTGCAGAGGCAACCGATACCTACAGGGGCTGAGCGTGCTTGCTAATCTCGACGATCGGACTCAACCAACTCCTAGCCATGATATGACGGTTGTTCATGATTATCACGTATGTATTCTCAAGTTGTATCGTCGCTAGAGACATCCATGGACCTGATGTAGAAAGTTTTTCTTCATAGCTCGAGTTGTCGAGATGTGGAGGACGGCATTCTCACAATTGAAATGAAGAATCTCTCAGCTAGCGTGGATCTCTAAGACCTATCACCATAGAGTTCTGCCATCTTTACAGGGCTTTTGAGACCGTCAAACAGCAGCATACTTCCATGATATACCTCCAGCCTGTTTTCCTCTCCCGACTCGATGTCGCCAGAACATACTCCATTCCCTACGCATCCGTCCTTTAGGCCTTTGAGACTCCCACTTCCCTTGTGTTAAGTTGTGAATTACTGCAACTCTGGTTGGTGCTTATTCCGGATGCAGTCTTCTCCTGTCGCGATTCCTCAACCGGTTGCTTTTCGGCGGCATTTTCATCCTTTACAGCCTCCTGCTGCTCGACATATACGGGTGCAATGGTGTTCTCTTCGCGGAAATAGTTCGACTCTTTGACCTCATACATCATGATGTAGGCCATTCCAATCACCCCAAAGACGTAAAGGCTATTGAAGAAGGGTCAGCCAAAAAAGAGATGCCGCATGCCAAACATCATGTTCAGATTGGGTGACAGGTTGATAACAAAAGTGAACTCACATGAATTGGAAGGTCACCTGGCCCCATTGGGGGACTCCTTCAGCTGCGATAACAAAGGAAATGCAGATCCCCAAACTAAAGCTTCCAGTCATGAATCCAGAATACTGGGCAAGCACAGTTGGATCGTTAGAGAGGCACCCAATCACCCACTGAGCCAGTAATTGGTAGGCAGAATAGATCAATCCGAAAAGCACATACAAGACCACCAGTCCAGGATAAGTACTATGGGTCCAATCTCTTGCGGGAGTCGAGGTGAAGCTCGTGAATTTGACCGTTTCCAACCAACCGTATAAGCCGCCACAGGCAGCGATAGAGACGACACCCATAAACACAATGCCAACAAGCCCTCGGCGCTTGCGACTAGTGATGTATTTGGAATCTAAGATGAAGATCATGATCAAAGAGCCGAAGAATTGCACAACTTGAAAGATAAAGTTGTTGAGTGATCGCGTGCGCAGGTTGAAGTAGAATCCTGTTCGTCGAATCAGTAGCGCAAATTTCATGGGTTAGGAAGAACTTACCATTGATGGTACTTGTCAGAGCTAACGCCATGTCACATCCAAGTAAGGCAGGAAACATAATAAGTAATTGTCGGTTGGTGAAACACTTAACAAAAGCCTTAAGTTGCTGCTTGAATGTCAAAGGTTTGAAGAGGGCCAGATGGGTCCCATCGTCACGAACAACGTTCCTGGGGTCGATGATGAAGAATCCCGCTATTAATAAAGGTAGACATTGGATTATAACGTAGGTTAAATAGACACCACCTCCGATTCCCTCAGGTGTCGCTTTGTCGATATTGACACTGAGGGCAATGGCGCTGCCTACACTGGCACCAATAGATCGAATCATCCACTGCTGGGCAATGAACTGAACTCGGTTAATATAGAAAGACCAAAAGCATAGAACTCTAGGAGCTTACCAGGCCTTTTTGGTGTTCCTCTGGGTAGGAGATTGAGATCATGACAGCGCAGGTCATTAGGACGCCAACGGTACATCCGAGAACCGCGCCAGCGAACAGGGGGAACCAAGTTTGACCAGTCTGATCATAAAACCACATACTTCCCACGTACAGTGGATAACCGATACTACCAAACATCATAGATAGCTTGGGTCGAAGTAAGTTGACAATTGTGCCTCCGAGGAAGCCGAACAGAGCAAACATTCCATACAGAATCGAGTTGGTCTGGTTGGCAACCCTTCCAGAAGATGACCGGCCTCCTCCAGCACCGAGGCCAACAACGGCAGTGTAAATTCCAGGCAGACAGAAGAATATCCTGCCAACATGAGGGTCAAATCAATAAGTTATGCCGTGAGGCAAGGGAGAAAGGACGTACACTCCAACTAGGATGTTCTGATTCATGGGCCGGCTGATTCGGAACGTGTTTTTGCTGAGTCTCATGATGGCCATTTTCGACCTTTGCAGTACTGGAAATGAGAACGTTGACGAATATTGGTCAAAAGGTCAGAAGAGAACTGGATCTGGACAAAGAGCTAATGTCAAACATGTCGTAAACCTGTCGGCTCCTTATATGCCTACCTGATGCATCTTTATCCTTGAGCCATTGAGACTGGGGGGTGAATCTAGGAAGTTGCCAGCTAGGAAACGCAAAGATCACGAGAGGAAGAGAGGGCGCCGAGGCTTCATCCCGCCTCGTTAGTGTCATGATCCAAGATAGGCAGGCCATATCGAACTTGTGCCCCACTTGGCTGTTGTCACCGATAAAAGGATATTGATTTGAGTGTAAAGGGCTAGGAACAATAGACGTTGACGACATGTCAGTTTTCCTCTAAAAGGATTATTATGCGCTAGGCGAGGTGAACTCATAGATGGTTATGTGGGTTGGCGAGTAAAAGACCCGCTCAACTCCGCTGGTACCAATGCGCAAAATTGGTTTCAATACGATAAGAAAGTTCAGAAGATAAGACGACCTAGTAGAGTGTGAAATGAGATGACTTCTTTTCCATATGTGTACACGATCTTGACTCGAGCGACGTTATACTAACCAAGATGACTATCACAGGCAGTCGTTAACGATCGTGTCGATGAGCTCGGCCTGTCTGGACGAGAGCATCATCTCCGGATATGAAAGGTGCACCATGCTACCCCTGTGATATCGATGTAGGACACTCTTTCCGAGGCATACTCGCAAGTCCTGACGGTGAGATCTATTGGAGAGGTTCAAGACTTTCAAGGTCGCACATACTGTCTCAGGCCTTTGAGAACGCTTCGCTTGTGACCAGAGCCACGTAAGCAAACCATCTGGGGCTTGAAGCGCTACCAGCATTGAGGTAACAACGACTCAGCATGCAAGGTGAGCAATGTTCGGGGCTCAAGTATGTAATGCATGATGTACAGGAAGGACATTTGGCTGAGAGCGCCATAGACCCCCATACACTACCTGACGACAGCCGCGTACATGTGCTCCATAGGTGTTTGATCTATGCCTTGTAAAGCTACTTTTGATGGCCGTCGTACTTGATCTGAAATGTTTTCGTCACTTTGTGTCGAAGTAACGAACTATATTTAAATCATAAGTCGACCTAAACAGACCTGGCAGATTGCAGATCCACGGGTCAATCAGAGGAAAAGAACTCCAGGCACAGCGTCTCTGGAAGACGAATCACCCGTACTGGCGGCGAAGGATGCATGGAATCTTTGCCCGTACCACGATCTGTTCTTGGTCATAGCGTATTGTTGTAGCATACCTCCTCAGCTGACCAAAGTGTTTAAGGTCTACGATGGAATTTCGAGTGTATGGCGCACAGGGTCATTTAATTACATTCTATTCTCGTATTTACCAAGGGGTGGATATCTATTTCCTGCGTCTATCAACAACACCATGACAGGGTATCTGTTGGACAGGTTATCTTTCCCGGCAAGACAGGGTATTTTCCAACTCCAATGTCATTGCAAACGCTCAACGCTCAATATGCCGCTTAAAAAAGAGATGACTGGGTTTAGATGCGAAGGCTGATGATCAGTGATCTCACTTGGCCTTGGCGAAACACCAGGATTCGTAGACTTTGACGAACTTGACACTTCGTGATTCAACCTCTCGAGTCCAGACGTCTGCAGCCCACAGGCAGACGACGATGCTGATTGACCAACCGATCAAGATCGCAGTTATCCACACAAAAAGCGTCGCCTCGTGTCCTTCGGTGCCCCACAGCCACCACAACCTTTGTGGTATGAGATAGCCAAAAACGTGGAGTAGAGGGCCATGGGTCAGGTAGAGGCCGAAACTGATTTTACCCAGATATTGTGGGATAGAGCTATTCAAGATGGTGTGCCAGATGGAATTCGAAGGATCCGAGCGTGCCAGAAGAAGGATCAGAAGTGCTGTGCCGAAATTGGGGTAAAACTTGTCCTTGCGCTCCATCCATTCTGGAATTAGACGATTCAATGTCATGTAACCAGGCGCAGGGCGAACGGTGCCGTCAATGGGATACGACAGCAGATAGAATGCGACGAGGAAACCGACAATTCGCAACAAGGAATACAGTCTGAGATGCGACAGGACGAACAATGGTCCGCGGCGAGTCCAACCAATGGGTTTCTTCTCGTCAAAAGTAGGCGACCCGGGCGGGGAAGGTGGCAAGTGCTGTGTTAAGACGAGTTTTTTCCCCTCTTCTCTCTCGGTGAGTAAGATATCAACTTGAGCAACGATAGCCCCCAAAATGTAGACCCATATTTGCCACAAGTTCCAGGTGAAGTATACATATGTCATGAAGATCATGACGGCCAGACGAATCGGGCGACGACACAAAGCGGTAGTGGTTAGAATGGCGTACAGATGGAGTGAGCCTTGCATCTCGGCCAGAATGGACCACAAATGCTGATCGTGCCAGGGATAGACAGAGCGGGGCTCCAAAAGTCGAGTGAGGTCAAACATTTCATGCATCCAAAATCGCATTTGCTTGTAAATAGTTGGAAGCATTTCGGGCTTGGGCTCGTTCCAGATGCCGGGGAAAAGCTTTCTATCTCGGAGAAGAGGTCGATTTGCCTCATATAAGCCTAGATGGATGTATGTGGTGGTGCAGAGAGTGACGATGAAGACGGGGAGATAGAGGCGGAGGCCGCGGCGGAAGACGGCACCTGAGACAGTCTGCAGAACCTTGGCCTGCGAGGCCTGATCGTGCTTATCGATGAGCTGAAACAGACGTAAGGTCGTTAGATAGCCTGCGATGCCGAAGAAGACATGGGCAGTGAACCCAGCATAGAAGTAGCGGATGATAGGAAGTTCCAAGAAGTAACGATGGTTGTCGTCCATACCCCAGGGGGCAAACCCAAAGTCATGGAAGGCGAATGTATAATGAAAGGTAAAGACTTTGACAGCAGCAATCCCGCGCAAGCCATTGAGATAGCTGGTATTGAAAGTCTTGGACTTTGCCGGTCGGTCATCCCAAAGATATGAGCGCAGTAGCTGAGGAGTGAAGCAATATGCAAAGCGTTTGCTCAGTCTGTACGCATGGGATGGACGGACGAGAGAGCCGAGCTTGGAGAGGATGCGTCGGCGGCGTTCCTGACGCAGGGAATCGTCATTATAGGATTGGCTGGATTCTGAATAAGAATCATCGCCATCTTTCATCAACGGCTCCTGGGCTTCCTCTAGCTTGCTTGAGGACATGGTGAGTGATCAACGAGACCACATCCGAAAGGGGGCGGAGAATGGCATGCGAGGTGTACCACAGTTGAGTCTGATAATGACAAATGGTGTTGAGTTGAGACCGATGGATCTGGGGTGAGCCGCGAATAGGCGACTGGCAAATGGAGATATTGAGATCAAGAGAGAGTTGCTGTCACAGACAGGGCTGAAAATTGTAAGTCAAGTGATAAGATAAATCAGCGGCCGATTCCGGTGATGGTGAGAGATCAAGGCTAGCAAGAGGTCTAGTGGACGAATGCAAGTTGCCGTGCCCGGGCCAATGAGGGACTGAAGCAGCTGATATGGTTGAGTTTGTGGATAGAGTTTCTCGGGCGGTTCTATGGATAGAGTTTGCAGGGTGATGGGAGCAGGTGAGGAATTAAAACATGGCGAGGTTGGAGATGGGCTGAAAAGAAGTGAAGTAGTGAGGTCGAAGTAGAAATCTGGAGAACGGCATCGAGTTATGGTATTATCAAAACAAGTCGTCTCTTGGCCAGAGGGCGGAAAATGGGTCGATCAGTGTGAAGCGCGGGCGTGCAGGGAAATTTTGTGCCTGGGATTGCCTGGGCAGAGGGACAGAGGGTACGGGAGGATGGCCTGTGGAACACAAGGGAAGTGGGTATTTGGAGTCAAGTCGCTAACGAAGGGTTATGGTAGGCTGAAGGTTGGACCAGGAGGCGTTTGTGAATCCGAGGGCCTACGCGAAAGCTGCAAGCCAGGTGGAGATAGTGGAGGGCCAAGGCTGCGACATGCTTGCTCGATGCTTTGCGTCGTTGGGTCATGACGGCTTTAGCCTGGTGAAGAAAAGTGTTGTGGGTGAATGCCTCCACCGCGGCTGTATGCGAAACCAATACAGATGAAGCAATTGATCACGGAGGATGGGAGATCGCCGCCTCAGTGCCGCAGAGCGGCAGAGGAAGGGCTCGTGAGGCTCAAGGGGAGGATGCGTGCATTGGCCCCAAGGGTCGAAGACTGCTTTGACTGTCTTGACTGCCTTTCGCCGTGCGTTGCCACGCTTGCTTTGCCATCCTGTTGAAGCGTGAGAGTGGCGCCTCTGCTGACGTGGGCATATGCATAGTGTTGATGCCTCCATAGACTTATGCTATTTGTGTGTTTGTACTGTACGGAGTAGTGACCACGATGGGTTCTTGCAATGACTTTTCTTTCGCTGGATGCCAACGGTACCGTGGATACGCACAGATCGTGGGGACCCAGAGGACCCAGAGGACCCAGACATGGGGATTCTTAGGAGCGGCCAGAAAGACGGTTGGGAATGAAGCGCCAATGGAGGTGAAACGGTGCCAATGTCCTTGCGTACGTGGCTTTTTCCAGGGTTGGACTTGGCATTGGATTGATTGACGCGGCCATATCCTTTTTGGACAGAAGCAAAACCGAACCTCCCACCCTCCGTGTCTCCCTATCGGGGGGTGTGTGCGTGCGTGGGCACAAAAGGACTCGTAGGACTCCAGTCACCTCCAATTAACGAGGCACGTGTGGGTTGGGGCCAGGAGATTGTCGTTTTGATGCATGAACAACAACTGTGAGATTGCCAAAAGAACCAAAAGAATCCAACAACGCAGTGTTGATTTGAGCACGTGATGATTTAAGTACGAGTACGAATACTTTGGTACCCTGGCAAGAACGGGAGAACCGCCAGGCACAGAACCTTGGGACGGTCAAGGTTCACAGCGTCACGAGTGTGCCACTACTTCGTACGGAGTACTTTCCATTATTATTGTCGAGTCAGAATTTCCTTATCATGACGCAACCTGAGAGTCCGGCAGGTCAGAACGCAGCTGTTGCAGATAAAAATCCCACGGGTACTTGCCTAGTCATCACACTACCTAACCTTACGCATCAAAATGTACCTAAAGGTACCTAAGTGTACCTAAACTTATAGGCGTGCAGTGGCACAGTACTTAGTACCCAGTAGGCAGTCGTGGCGTCCACATAATGCAGCTGCAGATGCAACACAAATCCCAATCCCAATCCCAACACCGACCAACTCTCAACCAAGCACAATTCCTTCACTTCGTCTTTTTAACGACTACACCTCGCCACTTCGGTTGGTCCTTGTCTCTTCGTGATGGTGATCTGAATGCTTTATCCATTGGGTCTCCGGCGTCCTCCTATCCGTACATTAACCACATATGTCTTAGTAGTTGAAGCATTCGACTTACTCATCGCTGCATGTCTGCCCCGAAAGCCGGCACAAAATACCTACTCCGTAGGTATCTAGATATCCCTCACGTGCCCTTCCTGACACGTGATGTGGCTGATCTTGGCATCTTGGCAACCTGACCACCTCGTATACTGCTTTTTGAGCTCATGTGTTCTAAAATATCTGAATCGGAGCAGATACCTCTCAAAGTGAATTATATCAAGACGAAGAATCTGCATGAGGTCCCAGAATGAAGATTGGCTGCGGTCCTTTCATCCGCAATCTGTGAAAGCGGCTATCGGGCCACATCTCCCGCATTCCACACCCGCAACCCATCACAAGCAGCTCATGTCAACTAGCCGAGGATCTATTCCTGCTTTGAGATCAGACCCTTTCGCCAGAAGCCGTTCCCATGTACTGTTGGCAACGAACAAGTAAGGGAAGACGCCTCTTGTTCGACAAGACACGCCGGGAGCCGAGGTACAAGTTTCGACACGAGAATTAACCAAATCAACCGGGACACAGTAGAACCAGCACCACAATCCAGGCCAAAGTTCACCTGAAAGTCAGGTGACTAACAAGCCCAGCAATTAAGCTGGACACCACTCAGCAATTCTGACTTGTACCAAGCTAGAGTCCTCTCCATTAGCTGGTAAATTACCGAGGAAGCTCATAAGTGGTCTTCAGGCTGTTCACAATGCAGCTTTTCAATTCCTATTGACTGCGGGGCAACAGGCATACGGACCATCGTCAATGTGTAGATGGACCAGTGGCCTGCCTGCCTTCCATACGAGGAATGTTAGGGGCCCCTCGGCCCATTCTACTAGGCAAGGACACGTCCAACGCTGTTCGCTCGGTAGTGGTGTCATTATGTATCTAATGGTCAGCTTGATGCTTTCTCTACGATAGGCAGATACAGCTGCGACCGTCATGAGCCGCCTAGCTTGAAATTGCGTTGAGAGATGAGGAATCCAATAGTATCACCCTCATTTCTAGTAGCTGGGCTGATTGGCTCATGACTGTTGTGAATACAGACCAAAAGTACCTTCTATTTTCTAAAGCTATGGCAACACCTTCTTTTCAATGAGTGCTTGAGTTATCAACTTTGCGTGACTTGGACTTCGTACTCGAGGTGTCACTGGAAATGGCTCTCCTTCGACAAAGTGGCTGATGTCTCTTGTATCAAAAGGCGTCCTCTGTATGGTCAAGTCAGCTTCTCCTTTGTGTGACCGTTTTCGAATACTTGAGCATGATGCAAAAAGTCCCACTTACAGCTTCATAGTCAAAACAGTAGATTAGTCTCGCCATGTTAATGAACAAGGATTTCTGGGCCAGTCGGTGGCCAACACATACTCTCCGCCCTCCTCCAAACTGCCAAATGCCACGAGTCAAGTCTGACTCATACCCGTCAAGCCATCGCTCTGGCCTAAATTCAGGTGGGTCCACCACTTTCTCCGACCCCGAGGAAATAGCTAATTGATTGATGACGAAGTGCGTTCCCCTTGGGAAGTGATAGCCCTCGAATGCCAGGTCTTCGGTCAAGGTATGCTCTGGAGTCCACAGAAAAATCGGCCGCCATCGGAGCAGCTCTTTGGCAAATGCATTGACATATGGCAGTTGCTTTTCGTCCTCAAAAGATGGTAATCTTTGTGCGTCGCCACATAGCGCGTCAATTTCTGTCCGGGCACGAAGGTACTTGTCAGGCTGGGTTGCCGCGGCCAAGGCAAATATGTTTAATGTCAATCGGGTGGTATCGCTCCCTGCTTCCACCAGCTGTGCGGCAAGAAACATGGCGTCGACATCGCTGCCTTTGTAAGATCCTTCTCCACATAGGACATCTCGAGCAAACGATGGAGGGGCGCGGCCGCCTTGGATCGCTTCCTTGTGGGGGTTCCAGTAGGCACTATACGCCTCAAACGTTTGTTGACCAATTGAGGCATATTTGGCTCTCCACCACTGAAAGATTCGCGGCAAGGTCGCAAGCTCTGGGAAGTGGTCATAAATATTCATTGGGGGCGAATTTAAGAGAAAAAGCTTCTGCGCATGAGCCATCGCTTTCACCTTTTCATCGTTGCCATTCGGCCGCTCTCCAAAAGTCACGCGATGAATGACAGAATTGGAATAGTGGTGATGGTGCTCATACCAGCCCGAAGGAGACTCTAGATATCGAGACAGCATTCGAATGCTTTCCTCGTCCTGATAAGACTGGTATTGAACGAGAGCAGTCCCATTAAGTAAGTGGTGCATTACTCGACGTCGCTCTGTCCATCCATCGGTTTGCATTATGACCGAGCGGTTATTGAGGCTGATCAAATCTCCAACTATTGGGTAATGAGGACGCCCGTTTGTAACACGGCTTCTGCGATCGTATAGTTCTGTAGCCACTCTATCACTGTTCAGGATGACCCATAGTTTAGACCCAAGATGCGCAGTGGCCATTTCTCCGAACTTGGCGAGTTCATAGGCCTAGTCAAGGTGAGCTCAAGTGATTTGAGATTCAACGTCGGACCTACTGCTTGCTCGCCTTTTGCAAAGAGAAAGAGGTTTCCCAAGATTGGAAAGCCTTGGGGACCTGGGGGGAGCTTCCATTTCTTTCCTTTGGGGTGATTGCGTTTATCGACGGGAAGCAGTAATTGTCTCAAGTATAGGACCAGCGAACAAAATACAATCGCCAAAGCAGCCAGGATGTTCTTGGTTGTCATGTTATTGCCTGAGAGACGCGTTTCTAGAAAATCTAGTCGGCCCATGATAAGTCCAGTGGTGCGATACAAACCAGTATAATATCACTGACTTTGCCATGATTTAAGGGCTGTCCAGCGCGGTCAGCTTCACGAAGCCGCTCGGACAAATCGCTGCCGCTGCCGCCTAACCGTTGGTTATGCATAGTCTTTAACCTTGATTGATGCCATGGATGACCGACGACCTTGCGGCAGAGCAGATCCGCTAGGCCATTGTCGCACTGATTGCGGATCTAGAGGTCCGAGCAGATGATCAGAAAATTCAATGAACTCCATAAGAGCATTGAAGACCCGAGCAGGGGCACAATGGCTGCTCTCCCAGCAAAATTGATGAGTATGTAGAATAGAACTCGATAGATTATCTCCCTGTAAATGGACCAGAAACTTGAACGAAGCACAAAGAGCACAGGCGCATGTTTCTAGAGTGGAGTAAGTGACTTCGAACAGCAGTCACGTGACACAAACCCTGACCTCACATTTTCTCGGATGTCGTGTCGTTAATGTGTCTATAGAATCGATGTTGAAAGAAGTACACACTGGTATATAATGTGTGATGGACGACAACGAACAGCGACAATACATGTTATTGTCCCAATCGAAAAAGACTTCACTTTATACAATTTCACACCGATCCCCCACCATGCCACGCATGTCCATCGACAACTCGACCATGATCACCGCGGGGTTCTTAGTGACCAATCAAACGACATAGGTTACATCAATGGTCCACTTCACACCTGGGTTTTCTTTTTTTTCCCTCCCGCATCTCCTCGTCTCTGTTTTCATTTCTTCCTATCTTGTCTTTTCCCAAAGGCAAATTGCCAGAATTCTCCCACAGCGAGCGACTTCAGGAGTTTTGCGCTCGCTAATCGTCATAAAGCTCCAATCCCACAGCCCATTTGTCCTTGACACCTTCATTCGCCTCCACTCGCGGGTCCGTTGTTCCTGAGGAACAGTATCGTTCTCCTCTCAAGCCAACATGAGTGACGTCAAAGATACCTCGACTGCTGTGCACGCCACGACCATCGACTATGGTCACAACCATGGTCAGAACTATGGTACCACTGCTGGGGGCAGCGCTGCTCCCCAGTCGGCTCTGCATCACGGCAACCCTGAAATCATCGAGGAGAGTCCCGAGCGAGAACCTATCGATTCAGGTGACGACGGTGTGAAGAAAACCTGGCGCTCCAAGTTCGCATTCTTCAAGACCAAGGAGTTCTGGTTCATTTTGCTACTTGGTCAGATCCTGGCGATCTGCATCACGGGCACTAACACATTGACGACATTATTGGTCATGGAGGGCACCAGCATCCCTGCCTTTCAGACCTTTTTCAACTACGTATTGCTTAATCTCATCTATACCAGCTTTACCATCTACAAGTATGGCTTCAAGAAATGGGGACAACTGATTCTCAAGGACGGTTGGAAATGTGAGTATCAACACTTTAATGCTGTGTCTATTTCATCTGACTGATCCCTCATTTGTGCAGATATCATCCTTGCCTTCTTTGACGTCCAGGGCAACTACTTTACTGTACTCGCCTATCGATACACCACGATCCTCTCCGCGCAGCTCATCAACTTCTGGGCTATTGTCGTCGTCGTGGTCCTCTCTTTCTTCTTGCTCAAAGTTCGCTACCACTGGGCACAGATTCTGGGCATCTTCACCTGTATTGGTGGCATGGGGGTCTTGCTAGCTTCCGACCATATTCAAGGAGTCAATGGCGGAGACGTCAGCTCCGGAAATCAGTTGAAGGGTGACTTGTTTGCCGTGGTCGGTGCCAGTTGCTACGGCCTTACCAATGTCTACGAAGAGTGGTTCGTGTCCGGCCGGCCGCTGTACGAAGTCATTGGACAATTGGGATTCTGGGGCTGCATCATCAACGGTGTCCAGGCCGCCATTTTTGACCGCGATGCGTTCCGAACCGCCGTCTGGAACGGTGATGTCGGTGGGTACCTGACAGGCTACACTCTGATCCTGACTCTGTTCTACACCCTGGTGCCGATCCTATATCGCTTTGCCAGCGCCGCTTTCATGAACATTTCTCTTCTAACTGGGAACTTCTGGGGTGTCATCATTGGGCTCCGTGTCTTTGGATACACGGTTCACTGGATGTACCCAATCGCTTTTGTCCTGATCATGGTCGGCCAGTTCATCTACTACCTTGGAAAAGGTGTCTTGGGCGAGGCCGCCAAGGCATGGCTGGGTGAAAATCAGGAGAAGGGTATTGACGGCTTTGGAAGCGCAAAGAGACGCATCCGTAAGATGCAAGAGAGTGCTGCTGGGCCTGGACGAGGGCAGGAAGGCCCGGAGAGCCCAGGGGTTGTCTGAATTCTCTCGTGTTGGAGAGACAAGTTCCGTTAGAGGTTGAGAACGGCATACGAAAGCATCAGTCGACAATGGAAACGACTACTACCAACCTTCATTGGGAGGTTGCAGATTGGGAACCGTGATTGACCGAAGGGTTACATCACAGACACTCAAGCATACAGCCACTGAAATATCTACTTCAATACATGCACACTCGCTTAGCACGTTGTTATCAGATATGACTGGCATCTAATGACAAATCTTGTTGTAGTCAAGCATGTATACGTCTTCGATTGGAATACATTTTTGTCTTGCATGGCTTTTGGATTAGGAAGTAAGTCTATATGCCAGCTTCGAGTCACGAATCCAAGGCCAGCCAGAGGCTCAAGTTTTATGGTCGGGTTCCGATTCGCATTTGCTACGAGGTAAAGATGAAAACAATCCCGATTCACACGAAGTGGCGATTTGAAAGAATTTTGTCTTGTTTTATTCCGTTGTGCGACTGATAGTCTCGGGTATCTTGGAGATGAAAGAGAAACGACCAAATTCCATAGAACGGCCACTCCATCGTCCAAGCCAGGAGTCAGCATATGACACTCATAGTGCCTACTACCCGCACAATGCCATGCCCGTATGTATGTTCCCCTCTCCATCTTCCGCGGCATCGACGGGAACTCGGCCATGATCATGCACGGGGTATGTTGTCCCTTGGTTTTGGCCCGCACCTCACCACCATTGGCGTTTACTGTTCGGTCTGGAAGTAGTTCAAGAGGACGTTTCGCTCCTGGCTTTCCTCACCCCAGTCACGGACGACGACGCAAGAGCAGTTGACAACTTTGCGGGCATTGCCCTCACGGTCGAGGACGCAGAGACCGGCCCATTCGCCCAACAACTTTCCGTCGGGCACCTTGATCAAAGGAATCTTGTGCTCGGAGCAGAGGGCAACAACCAGCTTCTTGTACGCCTCCTCCTCACAAGCCTCGTTGAGCACGCACATATGGGCCTGGCGACGATCGAGGGCCTTGGAGGCTTCGCGCAGGCCTCTGGCCAGTCCATCGTGGATGAGGGCAAGTTTGAGAACACCTATGGTTGTAGGATTTGATGTTAGATCACTGCAATCTGATGTGTGATGCAGCTCTGCATTTCAGAGAAGCTGCACAATTATAGGGAACAGGCGTACCTTTCAAGGCGTCAAGAACAGACATGGATCCGGATGAGGCGCCGGCGTCTCCAGAGACTTCGACTTCATCGGCCGCGGCGACAGGGGATGTGGGCTCTTCTCCGTCCGACTGTTAAGAAGCACCGTTAGTCAACCATCTTCGCATCTAGAATTCCTGCCCAAGGCACATGAACTGCAGGGAACGACATCGAAAGTTGACGCTCGTTTCCAGATCCAACGTCTGTGCTGGGAGCGATGCCGCACGTACCATATTGGCTTGTTATGATTTGAAAGTGAGACAATAGGTGTCGGAAGATCCTCAAAGAGTCACCGAGGGATTTGTGATAGGGAATGAATGGGTTGAGTTGGTATGGGAGAGAGGAAAGAAGAAGACAAAATCAGAAGAGTTAATTGATGGATTCGCTTTGTGCACCCGTCGCAGTCTCCAAATCCGCCCACCAATATTTCCGACCTTTGACTGTGGGGAATTGTGCGGCTTGGCGATGCTTAATCACGTGATCATATCACATGATTACATCTGCCAATTGTCGCTTGTGTCGAGTCACATGCCCCCAGTCCCGCAAATTCTGGCCTCTTATTATGAAACAGAGCCATGTGCCAATATCCCATGATAAGTGACTCACTCAATCATGCGGGGAGAAAGGGGGATGAGAAGATTTGTACTTCCATGCGTATACGTATACGTCGTCGTCATCGTCGTCATCGTCATCACGTAGTATCTACACTCAGTCCACGTGGATGGATTTAACTGTCCTGTGGAGAAATCTAACACCTAACAGCCAAGCTGACATCTGTGAAGAGTCTCCTGTGCTTTGTCTTTTGACACATGTCAAGTCCATACAATGTCAACCCCCTTGATTGCTAGTCCCCCTCTGTAGTTGGGATACGATCGTATCATCTTCATCATCGTGGTCAACGAGCGTAGCCGTTACTATACAGTGGACGTGAAGGCGTTCCAATCCCATTGGTGAGTCGGGGAGGTGGCTGCACCGAGAAGCCATTGGTTTGTGGTGTGATATCAGGTCGTGGTTGGACCCCAAAGATCCTCAACGAGATTGGTTGTGTCTGCAGTCGCAAGGACGCAAGGTGAGGATGTCGGAAAATTTGTTGTTCAAAATCCGAGAGCTAAAGTGGGCGTTAGTCAGAGTCTCAGTCAATGAAGATCAGTACGTACCTTGACCCAGAAGAGCTCGTTCATGGCATAGAACCTTGGGCCCTCGACTTCCTCGCGTCTATTCGCATCCTTAATGCTCGTGTTCAGACAATTGGTGTCATACTCGTACGACAGCATGACTCGCGCGACTTTCCACAGACACTGTCGCTGTGAAAATGTCACAGGCTTCGTCTCCAGTGATGTGAAACTCCGTAGAGTGAGATCTTTGGTCGCGAGTAGCCCAGCCACCTGGAAACTTGGAACCCATAAATCGTCTGAAGGAGCCTGGAGAGCGTTGATGCCTAATTGACTTGACTTGACCGTGAACAAAGGCAAGAACTTTCTTAGCCATGGCTCACTTCTGACCACAGGGTCATTATTATCAATCATCAATGCAGTGTGGCATAACACGATTGGCAATGCCTCGCGTCGTATCCGCTCAGCCTCGAGTCGTTGGCGTTTTGCTTCTTCAAGCCGCCGTAATCGCTCTTCATCCTCGCGCCTGAGTCGCTCCGCTCTCTCATCCTCCTCTTTCTGTCTTTGGATTGCTGCAGCAAGAGCGGCAGCGGCAGCGGCCTCCTCTTCTTGCTTCTTCCTCTGTCGCTCAGCTTCTTCTGCGATTCTTTTCTCCTCCGCCACCCGTTTTTCCTCTGCCAGGCGTTTATCCTCGGCTGCCTTCTCCGCGGCGATTCTTTCTTCCTCGAGCTTTTGAGCCTCCTCGGCCTTTCGTTTCTCTTCCTGTCTCTGTAACTCAAGCTCCGCTTCCGTAGGTCCGGCTTCAACAGGTTCGCTCTTAACCCGAGGGGTATTGTCTTCAGGAATGATCTTTCCATCTGCAGGAACCACAGGGTCCATGGAGCCATTTTCAGCAGAAGGTTTAGGTGACGTGGACGCGATATCAGAGCCCTCCTTAACCTTAATATCATCGCCAGATGCTTCAAGATCGGCATGGTCCTGTTCGTCTGCTAGAGGGTCCGTTTCAGCTTTTCGTTGGTTTGTAAGCGACGGTAATTGATGACTCCGCCGCTTTAGCCCAGGTCTGGAATCTTCTGGGCTGCTCTCAATGACGGTTCTCCGCTTCTTAGCCGCGCTTCGTCCCGGTTCACCGTCGTCTGCAGTCGCAGGAGGCGGAGAAGCACTATCACGTGAGCGTTTGAGGGCAGTAGTCGCTTTGGGTTCGGTCTTAGGAGTGATGATTTCGTCCGGATCAGACTCCTCCTCGACAGTGCTCTTCCGGCGGCGATGTTCTTTGCCGGTGACCAGTCTCCGTCGACGTTGGGCACTGTCGGAGTCTAGGTGTGGCGACTGTGGGAGATCACTCTGGCTGCGTCTCTTCGGATGGCTCTTGCGGGGGGCGTTGACGGTCTTTTCCTGATCAGAGATGACAGCGACGGAAAACTCAGCCGCGCCATCTCTCCGTCCCAGATTAGTCTTGCGTCTTTCTACGGTGTCGGATGATCCAGTGTCCCTATCCCGGACCTTTTGTGAAGATGGAGGTGATTTGTTGGGTAGGCTTTTATGGGTCAAGGTTGGACTCGAAGACGTCGAGTTTCTGGTCTTGGAGGAGACAGGTGACTGAGATCGTCGAGCAACACGGCTCTTTGCCTTTTCCGAGTCTCTGGTGACGCGCGGCGAACCACCTTTACGTGACTTGCCAGCAGAGAAAAGATCACAGGCAGCTTTGAGGATTTCGACTTCTTTCTGCCACTGGTCCCCTCGACGTTCAGCGGCAATCTCTTGGTAGGTCTTTCCCTTGAGTACACGACGGCTTGGATTGAAGCCAGACTGTTCGACAAGCAACTTGACAACTTCCGGATGACCTCGGCCAATGGCAGCAAGAATAGGAGTGTTGTATCCAGTCTTCATATGACGCAGTGGTTCGGGGTCAGGATCAGGATCGCCCATGCCTAAGAGAAACTGTAAAACTTCTTCATGTCCGCCTTTTGCGGCGGCGATCAGAGAGGCAGGTTCCGCTTTTTGCAAGATATTGAGTATGTTGGCGACACCCTGCACGTCACCCTTTTCCGCCAAGCGAGTTAGATTGTCCTGAGTGCTAGCCTGCCACAGTAGATCATTTCTGGTTGATTCACTTCGTCCGGTTCTGCGGCGTTGAGTCATATTTGGAGGACTTCGAGGGCCGATCACGGGCGGAGAATCCCTGGGACTAGCAGCAGAAGCAGCCCGTGAGGAGTTCCTGTCCTGGGCAAGATCGACTTGGTCAGAGGAAACACGGCGGTTGTTGGTGTTCTCGCGTGCGTCTGCCAGGAGCTTTCTGAGTTCGATGTAGTTGGGGTCGTCGGAAGGAACAAGTTCATATGGCTCGTCGCCTTTTGCATTCCCCAAACGAGGATTGGCGCCGTGGTGAAGGAGAAGGCGAACTACTTCCACGTGACCATTTTCGACGGCATCGATGAGGGGTGTGTCTTTGTCGATGTTTCTTGTGTTGACTTCGGCGTCGCTCTCGAGGAGCCATTTGACAACGTTTTCGTACCCCATCAACGAAGCTATCTGTAGAGGGGTATTTCCGGCATTGTCGGCCATGTTTAAATCCTCTGGACGCTCTGAGAATCGGGCCTTTGCCGACGCCAGATCGCCATTGTTGCAAGCTTTGCTTAAAAGGGTGCGGCCGTTCTTGTCGCGGATCTTGCGAGGACCAATTGCTTTGGCCGGGGACATGGCTTCATAGTCATGTGAGGAGTATTTACGGGAGGTGGGCTGTTGATTCTGGGGAGAATCGGACGCATCAGAGGAAGGTGATGGGGCGCGGTGGTCGGCAGATCCGCTCCTGCGAGTGGTGATGGCTGGAGGGCGGCCTCTTTTTTTTCTTTCGACGTCGCCTACAGTAAATTGAGTAGAGACGCCTCGGCGATGTTCTCTCCGGGCAGGTGGTTTGGGCGAGGGAGATCGCTCATTGGAAGAATGGCGGGGGTAGGTGGCAGAGCGAGTTTCGCGTCGTTCGAGGGTGGCTGAATCGAGGGCGGAATTGGGTTTGGAGCGATTCTTGTTCAAAGGCGAAAGAGTCTCACTAGGTCTTCGTCTGCGCGCATGGATCTTTTGTGGTTTTTCTTGCGCATCTTCCGAGTCGGCGGTCGCGTGGCTACTGCGTTTGCGGGGAGTCGATCTGGTGTTGTGTAATTCGATGTGGCTAGATAACTCTGAATCACTATCTTCTGATGGAATAGGTATTCTGGGAGATGATAAGGGGGAGCTGTGTCGACTGGAAGAGGGAGAAGGGGTGGGTTTGGTATGGTCGAGACTACGTTTGCGCTTTCTCGATTTGTTCTCGGAATCGGTGGCGGTTTCTCGGCCAGGAGATTCGTCGTCTTTAGACCTCAAATGGACAGAACCCGTCGCCGAAGTACCGCCACGGGTCAATCGCTGCTTCTCTGGCGACTGAATGAGCGTTTCGGCTTCAGAGTCAGCCTCAGCATCAGCGTCGACGTCAGGGTCAGCGACAGCATCGGTGACTTTGGTCGGCGATGGTTGGGGACCTGATGCAGCCTCAGACGTGGGATCTGAGGCGGCTTTTTCCCCATCAGATGCCATGGTTGGACTGGCTGGTTTCGATGAGGAGTCGAGAGTAGTGTCGCCATGGGTTGCAGAAGGATCCTCAGTTGCTGCAACGGAGGCGGAAGAAACCATATCTACATCGGACGAAAAACCATTCTGCAATTGATGGGTCGAAGAGGCCGTGGTAAAGAGGGATTGGCTGGGAGGATGGAGGATGGAGTTGAGTACAGCACAGCACGACCAGTGTGAAATGGCTGTCCTTCTCTGGGTACTTTGGCCGTGAGAAAAGGGAACTCGGGTGGCGATCGGGGTTGTGTAAAGTCAGGAAGGAGGATGGGAGCACTGTGTTAGATGATTCGGAATGGGACAAGGGCAATATGGGGGTGGCGCATGGAGGTGTTGATTGTCCAAAGTGATTGAAAGATGGTAAGATGGAGGGTGTTGAAGCACCGACTTGTGTTGCTACAAATGATTGTCCCAACTAGGAATAAACTCACTATCACGTGATTGACGCAGTTGGAGAGTCGAGGTCACGGGAGTTTCGAGTTTCGAGAACTTGGACCCCTGGAAAAATCTGGTTGTCTCTACGCTATGTACAATGAAAGCCATGATGGCTTCTAACTTAACCTCAAAGCATGCAGGCTAGAAATTCCATCAAACGGCCATGGCTACCTATGCGTCCTCATTGGGGCCAATATTCGAGAAAGACATTCATCATTTCTGGAGAGGATCTGAAAAGGTAGAAGTCCACAGAGGCCAGGCTTTGATGGAGCCTGAGGGGCGGTGGGCGTAGGTCCCCGGGCTTGTCCGTTAGGGCCCATACCTAACTTGTGCGTAGCTAGGCGTGCAGGTACCTAGGTAGTTGGTCAGTTATTATTGGAACAATTGGGGGATTTACATACGGTCAGGCCATAGCAAGGAAATATCCAATAATCAGTCCAATAATATTGAGCATGGACCATCAGAGCTGCACATGTCTACCGTACTTCGTACGGATGTAACTTGCGACACTTGAAATTGTCCATTACTGTAGCATGAATTGCTGAGTGTAGTGTACCAGCCAGGACTTCCATGTTCCCAGTTGTCGCTCCCACCCACTCCCACACTGCCCACCCTCGGTGCCACCTCGCAGCCACCTCGCTCCCTTTCAAGAGATTTGACATGGCCAATTGTAATCCTCTTGCTTGGAAATTAATCCGCTCCGGAGAAAGCCAAGGAAGGCTAGGGGCTGAAAGGGACGCTGGTTGGTGAGTTACGGGCCCTTTAGGCTTCTTGGGCCTTGGACTTTCAACAAGCTTACGCTTGCCGTGACTGCTACACATCCAGCTCCTTCTGATCAGCGTTCTTTCCAATCTTACGTCGTGTGCACCTGCCCAATCCAATCAACCAACAACTCAAGGCATCGTCTCCATCCACCGCCATCTTCATTTCTGCCTGGAGACACGCTGGGTCACTCCCAGATTAAATCACTTGCAAAATTCAGCCCCCTTTCTAAACTTGTCCTGTTCCATCGATTCGAGTTCTCCATCATGATTTTCATGGGCAGAATCGAATTTGTGTCATGATCATCATGGCCGTCTTGAAGTGGGATTTGGAGGCTCTGCTCTCCAATCTCAGCTCCCTCCTGCGCACTGGCAACACCTACACCCTGCTGATCACCGCCATTCGATTGTTTTATCTGCTCAGCAGCACGGCCATCATCACAGTGTGCTGGATCCGCCCTCTACGTGACCGCTTTCTTTCTTACGGCGCTCGAAGTCAGACAAAACCAGCCTCCCCATCACCGACACCGCAGCACGACCCGCAGCCGTCACTCATCACCACCCTTCTCGATCGCTTGGCCACACTGACTGTTCCCCATAACTGGTTCACACACTTCTACGTCGTCTCTACCGTCCTAGCGGGTTTTCGATATATGCTCAAGCCCTACCTGACCCGTCAAGGTATAGTGTGCTCCAATTTCATCTTCTTCCACAGTCTTCGCAGATTGTCCGAGTGTTTGGTGTTGTTCAAGACCACCAGTTCGCGCATGTGGGTCGGCCATTACGCCATAGGGCTGGCCTTTTACATTGTGACCAACGTCGCCATTTTCCTTGAGGGTATCGACTGGAACAAGATTCCGGCAAGCTCTGTCTCCAGAGCCTTGCCCGGGATCGACATTGGTCCAAGTCGAGCTACCGAGCCTCTTCTTTCCCTGATTCTAGCCCTGGCCATGCTGCTACAATTTTCACAGCACCAGTATCTCGCGAGCCTGAAGAAATACACGCTTCCAAGTCAAGGCACATTTGCCCACGTGGTCGCCCCACACTACACTGCCGAATGTTTCATGTACCTCTCCGTGGCCATTTTGGCCAAAGGATCCCACTCTCTCGTAAACTGGACCATGCTTTGTGCAACCATCTTTGTGCTGGTCAACCTCGGCGTCACAGCCCAGGGCACCTACCATTGGCTGTTGCTCAAATTCCCCGACCAACGACACATGATCACCCGACGCTGGAAGATGATTCCACCTCTGTGGTGATTCGCGATGATGCGCGCAGCCAGCCCTCAGTCCACGGCAAGATCAAGTTCACAAAGCAGCAATAATGCCCAGGACCGCAAATGAGAGCTCGATGCTGTGTCTTGGCCTGTATATCTTGGCCTGTATATCAAATACTGTCTATTACCCAAACCAGGGATGCCGACAGTGTCGGATCCATCATCTTTGTCAATTGTTGCTTCAAAGCGTGCCCCAGCACCACATGCAGTCTATGGCTGCTAGTCAAGTTAAAGATGTTATCCCGTGGCAGACTTCCCATGTTGCGATAACTCATGGCGCAGGACCATCCGACCTGCCCCAACGCTTGTGTCTCCCTAGCATCTGACCCGTTCCGCCTCTTTTTGGCAAGTCAGATCTGTCTCGCTTTTTCTCACTTTCTCCATTCCCCTCTGCCTTGGTTTCATCCTCGGGTGACCCTGACTGACTTTCACCTGCGGATGATTCCCCGTCCGTCGATGCCTTGTGGTTTAGCTTGGCCTGCTTCGATATTGCCTTGCGGACCCGTTGCGCTTTTCGTGCTTTCTTCGCCTCACGCTCGGCTGCAATTTCCTCTTCCATCAAGGCACGCTCTTCATACTTTTCTTCTCTCCAGGCGCCGACCTGATCGACGGCTTTTTGTGCATCAGACTTGTGCATTAGAAGATAGTCCTGAAGGTCGGCCGGGGAAAAGTCAAAGTCGGGGACGGCGTCAGCAAACGCTTTTGACAACTGACGCAGCTGAGGTGACGCGTGACTACCGTGACCCGCGAGGTCCGTGGCATCGAGTATTTCAGGCGACACCTCGACTTTGCTAATGCTCTGAGGTTGTTCTACGTACATGTTGAGGAAGATTTCCTCGGCCTGGGCCTTGCTCGCTTGGGTAAAGGCGACTCGACAACTGATTCGACCTGCGCGGACAAGGGCGTCATCCAGATCATGTGGTTTGTTGGTTGTCATGATGAGGACATGACCTTCAGGAGCGGCAACTCCGTCAATAGCATTCAGGAGACCTGACAACGTCACGCGAGACATGGTGGATGCGCTGTCGGAGTCGCTGTCATCATCGGCGTCTGTATCTGCGCCTTTTGCTCGTCGATTCCGGCGGCTTTTGGCCTTGCGGCCAAGCCCGGCCGAGTCGACGTCTTCCAACAACAACAACGATCTTGCGGGAAGTTGGTTGAGCAGAGAGATGAGCCCTGAATCGGTGAGATCTTCGTCGAGGAGAGTCAAGTTATAAACGTCGAGTTTGAATTTTGCAGCGACAGCCAACGCCAGTGAGGTCTTGCCGACGCCGGGCGGTCCATGAAATAGGTATCCACGTCGGTACGGGATGCCATGGTCGGCATAGAATGTCATTGTAGATTCGGCCATGTATTCCGCCACGTCTGCGATGACCTGCAATTTTTGGTTGGCCTCGAGAACAACTGTGTTGAGCCCACGACGCGGTTTGGATGTCAACCGAGACCAGGTGAGACGGCTGCCGTATCCCGCATTATAGGGACGACGAATAATCGTGGAACCTCGCTCTTTGTCCTTGTTGAGATAGTAGACGTAGTTGACAAGATCTTTGATCGGCTGGGGAGAGCGTCCGAGACAATACAGAGTGAGAACTTCGGCACGCCTCAAGCGGCTGTTCACAAATGCATCACCATCGCCGTATTTCCTAGCGACATAGAAGATCCGTTTCTGGTGGATAAATATCTGAAGACCCTGGGTGGGCTCGAATCTGACTTTAGGATCCTGGTTTTTGGATTGAGAGATCTCTTCATACTCGGGGTGGTGGCGATGAAGGCGCTTGGGCTCACCTGGTTGGTTGAGTGTTGCGGTGAGAGACTGGTCGGCTCGCAGGGATGTCTTGCCAGCGATGTAGGAGGTCATGTATTGGAAGAGATCTTCATCGTTGGAAATCGTGACGGACGAGACCAATAGGGAAGAAAAGCGATACCAAAGCGTCTGCAGCCGAGTGAGTGGACCAAAATACCACAAGGCCAGCAGAGCTCCGAGGAAGCGAAAGAGACGAGGATATCTGTCCAGCAGAGGTCTCGCACCGGGAAGGAATGAGGTCATAATATACTCTGGCAGATCGATGAGGCTGCTAGTGGCCGATATGGAGGAGCCTCGTGCCATGCGTTGGATGTCCATGTTTGTGAACGTGTGGATGGTGAGATGAGTGGCAGATCGTCCGGTCAAAGAGGATGAAGCGATGGTAGATGCTGAGCAGTCGTGGCAACGAGCACACAATCAGTCCAATTCTGAAGTGACCGCTCGCCTGCCTGGTCTCTAGCCTGATCAAATCAAGTCTTGAGCAACGACGTAAGCAGGATTTGGCTGGGGAAATGAACACAACTCCCAGTTCAACTAAGAATAAAAATGAAAGAACTTGGTCATCTAATCACTGATTTGAGAGATTAATGGAGAGACAATGTATTATGTTATGATACAAGAGAGTATCATCCCTGATCATGTTGTGTAGTGGGCGAAATATTTCCAGGTTGGACAAGGAAGGAACGCTCGCCTAACGCCACACTCGTAGCCACATGCTACAATTTACGAGAGCATGATTGGATTGAAAGGGACCATATATGGACCCTTCTACCTAGAACGGGACGCTACAGAGCCATGTCATGGGTGTATGTACACATATCACAACGGTGACGAGGCAGTGCGTACATATACTAGGTCGATGCAACAAAGTCTAGGTCAGGTGCCGCCCGAGGTTCCTGGACTAGGCAGAAATCCCAAGACGCCACCGCCAATTGATTGGCTTTGTTGCTGCATGAATCCACATTCTGACGTTTGAAGGTGTTTGCCTGATTTGTTTCGTTTCTTCTGGCATGCGTTGAGTATATACGAGTTCAGGCCAGTGAGTCACGGTGATTGTTCTGATAATAATTATATATAATATACACAGAGTATGCTGGTGGTATAAGAAGTGAGGTTGTTGGTTCCAGGCCGTCTTGGCGGCTGTTAGTGGGAATAAAACTCCAGCCACAGGTATTATTAATGATGTCATGTTGTTAATGGCTCGGCCTTGCCTTTTTAGGAAGCAAGAAAAGGCATTGTTGCCTCTTGTTGGTTCCGCTTCGTCTTTCCACCCACCAGCGCCTCCAGTGCCACCACAAGCAACGTGTTCTCACTTGTAGTGTCAAATCCACCACTCCACGCTCGACGTCAATCGTTTTTCCTTCCCCAGACCATCATCTTCTTCCTCCAGATACAATGTCGACTTTGTGAGGACTTGAAGGTAGCATACCACGCCTTTACCTGTGCGCCTTGCGCTCATTCTTGACCTTCGTCCAAAATGCCAGCCACGCTGCGTAACGGCAAATCTTTGCCAGAGTCTCCTCCCAAGCCTTCGCCATCAGTCGGCGCTTTTACGACGACTCAAGACGGCATGTCAAAGCAGAGACCGTCGTCCTACCTGCTGCTCATATATCCTGCCATATTGGCCATCGGGTCCCTCTACTCCGTCATTTCCCCCACTACCTTCTCTCCCACGACTCGACCGCTGGCACCTGGCTTGACTTCTGCCCATGAAGTAGATCATATGCCCACAAATTACTTTTCGGGCAAAAGAAACATATTCAATGTCTACTTTGTCAAATTGGGTTGGTTCTGGACCACGCTGGCATTCATGCTTCTCCAGACCACCACAAGGCCCCATCACAAGTATTCATCGAAGCACTACATCCAAGCGGCCGTTCGATATGGCCTCATAACGCTATCATGGGTCCTGACAACACAGTGGTTTTTTGGCCCTGCGTTGATTGACCGCAGCTTTACCTTCAGTGGAGGCCATTGTGAGCCACAGCTGTTTAATGAATCTGGAATTGAGGGGGCTTTGGAGGTGACAACAGCCACCTCAGGGCTGACCTGCAAAGCAGCAGGTGGAGTCTGGCGGGGAGGCTATGACATCTCAGGACATGTCTTCATGCTGGTCCTCTCGTCCTCCTTTTTGCTCTACGAACTTTACATTGCCGATCGGCACTCTTGGCATCCTTCGGTGTCGCCACAAGCCGCGGCCAAAGTCGCACATGAATTGACGACAGAAGAGCGCATCGCTGTAGGTGGCTGGGAGTCCGAGACTGTAGCGAGGATCCGGCTCTGGGCCCGATATTTTCTTTACACCGTCGTAGTTCTGGATCTGTGGATGCTGATGATGACTGCCATCTTTTTCCATACATGGCTCGAGAAATTAACCGGCCTGGCCATTGCCGGTTCCTCTGTTTGGGCAACCTACTTTCTCGGCGATATTCTGGAAGCCTGGAGATCCATAGTCGGCGGTTTATGATGAACGAACGTGTCATGGCACCTCCGGAGCGCTCTTCCAACCGGCATTATTACGAAGACACGACCGAAGGATTGGGTAGCTTTCTCCAAGGACTCGGCATTTTCAAAGTGTATAGTGAGATCGCGAGCGTCCAAGTACAGCTTATCCTTGCTTCAATCATTGGACAACCATCCAAGTTCCATATATAGCCATACCCAGCAGGACGTCTGTCACAAGGCAAGAAAGTGCCAAAATATGCATATAAAGAACCCCGCATATAGTCCCTATCGCGCGCGGCAGAAGAGTCGAACTCAATATCCCACGAGCCAAAGCGAAGCGAAAAAAAAAATCTCGCGTACATGCAAGAGCTAGACCTTGTCAAGGCGTGCCAGCCGCTTTGCTTGGTCGGCTCGCTCTTTGACCTTCCTGGCTGCACCGCCCTCGCCCCCATCAGCTCTCGCCTCGTCGTCACTCAACTCCTCGTCATCGTCGTCACCCGTCAATTGGAAGTATTCCTCGGCCTCTTCCGCCGTCGGGGCTGACGGGGCCTTCTGAGTGGCCCCTGGTCTTCGATTCTGAGCCCGGCCCACGATTAGCGTCAGCAAAACCACTTCAATGGTAGCTACTGCAATAGTCAACGCGATAGTCAGCCAGCCGTAGTGGCGTAACAACAGTCCAGTGAGCACATTGATCATTCCGACCGGAAGAATGACCCGGCCAAGCCAAACGTGAACTAGGCCCATCCAGGTGCGGCGCGAGATCTGGAGATAGACAACATGGTGACGCCAGCCGAGGACAGTCTGAACTGCAAGTCCGCACACGAGCAAGATCCCCACATATTGATGAGTGATGGAGATGGAACGCGACTGCCAGAAGCCGATAATTGCAGAGATGCCTACCGACACGGAGCCCAGGGAGTTGACGGTCCAGTGGAAGTTGAAGGCAGTGGCGCGAGGTGATCGGAGGAAGTAGACGCCGAGAGGGTACAGGACAAGGAAAGCGAGGGTCATCAAACCACCGTGGAGGTGCCTGTGTGTTCACGTTAGCATGAGGTGAAGCTAAGCTGAGAAGATTGGGCTTACCACATCAGGGACCGGATAGTCCATTGTTTCGGCGATTTGACAGGCTCTTCGACGGCGTTGCCATCGTCGGCCTGGGGAGTATCACTGGAAGATTGCTTGTCGGGAGCAGCGGCAGCGTCCCCTGTCCCAACACCACCCGCGGCCTGTGCTGCAATGATGGTCTCGCCCGCGGTCAACTCCTCGTCAGTTGGGGGAAGTGGATCACCAATCTCGTTAACACCTTTGTGACCCTCGGTATCCAAGATCTCACCAAAGAACGGATAAGTTGTAGCAGCGTTGAGGAGGTCGACCCAGAGGAGTCCGAATCCTAGCCCGAACTGATGCATGTCGATGGCCCTGTCCACAGAAAAATCACCTTGAAAATCCTGTTTGAAATTGCTCGACCAGATCATAGCTTGCTTTGTAGTAGTGTTCATAATCTCCAACTCGGTTGCTGACCATCGCTGGTACCCATATACAATGAAATCGGCGATGCCAAGATGTGAAGGCTTGGCCTTTTGAGAGTCAGAGTAGTACTCTCCAGTATATGGATGGAAGCGGGAGGAGATGATGTGAACTTCTGGGATCTCCTCATCGTAGAAATCCTTCATTTCGGTGGCGGGACGGGGAGGATGATGCCCATCTGCGGTTCGTACTGACAGCGTCATGTCGGCACTGGAATTGGGATCTCCATAAATAATGAACATGAGTGCCCCGTACATCCTGGGACCCAGGGCCAGTGATGCCCAACCGTGATGTTCCGACTCATATCGAAACATCCACATCCGGACGTAGAGGTCAGAATGCCCGGTGGTTTCATTGAAATAATTTACAATGGAAAACGCCTGGTCGGCGCGGCCACTTTCACCAGTATGTTTGACGAACTGAACGGGGCGATAGGCCGAAATAAGTGTCGAGAAGAGTAGCGAGGTTATAAAGGCGGGGGTTGAAATGGAAAATTTCATCGTAAACGGCGTCGAATCCTGACGGATTCGCAAGTTGTTCTATCGGATTTCAAGAAAGGGCGAGGACTCAATCGATAATGGCCGTGATGAACCCTTAGACTCTCGTCGTCAGGCTTTGAATGTGTCCAGAGGTTGAGCGCGCCCGACACTTGGACACGGGAGGGCCAAAGAAAGAATAAAACGAGAGACAGCGGGACCTTGACGGTGCCTAGAATCAAAGGACCATCTACGAGAATGGTGAAGAGCCAAAGTGCAAGAGTACAGTACAAGAGAAGTCTAGATGGGTGAATAATCCAAAGAAGCTGGATGGCTGAAACGACAGAAAGACAGAAAGGAGAAACGTTGGCCAGTTGGTCAATTGCGCGTGGGTGGGGGAACACTTGTCACCCTGCACCTGCCGTAGCTGCCGTCAATGGCTGAGGAAGAAATAAGCTCATTTTAGATGTCGCTAGTCCTATTCTAGATGTTGGAACGGAGGAAGTCACGCCAAAACCACTCAAAAGAAGAAGACAGGCACGACCGTCCCAATCGGGAGTGCACTTTTGCTCCTTCCGTCTCTCCCTTTCCTCCCTTTCAATTCTCAGGGGCTCGTATAGTGTACAGGGTCATCTTATACACCACGCCACTCATTTCACACGATCAGATACGCTGGTGGATACTGATGATATTATTGGGGCGCTAGGGATGATTCGTCACGTATAGGATGAGGCAGCACATACTCCGTTGACTGGAATGGGCTTGTGTTCATATCATACAACCCTCGACAAGATAGGCATGTTCTGTTCGACATCCATCTCGAACGGACCACGTATAGCAGTGCTCTGAGCGTGAGAAAAGAAAGCGTTTCTATTGATCTTCTCAATCCTGGCTAACAATGCTCTTCTTCAATGACATGTCGAGTTCCTTGTACTCCAATCTTCGCCATGCAACACTCCGTGTGCCACAAGCAATCCTTTCCTCAGCATGATCATGGCAGTTGTTCTAACTTCAACTTAGCTTCGAACCAGAACCCTTGACTCGATTGGCTCATATGTCCTTGGATGTTCGGGCTTGGACGGTCTCTTCCCAAACACCAGTTGTGCCTTCAACACCCATGTGTCTGGAATGTCAAACAACTTGGCGACTTCTTCCTTCACTCCAGGGACAAATCCAAAATGTTGAAGATTGGCGCCCAAGCCCTCGGCGTCAAGTGCAGCCCAGGAGACGAAATGGTGTATCCCACTTGAATGATCCGAAACTAAATTGGAATTAACAATCAGCACGCTTTTAATACTTGCAACACCGCTCTGTTGGACTCGAATGGGGCCGACTTACATTCACCAAGGAAAGGCTTCACCGCTGGATGTTTCTCTGCCAGCCCATCCAGAGTGGCCTGGTCTTCATACCACAGGACCGTGCCATACGCAGCCCCGAACAACTTCGCCTTGCCCGAAAGATCTTCTTTGGCGGCCTCTGGGATAGGCATTTGTGCCAAGCCTGACCCGGCAATCTCCCAAAACTTCTGGTGCTTTTCCCGGAACAGAATAACAGCCCGTGCAGATTGGACGTTCATTGTCGATGGACTGTGGAGGACGGTGGCCTTGACAATTTCTTCGATTTTGGAGTCCGGAATTGGCGACTCGGGGGCCAAGTTGTAGTAACTGTGGCGGGCCTCCACGGCCTGGAGAAAGGCGCTCGACATTTTGGCTACTACGCTCAAGGTTGGGTTATAGCGACAGAGATCTTTGTTTCACGAGACTTGTGTATGAGCGAAAGCTGTTCCAGTGTGTTTACAGGTGATTAGGGAGAGAAGGAGCAGAAGTCAAACCGGTCAGTGACCTTAAATACCATCCTCGGTGTTTCTCGACCGATAGCACCATACCGACGAGCTTTGCTAGAGATAAGACTAGCATATGCATGGCCTCAGTGGTTGGACCCGCTCAAAGACCAGCAATTCACCATCAGACGACTCAAAAATGGGGACTACTCCGTGCGTAGAAGAAACACGAAAACAACAGTCGGCAGCAACCGACCAAACATCAATCAGGCCCCCGTGATTTCTCGGCCGACACTAGTCCCCACGGCCGGGGGACAAGAATTGTTTTGTCTCCGGGCCCCGGACTTTGACCTACGAGTATACGGAGTATTTAACTCTGTCCAGGATACAAGAAACAACAGGAATGTTCTACCAAGACAGCAAACCTTTAGTGAGTAATAATATGGGACTGCTAAAAATCACAATGTTTCAATCTCTGAATGAACCGACACTAGTGTCTGTGAGGGTTTGGAGAGCCAATGCATATTGAAGAGCCTGAGAAATGACATATCTCAAGCAATGACATCACGTGCCGGCTACCCCAGCCGGACCTTCTCGGGCGAGAGAGAGAGAAGTTCTATCTCTTCTTGTTGAAGCCGAAGCCTTGGTTGGCGCACACTAGTGTCAAATCTAACTTTGGCTTCGTGACTTAAAGCGACAATAAAAGTCATGCTCCTTGACGAACCAAGCTACAGACCAACATTAGCACGCATAAACACAGGAGAACAGGACCAAGTATGCAAGGACGGCCTTACCATTATGTAGTTTCCAATCCTTGCGAGGGTCGTCGAGCGATACCTCAAATCGCCTCAAGAACGCAGGGACCAATTTATACATCTCCAGTAAGCTGATGTTCTTGCCAATGCATGTCCGAGCCCCGGCGCCGAATTGGAACAATGTCCCATTCATTTCTTTCAACTGTGTGGGATTGGCATCCAACCATCTCTCAGGAATATAGCTGTCGACGTTTTCGCCAAAGATCTCCTCACGTTTGTGGATAACCCAGGCATTACAGCCAACAATGGTGCCGCCAGGTATGAAATGACCGTCGATTTCGATGCCTTGCGGTGGGGTGATTCGTTCCAGTGGCAGGCCGGCTGCTGGATGCATCCGAAACGCTTCTTTGATACAGGCGTCTAGGTAAGGAAGCTTCTGGGACTCGGCCCACGTGACTGTCTTGGAAGGGACATCTGCTATCCGGCCCTCTTCGACAGCCTCGTCGAGTTCTTGCATGATCTTTTGATAACATTGTGGATTTCGGAGCAGGTAGTAGAAGACAGCGGCCAGGCTAATGGCGGTGGTCTCGCTCCCGGCAAACGCCATCGACACTGCCATGGTCAGCACCCGCTGATCCGTCATAAAATCCGGACGATCTCTTTGTGCTTTGAGAAACATGGAGAGAAGGTCTGTCCGGTCGACGCCCTTTTCCACCCCCTGTTTCTCCATCTCTGACATTCGTTCCGACATTCGAGCTTTGGCAAATGTGGAGATGGGAAATGCGAACAACTTGACTCCCAGTTTGTCCAACAGCAGTACCAAAGGGTTCTTGAGGAAAAGTAGATCGAGCCAAGGCATTTGTCCGACCTAACAGAAAGTATTAGCCAAGCAGTAGAAAGTCAAGATACGAGGGATCTACCGGAGCGACATAAGAGAAGAGCTTTCCAAGATATCCGATCATGCCGTCGACATCTGTATTGCCTTCGAGGAAGCCATGGCGTTTGCTGTAAGTGATCTGGCCAATGACCTGGGCAAAGGTGAGTTGAGATGCATGTACCTGGACTGAAAGTACTCACGTCGAATGCAAAGTATTGCAACCACTCGGCAAAATCACAGACCTTGTTGGTCCGGGCATATAGTTTTTCTGTCTGATCAAGAAACAACTCGACCGTCTCATTGACGGCGGGTTCGTACGAGACCAATTGGCTCATGGAGAACGCATTGTTGACCGATCGGCGCAGGTTGGCATGATAGGACTCGTCAGTGGTGGAGAACAATGATGGTAATCGTTTCCCTTGAGTGACAGCCTGCTGGACAGGGTAGAATCCCGACTGAGAGTGTCAGTTGACATTAGATTGTACATTCCCAGGTCGGATAGATGAATACCTTGACAAATCCTTTGTTCAGACCATATATCTGCTTCAATGCCTTGGGGTTGGCAAAGGAAAGCGTGTTGGGCCCCAAGCGAACCACATCCCCGTGCTTCCGGTGCAATGCTAGATGCGTAATATCAGGTCGTCGACCCCAAACATCCAGAACTCTCCACCAGTTGGTGAATCTCGCTGGCACCGGACCGGGATATTTGTTCAATCCATTATGGAAGTAGTTGCTGAGGAGATATGCTACGCCAGCAACAGTCAGTATCCAAGGCCAGTAGGCCCTCAACAGCGGGAGAAACGAATCGAGCATTGTGTTCCACGTGAAGCAGTCGGCGAAGGAGGCTCTAGGTGTCGACGTGTTATGCCGTGGTAACCACCTTATATTCTGGCGTCAACCAAAAGTAGAGTGGCGACGGCATTTGACATGATTGGAAGCAGTGGGTTTTCCACAAGAAGGCATTTCTTCAGTTGTACTGTACAGGACTACCAGCCCTGGAATTAAGTGCAGCAGCCACGATAGGACCACGGGTTGGTGTGCTTCGGCAGTTGGAATTTGGGCGAGAGTAATTGGTATTGCTTTGGTGGATATCATGATTTCAGCAGCACCACAGGCTCAAAAGTCCCCCACAGGTCAAGGTGCAGTGGACGAGGCCAGATACGCGGGGCCTCCATCTTGGATATGATTGCCCAGTGCCAAACAGTGAGGCCTTCTGACGCAGACGACTTCGGCAGTTGAATTAGTCGGTTCAGTCGGTGCCGTTGGAGTCGCCCATTATTGGGGTTTTGTTTCCCAAACCTCAACTGCCGAGATCCTACCGTGACGGATCTCACATCTTTCCGTAGGGCAGCCGACACCTAGGCTCATAACGATTTTATCATTGCCTGGGCTCTGTCCATGACCCTGTGAAGGCCTGTGGGGGGGCATGCTTCGATATGAACCCAGAGACACTCTTTTGTGGCCTTTGGGGAGGCTACAGTCACGGGTCTCGGGAATTCTGCAGGAATTGACGACACTCAAGCAGCATACATTGTACAAGGCAAGGCATGGCATGGCGTGGCATGGCACGGCACTTTTAGACAAAATGCTATTCTGCGTACATGACGTGACTTGACGAGGGAAAGATGATCAACAAATTGTCCATTCTGATTGCCAACGTGTATTAGGCTAGGAACATTGGCTACATGGGTCCGAGCTGGCACAGGAGTATGCCAACATGAGAGTGTAGAACAAAATCCCTCCTGCCCAGTTCCGTTGTTCTATGCTTTTGGGTCAGTCACAACTGAAAAGATATGGTGCAGGTCCCATCTCCTGTGATAAATGCCACGACGTGCCTGAAGTCGAAGAAGATGGGAACAAGAGGAGGATGCTGACGCGGGGTCAAGGAGTGTGCGATGCATGTCACTAGTACAAAGTTGGGGGGGTTGCGTGTTGAAGAGGTGCATCATGTATGTGTCTGTGTTTGTGTCGATGCATATCCGTCTCATCGAAGCTTGGGCCGCTCGATCCAAAGCCATTCTGAGCATTTACTTTGCTCCCAGCGAGGGGAAAGCCGTCTCGTCGTTGACGGCGACCGCGGGTCCGTCGCTGCTGCCACGGCCACGTCCACCACGTCCGCGGAACTCGCCTCGATCACCACGGCCACGGCCACCACCACGGCCACCGCGGAATTCGCCTCGACCTTCACCACGATAGTCTCCACGGTCGCCTCGGCCACGTCCGCCGCCGCGTCCTCCACGGCCACGGGTGGTCTCACGGCTCTCCTTGAAGCTGTAGTCGATGTCGAGGAATTCCTTCTTAGCCTCACGAGCGCGCTCCCGTTTGGCCTTGTCCTCGCCCTTGAAATAGTCGGTAGTTTCCTCCTTGGTCAGCTCCTTGGCCGACTTCCACTTCTTGTTCTCTTTAGCACCCTCGTTGGGCGCACGGGCTTCCTTCAGTCCCAGAGATTCGAGTTTCTTGGCAGCTTGCTCAGCAACATAGTCGGCGTAGGATTTGTTGTTGTCTTCAGGCTCTGCTTCCTGCTCTTGGGCTTCGCCGTCAAGGTTGACTTGTTCTGCGTTGGCATCCCAAGCTGCGCTTTGGCCAGCATCAAATCCACCTTCTTTGACCTCTTGACTGGCAATGGCATCTCCAGCTTTCTCGTCGGCCAATTCTCCCTCGCCGGTGTTCTCGCCCCATCCATGTCCTTCTTGCTTGGGATGGTCACTGTTGACAGATTAGATACAAAAAATAGTCATTATTGCAATGGACAATGCTCACGCGATGCCGGTACGGCTGTGACGATCACCGCCACGTCGAGGTCCCTGGGCACGACCACCGCGGCGAGCACCGGGGCCACGACCACCTCGGTTTCCGTAACCATCTTGACCAGCTCCATCACCGGTTGGCTGCTCGCGGTTGAAGTTTCGGCCGGTGGCTCGATCACGGAAAGCTTTTTCAGTGTGTTAGCAAAGGTGTGCTATATCGGGGTTGGGGATCATGTATTACCTGCTTCATTTCCTGAAAAGCCGCCTCCACGACGTCCGCCACGACCACGACCAGCTACCTCGGTGGGTGCTGCAGGAGCAGCCTTGGGGGCATCGCGTTTGCCGGATCGAGGTGCAGTCTTGTCGATGGCTTTGGTGGGTGGCTCGGGCTCGCGATCAGAATCCTGATCCGATGTATTGCCTGTGGGAGAGGTGTTAATAGCGTGCGGAGGTTGAAGGTGCTCGCCGCGACATACCCAAAAGCTCGTAGAGGTTCTGTTGAAAGACGTTTTAGCCATTGCGACAAATACACATTCGAAGCTGATGAAATTCAGCTTCATCGTTTGGCTGATGCTCACCTTGCTCTTGACGTCCGTCATGACGTTTCCCCTCGAGCGCCTTCCGTGAAGGCTTTCTTTATGTAAACTCCAACTCGGATTTCAAAAGATGAGACGCCCGACCAAAACAACCGTCCTTTTGTGTAGGACCGTGTTTGTCGACTTGAATTGTGCCTGGCTGGGAGAGGTTTACCTTGGTTGCGCAAGAGGAATTCAATCACTTGCAAATCTGCAGGTTCGAGCTAGTCCCGAGTAAGAAATGGCTTGGCATTAGGGCAAATGTTGGTCACGTGGATTCTCATGAGCCGAGGTGTCAGAAAGGCTTCAAGGATCACGCCTGGTGACATGTTGCACGGTGTGATGGCGTACAAAGCGATCGCAGGATGCCGTGTGTACTCGCATACCAGTCCCGGAAGCTGAGCTTTTACTATGGAAGAGCTATATCTTGCACGCCAACCACCCGTCATGGCAAGATGCCCTAGACATGCCAAGAAATCACCCAGAAATCACCCAGAAATCACCCAGAAATCATCCACGCGCATGGTTGTTATTCAAGAATATGTACATTCAAAAGTTAGATGATGATCCTCCAGTGCCTTGTCCGGGTATAGGTATAGATATGGTAGAGCCCAGAAATTATGCGATTCATTGCGTCATGCCATTCGATTGGTCCTGGGTTTGCCTGAGAACGCCCCTCGCTATGCTGCATCCGTGTCATGACTCGAGAAAATGCAGTCGAATAAAGAAACTCATGGCTGAGTCCTGAAAATGTAGCCATCTGTGGACCAGACTCACCGTCGCGTCTGTGTCGGTGGAAAGGTGTAGGGGTTGGGGAAGTGCATGCTGGCAGTGAGACCGAAGGGGTCGGCATCCAACATGGGATCGTAGGGATCAATGAGGGGACCTCCACCACCATTGTCGCTGGCGGCACTTGTGGTCATTGGGGGCGAGGCTTGCATTCCCATTGCCATGGATGTTGCTGTTGTTGGAGGTAGGCGGAAATTCGGGATGAAGGAATCGGTGTCGACGTCTTCTGCGTCCAGCTCGTCGATCATGTCAGGCTGCGCATCGTACTCCTGGTCTGTACTCACGGAATCAGTCTAGGACGAACAAAGCTCCACATGCACGAAGTGGATAGAAGAAAGGGGTCAGCTTGCCGAGTTGAGAATAGTGCTTCTGGAAAGAAGGCGGATAATAGCTTTCTTGCATGGAGAGGTTTGGCTGGCCTCGTGGAGGATATGGGGCCACGTTCCCAGGGTGTGATACTGTGCGGTTGTGCTGTCTGGGTTGCTGGTTATAGGCCTGCTGGGAAGGCTGAATTGGTCGTCCATGGTGCTGTTGTGCAGGTGAGGGTCCAACATCGGTCGCAGGAGAAGTCATGCCGGTTTGTAGGGCAAAGCCAGGGGATCTGGCAGCTGATGGTGAAGAGTGTTGCGAGGGAGGGGTGGGCTGTGCTGTGGGTGAGCCTGCAAAATTCCTCTGTCCACCAGCATGGGAGGATGGATTTACAGTCTGAATGGGGGGTGCCATCACAGGTCGATGCCTTGCCTGCTGTTGCCGGTTCAACATGGCCTTTTGCATGGGCGACGCCTGTCCGGTGATGGGAGGCACGCGGTGAGGTCGAAGATTTGGGCTTCCCTTGAGCGCAAGTTCAGCTTGCACGTCGATTCCTAAGATGGATTGGTCAGAATGTTGAGACAAACAGGCTACAGCGCCAGTTCATACCCTTTTCCAGAAGAATACGCTCCAGGAGCGAGTTCTTGTAGCGAAGCATCAAACACTCATCGGCGGCGGCGCGATGGCTTTGTTGGAGATTCTGGAGATTCTCCTCATGATGCTGGATAGTGGTCTCGAGTTGCTTGATGTACTCGGTGCGACGCTCACGGAAGGCCGCCTGTGCTTGACGGTTCCGCTGTTTGCGTTCTTCGGACGTGGCGTAGATCTAGCCAAAGGAATTCAGCCAACGGCGGTGGTTTGTCATTTGATGGTGGGATACTCACAGGTTTACGACCTCCTTTCCTTTTGGGAGCGGGCGCTGGGCCCTGACTCGCCTGGTCGGCAGCGCCGTCTATATGGTCACCAATCTCGGCATCCGAGGCTGAATCAGACGAGTAGCCATCGATGCTAAGTTCACGCTTTGGAACCACAGCATCGGATACGGTGACGTCGGAGTTTGCGATAGATCCCATGCCTGCCTGCTCCACGCGCCCGAGCCTAATGCAACGTGCCTGGCATAAGCGCAAGTACGGGGCGAGAGGAATGACCGGGGATATTGGATCTAAACGCGCGGCTGTGGGTGTGCTGATAACAGAAACGTAAAAGATGGGATGGGTGACAATTGGAAACAGAGATAAGAGACGCAAAGCAATGAAGAGGCTCGAGAACAAGATGGTGTGAGGTAATCTCATGAGCTAACAAAATTTTGCGCGAGATGGAGGGGCGGAGTCGCGGAGAGGAAGGAGAACAAGCCGCGATTGGGGAATCGGCGTGTTTGAATGGCCCACGAGATCTGCTCCCAATTCAGGGTACCGAGGAAGAAACACGGCGGAAATGAGAGGCATTCAAACAACCAAGGAAGACGGTGGATTCAATGAGTCTTCTGACCCTGGGTCGGTGGTCGCCACGCCTGTGTTTCGATGCCATTCCCTCTAGTCTGCCACAGTGCCTCTCACCCACTCCGACTCAAGGAGCAAGAAAACTCTGCCTGTTCACAACCCCCCATACCTTGCCCAAACCCAACGGAGAAGAACCAAGCACACCACGTGGGAAAAATTTTCACGTCCGGGTTGGCAAGACGCGGGATCCAATCACGAGACCGGACTGTACGGAGGGCACCGCCAAACATGCCTGTATCGGGGCTAGCTTTGAACATACCTTACCTATTTAGGCATGGCATCTCGAGGCAGATCCAACGTCAAGCGAGCGCCCTTTTGCGTCAGATGGGCGCTAACACCTCTAAAGCACATCTCAACTACCCTTTCTCGGAATAGCGTGGCATTAGTGTAATTTCCCCGCCTCTCTTTGCATCTTCTTTCTCCGTGGAGGGTGAATCGCCCCAAGGGAACCAGAGACTTTCTCTGGCAGTCTGCTGTGCCAACGCAGTAGTAGTAGTGAATTCTGTCCAGGCTGCCAGGCCCCTCGGCCACCCTGGCACCATCCAAACCCAGTAACTTCCCGTGGTTGCTAGCCACCTCCCTGTAATAAAAGCCTGGGTGAGTCGTTGTGTATCATTGGCCCGGCCTCTCTAGCATGGACTTTTCCGATCCAGGGAGGAGGTCTGACTTTTGCATTCAAGACCATAGGTAACTCGATATTTTCCCTGTCATGTTTGTTGGCCATTTCTGTCATGGATTGGGCTGATCAGGGCGACTAATTCGTCTTCTCGTCCTGTCGCAGTCACAGGGGTCCAGACGTCATTGAAACCTATTGAGAGACTCGAGATTCGCGAGTCCTTGTAAATGAATCAGTTCTTCGGAGTAGGGATGGAACAGACCCTGAAGCCCTGTGGCCCATGACTTACAACGGAATATTGGGATCGTGAAAGCCCAATGACTCTAACAAGGTAATTTCAACAACTCGCAAGATATCCCCTGGTCAATTTTTGATATCATCTTCACGTGACATCAATGAGGTTCAGATTTCATTTCCTCCAATACAGATCACAGAGCTGGGCCCATGGTGTCTGACATCTGATTCGAGAACGAAAGGCGCCTAGTACTGGATAAACATGTAAACATGTTCTGTTTGTACGCACCTAGGTATTTGAGGTAGGCATTACATCAAGGCCTTGTCTTGATACAGCGATTTTGAGGTTGCAAGTCTACTTCGCTCCTACCCTCACAATGATATCTACGCTTGACAACATGGAAGGAGCAAATGAACCCTTGGAGCCTCATAAACCAAAAGATTTAAGGACTTTTAGAAAGATCCAGGCGCACCTTCCAGTCTGTGATTAACGACTCCCCGTACTTGAGCTCCAAGTGTCTGCGACATTGTCTGCTGATTGCCTTTGCATCTCCAGAGTCATGCTTGTGCCTACAGCATTTGAGTCTTTGCATGTTCTACCCACCTCATTGGTAATTCTGACCCATGGAGTCGTGGACGTCCAAAGGTATGCTCTGCCATCTCAGGTCCAGTCGAAGACCTTCCTCTAATAACGATAAGCAGATGCCCCGAGGAGACTGCACCTGTCCCGACCCACGTCCATAGACGATGTCAAGCCCTCCAAATCTCCTCTGATGACAACCTTTGAGGCTTTGGCCAGGCCAATTTCTGCCCTCGCGAGGCATCGCGTCCACCAATTATCAGACATTCGTGAAGCTTCAAATTCTTCCCGTGCGGGCCAGAGCGTCACCCCTGCTCATGAGTGGAATGATGGGGGCAGAGATCGACCTGCAACGCCCAATCCTCCGGACGATGCCATGTCTCATGCTACTTCGTCTGATTGCCTGACCCCCAGTGCATTCAGATTAGGTGCAAAGAAATACTCCGCCGCTCTTGGACTTCGAGCCGCAAGTGCCATCAGTCTTCCTGTACGACACATCCCTCAGAGGCGGTCCTCCGCTAGCATTCTGACCAGAGGTTTTGCCGATCCCAGGCTCAAATCATCACAAGATATTCCGTCTTGGACACCACCTGAACTTGATGGAACAGAAAAGTTCATCACCTCAAATGATCGAACTAACTCACCAGTTCGTCGGGCCTTGGGCCGCGGATCTCAGTCTTCAGAGCTCCTCCGATCCTTTCCAACACGAACCTTTGTTCGAACTACTCCTCCCCACGATATCCTAGACCATGGCAGCTCACGTCACCCACGGGTGGAAGTCTCGGTCCAGATTCCCTCTCCGCTGTTCGTCGGAGGAGGAACCGCCGAAGGACGACTATCCATTCAAGTAGACGGTGGGATTCCACGAAAAGTCAGGAACAAATCGGTATACATCTCCAAAGCTTCAGTGGACGTAATTGGAGTAGAGGAAATTCACGATGGCCGACGCTGGGTTTTTCTTTCTCTGGCAACAGATGTGATAGACGAGAAAAATCCACCACCAACATCATTGGTCACATCCCAACACCCTGAGAACGGCCCTGAGCTCTGGTGGGAGTTGAAACCTGCAACGGGTAATTTGCCTTTCTCTATCAATTTGCCCCTGAAGCTTGGCCCGCCGCCTTATTCGTCCAGACTGGCATCGATTCGATACCTTTTGTGTCCTTCGGTGACGGTGAGGGTTGGAGAAAAGAGAAGTGTGGTGCGACAGATATGGAGTGTGCCAATGATGACAGTTCACGATCCCGAAAAGGCTCTTGCCAGTCTGCCGAGCCCTCTTCTGGCTGCAGATACGATTTCTCTCTCTAGGGAGCCTGACCTGCAGATTGTCAAACTTAATGCTGGTCTTCATCGACAGACGTGGGTTAATGGAGGAATGATCTTTCTCGACATTCATATTTCCAACAATACGTCCAAATTGATTAAGAAGGTTGAGGTCCAACTGGAGAAGACTACACTGTGGTACACCCATGCAGCAGCTGGCACCTCAGAGAAGAGCGCAACTCACCTGAGACTGCCACGGCGTACCGACACCGAGATTGTGAGTGGAACGACGGTGAAACGGTCAAACTCGTGGAAGGGGGTTGCACCTCATTCTTCGGATGTTCGCACCATCGAACTGGAGGCGCCGAAAGGCCATGTTACCATCAGCAGCGGCAGGTACTTTGAAGTTCGGTACTTTGTCAATGTGGTCGTCAGCGTCAAATTGTTCAAAACATTGGCAGTCCAATTGCCCGTCACCATCATTCCCATGAATTCGTTGGACATTCCCCCAAACTCATTGGCTCAAGTGGCAGCTTCGATCGAAGCCAAACGAGCAAGGACCGTTCCGGTAGCGCCACACGACCCTGTCAAATCATCTTTCCACCAGGGCCAGGCATTCTCAGCTCCCGTACGCAAGTCTTTGGAGCGACCGACGGGTGAGAGTGTGAATTGTGCCGACCTCGACGCACTGACTCGGCATCTGGATCGCTCGCCTCGTCGTTTTGCAAGACGCCATACCCACAGCCATCACGCTGGCGAGATTGTGCCGTCATTCAATGACGAGAATGCAGGACCAACCCGAGCTAGTATGGCGTCGTCTCACCATCACCATCTCACCCGACACCCTAGTTGCTACCACTGTCATCTCATGTATGAAAACCAGACGACGCCCAAACCACAGGGCCCAAGACTACCCCGGCTTCAAGTGTCGACCTCGGGACTTGGGTTTTCCGAATCAGAATTTGAAGTGCCCGCGGACTCTCCCCCAAGAAAAGTAATGCTCAGTGAGCAGGAGCGCAGTATGATTCATCAGATCCGAGAGTTGAGAACACGTCAACAGCACAGTCAACGAAGAGCTAGAAAGCCTAGTCGAGATGCTAGGATGGGACAAGAGGGTCGCCAATTGAGCGTACAACCTGGATGGAACAATGTGGTGACTGATGCAAACGCAGGACCTAAGCTGCCGGAGCATGGCAATCTTAGTCCCAAAAAGGGGCTGGTCAGCAAAGGCAGCATCAAAGAGCCAAAGAAAGTCGAGCATGGCAAGGCACTGAGCGGAACCCGATCCCGTGCCAAAACCAACCCAGAAGCGATGGTGAGCTTGGCTGGCCCAGGTCAACCTCGCAGACGATCGAGCACTGATCGACACCAACGCGGAATACTCTCAGTCGACGGGACTGGGTACTCGAGAATGGCGCACAGACCCAGCAGAGACATTACGTACCGAGCAAGTCTGGATCCCCTTTTCTGAAATTGAAGCGAAAGAGTGGGAGATGAAGAGTTGATGGCTGCATGATACGACGTATGTTTTGCAAGCAACTTTTGCCTTAGTTCTTGGGATTGAGTGCGGGGAGTGTGTGACTTTATGGACTAGATATGTTTGTGGTATGGAGTAGAAGACTATGGATATAGTGTGTTGTAGGTATATATACCTGAGGCAGCAATGCAAGACTCGTTGTCGCCAGCAGATGAAATGATAGCCTTGTGTCAAAGCAGCGTGAGATATTGACTTGGAAGGCGTGGAAGGGTAGTTCGTGCCAAGAAATAAGGGGCAAATGTACGGTGACACATAAGATCGGCAGCAGGTGGTTCATACAGGGGAACATTTCTCCACAACGACGCCCCGCAAGATGAGATCCGAGGTTCGTCGGTTTCGGTGTCGGGTCGTTCAAGCAATTTGACCCCAACTCTCCGCCTTTCTTGAGAGTTGACAAGGTCCGAGAGGATCGAGCATGCCGAGTCACTTGTTACACGGCCGGGGCAGAGAATTGAACAAGCCCAAAGGTAAGATGTTGATTCGACTGACTGTTCGTATTTGATCATTGTCCACTTTTGCAGCACCTTCACCTTCTTCAGCACCCAGCACAGCAGTATCAGTTCACGTCGATCGAGACGGCAGCGTGGTAGTTGTGATACCCTCGGTTGAGCCCGAATCGGCGACACCCCTCTCCTCTTTCTCACATAGATTCTTGGATCTCCAAATGGCGGCCATCAAGGACTTCAACAACCTGTTCAGGCTGGATGGCAAGATTGCAGTGGTGACGGGCGGTGAGTCAACACATGACGGCAAACAGTGCAGCCCACGTGGAGGGACTATGAGACGGACAGGAGACTGATTCTTAAGACTAGCTTCTCGCGGCATTGGACTCTATACTTCGGCTGCTCTGCTGCAAGCCGGCTGCGAACTCGTGATCATCACAGCTCGAGACGAGACGAATCTCAACAATGCCGCAACGCAACTGAACGCCATTCCCAACATCGCCGGCAAAGCATTGGCCATGCCTGCCAACGTCGGGCATACAGATCAGATTGAAAAGTTTGTCCGCGACGTCCAACAGGTAGTGGGTAGCAAGGGTGTGGATATCCTCGTGGCCAATGCCGCGAGCAGTTGGGGTGGCCCATTCGAGCCGTTTGAGGATTGGAAGAGTCAGAAGACCCTGGACTTGAATGTCCGAGGAGTTTTCAACCTGGTCAGATTGTGAGTCAACCCCATTCATCCCTTTGGGGTGATGAATCGTGCCCGCTTTGTCTGCAAAATTGAAAGAGCTAGCATCTAACGCGTTGATTCCGGTGAATAAAGTATGGTTCCACTGCTGCAGACCAACGCGACGGTATCCTCACCATCTCGAATCTTGCTCACCTCTTCTGTTGGGGGCATAATAGTGCCGCATGTGGGAGAACGAGGCGCGATCATGTACTCGGTGTCCAAGGCGGCAGTACACCACCTGGGTCGCAATCTCGCGCTCGAGCTCGCACCCAAGAACATCACCACCAACATTGTCGCTCCGGGCTTCTTCCCCTCCCGCCTGGCCAACCCGCAAATCAACTTTCTCGGTGGAGAGGACGTGGTGGGAAAGCAAAATCCCCTCGGTCGACTGGGTCAACCTGCCGATATTGCCGGCGTGATCGTGTATTTGTGCAGCCCGGCTGGCGCGTATATCAACGGTGTAGACATCAGTCTGGACGGAGGCGCCCGCTTGAGGGTTGGGACTCATCCAGAGGGATCCAAATTGTAGCCAGGGACAGTCGTTCCCAATGTGTTTTTGTTTAAAAATTTGTGGCTGTATATAATGCAAGAGAGAACGCATACATGCACGAGACTCAGTCCCACGTCTTGGATATATCGCCTGACTTCTTTTCCCCGCTGAATTCTCATGTTTGGCTCTTTACCAGGATGACACTGGCCCCAATGCCGGACTTGTCGAGTGGAATTTCTTCTGTTTGTGCCACTCCGTCACTTTTGGGTCCCCAGAGCCTCACCTCCCGGATCCCCAATCCTCTTTCTTTGACCCAGTTTTCGTCTTCAGGGTTGGCAATAGGAGCTACTTCGATGTTGACTTGGCTCTGGATCGGCTTCAAGGATGCGGAGTCGACCGCACCAAGACCAAACCTCAGAAACCCAGTAGTTGGATCCTTTTGAGGCTGGACACCCGTCACGGCGGCGTAGACCTTGCCGTAGGCATCGAGCTGGGCCTGGGGCACGACAACTCTGACGCTCAGCACCCCGAGCGCGCCGCATGGATGCTTAGTGACGTCGCCTTCTTGATAGGGAACTCTAAGGTCACGATCGCTGACATCGTGGCAGAAAAACGGCGCATCTAGACGACCATTGGGGAAATAGCTCTGAGCCGGACTGGGGACACCGCTGGCCTCTGGGTTGAAGCGTGGCTTGGTCACGAACCACGACACGTCCTTGCCGTCCTTGCGCTTCCTCCCACCGGCCAGGGGGGTCTTGTAGCTGATTCCGAGGTCTTCGGAGCTGTCGTCGGTGACCCCTTGTGCACCTGAACTCGTTGTTTTTATCGACGCTGCCAGCCGCTCTGAGACTGCTTGATACGTCTCATGCGCTGATGCCTGGGCGGACGTCAGGGCAAAATCTAGTAGCCCTGGTGGTTTGCCGGCCCAGTCAAAGAATTCAGATGGTTTGGTGATCCAGTTGATCAATTCAATATAAGTGCCATCGGCGAGGATGATGAGTTTGTTGCGCGAGGATCCACCTGGGAGATCGTGATGTTGTTAGCGGAATGGGTCAATAGATCAAATTCGAATCGGTCCAAGGACAATTGGTAGTGATTGGGATACAGTGATACGACGCATCCGCTACATGAGATATATCACGAACACATCTGTTCGTGGAGGTGACGTACCAGCATGTGTTCCACCTTCGATGATGTTGAAATTGTCAGCCAGCCATGCCGGCGGGCTCTCAAAGTCGGGTGTATCCAAGAGAAGCACTACATGGTCATGCGAGTATACAGAGGTGGACATGGTGACCAAGATGTTCGTGTATAAGGTCAATGTATGAAAATGAGGCTACCAGCAGATCATTCGAATACTTTGATAGTAGGTGTTACTTGGTAGAGGCACGCTTTTGCCCTCGTCAAAGTGTCATCCACCTTACGTTCTGAGGATATCCAATGAATGAGTCATAAAAACTTTGGGTATCACTAGCGGACTTGTCCACCAGTGTCTCTCCAAATGTTTCTGGTTTGTGAACATCTGTAGCAACAAGAAAAGTAAAAGACGCCTTGCTACATACTCTCCGTCGATATTGGAAACTTTGCTTTTATAATCCCCGATCAGGTCTGGCGCTCGGTTTTGGTCATAATGACACAGAATCTCATTTCTATTATTGCCGTCATGCTGCTCGTTGATATAGAGTCAAGGATCAATGCTTCATCTTTGGTGCGTTTTTAATCCCAGGATCATCTCCTGTCTACTCAACTGCTCATCTAGTCCGTCCAGTCAATCCATCGTGGTACGGGTCGCTCCAAATACTCAACTTCCATAACCAGCTCCATTAATACTAGCCTTGGGATTGTCAAACCCCCGTGTTGGGGCTGCTCCATATCAACTCCATCATGCTTCGTTGCACCACAAGGAGTCATCGTCAATAATAATGTCTCTCCTAAATCTCCGGTAACGCCATCCCCTTCACCTGGGGCATAGGTCCTAGGTCTATGGTGGTACAGAGTCTTGTCTTCTCTTTCCGACCTTCATCATCCCGATGACATCTGGCTTTTCTCAGCCTTCATTTTTGGTGGCTCCACTGGATTTGGGCGTCCCCTTTCCTTTGGTCTTGTCCTCCCCTTTGTTAGTTGCATTCGATAGACTGATGGCGATCTTTCGTGACTTTCGTCCTTCAACATGATTGTCCGTGTCGGCGTTATTTCCCGCGGCTGGCGTATTGTCGCTAGCTGGCTTTGATCTCAAAAACCCTTTCTTCCTACGCAAGGATCCTTGGGAAGCAAGACTGGATGCGCTTGAGGCCGAGTTTCGACGCTTCGACCCCGAGGACAGTTTTCCTAGCTCGTCATCGTCATCGTCGTCTTGCCGTCTTCGCTTTTCCGCCAGTCGTTCTGGCGGGGCTTGCGAGTCCGTTTCTGCTGCCGACTTGATCTCTGGCGAGGGCTCCAACGACTTTGTGCTTGTTGATTTATCTTCAAGCGACGACACTGCGTTGCCGCTCTCTGATATCTGTGATGTGTCCTCTGCTGCCGTCGCCTTAGACTCCATCGACTCATCCTCGTCATCGTCTGGGTAATCGACCAAAGGCTTGCTGATGGGTGATGCGCCACCATTCATTACTTCCGATTTCATCCGCTTACGATGCCATTCCATCCTTTCTGACAAATTGTCCGCCGTCTCACCAACCACTTGGTCTTCAAGGGTCTCGTCTTCGTCGTCATCCGAACCATTAAAGTACTCTTCCTCGCTCGCATCCATTTCGCCAATTCCCGGCCATCGGTCGCTGCCATGTGTCCGGCTTGGGGGAAACGCAAGCTCGGGTTGGCTGAAAAGGGTGCGATCCTCCTGCGGTGGCTCATGCGTGAGTTGGTCGAAGCGCAACAGCAGGTTCTCAAATGTGTCGACGTAGGTGATGTCTTGTATCTTCTCGCGATACGTCTGTCCCAGGTGAGTGATGAGTGCCTTGATAGATTCTTTGCGAATAAACTCAAACAACTCCAGGCAAGCGGAATTCAACAGGTTGTCTCGCGGCATAGTCTCGATGACGATGTCTAGAATGGCGTCAAAGGCCCCGCTCCTGATGATGAGTGCGGCGTAAAACTGATCCGGCAGCGCGACCCCAGATCGGAAGAATTTGAGACTGGTCAACTTGAGCGGTTTCTGTGGTGCAAGAAGCAACTGTGCCACGCGAGGTGCCAGATTTTCCGACAACAGGAACGGTCGACTCTTGGCGTGGTGTTGTCTCATGAAAAAGGTGAGTATCTCAACCAAATAGGAAAACAGGGAAACTTCTTGGTAGGTGAGATTCTGCATAGATGGTCTTGACTCGAGAGATTTCAACGGCTGAAACAGCTTGCGGCACGATCGATCAAAGTTGTCTTGGGCAAACTGTTCGTTGGCCTGTTGCGTGGGGTTCAAGGCCTGAGGTCGAGAGAGCTTGTTCATGAATTCAGAGGTTTGTCGGTTGTTAGGATCGCTGGAAGGAGGCTGAGGGTCGAGGAGGATTTTGATGGCATCTGCTAGTTGATTCTTGACACCCAAGTCGGTCTCTGCGTGGAGTAGCTCAATCAATGTATCCGTGAGTGGGGTCTTCTTTTCATGGACGGCCTTGAGCATGTAGCCACGCATCATATTAGGATCGTGGTCGAGCAAGGCGACGAGGATATCGATGCCCGTCGTTCGCATGGGAGCATCGGGGTGCTTGACGGCAAAAGTGATGACTGCAAACAGACCGTGTGCGATAAAGTTGTTCAATAAATTGGCGCGTGCTTGCATCTGTAATGTTTTTGCGATGGCGGCGCATTGTTGTAGAAAGTGAACGGCCTGCTCTTTTCTTTTGATGTCTGTGTTTTCCGGGCTGAAGATTGCAAACAGCTCCTTGAGGAAGAGGGTGTTGTTTTGGAGATGCTGTACAATCTCGACTTGGTTGTAAAAGATCAACGAGTTCAAGACTCCAAAGGTCGGGTCGTCGAGGATGCGGGCGAGGACCACATCCTTCAAGTACTGTAGTCTCCACGTCTGTCGAATTTTGCGCTTGATATTCTGATCCTTGATCTCCACCACCTCTTTGTACCTTGATTCATCGGACAAGTAAAGCCGGTGGTTGGCCTTGTGGGTGGGGAAGTCGGGGTCGTACTCGAGGGCGCCGACAATACCGAGGATGATGTCGTCGGTAACGAGGTATTCAATGATGGAGTTGTCGTTCATCAAAATCAGGGCTTTCATGATGTTGCAAAGGCGATGCAGGTCAGGTAAGCTTTCCAAGTCTTCAGCAACTTCGACCAAGGGGATCAACTTTAACAGATAGTCGCCCTTGGTCAAGAATTTTGCTAAAGCGTCGCGGCCACCTTGGGTGACGCTTGCCTGCCGGATGTTCTGTTCGATTTCGTCGAGGTTATTCAACTCGGGAGGGCTCAGGGTAAAGGAGGTTGTTATGTTCTCCAGCGCATCGTCGGAGAGGCCATCGTCTAGGGAGCGGATTAGTTGAGAATAACATTAAACAAGTTGGAGCGTAGTACCTGGCAAGGATAACAATTGCTGTTGAACCTGGTTTACAAAATCCCTATCAGAGATTAGCGAAAATCGAGGCGATCAGGTAGAGAGGCGTGTACCAGATAGCGGCGCAACCCTCAGCCTCTTGAAAGCTCAGCGCCATGTCAATGCCGTTGGTCTCGGTCCAGACGATGAGAGTGTCTAAGGAGGTTAGTAAGAGCCAGGCTTCAAAATAAATGGGGATGAGGGTGCCATTATACCTTGCTGTTTCTGGTAGCCATCATCTTTGACGATGCGGGTCTCCAACAGCATGCGATCAGGTTGGTCTTCAGATTCGACATAGATGCGCGGTTCGTCCTAAAAGAACAGGGTCAGCGCGTGCGGAATTCGGGTTGCGAGAGCCATGGCCACGGAGCGTTGGCGACGAGTCTCGACTGTCACGGCACAGATGCTCACATTGATGACCTGACCAGTGCAAAAGCCAGTGCCTCTATCGAACCAGTCATTATCTCGTAGCTCATAGACTTTGACTCTTTTCTTGTCGTTGGCAAGCGGCGGTTGCATTGCCATGACGGGAGACGCGGGAACGGCGAATGGACATGAGCAAACGGCACAGCAGATGGCCGGATGCTTCAAGGAAAGGCGAACGCTTCAGAGGGATACGATGAATTCGAGGCGATTGTGAGCCTTAGTGAGGTGGTACAGATAACTGCAATGGCGCAAATGGAGTGGAAGCCAGCGATAGGTGGAGAATGTGGCGGGGCGGATCGAGAATAACGAGATTGTGGCCGCAGACAATCAGGCGCAGGGCGGTGGGTTGATAGATGATGATCAGGGTAGATGGAACAAGCGACGGCGCATGCGGCAATTGCAAAAAGGAGGGTCCCTGAAGGGAGCTGGTATCGGAGATGGAGGAGGTGGACCGGAAGTCGGTCGAAACAAGCGTGTGATGCTCCAGGCAAGCCGCAGGTAGGGATGGAGAGGTGGCGGAAAGGAGAGGTGAGGACAAGGTGAGGCGTTGAGAACCTGTGTATGACAAGTGTGGGAAGAGAGTGTGACGGTAGTGGTGAATTACGAGTGCTTAGGAAGGGTGTAGTTGATGTAAGATGGTAATAATGGCCAAGTTGAAGATGAACTCGAAGTTTGATGATGTGATTGCAAACTTCAAAGGTCGCAGGCGGTGGATGGCGGATGGTGGATTCTGGAGATGTGGGCAGCAGTTGGCAGTTGGCAGTTGGCAGTGGATTAATTGTTGTGGCCTGGGCTGGAGGCTGTGGGTTGTGCATGGCTGATCAGTGAGGGCGGATGCCGGATTTGATCGTTTGACAGCCCCGAAAGCCCTGGATGAAGGCCCGGGACTATTAGGCTTGGGCACCAAAGTGTCGCCAAAAAGTCCGAAACTGGAAGAGCGACCACGCCTATGTCCTTCTGTAATTTAGTTATTAGGGATCCTCCAATTAGGGGGTGGTTTGGGGTCTTCTCTGGCTCAATTGAGGGAGACTGACTGCATTTCCCTTTTCCTCTGGTTGGGTAGGACATTGGGCACGCGATTTCTTCCACAGTCCTATAATTGGAAGCCCTCGTGGAACTCAAGTCTTGACTGTGAATAAGAAAAGCGATTTTCCTAGCCTCCAACTCCTACCATACCTCCTACTCCGTAGTTACTCATACTAGTATGGCCGAAGATCGGCATGCTGGAGTTCATTGCACAGAACCCCACCAAACTCTCAAGGTCCGTTGGTTTGTTGACTTGACGTGTCCACGCGTGTCTTGGATGATGGAACCTGCCACTCTTGTCCACACCTGCCTCCAAAGTCCGTTCATGACCTGTTCCTTCCTCTGCACGTGTCTACTGGTGCCTGGACAGATGACATCACAACCTTTGAACCTCAACGATTCACAATTAAATTAATATTGTAACATTAGTATCAAATTCAGGTCCGGCCAGGTTCTCTTGTTTAATTCCAACAGACATCCAGTACATACAGACATATTCTTGCATGCATCACATGTTCGCTAAGATGAAAAGTAAAGTATTCCAGCCATGACCGCAATATCAAGAATTGACAAGGCATTCTTCTAGGCAATCCTTAGATCCAACCAAGACTCCCCATCTACTAATAGAATCCCAGCCCGGTCCTCCAAACCACATCTCCTGTCCACCACCCAACACCTTTGGACCCTTCCTGGTACCATGTCCACCACCCCTCATCTTTTCCTCCAGGCCCAAATCCAACCCCTCTCAAGATGCTGACAGGCACCGGCTCGAGGAGCCATATCCCAGACCGAGCAAAGTCGTTGGCAAGCAGAGGCCCAGTGAAGTAGAGCCAACCGAGCACAACCAGACTATTGATTGTTTGCCCAACCACTGGCGGCGAGGTTTTGGCTAATGGGAAGTGCTTGTGTAATGCCCTTACCATGTTTGTTTGGACAATCGTCCCAAACCCTTGGAGCAGAAAGAACAGTAATGGTCCCTGCACAGGATGCGTCTGTCGCAGTGAGAATGATGTATAGCTTCCTGCGGCATGGAGGAACCCCGAAAGTGTAAACGCGATCCCCAGTTGTATCACTCGAGCTGTATTTCCATCACGCTCAAGCTTGAGATTCTTGATCACCACTCTTGACGGCTCCGAGATGCCGTATCTGAACATCTGATGCCAGAACTTTCCCCAGAACCCGGCCAGTCCGCTGTGCAAAACCGATGTACGCAAGGGATACCACTGTGCAGGGTACATCCAGGGTTCAAGCAAGGGGGATTTCGTGATCCTGGAAATATCGATTGCTGAAGGAAGTATCAAAGCAAAAAATAGGGGGCTGAGGCTGAAGATAAGTGTCAACGCAAACACCACCCCAGCCATCGACATGATCAACCTCACCAGGCGAGTGGCTATGGGGACGTTCTGCGTCAACTTCCTCAGCCAGTTCCAAGGGGTAGGAGATCTTAGGTCCTCCAACCCCAGGAAGTATGGGTCTGTCACCATTGTGGTCTTCAAAAGATCTAGAAGGATATAGCTGGTGAAAAATTCCTTAAGTGCTTGACGTTGAAGCGCTCGTAGAGTTTGTTTTGGGATCGAGGTCGCTTTTGCTGGGCGATTCGGTGTTTTCTGGCCAGATCCAGGCATAGGGGAGTTCGGAGAGTCAATGGGTGCAAGAATAGGAATCCGATGGCTCCAGCTGACTCCTCTAAACGCGGTCGTCAAGTCCACAATCCAATCAAGCAGATGAATTAGATCGCCGTGCCCAGGGAAGCTTTGCCAGACCAATCGATAAGGCCTGACAGCCGGCTCCTCGGGCGCGGTGACAGCGTTTTCGCAAACACCGGTCGATGCATGGACACTGTATATCTTGCGTCTCATCAGGTCCACATGTGGAAGGCTCTTGAATTTGTCCATGGCGATTGCATCCCCATTTCTTTGGTCTTTCTGTGGTGGGGAGACCGTATGGCGCAGCTCGAGCCTCCAGAAATCCTGGCCCACATCATTGCAAATCAACAATGTAAACGACATTATTGCTCCCCAGGCTAGACACAACCCAATGCCATAGCCGCCGGCACACCATAGAGTCCGTCGATGCTGGCAGATGTAAATGCTATGCAGAACGATCGCCCCAAAAACAATACATCTGACAGGCCTGGCAATGCCCAGTCGGAGTCGAGGGGTCAGAGCCAGAGCCAGCAGCAGGTAGACAATCGGTAGGCAATCCCACGGATACAGGAACGGTGTGTAGTCTCCCTTCAAGAGTGATGCATCATACTCGTGTTGGCGCTGTGCCAGTATGCGTCTGTAGAGTGACACATACTGTTCTTGCATCCTGCGGCTCGCCTCAACAGAGACTTTTATTGTGAGCGTGGCACAGGTATTTGATCAAGGGAACACTGATGTTGAGGGCTTTCTGGAGTGGCAGGGTGGGCGCTCTGTGAAGTATGAATTTAAATCATGACGTGTGCTTGTGTCACTCACGCAGACTTTTGAGAAAGGTGGTCAAGTCAAGGTCTGGCTTGGTGCAGCATTGAGACCACCTTTAGGCGTCCTATCAGAAGATGACAGAAGACGCTGATGGATATCATGCCTGAAATGTGACGTTTCTGGGTCAAGCCAGCAAAATCATCACAAGGATAGCTGAAGGACAAGGCTGAGAAGGATGCCAGGTGCAAGGCTGAACTACAGCTGATTATTTCCTCATTTCGTGCAGTTTCAGATCCTCGACTTCAACCATCGAAATGTGAACAGAACAATTGATTTATTTAACATGACACGAGAAGTTGGTCCCTCTCTCTGCCAAATGCCATCTCTTCTCGCAAGTCCACTTGATGTGGCTTCAGTCCAACAATAATCTCTAATATGAAACCGACTCCCATATCCGCCTTGCCTCCATCCTGCTTCTACGTGCCCAACTTCATCTCCTTGGACGAAGAACAGCAGATTCTCGATGGCATTAGCAGACTGCCAGAATCTAAATGGACCGTTCTAACCCACCGTCGTCTTCTTTCTTTGCCGTCGGCTCTCACTGGCGCAGCAAGTAATACTCTGGTTGCCGCTCCAATGCCTACCTATCTCGACCCAGTTGTTGCTCGTCTCAAACAACACGAATACTTTAATGAGACTACCCATCGGGAGCCCAATCATGTTCTGATCAATGAATATAAGCCGGGCCAAGGAATCATGCCCCATGTTGACGGCCCATCTTATAGCCCCTTGACCGCGACCGTGAGCTTGGCCAGCCACACTGTCCTGGAAATCTACAGGAAAAATCCGCACGGTGAACGTGAGACGTTGCCTCATTGGCGAATCTTACAGGAGCCTCGAAGCTTATTGATAACTGCTGGCGAAATGTATGAGACTACACTTCACGGCATTTCAGAAGTCACCACCGACCAAGATCTCAGTGCGGACAAAATTGTCAACTGGCATCTTTTAGGTGACACCAAGCCCTATCAATCAGGCATGGCTATGCGGCATACACGTATCAGTCTTACCTTTCGAGACGTGGTCAAAGTTGCGAAATTGGGAAACGCCATGAAGTTTCTGTCCAAACGGTGACAGTCATGCACTCATCAGTTCCTACCGCTCTTCCGCAGTTACGCTCTGGGACTGGCTGGCATCATCGCGCCTTCAGCAGCATTGTTCTTGCTTTTGAAATCGTCCACCATCTCGGCCATTGTCATCCATTCGACCCCCTCGTGTTTATTGGGTAAGACGCCAATAAGAAGAGATTTTCTTACCACGGGAGATGTCAGTAGTGGAATCCTCGCCTTTGTACCAACCCAACCATCCTGCGACAGCGTCAATGTCCACCCCATATGAAACGAGGACTATGTTCTTGGGTTTGGTCATATCAGGCGACATGGCTGTGGTTGTCTTGTATGGCAACTTGCAACTCGATATAAAATATACGTAGCGAGTAGCAGCTGCAACTAAGGCGACGTCGCCTACAGAGCTCTAGAAATCACTACTACACACTCTCTCTTGCGCGCTCTCTCTTGGGCGCTCTCTCTAGGACACTCTCTCCAGGGTACTGGTTGAGTAAATATAGTAGCGTACCTATGCATATGAGAAGGGGGCTACGTTGTTGGATGAGAAGATTGAAGTGCGAAAGGGTGGTATAGTAAACTTGGGCTTCACTGACGGATTTGATCTACGAATTAGAATCCATTGCGCCGCCAACCATATCCACACGGGGGCGCCTTGGGCGGATTGCTTGTCGACTGCATTTATCGGGGTAGTTTTATTGATGGTCATCATCACCACCCCGCCGGAGATGGGCGGTTCAATTGGAAGGTTTAAGGATGCTATACTTCGCTGCCTTCACCTATGGTAGGAGGATCTTGATATTCAACTTTTGATTCCACAACATTAGATTCTGTGCACCGGATCCGTTGAATATAAATATCGGCTGGATCTATCATCTCGCTCAGTTTGAGACTCGGCCATCAACGTCGGGAGCAATATCACATAGTATAGAAAAGACGCATGCTTGGGTTGTTCTCTTGTTCATATCATGCCATCATCCTCCAAACCCCAAGAATCCTTCAGTGTTGTGGAATCATCTATTTCAACGCTTTGTCGAGCTCTTGAGACCGGCCGAGTAACGTCGGTGGATCTTGTCACCCAATATCTGCACCGAATCAGTCGGTATGATTGCCGGGGACCGTCACTGAACTCGATTCCCATCCTCAACCCCCATGTCTACCACGAAGCGCTGGCGTCAGACAAGCGGCGCGCCGAAGGTCGACTCCTGGGCCCGCTGGATGGCATCCCTATGACGGTCAAAGACAGCTATATGGTTCGAGGCATGACGCTGGCCAGTGGGTCGCCAGCTTTCCAGGACCTGATGGCCACACAAGACGCCTTTGTCGTAGAGAAATTGCGACATCAAGGAGCTGTGCTGCTAGGCAAGACCAATATGCCTGCCGTTGCTTATGGTGGTATGCAGCGAGGCGTGTACGGACGCGCCGAGAACCCATACAATTTGGACTACCTGGCAGCAGCCTTTGCCTCTGGGTCGTCCAACGGAAGTGGTGCATCGACCGCAGCGTCTCTGGCAGCATTCGGGATGGGTTCTGAGACGGTATCCTCAGGTCGGTCGCCCGCGTCCAACTGTGGTCTCGTGGCATATACTCCGTCGCGAGGTATGATCTCGGTTCGAGGCGTCCTACCGCTCTATCCGACATGTGATGTCCTGGTGCCTCATACAAGATCCATGGCGGATTTGTTCCAAGTCTTGGACGTCATTACCCAAGACGACCCAGTCACAACAGGCGACTTCTGGCGAGATCAGGGATTCGTGAAACTGCCCAAGCGCGATGAATATAAACCACATTCATTTACGGCATTGATGGGAAAGTACTCTTTGAAAGGGCTACGTATTGCAGTGCCCTCTTGCTACATTGGTGGCGAGCAGAGAGTCGGACGTCTGGGTCCTATTCACACGGCAACGGAGACCATCAAGTTGTGGGACCAGGCCAAAGCCGATCTCGAAGACCAAGGTGCACAAGTGATTGTTGTGCCCGGGTTTCCCGTGGTGGAACAGTATGAGAATCCTACTGCATCGACAGTGATTAATGGCATACAAGTGCCCCGCCTCCCAGATGACTGGAACTACATTGAACGAGGCGTCACCATTGCTCGAGGGTGGGAAGAATTTCTCCAGGTCAACAACGACCCCAAGATAAAATCCTTGCGAGACGTCGATCCATATCGCATCTTTCCCCTGCCACCGCCAGATCATCCACAAATCAAGTATGCTGAGCCGACCAACATGATACGGTGGGGGGACCTGACTAGTTACTTGGGCCATACGGCTGTTGATCGCCCAGAAGATGAGACCACCTCGATGTACTCCATATCGTCTCTGGCATCGGCCTGTCGGACGTTGGAGGATTTGCGGAAAGTAGTGTTTGAAGATTGGCTAGCAGAGAACCGGTTCGATCTGGTGGTGTTTCCTGCCGCGGGGGACGTAGGGCGCGCAGATGCCGACGTCGTCGACGCTTCGGCCAAGCATGCGTGGGAGAACGGAGTCAAATACTCGAACGGAAATCGTGCTCTCCGACATCTTGGGGTCCCCTGTGTGACGGTGCCAATGGGCTTGTTGGAAGGGAAGGGAGTTCCTATGGGTTTGACGTTCTGCGGCCCGGCATACCAGGACGAGAAGTTGCTGGGATGGGCAGAAGCTTTTGAACGGGCTACCAGACGACGAGTAGCCCCCGGCTTGACTCCCGAGCTGAGTATTGGTGTTCTACCGAGCTCCTTGGTCGTCGATCCGGATCTACCTGTACCCAACCTGACTCTGTCAAGTTGTGAGGTGGTGGACCGATCAGTTCAGACTAACAAGTTGACGATCCAGGTCAAAGGGACGATTGCTGTGTGCTCCATGTCGCTTCAACCAAAAGTACAGATATTTGTTGACACACGGGAGATTCCAGCCACGGATGTTACACTCATCTCTGAAAGCTCATCGACAGAGACGGCTATGTTTGAATTTTCCAGCACCTTTACGACGCCTCAGCCGCCCGAGCAGGATGATCGGAACAAAACTGAGGCTCGAGTCGCCAGAGATCATGTGATGCTCGTCATTCTAGCGCGGGTTTCGAGTGGAGAGGACAAAGGTTCAAAGATCTCGAGACCAACGGGCTTATTCAAACTCTTGGATTGAACTGGTTGTGAGAGAGCAACCAGCTGAAGCCAGAGATTGGCCTCCTTGGAAGCACTTACATACGTACTTACACATATGTGCAGTAGTACATCTGGACTGGCTATTGATTAGGCAGCTGTGGGAAATACACGGCAATGCCTTTGCATTCTCGGGCCAGGAAGAAGGTGGATAGCGTACTGTGATAAAAGAGGGTACAGCCGTGTTGGGTGCATAGGTAATCCTGCAATATGCCCATAAAACTGGTCAAAATCCGATCTTCTGTATGGAGGGAGGGTAAATGTACGCGTACAAAAATGGAACCTGAGTTGGCAGTAAGCCGTACCCACAAGACCCGTCTGCGCCATACGGAGTAGTAACAATTCCTAGACGATGAATGTCATGAAACAGTGGGGGCCCTGGCCCTCGGCGAGCCGTGGCGAGAGACCCAAACACAGCGGCTTCTCATGATTCATCCATCAAGAGTGGCACAAGTGGGTTCGGGTTTCTGAGGAAGCACCTGAAGTTCCACGGTGGGCCAGGGTAGGCCGAGGGGGCCCTCGGGCTCATGGTGGACTGGAGTCGGGATGGGCTATGCAAACATGGATTGGCAGCATTGGCTGGCTTACTCACGACATGGATATATGGGTATGGCCGTTGACCTTTTCGATGATTCCCAATCCCTCACATTGCCACTCTCCTCAGACTTGTGGCTGTTGTATTTCCAATACTCACGTTTCTATATGATTATCGCCCCTTGCACTACATCTGATCCTCACCATTCGTTCCTAGCCTGATAATGACGGCCCCCAGCACCATCTATGGGAATGGATCCACGCTCAAAGGACAGAGTCCACATGACAAGGGCAACAACAGCAGCACTGCTACCAAGGGCTCGCTACAATCCAGTGTCCGATCGATCGGACCACCGACACTTCCTGTCGTCAACGTAGGCCAGACGTTGACGGAGAGTCTGAGTGATGCATTTGGACGGAAACTCGGCGGAGTCGAAATTGAAGAGAAACAAGACAGAGTGACCAAGAAATAGATCATCACGGCCCGGTGGTGGAGGCGACTGACACGGTGGGCTGGGCGAGAGAGATACAGGACGTCATAAGTGGTGATTTTGACTTGACGAGGGACTTGATGGAACGGCAAACGATGCGTCAAGTTTGACAAGGATTGCCGCCGACTCGAGATACGACGGCTTAAATCCAGTCTCCCTATAGAAGCGAATCTCGAGTCCTATTATCGGAAAGGTGAGCAACATGATACATGGCAATTCAACAGCTGTTGTGGAGACAGGTCCACAGACCTAATCGATTGTGATCCGTGACCAACACAGAAATTCGTCTTCTATTCTTCATAAACATCGCTCTATCGACAGAGTGTCGCACTTCCACAAGTCAGACATCAGCCGTCCCAATGTGCCTCGTGCATCTGACTTGGCCCTTACACCGCAGCTATGCAATAGAATATGGAACCCAACCACCCATTGATACATCAAGAAAACTCATCGACCGTCACGACAGGTTCTATACAAACAAAGGAAAATGGCCGACGGAGATGTCGAGGTTCAAGCCGTGAAAAAGTGTTTGGATCAGATGGCTCGCTTCGGAATTATGCTCGAGCAACGGCGTCCATTGTCTTGTTTAGGTCGTTGATTTCGTTGATGAGGCTTTTCCTAAAGGAACGAGCATCTGGGGAGTCGACGTCGATGGCATCGGCCTTTAGTGTGATGTGTTGCATAATGCTCTCGGTCAACTTCCGATGCTCCTTGGCGCGGGACTGGGGATCCGAGGGGGGATTGGCAATATATTGCTCGCAAAGTGGGAGCCATGTGCCGCGCAAGGTATTGGAGAGAGTTTGTAATTTGCCTAAAGGGGTGGTTGGGTCAGAGATGGAAATAGGAGTAAAAGTCGAGGCAGCGGGAACGGTGATTGGATGATCTCTCCGTTGACTTGAGCGGGAGGGTTCGCGTCGTTGATACTGGCGAGGGTCTGCATCTGGGTACAGGGTGCCGCGAGATTGACGCTCGAAAGGGGTGCCTGCTGAAACATGGCCGTTGGGGTGTAAATGTGTAGCTGAGGTCCGAGGAGGCTGTTGAGTACGGGGAGTGCTGTCGTCGCTTCGGTGCCGGACCGAGGACAAGGCGCGGGGCCGTCGGCGAGGATTCTGGTTCTGGGTGGCTTCGGTGTCGGAGCCGCTGGAGGAGGCACTTTCACGGTCGCTGTAATAAAGGGGCCCTTCTGTTTTGATGGCGGCAACTTCACTATTTTGTTTGATATGGTACCTCTTCAGGGGCCAGGAATCGTGTTTGAGATCACGAGATTTATAGACGAGTCTGATTCTCTGAGGGTCTGTTTGTAAGAGTGCGGCAGTTTGTTCGCGTAGCTCGCCAACAAAAGCGCCCTCCTCGCTAATGGAATATGGAGCAAAGTGGACTGGGAAGATGGAAGCCATGTAGCGGACAAGGACTCGGTCGGGTTCTTCGGGGGGCTCGGGGTTGTGATGAAGACGAGAGAGGGAGGGTCTATGGGTATCTCGATCTTGGAGGATATCATGATCGGCATCAATGTACTCGAAATGGCTGGATAGACTGCGAGGGTATTGGTTTATGATGCTGCTGCTGTATGGAGAACCAGCGCCGCGGGCGCCATGGGCGACATAACCGTAGGTGCTCATGAGAGCGCGAGACAGGAAGAAGAGGAGAGAAAGAAGGAGGGCGGCAACAGTGGTGTAGGAGGCGGTCGAGTAGGTGGTGAGGGCTGAGGCGACCGAGTCGTGAATTTGTGGTGGTAGATGAGGGAGGATTTGGGCGACGAGGCTGTCAAGGGTGTTTTGGAGCGAGGATGTCCACGTCTGAACAAGGCTTGAGGAAGCCACGGTGAAGGATGATCGAGGGTGGTTGAGGATGATGGATGGAGGGGTGGAGGGGTGGGAGGTTGAAGGGTTGGGATGGTGGAGGGGGTTGAGCAATTTTGATGTGTTCAAGAAGAGTCTGGAACTCGCAGGGCTGAAGTCGATAAGGAATTGAAAAGCAGAAGGCGGGAGACCGAAAGGACGAAAGGCAAACAGGGACGGGACGATGCAGCAGGGTGGAGAGGATGGAGTAAACGGTGATGGTGACGACGAGAAGGGCGGTGGTACTGTGATGCTGGTGGTACTGATGTTGAGAACTTGAGATTGGTTGGTGGCTGCGACTCTGAGGGTGTAACTGATGAACTTGGGCTTTGTGGCAGTGAGTGAAAAGTAGTGATCTCGAGTTACCTCCGAGTATGTTTAGGCGAGTGTGGCGAAACAAGACTCGGCTGATGTAAATAGGGTGCGGAAGACCCGAGACACCCACAGCACCACTGGACTAAAAGTACTGGACTAAAAGTACTGAATGTGGATGTCTGTGAGTAACAAGTACTCCATACCTAGGTATGGATATGTGCGGATGTGTAGGTCAAAAAACGACTCGACTGTTGAACAGGCACATAGGATAATAGGCCAAGGCTACGGTGGTCAATCACTACTCCGTAACGTTTTTTTGGAGTACAGGGAACAAGAGTCAGTCGTCATCATAAAAAGAGTATAATAAGAATAGGCCTCATGACGCAGCCATGAGTGACTTGAGCCTCTGTGGCTCCTTACCTTAGTTATTATTATCATCATTTATTGCCACAGGTGGGTATTGGAAGTCGTTCTGGCGTGAAATCTCTCCTTAGGCGGTTCGGGCGTGACCATGACCAAAGGTCTGTACTCCGTAGGTGAATTAGGTAGGTCTGGTCATCAGTGCAGGTCCCCGGACAAAAGACTGCCGATGCGACTGAGAATCTTGACTTCAGCTGTGACTATAACGGAGGATAATTTGGCCTGAATCTTGAACAGAGTGAAATACCGCTACAAAGTCGCTCATCACCTAGTACCTACCTAGGTATCCTTGAAAATCATGTTCCCACATACTATTGTATTTGGGTCCTTACCAGATTGCCAGACACGCTCACTCATGTTGGTCAGCGCCCCGGACGATGATTCCACCGGCCCTTAACCCTGCCTTCTCGATCTTGAGGTGTAGTTGGTGCGTACTTACTGCATTAGAAATGCATCTTCAGTTCGTAAGTGAGGTACCTTAGGCACTGTGGGAAGGCGGCAGGCACGCGTGGCACACAGTGATTTCACTACTTACTAGAGTGCAATCAGGCAAGATCGGAGGGGCTCTGTTATTATGGAATTGCGTCTGTTGCTGGCTGCTGCTGTTATAACCCTACGTGCCCTACCACAGGTACTTTACATTTGGTCATCAAGGTTGGGCAGCGACAATAGTCATCAGCTCTGCAAATCGATTTATTGTTGTTCATATCACTCTGTCTAACAAGACCAGGGTTACAATTCCCAACGAATCTGATTCCCGTCAATCTGAGGCAACTACATACTGCAACCCTCACTTTGGCGCATAATGCATTCATTCAGCAAGGCATCCAAGATGATGATTGCCTGTTCTTTCTCATGCCACGCCACCGGTCACAGACTTGCTGTGTTAGCATTACAGGCTACGCAGACCCATCAGAATCTTTGCCGAAATACGAAACCCCAGATTCCTCCTTCTACCTTTCTCCTACCGCCTACGGAGTAGAATGCATCTTCCCGTCCATCCAACTTGCTTGGCTTGTCACCTTGTGCAACTTCCATGCCTAAATCCTCCATTCTCGACCTGACACCTGGTCTTTTACAGGTGACACAGTACTAGTAATGCACTCCTTGACACTCCCTTAGACTACCCTACGAAATACTGATCACCGTGGTATTACTTCTACTGCCATTTGACATTCTTATTCATCAACTCCTTGCCCTTTTCATCCCCTACCCCGTTCAGAATTGCCCTTCCAGACCTGCCCCGCATCTTGCTCTTTCCAATCCTAGCAAGCCAACCATCACATCCTCGTTTCCACGCGGCCAACGGCCACCAGTACCACCAGTGCCACCTCAAGCCATCGACAATCATGCCCGCTTTGGTGCCTCAAGCATCTCTCTCCATGACTATCGCACTCGGTCGCCCTTGTCCGTCCTGACCTCTACCACATGCTTATAACCCATCTCGAGGCTGAAACTCGCCGAGATCCACTTGACCGATCAAAACTCAAAGTCCATGCATCATCAGGACATTTCCTGTCTGCTGACCTTCCGCATTTGGGCACCAGCTCGAGGACAGGGCACCACCTAACGTACCACGCGTACCCAGGCACTTAGGAAAGGCACCCAGGCGACCTGCAGTCATGTTGGCCATTTGTCTTTCCCCGGTTGTCATCCTCGTCTGTCGATCCTCTGTCACATGGGATAACACAGCCGTGGGCTGGCCATCCCACGCCTTCCCCACGTTGGGTCAAGGAATCCCTCAAGTTGGTGCCCGCGTACCTGAGGACAGACTTTGGCATGGCAAGGCCTCTCGGCTCCTCGTGGGATGTTTGCATCTGCAGTGGTCCGATAGAAGCTGGGGAATACGTGCTCGAAACAACTCTTCGATTCACCACCACCTCACCTCCCTCTCCCACATGGCCATACAAGAGATCTTGTTTTCCCAAAAGACCTCAAAGCCTCGACCACGGACGCGGGTGTTGGTCCAGTCCCTCCAGATCTCCATCCAGGGCGACGACGTCCCATCAGCTGACCAAGACCAAAAAGACCAAACCCTTCGTCGCCAAGCCTCAGTCACCTCCTAGTACTGCATGCCCCAACACATTACGCAGAGGCACCGAGCCCTGGAAAACTTGTCCAAGTGACCTCGCGCATACTTCGGATGCAGTATCCTTCGCCTGCATCATTCCAGCGACCCCATGGTGTCTCCAAAGCACAAATGAGCTTTCCACTCTTCCTGACGATGTTCCAGATCCATTCCACTGCCGCTCCTCACCTCTGCTGTCCACTGCCCAACCTGATGCCGTTCGCCTTTGCTAGCTGGTGGTAGTTGACCCGATGCGTGTTGGCCGCCTTTGACCTTTCCTCCAGCTGCGTCTCTTTCATTCACAGCTTCTCTTCCAGCCTAGTACACACAACTCGGCCCCTCAGGCACTTCCGTCCCCTGCTCTGATATCACCGCTCTTTGTCGCCAGATCAGAACTCTTCCTGTTGGTCTGGCAAGACTTAAAAGAGGCCCAAGCCCGTGCCCGTCCTTCATGTCTTTTCTTCTCTCCAGATTACCTAGTCCCGATCACACCACTGCATTTCCATTCGAACAAATCTTTACCTTCATTTCCGTCCACTCTCTACCTGAGCTCGACCCGGCACCACGGACTCTCTCTGACCCTTGCCTTGCCGCCTTCCTGACCACACTCCATGGCGGTCCATACCATCAATGCGGACGTGCATTACGCATCTCTGACTGGCCTTTCCATATCACTCGGCCTTTCCGCCGTCGCCCTCGTCCTCGGACTCTCGTCCCTCCTTTTTCTTGGTTTGATATGGTGTGTTCAGGATTATCGTGCCTTCAAAGCACTGGGGCCAGGTGGGCCGCCATATAACATCCGTGGATGGATGACGGTTGCGTTTCTCGTGAAACCATTCACACTGAGCGCACGTGATACCACTTGGACTGGCGATTATCCAACCTCCGGTGCCCACAAGAGCCTCTTGGCCCTACCGCTGAGAAAAGGTGGACGTCCTGATGTGCGAGGCATAGCTCCTCAACGACAATTTAGTCAACGTCCTCTGCCAGAAATGAATCAAGTAAGCTTGGATACAGTTGCTGACCCTATTGCTGATGCGACTGCTGCAGCGTATCATTGGACTTCTGACCGCCTCCGTCATGAACAATCCCAATTTCTTGCAGCAAAGAGTCTCCTCACTCGAAAAGCATCATTCAGCGCTCTTTGTCCACCCATCGCTCCTGCACCAAAAACGTAACCTCCCCCAAACGGCCACGGCGACGAAAGGAGAGATTGGCCACATCCACGGAGATAGTTCTCTTCATCTATACCTTTCACCGGCGGACGCCCGGGTGGTCATTGAGAAAGGATGGGCTCAGCGACATCGGTTGGCAAGGACTCAGCCTTGGTGGTATCCAGGCCGGAAAAGGTTTGTCTGCGGCATTGGGGACACCTTCTTGATGATCTACGCTCCGAGGGACGACATGGAACTGAGGGTCCTGGATATCTTGATCCGAGCAAGTGCAAGATTCATGACTGGCCAGGAAGACATTATATGACGGCGTAGCCACGGTATGAGACGGGCGCTGTCCAGGGATGGAACATATGCTGGATCTAAGGTTGCCATTGTTGTACTTGGCACCTTCCCCAGCGAAGACACGGTGGATTAGAAGCCGAGGATCGGTGAAGAAGAAGAAGCGACGCAAAAAGTACCTGACCTATCGTGCCTCTCCATGTCGTACTATAATATAAAGTTAGCAGATGGCGATCCGCATTTCGGTCTTGTTCTCCATAAAGTGAAAGATGTGACATTTCGGCAATCTTGCCTTTTCGACCGGATAAATGCGGATATCCGGGGATTTCCCCCCGGACTCCGGACTGCGGCGCTTCTACGGCGGATTGTTTAGCTTCTGGCACTTGCCTGCTGGTGACGCTTTGATATACGCCTTTTGTCATTCGCACTTGCATGATCGTCTCTCAAGACATCAATTCATCCCACCAAAACTCCTCCGTCTCTCCTAATCCCACCAGCAACGAGATTCCTGAACCTTCTGGTCTTCTGCTGTGCCGCTGCCATGGCCACAGTCATCTCAAGGCACCGTTGCCTTAACGGCCAACCCTGGCATTCTCCTTTCAAAGTCTTCATTCCTACGGTCTCTCAAACACCATCAGCAGCACGCTCATTTGCCACCACCAACGATGACCTCCCCATCATTCGGCCAAACAGCAAGCCAACTTCCTTCGCCGACAAGCTCAATGCTGGACCTGCTTTTTCAGATTTCGTCTCAGGTCGAGAGCCTCCCCTCAAGCCTTCTGAAGCGTATGAGCTCAAGACCGCCATGGTTGGACCAAAAGGCAAACAGAAAAAAATCACCCGCCTGCCCTCCTGGCTGAAGACCCCAATTCCAGACACTGCCTCATTTAAAAAGATCAAGAACGACCTCCGTGGTCTGAATCTACACACCGTCTGTGAAGAAGCCCGGTGTCCCAACATTTTCGACTGTTGGGGTGGCAGCAGCAAATCCGCCGCCACTGCAACCATCATGCTGATGGGTGACACTTGTACAAGAGGGTGTCGTTTCTGCAGCGTCAAGACGTCCAAGGCTCCTCCCCCTCTCGATCCTCACGAACCCGAACATACCGCCGAAGCGCTTTCCCGCTGGGGTCTGGGATACGTTGTTCTTACAAGCGTGGATCGAGATGACCTGGCCGATGGTGGCGCCCATCATTTTGCCGAGACTGTTCGTAAGATCAAGACAAAGGCTCCTACAATTCTCGTCGAGTGCTTGACGGGCGATTATGCTGGCGATTTGGAAATGGTAAGCCTGGTGGCCACTTCCGGTCTCGACGTCTACGCCCACAACGTCGAAACGGTTGAGGCTCTGACACCCCAAGTACGAGATCGCCGAGCCACCTTTCGTCAATCGCTCGCCGTGCTCAAGGCAGCCAAAGCTGCCAAGCCTGGACTTATCACCAAGACTTCGATCATGCTAGGCCTCGGCGAGACCGAATCTCAGGTCTGGGATGCTTTGAAAGAACTCCGAAATATCGATGTCGATGTCGTCACCTTCGGCCAATACATGCGACCCACCAAGCGCCATATGCAGGTCCACGAGTATGTCACGCCAGATGTATTTGAGCTGTGGAGACAGCGCGCTCTCGATCTCGGCTTCTTATACGTTGCCAGTGGTCCTCTTGTGCGTAGCAGCTACAAAGCCGGCGAGGCTTTCATTGAAAATGTTCTCAAGAAACGACGGGCAGGACGGATTGAGACTGCAACCGCCACCATCGCCGACGAGATCAAGGTTGATCCAACAATCGTTTAAGTGGAACTTCCTCCTGCTTCGTGCTCTGTGCAAACTTGGATCATTCTCTAAACCTGGAGCCGAATCTATGAGAATGGGTCACCTGTATATAAGCCAATGTATGCACCTCTCTGTGCAGTCTAGAAATTGGGCCGAGTACGACTTGCGATCACATGGAGTTGATCACGCAAGCTTCTTCCTCTGTGTACAGATATAACTCTCTCCGTCCATCCTGAATTGCTTTACAAACGTTGACGCAAATGGTTTCTCCGGACAATCATGTGCGAAAAGGATTAGAGGGCACGGAGGGAGCAGGTCCAGCTGCGTTCACATGAGACTACCCTCCAGACAGTATTCTGAAGAAACAACAAGCCGGACAATAACTGATGTCTCATTGCACTTTCATAACCTGAGGGTTTCCAAATGTCCACGTTGGCGTAATCAGTACCCTACTGATCCTCCAAAACTCGCCATCTCGCACAATATCACACTCGTACTGGTTGCCATTGAAGAAGAACTCTTGGTATTCAGGGCTTGGTCCTTCACCTCCTCGGAAATGCTGGGCAAGAATGCAGCTCGTCAAGCTGGCACTATCACCATTCACCGTACATCGAATGTTGGTGGCACAGTGGGTGGTGTCCAACGGTCTTCCGACGTGTGCCATGAGAATGTCGACAATATCATCTCGACCGCGAACCACTCGAGGCGTCATGCCGGCTTTGGCAAAGGGCGAAAGATCCATTATTGCATATTCCGACAAAGACGACGCCGAAAGCTCTGAGTCGCCGTTATCTAGCGCGCAGACGAACCGCATCACTGCATCGATGGCAGCTTCTCGGTCGGTCAGACCTCCAAAGTTGGGCATTTGTCTTGCTTGTGTGGCTTGGGGCAGTGAAAGTGGTTTCAGATGAATGAACAGGCTAGACCTCCTCGACTCCAAAGGCAGTAAAGTGAAGATAAAAAAACGGTGGCTCTTGTTCAGCTTTGAGGACAGAGTAGGATTCTAGACATGACAGACCTTGATCGCGAGCCTATAAAGGCCTACTTAGAATATGAAGTTGTTCGGTCACCGGACCCCTGTCCCCCCCTTCAAGCCAAATCAATCAGTTGCTCGAAACAAATTATTAACGACCCCACTCTGCTCAATCCCCAGGATCGAAAATCTTCTTGAGACGGAGATACCGGAGTACGTCACCGAAGGCCACGCCTCTCTGTCGGCGACCAGCATCGGAAAAATGGCATTGTCTGTAAGGCTCTTCGCTGTGTTGGGGAGGCTTAAGCACAACTGGCTTCTCGTTGCGACAACTGAAAGTATTGAATCGCATTACCTTTCAGCATGCCCCGGCCTATGTACTCTAACATAGCACCTTGTTTGCCAGTGACCGAGTCAACACGACAAGCGTTGATGACGCTTCTGTGTGTGACCTCGTGCTCGCTAGATAGGAAAGGCCATGGTGTGAGGTCGCTCATGATCCGTGATCACGACATAGTAGACAGATTGTCGTTCAGATGGCAGAATCTTTCACCTCTAGGCCCACTCTTTGACCCTGTACAATGGACAATACCACTTTTGCTGTCACTTTGAGAGCAGAGGGTATCCTAAAGCTTTGCGTTGACTTTCCCCTCTAGTTCCAAAGCATCCCTCTTTGCCCACTCCCTGAGCACCTTTCTCACAATCTTGCCACTGGCAAGTTTAGGTACTTGGTCAACGAATATGACACCTCCTGAAAGACGCTTGTGCCTTGCCACTCGATGGGCGACAAAGTGCTGGATGTCATGGGCAGTGAGACTTGTCTTGGAAAATTCCTGTAAAACCACGTAGGCGCGTGGGAATTCATCATTACCAACGGTGATGCCAACAACTGCTGCGTCAGCTATCCCTGGGTTCTCGAGTAAGACAGCTTCCAGCTCCGCCGGTGCGACTTGAAGACCCTGAACGGTAAGTCTCGTGAGAATGCATTGATTAGGATTCAACTCACATTGACTTTGATCAACTCTTTCTTTCGGTCCACAATCCACCACTTCCCCTTCCTCGTGATCGCTACATCTCCAGTTTTTATCCATCCATCCGAGGACCTGGTTTTTTGGGTAGCTTCGTCATTATTCCAGTACTTCAGCATCATTTGTGGACCTCGAAGGCATAACTCTCCAGGGCAGTTTTCGGCGAGGATCTCTTCTCCATCTTCGCCGATGAGCCGAGCTTCAGTGTTGGGGAGAAGATTTCCGATGCTCCCATGAGTATCCTTCGCCATCCCCGGGGTCATGAACGCACCGCAGGTAGTCTCCGACATTCCAAAAGCCTGGCTGACAACAAGATTGAATTTGTTGCTGATTTCGTTCTGCAAATCGCTCGATAAAGGGGCAGCGCCGCAAAGGATGTATCTCAGACTACTGACATCATACTTTGATGTTTCTTCCCTTTTGGCCATCATGACCAAAATAGGTGGAACAGCTTGTAAGGAAGTGATCTTGAATTGTTCAATGCTGGCCAAGAAACTTTCCAGTGTAAATTTGGACATGATATAAACCGGGACTTGAAGTTTGCAGGCGATGTTGATGGTGAATAGTTGGGAATACGCATGGTACAGTGGCAAGAACGCCAGCCATCTCTCAGGGCTGGCCGTTGAGGGTGAAGTATCGATGGCATGGTACTGAGCGAAGATGGCCTGAGCGGAATTGGCAACGAGGTTGTGATGCGTGATAGCAACACCTTTTGGCAGGCCGGTCGTCCCACTTGAGAAGTTGATCACGGCGATCGTTTCCATGGCTAGGTCGCCGTCGAGATTGTGCCACTTCCAAGTTGCAGCTTCTTCGGCGCCAGCAAGTATCGACCGCCAATCTTGAAGTCCATATGTCACCGAGGGCGAAGTCTCAGAGTCCGAGAAAATGAACAGGCGGCTGTTGGAAATGCCGGCCTGCTTTGCTGCAGCTATTCCCGTCTCTAGCAGCGTAGCATGAATCAAAACCACAGATGCATTAATGTCCTTCATTTGGTACGCTACCTCGGTAGCCGTGTACGCGGGGTTGGCCCCTGTAAAGTATCTTCTTGACCCTGCTGCAGCGAGATAGGCTACTGGAACAAAGATGTGATTAGGAGTGAAAACCATGATAGCCTCTTTTTCCTTGATGCCGAGCTTGTCGAGGCCTAGTGCGAATCTCTGAATCAGTAATAGCATTTGAGCTGGTGACAAGCTATTCGATGTGTCTTTTGCGTCGATCCATAGAGCATCCTTCGATACCTTTGAACCCGGTGGAAAGAGATAGGTGAGAATATTGCACTGTGGCACATCTAGCATTGGCCAGGGTGATGAATACATTCTGGACGCCCAGTGGATGTGTCGAGTTCTTTGTGGCTGTGGAAGGTCTGTGACCGATGCTCAAGTCGATTAGTCTTCCTGACAGCCTTGCGTTCGTTATAGAACCACCCGTTTGGAAATTCAGATTTTGTTATGTTCTTGCGGATAGGGCAGTGGCCACAAGATGCTGGCAAGTGCGCGTTCATATCCTGGGGAAGCCTACCTAGACTAATGCGAGCAGCAACTTTGGCGCTGCTCTGATTGACTATTCCAGTACTTCATCGCTGCTTTCCCGGTCGCAATCTCCGAAAAGACCTTGAAGTCCGTCGTGCTCGGGCATTGAGAGTCAAACAGATGACCCCGGTAGTGGGGACCGACGTATTCGATCATTTGGTGGATACAAAGCGAACAGTAGATGAAACCGAGCTATCTTGTTACGATTGAACCGCGCACTTACATACAATGCTAAAAATCGGCCTTAGACTACTTTAACAGTCATTATACCAGTATCATCAATCACCAATTGTGCCCACTATATGGTCTCCTACCAATATACTTGTTACTCCTATAGTATGTGGACTAGTCCATTCTTGATCTAAAGCTGCGCCTTGAACCATTTGGTTGTCGCCGCGATTGACTCCCTTTTTGAGGTAGTGTACGGGGAGAAGTGATTACCCTGTACCTTGACGAGCGTTTTCGGCTCCTGTGCCAGGTCGAATGCCTCATGCTGGCCGGGTAGGAAATCCTCCTCTGCAAGGATAAACAGGAGTGGCGTTGGCGTAATCAGGCCAACCAGGGGTCGCACATCCATCAATGCATTTGGTTGATATGTCTGTAGGGTGAGGAGGCCGCTGTAGTTGCGGAGTTCTTTCTCGCTCATAGATGCAATGTACTTCGCCTTGACATCGTCCCCCACGGCTTTGACGAAGGGAATATAACGGGCATCTTCGCCCAATGCTCGTTTCATACGATCTTCTGAAAGCTCACGCTGGAAACGGTCAAGGTCATCTCCGTACCCCGCCATTCGCGAACCAGTAAGTGTCGTCCACTGAATGAGTGGGGTCTGAGATACTACAGCTTTGATGCGCCTGTCATAGCTGGCAATTGCAAGGACATCTCGTCCTCCTAGGCTCGTGCCCCATACGCCGATCCGGTTCGAGTCAATCTGATCGAGAGACTCTGCGAAGCTAATGGCATTCTGCCAGTCTTCAAGTCGTCCAAAGTGGGATACCTCGTTTCGCGGCTGGCCCTCACTGTCTCCGAAGTTGCGATAATCAAACCACAGAGCAGCAATTCCGATTTCGTTGAGCGCCAGACCTATATCAGGCAATGTCCACTCTTTCAGTGCGCCGAGGCCATGTCCAAGGATTACAATTGGGTGAGGCTCGCTCCCTTGTGGCAAGGATAGCACTCCTCGAATAACAAGCCCATCCGACAGAAACTGTATCGCACGCTCCTTTTGAGGTTGGCCTTCAGTTGCAACCATTGTGAGTACCGCTTTCAGATGGGCTTTAAATGGTAAATTTAAATCTTGAGGCCTGATGAATTTCCAGACTGAAATTGGAACTCGTGCTCATATACATACTAACTTGAGGGGTGGTACACTTGTCACAAGGGAGCGAACCCGGGTTAGTGTGAGGTGTGAGATACAACACTTCCACCGTCACCACTCCGGCTTCTCCGTGTGAGGCTAGGGAAGAGTTCCCTAGGCTCCACACACACAATCACACAGCTTTCCTGCCTTTCCTTCATTGCTGGAAGGACTTTTCAATGGGACTGAACTTGCGATATATTGTTCTCTTCAAAGACAAGAAGATCATTCAGGAACGAGTATTGCTGGCAGTGACTCTTGATGTCAAGTTGGTGAAAGCAATCAGATCAACAATAAGCTTCAGTATCTCACCAACGATAAACGAATACTGTCTCGATGTATTATCGGTATCTAACAGATGGTATCCTATGTTTGGCTCATTCTCTCATTTTTCTACTGAAACGAATGGGAAATCACACTATTCCCAGAACTTGATAACGTGGTTTACTAGACCGCCATTCTAACCTTCAGAAGGTCTCGCTGCACAATCTCATCCTTCTTGTTTACAAACTCCTCCATGTCCCACCTAGAATCAACATATCGAGAAGCGAGCCATTCTCTTCTCTCCTTGGTGAGAAAAACGAGGGTGTCAGCCACCATCTCTGGTGTGTCGGTCAGGCGGTCTTGAAACGCAAACCCACCCGTCATATCTGTCTTGACTCCACCCGGTGCCACAGCGTATGCCAGAAGTCCCTGTGATCCATATTCCTCCATCAAGTAATGGTTGATCCTCAAGATAGTATACTTAGTTGTCTCATATGCTGACCCACCAGGAACCACAACGTGGGCTCCAATACTAGATATCACAATGACAGTCTTGTCCTGGCTTCTGAGAACAAGTGGGAGAAATGCCCTTGTGACCAAATATGGCCCCTTGACATTAATTTCCCAAACGCGCCACCATGTCTCCGGGTTTGATTCTCCTAGCGGTGTGTATACACCTGCAGATGCTGCATTGTTTATGAGAATGTCAAGTCGAGCAAACTGTGTCTCGACCTTGACGACCGCCTCGGCTACTGACTTTTCATTTGTGATGTCAGCCGTCACCAACACGATTTTAGGCTTTGGCTTAGAATTTGATTCTGCAGCTGCGATGATATCCTCCTCCATATGGCTAGGGTCAAGAATGTCAACGATAGCGATTCCAGAGGCACCAGCCTGAGCGTATGAGAGGGCCATTGCCTTCCCAAGGCCTCGGGATCCTCCAGTTATCAAGACATATTTGCCTGCAAGATCGAGCTTGGACGACTTGATGGCTTCGTATGTATCATTTCGTCGTGTTGGAACAAAACCATCTCCTGGATATTCCGATCAATAATTTCTTTCACGTGCTGGAATAACACTTACCTGTGCTTGGGTCCATGTCGAACCTGCCCTGTGGCTCTCAATAAAATGATAATTCTATGAACAATTATCGAAAAGGAAAGAATGAATAATGAAGAATAAATCCCTTTTACCCTCCTATTACATACTCTTCATTTTGAAATAGTGCCACAGAGCAGGATGGTCCCTGGCAGGGCTCAAGGCCGTAACTGGCCGAGGTCACAGCACCCGAGTCCGGTAATTCCGAACAACCAGACCTTCGGCACCAGAGGACGATGTTTAGTCAGAGGTAACGGCCTTCGTGGAGAAGCCAAGTGACGTGGAGTGTGGAGGGAAAGCCTCTTTTCGCTAACACTTCAACAGCATCATCACTGACAACCTCTCCCCACAATTAACAACAGCCGGGGTTGTTAGCATACTCCAGAAGACACAAAGACAGTCTCCCCACCGTCACCAGAACCTTTGGCACATACGGGCTGAACTGTGGAGGCAGCCCGCATGATTCGCCCTTGGCCTTCCGGAGAACGCGGACATGGCCTCCTCACCCCGGAAACCCTTTCACCCCGAGGTGTACGAGTAACAACAACTATCGATTTCAGTCTAAGATTTTATAGTACTCTATTTTAATAAGTAGCCAGATTGAGGTCCCAGAGTGTCGCAAAGGGGTCATTCAGGTTGAAGGGGGTCGAGAATGACGCTGGATCAGGAAATGAAGCTGGATCATCATCTCCTGTTCCGTCTCCAAGGGCGGATTGCTGCGTTGCACGTTAGAAAGCCTTCTCCCAAAATCCTAGGAGCTCACCGTGGACCCGTTCAAGCCTGATGTCGTACTATCCCAGGACATCTCAGGCTCTGGGAAAAGTTGTGTATTGATGGAAGAGTGGAAGCAAGCGTCGTTGCCACGATCTCCTGGCCATATTGGAAGGCTCTCTACTCCTGTCTCGTCGGTACTTGTGATGTGTGGTGCTGGCGATGCGTTCCCCATAAAATGATGACGAGGAGAAGGCCCGTGACATGGCTCTTGGGGCGTTGGATATACAGGGTCAGATATGCCCCCCACCGACTCACTGAAAAGCAATGGCTGTTTTGCTGTAATTGTTACGGTGTTTGAAGTTGGCTCGTGGTGGTCTTGAATCCGAAGCCCGAATCCGGAATGTGAATTCCAAGACGGCGACTTCTTCGAGCTTTGCCGTACGATCACATCTCGAGCCTCGAACTTTTGAACGAGCATTTCCAAGACGTCGGCAGCTTTGAAGGCTTCCATGCTCCAGTCTTGTACCTGTCGAAATATCCTTGCGCACGTTTTCAATGCTTTGACCATTTCCACCTTGGAAGGCGAAGGCTGTGTGGCACTTTGATTTGTCGTACTGCTCAGTGAGGTACCAGAGCACAGGTCAGCACTAAGTATTGTTGCCGCAAGAAGATAGTCGTGGATCGCAAAGGAAGTTTGGTAGTTTGTCATGCTCCGGATGCCACCCTCAATGGGGACATCTTGATTCTGAATATCTTGAAATCGAAGAAGCGCCATGGCTGAACTTAGGCAAGCTCTTCTCGAGTAAGAATACCTCGGGTCTGACTTGCCGATGTCAAGAAATCTGCTGTGAACAACGCAAATTGATTTGTGGTGAATGCTGGCCAGATTGAACCTGGCGGATATAAGCACCAAGGAGTCGCGGCCTTGAAGTTGTCCTAGTTTATAGATTTCAGGAATGCCATGGTAGATACGCCTCAGATCACGGTCAATCTCCAGCAATCTTTGCCATGACATGGTATTCGAGCGATCAATCTCCTTCAGAGCTCGAGCAAAGCCAAAAGCCAGTTTGGACTTTGCTATCAAGAATGAAATCTGGGTAGGTTCCGAATCCGCCAGCGCAACTGGAAGGATGGTGCAATCTTCGTTGAAATTGTCGTCACATATGTTTCGTGGAAGAGAGTCATCATGATCTTGCAATTTAATCATGGAAGGCAAGCCCGCCTGGAAGGACAGCAATATGTCTGCTTGTCGAATGAACGCCCAACACCGCCGGCGCATTTCAACCTACACCTTATTGTCAGATGTGTCATAAATAGGTGTGACAAGTCTTACCTGAAATACCGTCTGGCTTAAATTGGGTTGAGATGGTTGATGGTATCCCATTCTCATAGCAAGGCGCACGATCATGCCGGACAGGACCCACGTACTTGATTTTGCGTCCCTGCTCGAGAGATACTCCGCATATAGATGCAAGATAAGCACCTCGAGCGTAAATTCCTGTGGCCGTAGGTAGTCTGCAAGTATCAGACAACTAGAGGAATGACTGCGAAAGCTGTTCGCAAGATCTTGACATGAACCTCTGTACTCTATTGGCTCGTCATCTTCACGTAAGTAGTCGAGTGCTGCAATACGCATCATCGCGAACAAAAGGGCCAACCACATTCCCGACGCCGAGGCTTTTTCCAACCAGAAGCGCTCGTACTGTAATGGAAATCGGTCAGTATAGAAAGGCCAAAAGATCGATCGCCTTACTTGTTTCATGAAGGTTGCCTTGTGAAGTATATCTGCCATCATTAGTCCCTGGGCCTAAGGCCTCACAAGATGGTGACAGCCGTACATATTGCAGGAGAAAGGCGAGAAAAGTATCTCGCGACGAACTTGTCACAGCTATATCGAGATGGTAACTGTGCCAGGATTTCTGCTCGGCTCATGTTTCTCGCCGACCCGAACAAGAGCGTGGAACCAGGATCATGAGACCGTAGTTTTAGCGACTGCGACATCTCTTCCGATCGTTCATCGTATTTCTTTTGTTGGGATGACAGGTACGAACGAACTTCGGCGACCTGGTTACATTGTCAAACACAGACAAGATATAAAGCACAGTAACATACCTCATTAAGCAGCAGAGCCCAATGAGCCTCTTCTATTGATCGAGATTGCCTGTAGTCGGCTTTGATGTCCAGAAAAGAGCTATGCTTTGCCGGGACTCCAACATGGCGATAAGTGTCCGTCTGTCCGTTTTCAGGAAGCTCTGCTTCAGCTGGATCCAGTAGGGTGTGATTGGATGACTGAATCGATACACAGTCATCTGGCCGAGATGATTGACTGCGTGGAAATGCTTGCGTGTGTTGACGTTCCTTCATTAAGATGTGTACTAGCTGCTCCAATTGGTCGATTCTGCTCTGAGATGCCGCTGGCGTTTCCAGCGGTTCCTGAAGCCTCGGGGACGACTCTGTCTTGCGCAGGGCATAGGAGCAGCTGGCAACCTCCTCTCGGTGAACGCAATTCCCACACGCTGGTACGGCACGGTCACATTTTAACCTGAAAAGATCAGGAAAAGAGAGCAGAGATTGCATTTGGCAGTGACTCACTTTCGTTTCCGGCAAGACAGACACGATATTGGCCTTCTCTTCCTCCCTATATGAAGAGCGCCACGCTGCTTGTACTGCGACTGCTTACTTGTGCCTTCCATTTGTAATTCGTATGAGCTCGACCACTCTTCTTTGGGTGTTCTTGATATTTACGCACACTGCACTGGAGAAGTGGCACCTAGGTCTATCATGATCAAGGGCAGACTGAAGTTTGCACATGAGGCATCGCGGTATTGCAACATGAAAAAGCAGAAAAGTATCCCGACCTTGAGGGGAAACCAGCACATCCCCGGAGAAAGCGGAGATCATCGGGCTTAAGCCAAGTCACGTGGATTTGTCTTTCCATGGGGCCAACGTATAGTTATCCGAGTGAAAACATACTGAGAGGTATTGTCAGAGGGTAATAATATCTTGAGATCTGAATATAGTATTCGTCATTTGACTGTTCCTCATCGATTCTGTTGTGGGTATGTAGCCATAGCCCCGCTAGACCTAATGAATCGCGAATATTATGGCCAGGGAAGTGGCTGAACATCAATAGAGTGCGTTATCGAAAAGCATGGAAAGAATTGCTAATGCGCAGAACTCATCGACGCTATTTCTGGCTGAATATCCTGTCCTATCTCGGGGTTTCGCTTGTGATTACCTCTACTTCGCATCCCCGGATGACTCCTCTACCTGAGGGGGCCTCCGAACCTGCTCTCATCGGCGCTTCTGCTCGCACTGGCTTCTCTGTATTACTCTTCAGTGCATCGAGATATCTTGCTGCTTCTGCTGAATACTTGCACTTTCTCCTCAGCCGCTCACCATACTTCCAAAAAAGTATAGGAAAGGGGAAACATGCCAGCGCAATGAATGCTGGGACTGCAGAGGCCCAGTGAACCCCGAGGTTTTGATACATCTTTGGAGTGAAGAGGGGGAAGATGGCCGCGAGTGTGGCCCGCAAGACGATGTTAGCAGCAACCATACTGGCCGTATATATCACGTACGAGTCGACGCTGCCAAAGACATTTTGTGAGTTCGACTCTGAGTGTATGAGTGACACAACTCACAGATAATTGAAACAAGCTTGGAAAAGCATAATGAAACCAATTCCGAATGGAATCCCGGAGGAGATAGGGATAAGGAAATGGTACTTGGGGTCGGCAGTCCCCGCAAACCATGCCAGGCCTGTGAGAGCAACGGCGCCACCAATTATAGCTGCTGGCAGTCGTTCCTCTGGTGGCACAAACCCCCCTGTAGCACAGTAAAGGCGAATGTAGCGCCTATGATCGAAATACATGAGGCATATGCCAATCAGGATGCCCACTAGAATCCCATAAAATGCAAGGCCACCTTTGCCGGCACTCCAGCCGTACCCTTTCTGATATACGATAGGATATGCGGCAAAATTGAGGTTCAAAAAGGCATATACGACTGCCATGTACAACTAACCCTAGATGTCAGTAGACGATACCACGACTTGGCATACTAGTGACTCACCGAGAGAAGTAATACGATCGGCTCCCTGTATAACAGTGCCCATGGCCTCACCATTGACCGCTGAAGAAGATCTCGAAATGTTTGAGGATGATCAACATCCATCGCTGTCATATATACCTTACCTGTGACTTTGGACATGAGCATCGCTCTTTTTCGAAGCAAAACGGGAGCATATGTTTCTGGCACGAAGCTGAAGCCAAGGATGCACAATATTCCTGCGAACAGTGCGAGAAACCCCATAACCCACCGCCAGCCCGCGGCTAGTCCTAAATACCCTCCTATGCTTGGGCCGCTGTAAATACCTGTCAGCTGTGGTCGAACTTGCGAAACGATCTTGAAAGGGTTGTTTGACAGGGTACCTAGGTCACCTACATCGTTGGGCCTAACCATGGCGCCGCGGCGAAGACTGTCATAGCGAGGCCGCGCTCTTTGGGTCCAAAAATATCTGCCAGTTGACCAGCAGGGATAACAATTGCGGGAGATCCAAAAATACCACAAAACAGGCGAAACACAAGCATAGTTTGGATATTCTGTGCCGCACAACACAGGCCTGCCCACATGGTGTGAATTGCTAGAGTTGACAAGACAACATTTCTTCGTCCAAGACTCTCACTTAGAGGACCGAACAAACAAGGGCCGAGCGCAAATCCCACAAGCATAAGACTCAACCCAGCCAGAAACAGTTCTTGGCTGCAACTGAATTCTTGCATCACCAGCTCAGCAATTCCCGTGTAAGCAGAGGATGCCAGGGTGATACACAAGCACATGAGTCCACAGGTGATTAAGTTGGCGATCTTGAACCATGTGGAGTAGGTCATGGGGTCTTCAGGATCGTTTTCCAGCCAGGTCACTATGTAAGGATCTCTGCGTGTCCCGTTGCCCTGATAAGTCGCCTCAATTATAACGGTAAAATCAGTAATGCGCTGTCGCCATGGTCGCCACCGAAGGGTGTGCTGAGACCAGTCTGGTGACGGTCGCGTCTCAGTTGCGATTTTGACATCAATCATTGGATTTGCTGTCGCTACTCCATTCAGGATATAGAAATGCGTCGGGCCTCAGAGCTCAGATAGAAAGGCTCGGATGGCATATGGACCAAAACAGACTCAACGTCGACTTGGAAAGAATTGAATATGGAACTACACAAGATGATGACATCGTATGGGGACTGGAATCAAAGTCCAAAGTCGAAAATGTCACCAGTTTCGTGGGTTTGCCCTTCCACGGCAATTGATGCCGTGTTGGAGATGGGCGACGCCTCGGCCCCTCGGGCTACTGAACGGTACAACGACGAGTTAGGAACCTGCCACACCATATGTGAGGGGCACGCGTTGGGCCCGACTCTGGGCCACATGCGTGTAATGGAACAATTTGCTTCCGTATTTTCGATGAGCGACGCTCGCTTGACGAGCGAACAAACAAAGTGCCTCCACAAAAGGCAAGAGACCTGAACGGTGAGCTCCTTGAGCCTAATGCCTTGGCCGATAGTCGAACATGCCGCCTAATTTACAGCCGACGGAGTACTATAGGCCGGTTGGGACGTGACAGTTGGCGGGCCCTTAGTAATGGCGTTCTTGGGTGTGTCAGGTTGTCGTCGTCAGGCTTTGGAAGGACAGGAGAATGTCAGCCCCGAGGCATGAGGTCTTTGGGCTCTCTATATTCCAAAAGTCTGTGAGTCTACTCAGGAGGTAATGTGCGCGCATCGAGTCAATATCCATCATAGTACTGTGACACAGTATCGATTGCAGATGTCAAAGGCATAAGGTTTCACTAATTTCCAGATCCATCGCCGCGAGAGCGGAATATCTAGAGTCGTGATTCGTAGTTGGTAGTCTGATCAACGTGTCTAGATTGATCAACGCTGGCTTCGTGACTTCTTTCTCTACTCCGTATGCTTTGCAACGTCTACGCAATATGTACTAGGTAGGTACGGGCTTAGTCTGGTTGTCTTAACTATCTCTCCCTAATGTTTACCCTGTTGAGGGTAGCCTGGTCAGCCTCGGTATTGCTTCTTGGTTTGTCATAGCTCGCCTCTGTAACTAGACCCCGCAAGGAGATGCGGATGAGTGTGACTTTTACTACTTAGACGCCTATCGCCTACTGCGGGAGTCTAGGTGGACACATTGTCATGAGTTGTCTACTCGTCACTCTTCTGTCCCACCTCTCCAGGTTTCTTATACGATAAGCCAAGATATCTTGATTCATCAGCCTCTCTCGTCAGGTAACTCAATGACTGGACATTATCTCCCTTCGCTCTAGTAGAACATACAATTATATGACAGTGGCTCTTCATTGCCAACCATTGTTTACTTAGTCCACCCACTCACCCCGATCCTCTCCAGCAAATTCATATAGCTAAAACAGACAACAAGGGCGAGCGAGTCCGCATTACGCCGTCCCCAGACCTCGGAGAGCGCCTCGGGAGACTGGGCCTGCATCGTGCGGTCGCGGCTGAAGGTCTGGGCCAGAAAGTCGGCCGCCGTGGGTCCTGCGTCGAGAAACTCCTCGATCGCCTTAGGGAGGCCTACGTTGACAGCCAGACGAGGCATTTCAGGTCCACGGCCGGGCCCGAGGGCCGGTTTCTTGGGTCGACGCTCACGCGGCTCCTCTGGCTCGCTCAACTCTTCTACGGCGTTGCCGTTGAGGAATTTCAGAACCCGGGTCAAGAGGAGCTTCTGTTTTCACTCAACTATTAATAAATCAAGTATAAGACGCCGACGCTAGTCCAATGCCTCTAGGTCTCTACTTCTGTTCGTTCATCTGCACAGCCCTCGTCAGCTACTGCGCCTTTATGCTCTTCGCCTTTCAGTATATCCCGGATGATATATCCCGGATGACTCTACTATATAGATCAGCGACGATGGCGCCGACTTTTGGTATGAAAATAATGAAGGAATTATACAATTAACGGGTTTATGCTTCTGTCGTGCCGTCCACTATCTACTCTGGGCCCTATGTAACTACCAGGTAGGTAATAATGTCACCGCTTGGCACCTATTAGCTATGACGGCTTGGCAATTGTCTAGTGAGATATAAGCTTAGCACCCCAAAGAAGCGGATGCTCATATTTTAGAACCCCAATAATGCCTCCACAATTCAACTAGAGTCTGACACAAACTTGTGCAGTTAATTTCGGTGACATGGCGAAATGGCATCGCGCTTGACTACGAATCAAGAGATTGCGGGTTCGAATCCCGTTGTCGCCTTTCATATTTGCTCATTTTTCCTCATTTTTGCTCCGATGGCCTCCCCACGTGATGATGATCGACCACTGTTGTTAATTTATGTTCCTCTTCCAAACCTTTTTGCCTTGAATCAAGCAAAACACCACACCAGTGATTTTCAACGATTTCCAAATTCACTATGACAGGGTCGTCTCTTTGGCTTCTCAGTCCAAGCGATGATAATCCCTTCAACAAATCCCTCCAAGACTTGATTAACAATACGTTGCCGTCAAATTTTCCTCATGTACCCAAGAATAGCTTTATCCCACACGTTACCATAACCTCAGACATCGATCCTGCAAGGACTTACGCATCATCGCCGCAGGAATGGCTCGACAGCCTGCACCTTCCTGAATTCAGGAAGGAGAGGAACGAAGTGGTCATTGAACTTGAGAAGCTTGAAGCGGGTGAGCCCTTTTTCAAAAAGGTCACCATCAAGGTCAGGAAGGATATGAATCTGGTACAAATGGCCTCTCAATGCAGGCAGCAGAGTCTCTTACTGTCTGAAACCATCGCATCGTCCTGGGCAGAGAAGGAGTATCTGCCACACCTGAGTCTGTTTTATGGCGATGTCCCTCAAAGTGAAGTGCAGAAGAAAATCCCTCTAATCGAACTACAGCTCGGTTTCGAGTTAGGGAGTCTATTTGACTGCTGTGGCGGCACTCTTGCAATGGGGGCAAAGCTTGTCCTTGTTGACACTAGCAAAGAGGTCAAGGACTGGAGTGTAATCGCTCAAAGAGATTGCCCTTGGGTCATGTGGAAGATGGCAAGGGGGCTCATATGATGACTATGAGTTCTCGCATACTAACTTTCTCCCAGTAGTATGAATCTGATGGGTTGTGGATCTAGTCAGGCGTTGAATTAAAGGGTATCAAGAATTGAGGTGAATGAGTTGATTGGACTTCCTCGTTCCTAAGGGGAAAGCCCATCTATCTATAGCCAAAGGTATGCTCTACAGTGTACAGGAGGCTGGGAGATGTTACCAACCCTTATGCATAGGTGTTGGCGACCGACAAAGGGGCGGGTCAATTTCGAGCGTCATTTCCTACCGTCCAGACGGACGACACAAGAATGCTGCCGTAAACATCTCCATCAAATAGAGGGATTCTCAAGATTCAAATCTCATACACCTGCAGTACACTCTAACAGCCTCAGAGTCGGTAAGGCATGTGATTAAACCTCAGACAGCAAGGTCGTCTTCTCCGCTAACTGTGATCCTGTCATCCGTAATGAGGGGTCAGACCAACTTTCAGGAGACAATGAGAGCCGATACTTTCTTGACGTCCTCATAAATCTGTTGACGAATTACTTTATTAGCACCATGGTTGTGGTTGCCCGCCTCGTATTTTACCTCGAACTCTACTCACCCCGCCTCTTGAATCCAGTCCAAGAGGGGATGACCCACGGTAGACAAGCTCGTCACATAGTCAAGGTAGAGTGCTTTGGTATGTCATAAGAACACGACAATCCTGTCAATCACGGTATGTTTGGGCTGCGGCGGGATCATGTTGGGGGAGGAATAAGAATGATCTTCTTAGGTGCTTTCGATCCCCGAAAGTGAATGGCAGGATGAAAAGGTACGACGCGATGTGCAGATATACATAACTGTCTTGCTTGCATACTTGGTGGGTAAACTATTCTCCACCAAAGATGGAAAGTTGACACTCAAGGTCGTTACCATCGCCGGGAGAGGTGCTGCTTCCTACGTGCCTGGTTACATTGTTGGTATCGTTTCCTGAAGCTACTATTGCCATTGAGAACGACAATGATGGTGGGATCTCGTTTACGGCCATGATATTGCCCGAGCAACTCTTTCACCTCTCATCTCACCTCACTTTTGGACAGGATGGCGTAAGGAGAACCTCGAACCTCCACCGCCACTTGGACACCTCTGTCCAACTGTCTCCTTGGGATGCTTTCTCCGGCAACAGCACTATTTCGAGCCAATCAAACCAGGAAACTAACCGCAGAACCGACGTTGCCTATGTAGCACCCCTTTCCTAGCGCAGAAATCAACGACGGTCTCTCACGGCCTGGCGGAGCGGAGACAGTCGAGGTACGCCATGATCTGGCCGTACTCGACCTTCTCAGAGTAAAAGTTGATCAAGAACGTCTCGACGTACTCGCCTCGTCGCTCGCCATCGACCTCTCCCTTTTCTGCCACCCCCTGCACCTGCTGGATCATGCTGCCCACGAGCCCCTCTAGCTGGCCTTGAAACTCGGCCTGGCGCTCGATCTTGTCCACGCGCCAGCGCTCGCCGTCGCGGTGCCGCACAATGTCCGCGATGCATGTCTTGTGCTGCTGCCTCCAAGCTTTGGCCTCCTCGATGGTCATGGCGATGGAGGCGAGGCCACGGCGGCGCACGAGGTGCTTCCACCCCCCCTTCGCCTCGTCGATCTTGCGCGCGGTGGTTTCGTGGAGGGCCGCCGCACAGGTCCTGTCGCCGGCGAGCAGGCTGCCGAGGTTTGTGAGGGCCACTCGCCCTCTGAAGCGGGCCCGGAGGGTGCCGAGTCTGGCGAGAGTCTCTGCGTGGGCCTCGTCCTCGTCGGCGGCCTGGACGTGGAGGAGTTGGACGAGGTCGGCCGCCACCTTTGCCACGGCGCTCTGCCACGCCGCCATGGCCAGGTAAAGGCCATTCTTTGTCCCTGAGGAATCAGCTCTCGAAGCCGTCGTTGAGGATGCAGCGGGGGAGACCCGCGGCGATCCCTAGGAGGTCCTCGGACGCCTCGAGTAGGAACGTAATATTGGCCGGTGGGGGGCATATATCGGCGACGCGCTCCTCAGCCCACTGGGTCACGCCGTCCTCGGTCGACGACGACGACCACAAGAACAGCACGAGGAGGACGAAGAAGACCCTGACCGTCGTCGCGAGAGACACGAACGGTCTCGGGGCCTCGACGACGGCCACGTCCAGCGTCTTTCGCTCGTGCGGCACCTCGATGACGTCGGCCGCAGGATGAGGGACCACGTCCCACCCACTCTGCGGCTGCTCGTCCACTGGGCTGCTTGCGTCGACGTCGACGTCGACGGCGGGGGCAGGCGAGGCTTCTGACTTGACACGCGCCCTCTTTATCTTTCTCGGGCGAGACGACTCTCCACGCCGCTGCCCCTCCTTGGTCCTGTGCTCTGCTCGGTCTGTCTGTGTCAGAGACCCCGTCGGCTCAGGGGCCCGCCTGAGCGAGTTTGACGGAAATCGGTCTTTGAGGGCTATCTGCTGAGCGGAAGCAGGTCGGAAAGCATTCCTGGTGCTGTGCCGCTCGGCTGCACTCACCCCCAACGCCCCTTAGCGAACCTCTATCCAGACCGATTGTCAGGAGCCCCGTTCACAATTGCACGCAAAGATGGCAAACAAACGTACATGTACCGTACCTTGCCTTCAACGTCTACCACTCAATATACAGAATGGAAACCCAAATCATGCACGGTGCCGGATCTCACGCTGTCAAATCTACAATTCAAGCCGATTCCTTACATGTTCCAGCCAGAGGATTTTGATGAAGGTGACAACTTTCTGACCGGGCTCCGGGTGCTTTGTGGTGTAGGTGATCCCGCCATGAGGAAGGGTGTGGCTTACTACATCTACGCTGGCGGAAAATCCATGCCGAGCAACCAAGCCTTCACTAGCTCCGACGGAGACATGTTGATAGGTATGTGTTGTACCAAATGCTTCATTAATTAGCTAATCGTTGTTGAAGTGCCTCAGCGAGGTTGTATAGATCTTCAAACGGAAATGGGCCCGATGAGACTACGCCCTGGCGAGATTGCGGTCATTCCTCGGGGAGTTCGTTTTCATGTGTCCATAGTAGCGGGCCCCATCCGCGGTTATGTCCTTGAAACCTTTATAAATCATTTTGAATTACCAGAGTTGGGTGCCATTGGTAGCTGGGGCCTCGCAAACCCTAGAGATTTTCAGGTTCCTCGACTCCAGTCATACAAGCCTGGGGCGGATACAAAAATCATTAACAAGTACTGCGGCAACCTCTTTTCTGCAACCATGAAGGGGACTGTCTTTAACGTCATTGGGTGGCACGGTACCAGCTTCCCATACAAGTATGACCTGGGTACGTGAGGACTGAGTTGCTAAGCCGCCTTCACGGAGTTACTGATTTATTGCTAGGTAAATTTTGTACGATGGTTGCTATTTCGTACGATCATGCAGTGAGTAGATACTTGAGAGAAGCACTAATCTGGCTCAAGCAGATGATGCTGACAATACCAGGATCCCTGTATCTGGACTGTTTTGACAGTCAAGAGTGAAGATGCCGCCATACCTGCTGTTGATGTGCTTGCCATTCCTCCAAGATGGGTTGTTCATGAAGACACGTTCAGGCCACCCTCGTTCCACCGCAACGCTGCATGCGAATTTATCGCCATTATCAAAGGCTCACTAGATGGGCAGTCCGACGCCAGCGGGCTGGCGACCATCCACAACGGGATGACTCCACATGGGCCTACTCGAACAGAGTGGGAGACAGGTGTATCAGAAGAACAAGTCCCCGTCCGAATAAGTGATGATAACATGCTGGTGATGTTTGAAAGCAGGTAGGCCTCGCAAGGAGTCTCGTGCATACTTCTCAATACTGACGACTGTGTAGCTATGCGCTGGGAATCGCCGACTGGGCGGTTGGTGGCAAGACAGTTGGAATAGGGAATAGATACAGCGAGATGGAACCCACAAAAATCTAAGATTTAAGAAATGATGGTAGTAGCTTCTTAACGTAACTGAGTTAAAATTTATTCGGCGAGCATCCAGGAATATTCATCTACAATTAGTGCTTGCCGGCATGGGGTTAAGAAGCCACGCCATTCAGGCCCAACGCCTATGATATCCTGCCTTGATTATCGCCCTTAATGTTGGTGAGGTCGAGTAGGAGACACCATATCGTACAGCTCCGGCCATGGAAGTGATCAGGATTTGAAATGAATAGACACGTCAGCAGTTTTATGTACATCTGTCTCTACCAAACACACGTCGCACGGGTCGAGGCGAGTAAGAGAGCACATTGCAAATCATTACAAAATCTGCCAGCAATTTGATTCGTGAAGAGTGACAGTAATCCACGGTCTTACAAATACAACTGCTCTGGAAAACCTTTCATCAACCGCTGGACAGCTCGATTTTCGCCTTTCATAGAAAGGATGTGGTTGCTGTGAACTATGTGGGAAACATCTCAAAAAGAATACCAAGCATGCACATCCTAAAAGGCTTCCTGCAAACCATTCATGCGATTCTGCGAGCCAAAGACTCCACGACAAAGCCTCGTTTGTCGATCGAGAATGATAGAAGTCGAGAATGCAAGAAGGTATGGGGGATGTAGGAAACGAGAATAGCCTTGAGACTCCAATTCACCAATTCCGTGAGGTCTGCGCAGGTAGCTTGGAGTGATTATAACTCAACTGTTCAGTAACAGCATATTTTAATCACTGGACTCCCGTCCATAACTGATTGCGTTTGTGTTCTTTAGAAACATCTAGATCATGAGATACAGACCCTAGACCTGCAGCATGTAATCAAATTCTGCTGCACGCACGATGATGGTCCGCACTATGAGAAATGGTATGGAAAGAGCTAACGATAAGCCGTCAGACTCCACGCAACAGCAGCCTCTTTGTACCTCTAAATTGGAATCTAATGATCCTAATGATCTCTTGAGACTTCAAAAGTCGAATCACCCAGCTGAATAACCGGTATCTGTCACTTACTACACTGTCCAAGACATCTTAGAGTGAATGGCATTATGTCGCAAGCACGGAAATTGTGTGCCACTGATTTGGCCTAGAGGTATACGTGGTGGCATTGCTAAGGTGCAAATCTAGGGACATTTGGAAGCCACCTGTGACTGGGGCCTGATAGTAGTGCCTATCAAAGATTTGCGAAGCAGGCAAGATGCAATAGTGGCTATAAGCATTCGGCTCAAAAAGCTTCTTGCAATAAGAAATGTGGTTGTGCCCATATTCAACACGTGATACGAAAGCAGCGTCATGCTCGTCCCGAAACGGGGTAAGACTGATTGACATGACATGTCATGCATGTTCATGTTCCCCATGCACCACAACGTCGACATTCTTCGTCTGCGGACATCCCAAATCCATGTCAACTCCAGCTACAATATAAAACGTACCACGACCCAAGTGGAGACTCCCATCCTCTAAGCGGATAGCTCGTCTATCTTTGGCGTCGAAAGCCCTCGGTCGTTCGATTATCGTCAGACGTACTCCTCCAGGCGCTGGTCGAACGACATCAACCTTCAGGGTGTCATCGTCCCGTATCTCCATACCAAAACGTATCATTGAACACCAAAGACGCCAAAATCTCAACCTATAACATGTCTTCACACTCCGATCCTAGTCAGAAACCTGCCTCTACTCCATCCAAACCTGCCGCTGCCCGTTACATCTCCTCCTCTGGTCACATCTTAGAGACGTAAGTTCCACCCGCTAGCAAGCCTTGTCGCCTGTATCCATGCTGACCGACATATCATTCCAGTCCTCCCCTCTCCGCTCGCCTTTCTCGTTTCTCCACAGATGTCTACAATTTCCTAGGTCTGTACATTGTGTCGCTGTTCAGTCTCGACCCTTATACTGCTGCTCAAACGAGTTCGTTCAATACCAGCGGGCCTGGACGAGGCAGTGGCGTACAGAGCAGAGCAAGATGGGGGTCTGCTGGTCCTGCTACTAGGAATGGTAATACTGGTGGTCGACCTGGTGCGGGCTCGGGGGGTGGGGGTGGAACTGGACGGCGTTTGGGACAGGTCAATGACATTCGAGAGCCAGAGTGTGGAAGCTGTGGCTGAGATACTGGTAGTCCTGCGGGGGAACAGTCGGCCACAATTGGACACCTTGTATGAAATTTGGTGACTTTCTCATTTCTGGCACGTCACAGGTCGAGTATCATGGTCATCTTGCCAGGGTCTTGTCTGCCGACCCAGAGGATTAGAGATCCGTCCAGACGCCTTCAGCACGTTGTGCTTCTTGTATGCAGCCGCACGATCATCCCATCGTCGCATATCCATGGATGCTAATGCATCTTTGTAGGATCCCATATGTAAGTGGTGGAACGGTAAGAAGACTAGAAAAATCGAAAAATGGCACATGCTTGTTACTGGTCAATCTCGAAGAGCATGAAAAGTCGACATACAGATTGTCAAAGCAAAATCAATTGGTGCGAATTGCCATCACAGGTTAAGATAGCTATCTGCAGCTTCGTTCTCGATCGAGTACACCATTAACGGGTGTCTTGGCTCGCTGTGATCATCCTGACTCGGTCCTGGCTTCGGTCCTTCCGTCTCGCCATTGCACCTCCCTCGAGGATGCAGCAGCTGTCTTGGTAGATTCGGGTACCAGCCACTGTGAAACCTGCGTGGAGTCTCTGAGTTGTGGCATTGTGGCTTTTGAAAGCTCAGATGAAGGTGTGAATAGCTCCGTTTTTACGATTCGTATTGTCGGACAGCATGGTCACCATGCAGAAGCAGCAACCGGCACAGATTCGCCCCATCCACCAGCAGCCTCTCCGCCAGAATTCGCGTCTTTGTCGACAGCCGGGGTATTGTCGCCTGCTCCCGATGCGTCGCCTCCTTCATTGGAATTCGCAGCGTTGTCATTTCCCCATCCACCATTGCCGCCGTCTGCCTCGAAGATTGCATTCTCCTCATCCTCGTCGAAATTCAATTTCCCGTCAGTCGGCTTGAAGCTTTCGAAGAAAGAAGGGATTTCTTGGCCAGTCTCCATTAGGATCTTGGTCAAAAATGGAGCCATAGCAACGTCACGATCATTGTAGAACGACGTGGCCAGACCCTCATTCCCGATACGAGCAGTGCGTCCTAAAAAAGGTGAGCGCTACGAATTGTTCGCGGCTTAGAGTACTTACCAATACGATGGACGTACTCGCTCTTTCCATCGTGCTCGATGAGTGGAAGATCGAAATTGATGACGTGCATGACATTCTTGACGTCCAATCCACGAGCACTGACACCAGTGGTGATCAAGATTGGGTTCTGGCCCGATTTGAAGGAGCGCCTTCGCCATTGTTAGCGGTGGCCATTTTGACGAGCCCAAGTTGGATACTTACAAAGCATCCTCCCGCTCAATTTGCATTCGATCAGAGTGAATCGATGTAGTTGGCAATCCGAGATTGAACAGGAAATCATCCACAAAGTCGACTGCCTTCTTTGATCGAACGAAAACAAGAGTGCGCGATGGAGGCATGGCGATCAACAGATCATACAAAGCTTGTTGTTTGGAATTTGGTTCCGTCCAGACGAACTAGACATGATTAACAGAGAGGCGGGAGCGATGTGGACACGACTTACATTTTGCTTGACGTTCACATGGACGCTGCCAGTGCGACCGATTGAGACGTGGATATGGTCTTTGGCCAGGAAATTGGCTGCAAGTGTCTGCAAGCGCTTTGGAAAGGTTGCAGAGAACAGCAGGTAGCGATGGTCGCCATCGATGTTTGCATCTGTGACGGTTAGCCTAGGCCATGTGTGATTGCGATTTTGGACCTACCGCCTCCAGACATGATCTTGGCCATATCCTCCTCCCAGTCATCGTGAAGAAGTTCATCAGCTTCGTCGACGATTGTGTAGCTAGCAATATCAAGTCAGCGCGAAATAAGTGTCCAAAGCGAGCGAACCTACCGAACACGAGACAGCGATAGCACTTCGGGTCGATCCATGAAGTCCTTGAGGCGACCAGGTGTTGCCACGAGCACATCACATCCACGCTGGAGCTGGCCGATCTGGTCACGAATTGGTCCACCTCCATATACAACGCATGGTCGTAGCATCGATCGATAGCACAGACGACGTGCTTCGTCGAAGATCTGACAGCACAACTCTCGAGTTGGTGCCACGATGAGAATCAAGGGTTCTGCACGAACGCGTTCGCGTTCCGCATCGAAGTCGACAGCGATATTTGGGCGTCTAGCTGCGAGCTTCTTAACCTTGCCCATAAGCTTTGAGATGCAAGGGATCAAAAACGCAGCGGTCTTTCCAGAGCCTAGATACTGTGTCAGATATTGATGTTTTTCTTTCTTATTGGAGCTGGTGGTACCAGTTTGGGCAACACCGATGATGTCGTGACCAGTGACAATAGCAGGAATTGTGTACGCCTGGATTGGGGTAGGATTTTCGTAGCCACAGAGTTTGATATTCTCAACCAGAATGGGATGGAGGCCGGCAGTTTTAAACTAGGTATAACATTAGTGTTTGTCCCGATGAATCTGCATCATTTGACTTACATCGACGATTGGCTTGACACGTTCCTCGGATTCGATTACAACCTCGACGGTGTTCAGACTTTGTAGTGTCAGTAATGTTCACAATCCAATTCAATTGCGGGAAACAATTACTTGGAGAGCTTGTCGCCAGCACGATTGATGAACTCAGAGTGAAAGAGCTCCTGCTCAAGTGCTGGGTTGCGTGGGCCAACATCTCCATCGGCTCCTTCTGGGTTCCATTCGTACCGACCTGCGTCAGAGGCCCAAGGGGCGGTGAAGATTGATGCTGTTGCGGGCTTGTTTGCGTCGTCTTGGTTGGCATCGTCACCGGGAGCATGAGAACCAGCCTGGTTAGTATCATATTGATAAGCACTAGGTTGAACCCAGCCTTGCTCCTGGGCCTTTTGAAGACCCTCGGCATTCATGCGCCCGGAAGCGAATTTGGAGGCAACCCCAAGAGTGCCGGTGACATCTTGAAGTGGTTCAGTCATGGTTGACGTGGTCGTTGCGACTAGAAGAATTTGTGAGTGATTGAACAAGGTCTCTCAGATCTGAAGATCAGAGCTTGATCTCGGAAGCTGGGACAACGCATGAAGAATATCGTGGTAAACCCCATGCGCCAGCTTTTAGGAACAGATGTCCACGATAACTGGGGCGAGAACGAACAGATTTGGAACAAAAGAAAAGTAAAGAAAAGTACAAGATACAATTCTCGGTTCAGACTTGAGAAGAGACTGTTCAAATAGCAGGAGGGAGTTCTTTTCTTCCTCGGAAGACAGCGGGACGTACCTCAAGGAGATGTCTTATCGATGGATTTCAGCAGTGGCATCCAGAGTTCAAAGCATCTGGGACAAGAATCCACGATGTGTGGGGTAGAGATGAAGTGGTGTAGGAGGGAGGTGGAGCGACAGGAGAGATGAAGAGAGAGCGAGAGAGCGAGAGAGCGAGAGATCAGAGGTCAGTGAGGAGACTTTTCATAGATGCGCAGGACAGGCAGAAATGCATAGGGCAGCGCAAGCCTGGATCACAAGATCGCGTCAAGGCAGGTGCATAGGAGATTTCCATATCCGCTCATACAAAACGGGAAGTCGCACAAAATCAAAATCAAAAAAGGGTAGAACTACTTGGTACCTACCGTATCTGCTATGACCACAAAAAAGTGAAAAACGACAGAGTCCAAATCGCGGGGCTCAACCTTGAAGCCCAGTCTGTCATACACAGCAGCACGATGAATGAGGTATTTGGTGGCCTTCCAGAGGCAAGCGAGAATAGGAGTGCTAATGATGACGAGATGAGACGAAGTGGCATCTCAATGTTTTCCCATTCAGGAGTTGTCCAAAAATGCCCAGCTGCCTCTCCTCTGTCCATGAGATGCAAAAACAATTTTATTCAGGGGACGATAACGTGTTGTGAATCGTCGTGTTGGCCAGCTTTGACTTGTCCCTGCAGCGCTTTGCTATAGGATGGTGTCGCGGGGACATACTGACCAGATAGAATGAGTTCAAGGTCCACAATATGTCCACAAAGCCAAAATTCACATCCTGCAGTGCCATATTGTGGTCAAGTTACCTGTAAGACTTGATTTTACCACAAAAGAAGGAATGGCCTAGCCATGACGGTGAGCAATGAGCTAGAAGCAGTGCATCTCATCGCCTCATACAAGGGTGTCTCCAACAATGGAGTGAGGGAGAGGCAAAAAGACTGCCCTTGTGTGGAAGTCTCCACAAATGAGTCCTTCATGGACACTGCCAAAGTGATTCTTACCAGCGAACTGCAACGTTCCTGTATGTGATGATTTAGGAGGGAAATTCGTAAAAGAAATGCGACAATTGATCGGCACACAAAAGACATCAGGACTCGTACCGAACATTTGTCAAGGTCCAGTTTATTGTCGAGATAACCCCAATATAGCTATGCTAACTGTTGCGGACATGTCATTTGATAGCACAGAAGTAACAAGTAATTCAATCAGATCCGTGTGACCCAGACAGGTGGAGGATGGCCTCCGTGCTGAAGGTGTCGTGGCGAATGGCCAAAGCTAACTTAACTAAAAGTGTAAGACCATCAGTCCGCCATCCATTGTGTCAGATTGAGAGGTGGAAAGGACGATTGTGCATTGTTGTTGTTGTTTTGCACCGGGAGGGAGAGCGTGTCGCAGGCGTCGCTGTCTATAGGCCAAGATCTGCGCCCATGGTCTCAAACTCCACTCTACGTAAGTTATGTTCTGCCGTACTTCACCTTGCCTTTTGCTGACTATACCAGCGGATAACTGAGTGGCTTGGCATTTATCACGTGCCTGCGACCGTCCACCACACAACTGCGCCCGTCAAAATTATTGAAACATTGAGAAAGTTCCCCTCCAGATCGAATAAACTACAGCCAGCCTCGACACCGCACATTCTCCTGCAAATCAAACCACACACATACACAGAGCAATCATGGCCACCACGCAGGGAGCAATTTCCAAAAAGCGCAAGTTCGTTGCCGATGGTGTCTTCTACGCCGAGTTGAACGAGTTCTTCCAGCGCGAACTCGCCGAGGAGGGATATTCTGGTGTCGAAGTCCGAGTTACTCCCACCGTCACCGATATCAGTACGAGACCCCATCAGCAAGAAGAGAAGCGCAGTCTAAAAGTAATCATTCTAACATGCCATTGTCACAGTCATCCGAGCCACACACACCCAAGAAGTCCTGGGCGAACAAGGACGTCGTATTCGTGAACTCACCTCTCTAATTCAAAAGCGATTCAAATTCCCCGAGAACAGTGTCTCCCTCTATGCTGCCAAGGTCCAGAACCGTGGTCTCTCTGCCGTCGCACAATGCGAATCACTCCGATACAAACTCCTCAATGGCCTCGCTGTCCGAAGAGCATGCTACGGTGTCCTGAGATTCATCATGGAGAGCGGTGCTAAGGGTTGTGAGGTCGTTGTCTCCGGCAAGCTTAGAGCAGCTCGTGCGAAGAGCATGAAGTTCACCGTAAGTTGCCACGATACTCCCTTGTCTAGAGACAAACTAGAGATCTCGCGTGGATGAAGGACTGACAACCTTCTTGTAGGATGGCTTCATGATTCACTCTGGTCAACCCGTCAATGACTTCATCGACCATGCCACTCGCCACGTCCTGCTCCGACAAGGTGTTCTGGGAATCAAGGTCAAGATCATGCGCGGTAGCGATCCTGAAGGCAAGGCCGGACCCCAGAAGTCACTTCCCGATTCCGTCACCATCGTCGATCCCAAGAACGAGGAGCCTGTGGTGCAGCCCATGTCACAAGACTACGGCGCCAAGGCTCTTGCTGCTCAACAGGCCGCTCAGGATGCTCGGGCACAAGAAGAGGGCGAGAATGGCGCAGCGGGTGGTGAGCAGCAGCAGTTCAGTGCTCAGGAATAGAGTAGCGCAAATGGTGTTTTGTTCTTATTCGCTTCAGCTCAAACAGATGCTGTAGGTGCGCTGTTGCACCGCATACCTCGCAGAGATTTCCTTATCGTGCGTAGCCTGGTCTGCGCAAACCTAGCGTTCGACAGGACCTTTCTAGCGATGGTGACGGGTTGGCCTCTTCTGAGCTGCGACCTTTATGATAGAAATGTGATCAACAGCAACCCAAAAATTTCCGACTTTCAATCCTTCTTCATCAGATACTGGCAGAAGTCTAACTTTCATGCGTTATTCTATGTCGCGCATTGGGCACACTGAGGCCGGCGGCCCCTTGTGGCCCCCGGGCGGCCAGCATGCTCCCATGCTTCAATCTATGACCTATCACAAGAACACCTCCACGTTAAATTCGAGTACACTGACAGGGTACCTCAAGTCGAATTTTTCCAGGACAGTGGGGTGCAAGATACCGAAACTGCCGATCTGAACCTCCTTCTCGCCGATTTTGGCATGAATACTTGCTCCGTGACCGGCAAAATACATGGGGTCATCGACCTCTTCAATCCAGTAGTGAATGTCGCTCCCTCTAGCACCGTTCTTAGCCTCAAGTCCTTCTTCCTTGGTTATGAATGCGGTTCTCAACATGGCCAAAATACGGTCAAGTAGTCCATGTACCACCTCGAAGCCAGAAGTCTTGCCGTACCACGCGGCAGCAAAATGGCGTTCATTGCGAGATTTCCTTTCCAATTCCGGAGCTTTGAAGGCCACATCACTGACTTCAAAGATCTTCATTGGAATGGTGTGGTGTTTGTTTTCGCGAATTGTCTTGAGCAGACCGGGAATTAGACTCGTGCGAACCACTTGATACTCAGCAGTCTTGGGATTGGCTAGCCGAACAGCGGTATTGCCGTCATCCTTCCGATTCAACCAGCCAAAATTTTCATCGTGTGAGCAAAGGATAAGGGGTAAAACTTCGGCCCATCCGGCCATGGCAGCTTCCAATCTTAGTACATCACCAAGTTTGTTTATGGCCAACGGGGCAGCAACCGTGGCACCGACTTTGGGAAACGCCCTGGGAAGTTTGTTGAAGCCATAGGCGATGCACACATCCTCCATGATGTCTGCCTGATGTAGCACATCGGCGCGGGTGGGTGGAACATCGACATCAATGAGATTAGAGTCGGATTTTGATGGCCGCGCCGTATAGGACATGCGACGAAGGAGCTGGCAAATCTCGGTTGCGGAGAGGTTCAAACCACAGCAAGCGTTGATGTAGTCCACCTCTGCCTCGGTCGCTCGTGGGGTAAGATCGGGGACTTGTCGAGACTCGCCGTTGTGTTCAGAAATGATTTGAATGGGTTCCACGGTGAACGGCTCAGATGTGTATTGACTGAACATGGCAACCAGGATGTTGATCACGACTTCGACTTTGGTCTTGTCTGTTGCTGTGCACTCGATGAAGACATTGGTGGTGTTGAGGGTAATCTTGCTTTGGTCGCCGTTGATGATAGGCGGTAAGGAACAGACGTCATGGTTGGAATCGTAAATGACAGGGTAGACGGGCGAATCTCTAATGATGTGTAAGTAGCGGCCAAGGTGCTTGTCCTTGTCATAGAAGGCCATCAATTCTTCGCCATCCATGATCTTGGTTTGGTTGAGAGGTGCGAATTTGATGCTTCTCGGGGGTAATGCTTCATATGTAAAAGGTCCCTTGACCTTATCGAGATCATGGGTTCCAATAGCGACCAGGGTGCGTTGTCTTGCCAGGTTGGAATGCAGTTTGTCTTGGAGATCGATGAAGGATGCATATCTGGACTGATCGAATTGGATGTTTCGAAGAATGGCCCCTGAGACATACGGTCGTATTTGTGCTGTTTCCTTGGACACGGTGATTGTCTGGAGTTCACCATTGGCGGGGGCCTTGAGAACATATTGAGGGGGTGTCATTTTTCGGTTGAAAATGTTGAGCATGAGCTGAATGCCTTCATAGCATAACATGTCATATCGATTGGCGGGGATTTCAATCTTCAATTGAGGAGGCTCTTGCTTTCCATCGACTATTGGTCTCTCTGTCAACGAAGTGTCCTCATCCAATTCGATGCCGAAGTCGAAGCATAACTCATCGAACTCTTCCGTCGTATAGTCTCGGCCCAACGCCCGAAAGAGGGCAGCCTTGTCCACGGAGATTGTGGGCATGGCTAGGAATTAGCCAGGAACAAGGGAAATATTGTGTGTCTGGATATGGCCCGGCCAGAGGCAAGAATGAATATTCAGACCCTCCTCTGATTGACACTCAGAGGACTTTGCCGCCTGATCTAGTTTGGCGCAAATGGTCTTTGATGTCCTTGCACGGCGTCAACGTCGATATTGAATGGTGTTGTGAAGGAGTCAGAGAAGCTTGGCGGATAATTTGCTGACAGACGAGAGCTTTTGAAAACTGCACCTCGAGAAGCCAGCGAAGCATTAGTGTGTCCAGATTGATGAATGATCCGCTCTATGAACACCGCCACAAGCGCCACCCGCCCGTTCCGCCACAGTTGCAGCAAGCAGCAACAACGACAAGATTGACACTAACCACTACTGACTGTACTCGTCAAGTGAAGTGCAGCACCCAAAAGGTCACATATGACGGAAAGCTCAATAAGTTGATTCGATCCACGCCCACCATCCCACTCACCATCCTTTCCAGTCCTCTTACACTCTACTTGCTTCCCTTACCGCGTTGTACACCTCTCACTCGAGTCCAATCCCTCTCGCAACCCCTCGTTGGACTTTGTTTGCATTCACGGTACACTGTGAGTCGTTGCCCCCCGTCTTGCACGATCGCCTTGTCCTTCCCACTCCAGTCAGACTACCCTCGCAGCCACAACAACAATGACAATAATCGCAATGTTTCTCTACCGATCATTCTGAGATACTTACCGCTCATGCGTCTAGGGTTGTGCAACACTGCCTCTAGGCAATCTATCCCTCTCGATCCTCGTCACGCTCAAACATCAATAAACACCTAACCCATCCGCCCCAACCGAAAACGAAGCCACTACCGGTGAAGGGCACTCTTCCCGTGCATCTCATCCTTTCCTCGCCAATTCTTCACAATGGCCGATCAGGATGGTGGTGATGAGCTCTATCCAATCGCCGTCCTCATCGACGAGCTGAAGGTGCGCATGCGAATCAAACACATATATCAATCAACCTTGTTGACCTAACGTGCGTCAATAGCATGACGATGTCCTCCTCCGTCTCAATGCCATCCACAGACTCTCTACAATTGCCTTGGCTTTGGGCCCTGATCGAACGAGGGACGAATTGATACCTTTTTTGGATGGTACGCCCTGGCCTTATCAACAACAAGATCTCGTACTGACCATGGTGCCCAGACTCGGTGGAGGACGAAGATGAAGTTCTTACCGCCCTTGCCGAGGAATTGGGAAACTTCATTGAATATGCCGGCGGTCCAGAATACGGCCACGTGCTGCTTGCCCCTTTGGAGAATCTCGCAGCCATCGAAGAGCCCCTTGTAAGGGACAAGGTGAGTCATGCCGCTGCTACAGACCGACGCCAATGTCTAACAATGCCAGGCTGTGGAATCTCTCAACAAGATCTGCGAGCAATTGTCTGATCGACAAGTTGAAGAATACTTCATTCCCCTCACGATCCGCCTCTCCAAAGCCGACTGGTTCACCTCCAAGATCTCGGCCTGCGGACTCTACACAACTCCATACAAAAAGGCTTCCAAATCCTCCCAGCAAAGTCTCCGGACGCAATTTGGACACCTGGTCCACGATGAGACCCCAATGGTCAGAAGACAGTCGGCAAACAATCTTGCCAAGTTCGTCAAAGAAGTGCCCGTTCCCGTCGTGATTGACGAGATGATCCCCCTATTTCAACATCTGGCCAGCGATGATCAGGATAGCGTGCGACTCCTCACTGTTGAGGTACTCATCTCCATCGCCGAGGCCATTCCAAAAGAGCAACAACCCAGTCACGGTGTACTTTTGACTGCATTGAGAAGTCTGTTCGAAGACAAGAGTTGGAGAGTTCGATACATGGTCGCTGAGAAGTTTGAAAAGATTGCAAAGGCGGTCAATGAAGAAGTCGTCACCAGGGATCTTGTTCCTGCCTTTGTCAAGCTGCTCAAGGACAGCGAGGCGGAGGTCAGGACAGCAATTGCAAGCCAGATCCCCGGTTTCTGCAGTCTCCTTGACCGAGAGACCTTGCTCAACGAGATCATGACCAGCGTGGAAGACCTCGTCTCAGATCCGTCACAACACGTCCGAGCTGCACTGGGTACTCAACTCAGTGGACTGGCTCCTATCCTTGGAAAGGATGAAACCATTTCTCACCTGCTCCCCATGTTCTTGCAAATGCTCAAGGACGAGTTTCCAGACGTGCGACTCCACATCATCTCCAAGCTGGAACTGGTCAACAATGTCATTGGGATTGACCTTCTGTCTCAATCCCTCCTTCCCGCCATCGTTCAGTTGGCCGAAGACAAACAGTGGCGCGTGCGACTAGCCATTATCGAATACATCCCGTTGCTCGCCAAGCAGCTTGGGGTCAAGTTTTTCGACGAGCAGCTCAGTTCACTCTGCATGGGCTGGCTGGGTGACACCGTCTTTTCTATCAGAGAAGCCGCCACACAAAACCTGAAAAAGCTAACCGAAGTGTTTGGCGTGGAATGGGCCAACAGATCCATTATTCCAAAGGTCATTGCAATGAGCCAACAAGAAAACTACCTTTATAGAATGACGACATGCTTTGCTATTACGGTACGTGGAAATCTTCGTGCCGGTTTATACCACGACTAATCAATGTTGATAGACACTCGCGCCGGTGGTGACTTTGAGCATTATCGAGGAAAGTGTCTTGCCCATGATGAATCGCCTGGTGGCCGATCCTATCCCCAATATCCGTTTCAACGTGGCCAAATCGTACGCTGTCCTCATCGATACTCTACGGCAACTCCCTGAAAGCGGCACGATTGCTGAGAAGGAGGCCAGTGGCGACAGTAGCCCAACGACCCCGCAAGCACAAGAGCTAATTGATAACTCTATTCTGCCAAATCTCGAGAAGCTCAAGGACGACAGCGACGTGGATGTGAGGTATTTTGCTACAATTGCGGCAGGTGGGTCGACGGCCAACGCAGTGGAACGAATGGACACCGGACAGTAGACTTCTTTGTGCATGGATCGGATTCTGGGGGATTTGCCCACGGATTCGAGCTGTTTGACCCTGGGAGTTTGACCCTGGTGGAAAGAAAGAAAAGAATCTACAGCGCTGTCAGCAATGGGGAACATCTGATGGATGGGTATGGCGGAGTAAAGGACGACGTCGTTGTGGTAGACACCAGACCAGACCTGGTCATCCTGTATCGGCGTGTTGGTCGTCACCAAAAAAAATTGGACCCACGAGACATAGGATCCAATCACGAGGATGTGGCGCGGCGTGTGATATGACGGACGCGGTGTCGGTGTGCGTTCTGTGACAGATGAAACCTCGTTTTCGAGCCGCGTTGTTAGAGAAATGGGCGCATTACCCAGACAATGACCCTGAATACTGAATTTTTGCATCTCCAAACTGGCTGGGTCGTGTCCTTTGATTACGACAATAAAGATGACACAACTCCAAGACAGGTTTTCTGTACCAGCAGTGCTCCAGAGTGGACACTGCAATTGGATAGCTACGGACACGATCAAGAAATAGTACTATTGCCGAGGTGCATGCTGTGTGTGCCATGTACATATGCGTAGCTGCACAATTATATGGAATGGTGGTACAATACGGATAGGGGTATCTAATTGTGGTCTTCGATGAGGAAGGGAACAGGCTACACAGCGAAGCCAATGTTGTAGCGATCATCGTCGATGAGTCGGCCATATCTAGCATATCCAAGTCAGTAAATCACGACAGATGACACGAGAAAGAGATCAGGGGCATGCTGGGACTTACTCGAGGAGCAATCGAAAATACCACACCTCCAGATCATCATTCCGAAGTACTTTGCCCGCCCACTCTCGTCCTTGGTCGGCAATTCTTTGTGCCTCGCTCCTACCAGCGGCCTCCTGGTCAAAGTATCTGACCGACTCGACGTATTCATCACCTTTGAGGCTCAGTGGGATATAATGCGCCCAGGGGGTTAGCCATTCGTCGTGCCACTCTCGAAAAATGGCGAGTTTCAAGACGAGGGATTTAGAAAGAAGCCATGCGTAGTAACGACCTGAAAAAGCGTTACCGTCAATGTCAAGAAGAAAACGAGACCGAAACGCATCAAACATGTTGACGGGCTGGACGGTGCCAAAGTAGGCGCGCTGGGCATCGCAGTCGCCAGGATCACATTGGCCAATCGAGGTGAACTTGACATCGAAGTAATGCGAAAATCGGTCGCCAGGAACGGATTCCTCACGCCACACGTTGGGGCCTGCGGGGTTGGGTGTGGTGGAGTTGTCCAGCTTGAGGATCTTGGCCTGGTTCATGGGCTGGATCTTAGAGAGAAAGATCTGACGATGTTGACGACGCCAGCCTCCGTCGCGCGAAAATCCACCGGTGGTACTGCCTCGCCAATACATGGTGGGAGCCTTGTCCTGCCAGGGCATGTCACGTTCGGGTTCGTACTTGACGCGAGACATGTAGTACCAAGGCGAGGGATAGAGAATGTCTTGGAAGCTGGATATTTTGGACTGGGAGAAGACAGGGAAGAGGTCGTGGGTGACATCAAAAGCATTGGGACGGTCGAAGAAGCCAAAAGTCTTTTCGAGGCTAGGAGAGTTGCAAATGTCGGAGAATGCGGTTGTGTTTTCAATGAAACCTAGGGGGAGACTTGTATAGGCTGTTTGATTGTCGGGGCAGTTGTCAACCAGACAAGAGCGAGCCGGGCTATCGGGAGGGCACGAGAGGCGAGAGTTGCTCCAAGTAGGCTGATGGGCAAACTTATTGAACCGAGTAGTTTTGTATTCTTTGATGCGGATGCCCTCGCCGAGGTCTTGGGGCCGAGGGGACCAGCGATTTCTCGGAGAAATATTGTCGTATGCCTTTGGCATATTTTGGGTCGTGGCTACGTTGACATGACGCAAGAGGTCATCGTGCTGGAGGATGACTCTGGGCTCATCGTGGATGTTGAATGCCAAGTCCATATCAGGGAGATATTTGATGAAGTTGTGCAGCATGACGGGGGTGGCTTCCCGGTGCCATTGGTACATATCGCCTCCACCTTCGGATTTGACGACTTTGCCATCACGTATCATGACGGAGATGAAGGCATTGTCGAAGCCGATGGCTTCTCGGACCCGCTCCCGTATGACGGCTGGGTCCAATGCCCAAAATGGAAGCAGCTGATGGTGGATGGTGTCGAACTCATCAATGAGCTGTACACCCCTCTTCTTCGCGAATTTGTACCATTGGTCGAAGTTTGGAGGTGGAGGGAGGTTGTAACGTCTCCGGTACTCAGCAACGGCCTCGCCGAGAGACTTTGATTGTCTAGCCTGGAGAGTGCGAAGTTGGGATTCATGACGGGCTATGAGTTGATGTATAGGGTGGGTGGAGGAGCTTGCAGGGCCAACAGGGGCGTCCTGCCCCGAAGGACTGTGATCATTGAGGAATTTGGCTGCGGAGGATTGAGAGGGGAGGTGGTGAGGGTCACGATGGACAAGGATAGTGACGATTGCGGAGAGAATGAGGACACTGAGAATAATGGACCTGCGAGGCCTTATCATGCTCAGCACATGGCTCGTGGTTGGAAGATTACGTTTCATACATGAAGCGAAGTGCAGGCGATGGAAGGATGGCACATGCTGTACTTGCTGGGTTAATGGGAGCGATGCGTGGAGAATAGGAATAGATGATAGAGTGTCCCACTGTCGTCGTTTTTATTGTCAAAATCGTTGGTGCTGTATGATGGCGGCGAGGTCGGGGGTCGTGAGTAGTGGAGGTGGTGGTGGTGGTGGTGTTGTTGGTAGTGGTGGTCGTTGTTCCCCTTTCTTTCTAGAATGCAGCTGTAGTTGCATTGCACTTGCCGTTGATGCCAATGCAAGTTTTGGTTGGAATGGCAGGAGCCCAGACGACCAGTTTACGGGGAAGGTGTGCCGAGTCCATCAAGTTGGTCGTCTTGCTGTTTGATATCGCGTGCGGCTTGTCCAGCGGCTCCAGCCTCGTTCTCAATCCCTGATGCTCGACTCTGTTCTTCAAGTCAACTTCTACGCTCAATCTCTCATGTCTTTCATAGACTATGGTCCATCTATTCACCGACTGTCCTTCTGTCTGACTGTCCGCTCGCTCAGAAAATCTCAATAGCCAAATACCCCCCAAAGCCCTTTCTTGATCGTCAACCCCGTGTCCACCAAGATCCCAGCCCATCCTCGGGCGGTCGTCACTAAATTCGTCACTCCGATTAGTCTGCGTGTAAAGATGTCAGTCTGTTCAAAGTCCTCAGCACAAGCATCCCAAATGGCTTGGTTTTCCACGCTGGGACTCAGTCCAGCCTGCTCCGCAATCCCAGGTCCTGCTTTAGGTCCTATGCACAAACCACGTCCAATGATACCCTGGTCGGCAACTAGTCTTGTCACAGCTTCCATCACGTCGTCCTTGTCTGCCATTGCACCTCCCGCCATGATCAAATTGCCTGCTACCCCCAGTAGAGGTGTATCGACGAAATCTATGACAAGATTCACGTTAGCAATTCTCCGTCCCTCGCCTGGGGTAATGTTCTCCATCTCATCACATAGACCTACAAGGATTGATCATATTGACGCGGATCCCGTGTTTGATGGGAGTGGTCATTCTCAATGTCCGCCAGAGGCCTACGACGCCGTGCTTGGCCGCTGCATAGTAGGGAAGCGTAGCCAATCCAGTCAAGCCCGCGATGCTCGCCACCAAAATTAAATGCCGATCTCTCTCTCCGGTGTGCTGTCCCAGCTTGACCCTCTGACTCTGCGGATTCCGCGATAGGTAGGCCAGGGCCAGATGAGTGGTAAGCAAAACACCGTTCAGATTGATGTCCACCGTCTTTTGCAGCGGTGGCGGCGGGTTTTCCATGGTCGAGTAGTCCGGCGGTTCCTCGAAGAATTCGTTTTCCGTGGCAGGGGCGACCCCAGCGTTGGCCATGACATGATCAATCCCACCGTGTGGACTCAGCGAAGCAGCTTGTTTGAAGAATGCAGCTTGACTTGCCCAGCTCGTCACATCCAGACCAATGAAATGATGATTCAAATTGTTGGTCTGCTGTCGGATCCGAGCCACCAACTCCCTCCCAGCCTTCTCGTTGATGTCGCCAATGACCACGTTGGCTCCGTGCCTTGCCCATTCCTCAAAGCACGCCGCTCCGAATCCAGAGGCTCCCCCAGTGATGATTATCGTTTTTCCCTTGAGATTGCTATAGTTTATGGGTTGGGTAAAGTCGACGGGGCCAGAATGGATGATGCTGTCGCCAAAAGGCTGACCGCCGGATGGAGTTGCTGTCATTAGCAAGACTGCCTTTTCGCTGTGGAAGATCCTGGTTATGCACACGATCACTCTTTCTTTCTTCCAGGGCACGCCTTTTCAGTGGCCAGATATCTCAGCCATTCGTCTTTCAAGAATGTGTCAATGATTAAGGCAGTATAAGAGTGATTGATAGACTCCCAGCCTCTTCAGGCATCCAATGCATCCTGTGAGAATGCCAAGAGTCCCGGCGACTTTGATGCTTGACGAATACGAAAGCTGTCGCTTACATGACACGACATACAAAAGTATCTACAAAGGGTATTTGAAGCCTCTACTTTAGTGCAACTAACAGGAGGGTGAACAGCTAATACTTTGGTTCGTACACATGTTGTCTGTGGTGCTGCCCAATCGCCTCGGTTCTCGTAGTGCCCTTAATCAGGAGTCTACACATGAGCAGTGGTTCAATCGACCATGTATGTCGAACATTCTTCATGTAAACAGTTTATCTAATCGCTGGGGGTATCTTTGAAACATTTCCAACAGGCCTGTCCTTTCTCAATCCGTCTCATGCCCTTTCCAATACAACTGCATCACCATCTACCCTCTCCGTCTTTTGGGTTAGACTTTCCAACTCTTTCAACATGTCTAATTCCGCTGTCGGGGTTCCAATTGCATCGATGCCGCGGAAACCCTCTTGGACCTTCCACCTCTGATCGGCCGTGAGTCGATCGAGAACCTCGCACGAGTTTCCCACAACCAAGAGGCCCGGTGGTCGGGACCCTTCTTCTTGAACCGCCTGGCACACATGTTGTAGTGTGGATCGAATCACTCGCTGGTCTGGACAACTCGCCCGTTCGATGACGGAGCACGGCGTCTCGCGCGGCCACAAGGCTCGTTTGCGCGATCCCGCTTGTCCTTCGCCTTGTACATCCAGCGTCAGGCTTGTGACGAGGCTGTCCAATCGATGCAGCGCCATCAAAAAAACTACAGTCTTGGTTTTTCGATACGATGGAGGCTCTGGAGCTGCTCCCTTTCGGCCAGTCCCAGTGCAGATCACTACTTGATCTGCCACAGACCGGTGTGTGACCGGAATACCTGCGAACAATGGTGCGGAAAGTGCGCTAGTGATCCCTGGGATGACCCTGACTTCGTATCCGCGGTCCCGGAAGAATGTCACTTCCTCGGCTCCTCGACCGTAGAGGTACGGGTCACCTTGTTTCAGACGAAGGACGTCTTTGCCTTGTTCCATCGCTCTCATGCCGAGTTCAAGGAGTTCTTCCTGGGCAGCGTCGGCGTTGCCAGGGAACTTTCGCGCAATGTGGACCGGCGTTCGACGTGGAATCAGCGCCAAAATTTCTGCAGGCACAAGTTTATCTGCGAGAATGTAATGCGCAGTTTGGATGGCCGAATGTGTGGCGATAGTCAGCAGCGAGGGATGTCCAGGTCCAGAGCCTGCAAGTGTGATAGAACCTGTCCGGGTAGGCTTGGACAGCGCAAGGGCTGGCCCACCGTTTTGCAGGGAAGGGGAAAGAGGCTGGGCAGTTGACTTGTATGCTTCGAGGATGGTCGAGATGTCCGCATCCGTGATAGAAGCCAGCCGACTCAGTGGCCAGTATTCGCAAATCTGGGACAGCCACCGCATGCGCCGTGTTCTAAGGACCGCAGGATCACAGTCGTTTTCCCGTACCAGATTGTTGAAGGTGTGCTTCTGAGCTGCGGACTCTTCGTCTTCCATTTCTGCCTCCACTTCGACGCTGTTTTCATGCTGTAGCTTCAGGTCTTGTTCCCATATCTGTCTTCGGAGGGAGCCCAACCTCTCCACAGCCTGGCCAAAATTGGATGGGAGGGCCGACACTAATTCCCGCCGTATCCTCGAGGACAACTTACACCCACTTCCTGAAGTTGTTATACCAATCTGCAAGGGTCCATCGAGGTGCGTCGACAAGAGAGTGAAAGTGCAAAGTTTGGGAGCGTCCACGACGTTGACGGGGATTCGTTGTCGCTTGCACAAATCTGAAATCCGGGTGCTTTGAGGGTTCTCTGGGGATAAGGTGACAAACACCGCATCGGCATAATGTCCAATCTCTTCGCGACCGAATGTGTTTAAGTCTTGATCTTCGAATTCACGTTGAACCCAAGAGATTCGACCATCTTCAATTGCTGTGACAAGCGTATAATGGAGTTCTTCGCTGGCAGGGGCTATGAGCACAGGTTTGGCGCCGACTTGGAGAGATCTACTGCAGCGGGAAGCAGCAAGAGGTCCGCAACCTATAATAAGATGAACATGGTCGACGCAACTGTGCGCAGTCAACAGGCCAGGGACGGTCATTTCGGCAAGGGTGCGAACCCAGCGTTTCAAGCAGGGAGAAGGAAGACGAGTCTTATTAGTAGAAGAGTCCAAACGCCATGGCCATGCAGAATTATTGGGAAGAGTAGGAAAATAAATATAGGAATCAGTAAAACTTGACCTTAATCAACATCTAGACCAACAACAAAGGACTGGCTGCATCATTTAATCAAGGAAATGATTGCCAGGATCTGGACGGAAGATGATGGGTGGCACGGTGGTTTCTGGAGATGCTCGGAGAAAGGCCAACCAAATCGAAAATTTTGGAGAGGCTGCGGGGGAAAGAGAAAAAATTGCAGATGGCGTGATTGGCTGAGAGCCGCCAATCATTGACTCTGGACTCCTTATCGGCTTATCGTTGATATTGCTTGCCATGACCACAACTCCAAACCCATGTACGCTCTTTCCTCAGCCAAACAACAACGGTCGGCGGCGCCTGCTTCTTGAGACATCTCCACGGCGCCTTGCACCTTCCCGCGCTTCTCTTATTCAACTTCTCCTCGTCAATGGCGGGGCCGCGGAGGATTGTCTCTTCTCTTGACTTCGCCCTTGTGCCTTCATAGAAAGATAGGATAGGATAGGTACAACCTGACTTTGCATCCTGACCTCAATTCCATGACCGGTCATCTGTCACATGGCCAAAAGTGCAATCAACTAGATCGCCTGAGTGCAGTCCTTGGTACACCATCAAGATCCTTTGATTACAGCCACACTGTGTAGATGAGGTGCCACGGGTGCTCCACAGACATAATCATAAGAGTCGTCGCAGCCAGGCCTCATCATGGGAGAGATGTGTTCGTCGTCGTGCAATTAGGTGACAGCGCCTCGAGGCCCGTAAGCATTTTGCTCGACAACCCTTCTCAGCCGCAACAATGAGGCAGGAATTGTGTGTCATACAGACCCTCATATGATGGAGCTCAATCCTCAGCTTCCTCGTCGTCAAAAAATAATGTCTTGCTCATATAAGGTCCATCCAATGTGTACCCAAGGCGTTCGTAATAGCTACGAACGCCAACTCCGCTGATGACGCTCAATTTCTCACTGCCGTGCTCATCTCGAGCAATCCTTTCAGCTTCTTTCATGAGAAGTGTTCCGTACCCCTGGTGCTGAAATCGGCTCTTCTCACGACCATGAATGGGCACAGCAAGACCATACACGTGCAATTCTCGCACGATACTGGTCGGCTGCCCAGTCAACTCGGGTCGGAATGTGTGAGTCTCGCTACATTTGCGTAGCCTCAATAGCGCGATCAAGATATCCTGCTTCGGATCCTCGTAAGCAAGGAAAGTCTCCCATCCACCGTTGGCTGTATAATCCCGTCGAACAAATTCCACTTGTGATGGTCGGATCTTGTTCTTGACCTCGTTGATGCCAACTTCTCGTGTTCGTACGTCCCGACAGGTGGTACCAAAGTCTTTCATCCGTGAAAGGGCCAGTTCTCTCAGGTTGCCGTTTTCCACTCCCGACGTTACCAGTGGCATAGGAATGTCTCGCTGAACCCGATAAATCCTCGTCCACGGAGGAATCATGGCCAAGATTCGAGCAACCAGATCAACCAGTGCATTTGGGGTGTAATTCTTGAACCGTCCTGTCCTCCACAACTCATACAAACCTGTACCGCGAATTACCAGGGTAGGATAGATCTTGAGGCCGTCTGTCCGGAAATCCGGATTGTCAAAATACTCTTCGAATTGGAATAGGTCTCGTTCCATACCCACGTTGGGGAGATCGGGCATCATATGCGAGACAACCTTGAATCCCGCATCTTTGCACAACTTAAAAGTCTCGACGACCGAGGCGACTGTGTGCCCTCGGTTCGTATCTCGAGCCACGTCTTCGTACAGAGATTGGACGCCGAGTTCGAGACGAGTGCATCCATATCTAAGCATGTCTGTCAAGTGTTGCGTCTGACAGTGATCTGGCCGAGTCTCAATTGTGAGACCAACACATTTGATGTTGGCCATCTCTCCTGCAATGACAGCTTCATCGACATTGGTCGTCTGATATCCAGAGCAGGCATTATGTAGCTGAGCGACAAAATCCTCTCTGTATGAACTAGGCAATGACATGAATGTCCCACCCATGAGGATGAATTCGACCTTGTCCACGCTATGGCCTAGAGACCTGATTTGGTCGATCCTGCCGCGTGCTTGCTCAAAAGGGTCGTATCGAGCGCGAATAGCCCGCATTGATGTGGGCTCATATCCAGTGTATGACTGGGTCGAATATTCAAAGTCCGAGTCGGGGCCGCCTGGGCAATAGACGCAAGCATTTCTAGGCTTGAATTAGTGAGGGAGAGTGAGAATGGACCAGGATGATTACCCAGTAAAAGCGATGTGCTGGGAATAGTCATTAGCCACCACACAAACAAATGGACCAAGGGGCTTACTGGACAGCGATGCGGTTTACTCATCACGGCAACAACAGCAACTGAGACAAGAATTAGCACCACTATTATATTCCACCAGTAGGTCGCACTCACTTCCTGAAGCGCTCCGGACGGGTTTAGCCATCAACTTTGGCATCAAATGTTTTTTATAAACATCAGGAACTGCTGCTAGAATGGCTGTCAGAGGCGGCTGGTTGCTCAGTCGATATTTTTTGGCAATGTCGCCTCGAAGTCGGTTCAAGTTGATGTCTTTCTTGGGCTTCGAGCTATCCAAGGAGGCCTCATATTCCTGAATCAAGGCATTACTAATGTCAACACATGCTTGCATATATCGAACACTCTCTGGCGGCAACTTGGAGGCCTCGCTCTTGCCCAGTTTGATCCTCGTTCCTGTTGCTGTTACGGTGGCCATGTTGGGGTCGAGGTGACTGTCTTCACATGGATATGATGACTGTTAGACTTGCGTTGAAGTCGAGTGTGATCTTATGAGACTGGACTTCCACTGCATCGGATCTCTTTCAACAATGATGAGTGGTGTGAGTGTGCGTATCAGATGAAGGGGCAAAAGTTGCTTTCTCTTGAAATCTACAATTGTTTGATTGAACCATTGAAGTGGAAAATTATATTGTCCGGAATAAATTTACTCCATGTGGCTGAGAATTGAGCCACACTGCCACTTCAATGACATAATTTACGTGTAACCTGCTTGCATGTCAAGCACTTGTTAGGCACCTGGCTTTCTGATATGCTACTAGAATTGAAGTCATGTCTTGTATAAATATGTTTTTCTGTAGCTTGCCCCAGAGGTCTAGCATCGCTCATTGCTCGTCCAATAACAACAACAATATTAATGACCATTGTTTGATCCATCATCGGGATTTGAACTTATTATTCGGTGAATCTACGGCGTTGCCGCGTTCCGACTCAGTGTCAAGCCACGTGCTTGGCGTTCAAGCTCCATGCGCTGCGTCCAGAATGGCCTCCCCAACTCGTTACCTGCAAGGATGCGCCTCGTCGGAAACTCGCGCCTCAGCTTTCTCAGAGTTCGCACTGCGGAGCGGAGCTAACATACTTGGTCGGGAATCAGAATCGCCGTTTTCAGATATCGTGTCAATCCGAGTCTCCTCCAGCATATACCAATCCTCTTCGTTACTCAACTGGATCATTCATTCTTGCACCTAACGGTCGGTGGTCTGTCACTGCGGTAGCTTGTTCATTCCTTTTGCAGCTGCACAGATCCAGCTACTAGCCATCCTTAGCTCGCCCTATCCACCATGAACGCCCTGAGAGGTTGCGCCTCTTCGACGCTGAGACGATGCTCATCCAGAGGTTATGCCAGTGTCTCGGCGGGTGTGCCCTACCAACAAACCCGCAGCAATCTCAAGATTGATGCCAACACAAAGGTCATTTTCCAAGGCTTCACTGGCAAGCAGGGAACGTACGAAAGATCCCATGGATATATCAATTGTCCCGATGCTTACTGCCTAATAGATTCCATGCCCAACAAGCCATTGACTACGGAACAAAAGTGGTTGGTGGAACAAACCCCAAGAGTCGGTACCATCCTTTCAAGCTAGACGTGAAGATACTTATACAAATGATAGAGGCTGGAACAACACATCTTGGTCTTCCTGTCTTTGGGAATGTTGCCGACGCTGTCAAGGAGACTGGAGCCAATGCTACTGTGCGTACTACACCATCGTGACGATGATTATGACGGTGGTGTCTCTGTCAAGTGTACATGCTGATACGAAACAGTGCCTCTTCGTCCCTCCTCCTTTAGCAGCTGCCGGTATCGAAGAAGCAATTGAAGCAGAGGTCCCCTTGGTCGTTTGCATCACCGAAGGTAGTTTCACTGTTCTCTTTGCGCTGTGAATTCACAGTTTGACGGCTATTGCAGGCATTCCACAGCACGATATGGTCCGCGTCACCAATGTGAGTCCCACGTTTTAATCCCTCCTGCACGGCCGTGCTAATTTCTGTTGTTCAGATCCTGAAAACCCAGTCAAAGACACGTCTTCTTGGACCCAACTGCCCAGGCATCGTGAGTCTCTCCTCCGACTTACCCTCTATTCCTCCTCCTGATTGATCTACAGATCGCCCCTGGACAATGCAAGATTGGCATCATGCCCGGTTTCATCCATAAGCGCGGTCGCGTTGGAATCGTGTCAAGATCAGGAACGTTGACATACGAAGCCGTCAATCAAACTACCCAAGCAGGTTTGGGTCAGTCGCTCGTTATCGGCATTGGAGGTGATCCGTTCAGCGGAACCAACTTTATCGATGCCCTGTCCGTATTCCTGGCCGACGAAGAAACGGAAGGAATCATCATGATTGGTGAAATCGGAGGAAGTGCGGAAGAAGATGCTGCCGAATTCTTGAAGAGCGAGAACAAACAGAACAAGCCCGCCGTCAGCTTCATCGCCGGCATCAGCGCACCCCCAGGTCGGCGAATGGGTCACGCAGGAGCCATTGTCAGTGGAGGCAAAGGTGGTGCCGATTCCAAGATCTCTGCCCTAGAAGCTGCAGGAGTTATCGTACAGAGAAGCCCCGCATTGCTCGGCAAGAGTCTGCACGAACAGTTTGTGAGTCGAGATCTGCTCTAAGCCAGGTGAGCTGGGTCTCCTCAAATATGAGAGGTGTTGAATAGCTGCGGGTTGCGAGTTCCTGTCTTCTGTAGCACGTCCAAGTTATCAGAAAGGAGGAAGGTTTTTGCGATGGTGTATGTCTAAACATTTCCATTTATCACTGCTTTGCAACTCGTTCCAAGTACCAACAGCTCTTTCCTGGCAGCTGCATTCTCAGAGAACTGAAGGTATTTACCCTGCCTATCTGTCTAAAACCCCGCGCGTGATGCAGCATGTAGCTGAGTTTGTACATCTGTAATGAAACCTGCCCATTATGATTATAGAGATATTTGTCCCCTTCGACTGGCTCGAATGTTGAGCCATCCCTGAAAGCCGCAGAATACCAAGAAACCCGCGTAGACTGCCACCGCAACAAAAATACTGCCTGCCACGGCCTTCCCGTCCTCAGGATCTTCTTCTAGGCCCATCATCATATGATGATCTCGCTGTGATAGGGTTAGAAAGGGAATTGTTGCTCTAGTTCCGGGATTCGAAAGGAGGAAAGGAGGACTTCATACCGCAAATAAACTGCCGATGACGCTGAGAATGACAATGGCAAATGCGGAGATGACGGTACTGCGACCATGTCAGAAAGTCTGTCGTTGGGACCCTGGAGACATTGCTCACCAAAACCAGGCATTGAAGCCTGACACGATGGGCTTCATGACTATATGTAACTTTGCACACGAGAGTCGATAACCGAATTCGCCCGGAAAACAGTCGTCCACTGGGGCCGTCACTGAAGTGGTAGGTCGACGTCAAAGGGATCAAAGATAGGGAGCTGCCTGCGCTGCTATGGGGCCGTGTTGAGCTGCGATTACTCGAGGGTTGGCGCAAAGCATGCAAGAAGGTGTCGTGACTAGGTCAACAGATAGGATTAGAGCGGAATGCAGGGGTGGGCAGTCGAAATGAAAGGCGTCTGGAGTTGACAATGCCATGAACCTTGAAGCAGATTGAAGCCCGCAGTGATGCTGTCAATGAGGCGAGGTGGGCTTCAGCCAATAAGAACAACGCAAGGCAACAAGGGCGGCAGGCGGCCTCGATCTCCAATCATGCAGGAACAAGCCAGACATCCCATGACCCAACGACCATCCATCCTCTTGACCACCTCTTCAACAATCGAAGCAAAGCGCTGGCAATTGAAGAGAGATCAAAAACTCATCTCACTTTGTCGGCCTCTCTTCTATCGCTGCTTGCTTCTTCATTACTAGATCTCGACGTTCAGCACTCAGCACCAGTTGCTGGATTAAAGTTGGCTGTGTTGTTGCACTGGTCGCAGATGCCCACGTTACAGTTCTGACGCACTCGATTCCTTTCCCCGCCTGATTAAATCTGAAAGACTCCTCATCCTTTGCCATCACTGTGCTTGTTGTTTGTTATCCCTAGTCCAACCAACTGGCATCAATTGAGAAAACACATGCCCCGCAGCGATCCCAACCCCGATGTTGATGAACAATCTCCTCTCATAGGAGCCGAGGATACGTCGGTCAATGGCGACGTGCAAGAAAGACCACTTTCGGAAGGCCTCGATCTGGAAGATTCCTTTGTAGAATCTAAAAGTCCCTTCTACCTTATCCTGCTCACCCTTTCCATCGGTGGACTTCAGATCGTATGGTCTGTTGAACTCTCCAATGGATCGCCATATCTTCTGTCTCTTGGCATGAGCAAAGCGCTCGTTGCCTTTGTTTGGCTTGCGGGACCTCTGACTGGAGTCCTTGTCCAGCCGTATATTGGTATCCTCAGTGATCGTTCGCGCAATCGCTGGGGAAAACGGAAGCCTTTCATGCTGGCTGGGGCTATTGGGACAGTCATCTCGTCTATCATCCTATCATATGCCAGGGACTTGATCCGGGTTCTGGGGGGTTTGGAGAAAGGTGCGAGCTATGGAGGGGGCTACAAAACGGCTACCATCATCCTTGCGACGATAATGATGTGGTGTCTGGATTTTTCCATCAATACAGGTACAACCTCGTTGTATTCGGACTCGGGATTTTAGTGCTGATAGAGACAGTCCAAGCTGCAATCCGTGCATTTATTGTGGATGGGGCGCCTTCACATCAGCAAGAATCTGCAAATGCATGGGCGTCGAGAATGACAGGAGTCGGCAATGTTCTGGGCTATATTTTCGGCTATCTCGATCTTCCTCAGTACATGCATTTTTTCGGTGACACCCAGTTCAAGGTGCTGGTTGTCATTGCATCTATTGCGCTGGGCTCGACTGTGCTCCTTAGCATTGCCACGATCAAAGAACGTGACCCTCGGTTGGATCCACCTTCAAAGGACGATTATCAGTCAGGTGGACTGTTGGGTTTCTTCAAGCAGGTTTTTGTGTCGATCAAAAGGCTTCCTCCCCAAACGAAAACGGTGTGTCAGATTCAGTTCTTCCACTGGATTGGCTGGTTCCCATTCCTTTTCTACATTACGACCTATATCGGCCAGCTCTACGTGAATCCATATCTCGAACCAGGTCTGTCTGATGAGGAGGTGGATGCGTTATGGGCCAAAGCCACTCGAGTCGGTACCCTGGCATTGCTGATATATGCCATCACCTCCTTCGCCAGCAATATTATTCTTCCATTTCTCGTGGTTCCGACGTACGAGGCAATCGGATCGACAGAGTCGGAAGAGGTGGCCAGACCACTGACCCCCAGCACCCCCATTGGCACACGCCCAAGATCGCAGTCTTGGGGAGAGCTCGGGATGGCTTCTCATCAATCGCAGAACAGCATCTCCAACGGTCTGACAGGCGAGATGGGACTGAAGAAGAAGAAGGCCTCCCGATACTTGGGCTATCTGCAAATCCCCGGCTTGACATTGAGACGAGCTTGGCTGTTGTCGCAATTGCTCTTCTCGGCATGTACCTTTAGCACATTTTTTATTTCGACACCGGTGGCGGCAACGATTATGACTGCACTGATCGGAATCACGTGGTCACTCACTCTTTGGGCCCCTTTTGCGTTGATATCGGCGGAGATAAGTCGGCGGAGTGAAGCCAAACGTCAACGAGAACGACAACGGTTGATGAATGGGATTGATGAAGGAGAGGAGGATGACGATGAGGCCACCGACCAAGCCGGGATCATCCTCGGTATTCACAATGTGGCTGTGAGCAGCCCTCAAGTGTTGGCGACATTGATTTGCAGCATCGTGTTCAAATTATTACAGAAGCCCAGGAATGTACCTGGAGATGTAAGTGTGGGCTGGACATTACGGATTGGTGGACTGGCGACGTTGGTATCGGCATTTATCACATGGCGAATGAAAGAGGCTGGTGACGAGACACCCAGCAAGTGAGATTGGTATGAGCAGGCTTGAAATACGAGGGTAGGAGCTGCAGAGTTGAGTGGTACGTTTGGACTAGCGACAGGGAGCGAGACCGGGGTCTTGTAAAGAGTGGGGACGAAGCCAGAGAGGCCTGAGTGGGGATGAAGTTGGATTGAATGCAGCAATGAGATAACAAAGAAATGGAACGAATTGGATTTTTTCACGTTTGGCTCTTTTCAAGCGGACCAGGTCACGAGACAGGAGGGTAACGAAGGAAAGGACGGTGCATGACGGTGAATTGGACTTGGCTGTCATCTTCAAAGGTGCGTCACTCGTTGGTTCAGCAGTCCGGTGCATCTGACTACATCTGAATGCATGGAAAGAGGCTAGAGCACACATCGGCTACACGGCTCCGTCCTGGATCCAGACCCGATCGCCGGATTTCCCGAACACAGGCTGACAGGGCATGCGATATAACCTCAGTGGCAAGATATCACTGGCAGGCTCAAGGGGATGTGACGGGGAAAGGCATCTCGGCAGAAGAGTGAGAAACGATGCCATGATGCCTTGTACGGAGGGTGCCAGGGTACCAGCGTGATCTCCGCAGGTGCATCCTTATGCACGGAAGCGGCTGACCTGAGATATTCACGACGTGCTCCGGACATGAAAAGAAGATCCATATTGTGGACGGAGCAGAGTGGGCTGGAGGTTGTACCAGTTGGAAAGACATACAAGAGGTGGGTGGAGCGTGGATATGAATCGTGGAGACACGGCAGGGGACTCGGAAACCAATGGAAACAATTCAAGCGGCTCAGGGATCAAGATTCGGTAGGAAAAACTCAGAATCATGACAAGAGGTTTTGAATATCATGGACAGGGTCTTGGGGTTAGTTCAGGTAAGGACTGCAGTGAAATGCTGCCGTGGTACAATACAGAGAAAGAGGGTCGTCTGAGGAGCTGCCACTGATGAGCCAAGTGAGTGCTACCTAAGGGAAGGACATGCAGCATCAGGTGCCATGAAGGGTCGAGTCAGGCCTACGAATAATAACATTTGAGAAAGAAGCCTAATAAGGGGTGCCTAAGCTGGTTTCAGGAATTCACGAAGCCAGGAAGTCGTGAAGTCCGGGGGTTCTTGGCCCCTGGGTGTTGGGTGATGGGCCCGTGGAGGCCAGACAGCCAGACATGGGCGTGTGGCAAGTCTCAGTTGCTGTGACAGGAGACATGAGGATAACCACGGCGATGGTTTGTAGCCTTTGGAGTATGATGCGCCGGATGGGCGAGGAAAGAGGAGCAGCGAGGAGTGAATGGCCGAGTACTAGGTAATAATGAGCAGCAATCACTACGGACGAGTGGACTACGACTACGACTACGACTACGACTACTCTGTACCATCACTGACTGCACTTGCACTTGTTGGTGGTCTGAAGTCTGGATAAAGAGCCGAAGAGCAACCGGGGTGCGTGGGCAGGTGGGGATGCCTGCGTTCAGGTGGCAGTCAAGCGACTAGGCTAAAGTTCGGGCGCACCTGGCAAAACTGGGGACCGGGGCAGCCTCACTCCGGAGCCAATCCGGCACAAGTCTTCGTTACATGGTCCAAGCACACATCCAGATCCTCACCAGAGGTGGATCACGCTTTGTCCCAGACTTTAACCAGAGCAATTCAATGCCCAAGCATGACTGCCTCGATGGAAACTACAAATATCCCGCGCCATGGGTCTATCTCTGATGAACTTGTCCTTTCATTCACTCGTAAGCACCCAGTCATCTAGGCTCAAGAGACTGATACTTGTCATACTCATCAACTCGTCCAAGCTCGCCCCGAGATAGAAAAAAGCCCTGGCAAATTTCTCCATCCTCCTCAGTCCTCACCCACAAATTCCCACAAGCACAACTTTGAGCCTGTGATTCGCTTGCCGGCCCCAAGCCTTGTAATCACGCCCAGCGCCCCAATTCTTCCGAGATAGAACGCCCTCTCACCGCCCACATCGAGTATCCCCCCGGCCATCATGGTCAAAGATATAGCGCCTAAAGCGGGCTTGCCGGCTAATTTCCTGTGGGGTTTCGCCACAGCTGCGTAAGGCCGGCTATGTACCCCAACCTGGTCTCGTGACGTGCTGACATGATCCTAGATACCAGATTGAAGGCGGAGCCACCGCCGATGGTCGAGGGCCTTCAATCTGGGATACCTTTACCAAGATCCCTGGCAAAATTGCTGGTGGTGCCACGGGTGATGTCGCTTGTGACTCCTACCACCGCACCGACCAAGACATTGAACTGCTGAAGAAACTCGGCGCCAAAGTCTACCGATTTTCCATTTCGTGGTCTCGAGTAATTCCACTTGGTGGCCGAAATGATCCCGTCAACGAAAAGGGTCTCCAGTACTATGTCAAATTCGTCGACGACTTGCTCGATGCCGGTATTGTGCCTTTTGTCACCTTGTTCCACTGGGATTTGCCTGATGAGCTCGACAAGCGATACGGTGGTTTCTTGAACAAGGAGGAATTTGTGGCGGATTTTGCAAACTATGCCAAGGTCATGTTCACCGCACTGCCCAAGGTCAAGGATTGGATCACATTCAATGAGCCATTTTGTTCTGCAGTCTTGGGATACAATGTCGGACAATTCGCCCCAGGACACACTAGCGATCGAACAAAGAGTGACATTGGCGACGGCAGCACCGAACCCTGGATTGTCGGGCATCACATTCTCATTGCCCATGGTCAGGCAGTCAAGGTCTACCGTGAAGAGTTCAAGGAGGCTGCCGGTGGCCAGATTGGCATCACTTTGAACGGTTAGTCCAGTGCACTCCACGTCTCGGAGTTACTAACGTTGTTCCAGGTGACTGGACAGAACCGTGGGATCCCAATTCGGAGGCGGATCGTGAGGCTTGTGACCGCAAGATTGAGTTCGCCATCTCATGGTTTGCCGACCCGGTGTACTTTGGCCACTATCCAGAGTCCATGGTCAAGCAGCTAGGAGACCGATTACCTAGCTTCACCGAGGAAGAAAGCCAACTGGTCAAGGGATCCAACGACTTCTATGGCATGAACCACTACTGCGCCAATTACATCAAGCACAAGGACACGGAGGCTGATCCTCTGGACACGGCGGGCAACCTTGACGTGCTCATGGAGGACAAGTATGGTAACAGCATTGGACCCGAGACTCAGAGCGGTTGGTTGAGGCCTCACGCGCCCGGGTTCCGGAAGCTGCTGAACTGGCTCAACAAACGTTACGGCAGTCCCATCTTTTACGTGACGGAAAATGGAACCAGTCTCAAAGGCGAGAATGACCTGCCCATGGAAGAGATTCTCGAGGATGATTTCCGAGTCGAGTATTTCCGCAGCTACATCACCTCCATGGCCGAGGCTGTGGCCGAGGATGGAATTGACGTCCGAGGATACATGGCATGGTCCTTGATGGAGTAAGTTGACATGTTCGAGTTGCTCGGGGAACAGTTGATGCTGACACAGGTGACTTTAGCAACTTTGAGTGGGCCGAAGGCTACGAGACGAGATTCGGGGTGACTTATGTCGACTACGAGAATGGGCAGAAGAGATACCCAAAGAAGAGTGCGCTGGAGATCAAGAACATTTTCGACCAGTATATTGGCAAGGTGTAGATGGCATGGTCGCTGGATGAGACATGTCTCCGTCTGGCTCCGAGATGGTCTGGACGAAGACGCAGCATACGGGCCAATCCACCAAGAGACGCACATCCTGTTTGAATTTGGACATGTCTATCTTGAATACGATGAGACGGCGTTCAAGGTCCATTTGGTCAAGTTCCGAGAATGGATTCATTTGGGAGGGGCAAAAGGCTTTATCCATGCATGCTTTTTTACGTTGATTCGGTCAAGTAAGTTTGTTAGCTAGCTAGGGAGTAGCTCTGGTATGTATGTACGAGTTTCGAAATGTGACTCGAGTGAACAGATGCTGGGTCCTATGTAAGGTTCTGAATGTTGATGCTCTCCCGTGAACAGTTCGAGGGCCGAGGGCCTGAAGTAAACTAAATTTGGCTTGGTGTCAATTTAAATATGGGGATTATGGGAAGCTCAACACCACGGTATTAGCTTGTGAGAATAAGTTCACCCTCGAGACTCCCACTTCTAATCTGTTTGTGTCATCTGACCTTGAGGTGCCATTGTACATTTGACCATTGCATCTTGCCTGTTCCATCTATCTATCCCAAAGCCTCCACAGACACAACCCCTTGAGAACATTGCCAAAGATGGAAACCCCGACAGTGCCCATCAACTTTGTCCCTGTCAGTGCCGGCGAGACTTTTAAATTGGGGACCATCACCATCCGAATCATGGAAGATGGGTCTCGTACCGACAATCGTCTGGGCAGTGCCGAGTTTACGGTCCCGCCACATACATCCGGGTGAGTGATTGAGTGAGTTAGTGAGTGGGATGAGTGAAGTCAGGGGCTTCAAGAGGATGTTGATGGTTTTATGGGTTCATCTTCTTTTCTGTCCACGAGTTGAGAACTATACTATGCTAGAGTGTCACTGCGAGAAAGGCCGAGGAAAGGAGAGAAGCATAACCCTGCAAAAGCGATGATATTTCCAACCCAACTGACATCTGGCCATTTGCTGACGTGTATCTTGGATCTCGTCCACGTGCAGACCTCCACCACACTGGCATGAAATGGCAAGTCCGACCCGTCACCAACTTTGGCTTCTTTCCTCTTTTTTTTCCCCTTTCGACATTTCCATCACCTCTTCCTTGAATCCATTCTTCCCCTGCTCCTCACGATCAACAACTGACTTTGGCTCTTCGATCATCAACAGCACGACGAAACGTTTTTAGTGACCCAAGGTACATTACGGTTCCACGCGCTCAACGGAACAACCGTCGATGCCAAATTGGGCGACTACGTGACGGTGCCGACCCGTTCGCCGCATACCTTCTCCAACCCCTACGACGAGCCGGCAAAATTCTTCAACACCTACACCCCGGCCTTTTACATCAACTACTTCAAGCTGTTGGCCACCCTAGGCGAGGCCGGCAAGCCCATGAACCCAGAAGCCAACAAGAGAGCTATGGCGGTGAGTCATGATGAGTCGGTGTTCGTGATGGTCATAGCTAATGGGTCATGTTCTCGTCCAGTATTTTGCCACCATTGGTGTGGCCGATGACGAGATGCAAGTCGACAAACAACAGTTCTACGGCGAGGCCAATCAGGAACAGGCTGAGAAGAAATAGGAATTCTTTTCAGCAGCATAACCGAGGAGATGCACATGTTTTGGATGATGACTTGGTCGCTTTATGGATATATCATTGTTTAAATGGGAAGACCATGTTCTACACTTCGGAAACAAAGACTCCAGCCATGCCCATGCCCTGTGACTGCGTTAGATGATTGCATCCACCGGGTTTGAATCGAGACTTACTGTGCCAACACACATGGAGGTGAGTGCAACCTTGGCTTTCCTCCGCTTCAATTCGGACAAGGCTGTGACGACTTGTCTGGTGCCGGTGGCGCCCAGCGGATGACCGATGGCACTAGGGCTGGTGAGTGAATGAGGTCGACATAGACTATGAATGACTTACATTGCGCCGCCTCGGACGTTGACTTTCTCAATGTCCAGGCCGAGTTTTTCAACGCAGTAGACGTACTGTAGATTGATGGTCAGCTGAGATTGTTTTATCATGACAGAGTGGCCAACGACATACCATGCTAGAGAAGGCTTCGTTAATTTCAAACAGGTCAATGTCGTCCTTGGTGAGACCGGTCAATTCCAAAATCTTGGGGATGGCCAGACTGGGGCCAATGCCCATGATTCTGGGCTGCAATCCAACGACGGTGCTCTTGACGTATTTGGCGATAATTGGCTGGCCCAACTTCTCGGCAGTGGATCGCTTCATCAGGAGGACTGCTGCGGCGCCGTCGGTGACTTGGCTGGCATTGCCTCCAGTGGTGGTGGGACCCCAGTGCGGGAATGCTGAACGAATCTTGGACAGTCCTTCATACGTGGTGCCAGGTCGAACGCCATCATCTTTGGTGATGGTGATTGTCTTCTTCTCTTTGGTCTTGGGATCGATCCATTGGGTGGTCACGGGGGTAATCTCATCATCGGTCCAACCCTGGGCTTGTGCTTTCTCGGCACGGTTATGCGACATGGTGGCGTATTTGTCTTGAGCTTCTCGCGTGATGTTGAAGTCGCGGGCGACATTTTCTGAGGTCCATCCCATGGGTTGGAGATTGTCCTTTGCAATGGGATGGTTGCTAATGACTGGCCCCAGCTCGGGTGGTTTGTCGTCGTTGGTCGACATGCTCTCGCAACCAACAGCAATGCCTACTTCAATGGCACCAATGGCGATGGAGCTGGCAACGGTCTGAATAGACAACAGGCCAGATGAGCAGAATCGGCTGGCAACATTTGCGGCAGTGGTGACAGGGAACCCAGCTGCTAGCACAGCACTTCTGGCGACGTAGCCGGGAGCGGGTTGCAGCACATTTCCAACGCAGACATCCTCGACAACATTAGGATCGATCCCTGACTTGTCCTTGATGGCTTTGAGGACATGGATGAGGAGCTCTTCAGTGGGGGTGTCCTTCAGACCACCCTTGCGAGCCTTTGTTAATGGAGTTCTGACGGCGGCAGTGATGACAATGTCGTCTGGGTTTTTCTCGAGGATTTTCTTTAGGCCTGGTGAGGTGGTGGTGGTGGCGCTCTGATTCAAGTGGCCGGCCACTGCATCCAATCTTCTTTGGGCGCTCATGTTGGATGTTATTAGGAGCAAGGGGGGTAATCAGTGACTGGAGGGTTCGTGGGGAGACCAAGGGGATAGACTGGCTCTTTGATATGGAGATGATGAATATGCAGAGATTATGGCAAAGAAGAAGAAGAAGTAAATGGGGGTTTTTTAGAGAGCGATACAATCTAGCGGAGTTGGTTCGGAGAGACTCGTCGAAACAATCATCAACGTGCGTATAGGGAGGCTATTAGCAATGAAGAGTGCCTAGGTGATTGTGTTTGGGTGAAGACGATTACAATAGTCTGTCGTGGAATCAAGATTGAACAAAAAGATGCCTCGGCTTGAAGATGTAGAGTTTAATTATTGCTGTTTTGGTGATGAGGAAGGAACGATCGCGGACCGTAAGTAACTGCCGAACGGTTGCAATATCCAGTTCTTGGCCTAGTAGGAAGGGTGGAGGCAGGAGTGATCCGGCCAGACTACAGCACCTGCCAGCAGAAGCCCAGGCACATTGACTCCACTTAAAAAACGTTCGCTCAGAACAATCGCACGAGTACTCCGTCCTTGCACCTGCACAACTTGCCACTGGATTTGAGGAGGGTGGCACTTCTAATTACTCCGGGGTACTTACACGGAAAGACGCTCCGGGTGCGTGGACTCCTGTTCCTATGTTGCCCCGGTAGACTTTTGTTAAGGCATTTGGAAACCTGCGAGTAAATCACCCATAACTGCCCCCATTGGCCCCTGGAGTCGTGGATTGAGAAGGGGCCCCACCTCCATGTGCGTATGTGTGTGTACGGAGTCACAGTTGTGTCTTGCACCTTCCACGCATATAGATGTCCAGACAGAGTACCTGAGCATTTGGGCACCTTCCCAATCTCTTTCCTTCCCCTGAGTAGGTCAGTAGTGACTGCCATAAGTACTGTCGCAACAAACTGCGCACTTTACACTATTTGCTCTTCTTCGCCACCAACCTCGATTCTCTCGGCGCCCTTGTTCATCCAAGACAGTCCCTCAGACTCTTTGCCGCAACATCTCTCTCGCAATATCACCAGGGTGGGGCCTCGGCCGAGGGCCCCCAAGACCACTACTACTCCGTATACTCCCCCAGGCTTGGACATCAACCTGAATCCCCGGTCCGAGACCCGAAACTGTTTCGACATATCGACTGCAAAGAATACGGAGTACTTCCAGACTGCCTCAACAAACGGACATTTTGCATCCGTTCATCCAACGACAATCATCACAAGAATTTAATTTACGTCCGTATTTCAATGCTCTCCAACTCCAATACTGAATTCTAACCTTGAGTGACCCTCAGTAACCATCAATGACCCTATCGTACCTCTCCCATCCTCCGATTGACCTGTGTCTGCCACCTCTCCTAAGGTTCCCTGATCTTCACTTGTAGCCTTTCGGCACTTGCATTCGCACTCGCTTCCTCACCTGCCTGCTCGCCTCGCTCCCTGGAACCCGCTCCACATCCAGATTGGCATGCCAACGACATATCGAGTTGCTCACCTCCCTCTCAAAAGCATCCTTCTGCTTCTGCTTTCCCAGATTCTCCCTTGTCCCATCTGATCCTCTCCCATCCTATATAGCCAACTATTTGCACAGGCACCGTCGCACTCCCCTATAGAAACCACTACGTTAACGCCGCGACACACCTAGCCTGCCACCACACCTCTGCCATCATGGCCACTGTTGCAGCTTCTGTCGCAGCAGCAACAGGCCTACTCTATTATGCAGACAATTCATTTGGTGTCTCGAGGGATCTTTCCATCTACCGCAGCGAGCAACACTTTGCTAAAGTTTATCCCCAATGGCTAGCGAAACTGGGCCACGACTCCACCCATCTATATCGCATGCTCGAACTTGCAGACCCCAATGCCGACGCCATCTGGTTCGAAGGCCGGACGTGGAACTATCGAGCCATGAAATCACAGGTAGACCAACTGGCATCTGGTCTCCACCACCTCGGAGTCAAGAACGGTGATATTGTCGCCGTCTTCATGACCAATTCCCCAGAAATGGTCTTTACCGTGTATGCTCTGACCCGTCTGGGCGCCGCGCCCGCCTTGATCAACAACGCTCTCCGGGATGACACTCTTCTTCACTGTGTGCGACTTCCACAAGCAAATCTCATCCTGAGCACCCCCGACGTCGTCTCTTACGCCGCCTCCGCCGCTCGTTCTCTCCAATCCACAATCAACGTCGTCCGCCTGAACCTGGGTTCCTTCAGACCTACTCCCACTCCCACTTCTGACGGAGTTTCCGACTTTCCCTTCCTGGATCCAACGAGCATCGCCTCTCTCCCGCCAACTCCTTCCAAGTCTGTCGCCTCTGTCGGCGCTCTCATCTACACCTCGGGCACCACCGGAAAGCCCAAAGCATGCAGCATCAAGAATGCCCTCATCACCATTGTGTCATGCACATCTCCCCCCGATGCTGCAAACCCCAAGAAATATCTGCGTGATCTTCGAATCTATTCATGTATGCCTTTGTTTCATGGCACCACCTTCTTCACCGGCCTTTCATACGCAGTCGGCAACAGTGCCTGTTTTGCCATCGGCCGCAAGTTCTCCGCAAGAGGCTTCTGGAAGGAAGTCTCCGAGTCTCGTTCGACCAGGATACTCTACGTCGGCGAACTCTTACGTTTCTTGCTAGCCACCGGCCCCGGAGAGTATGACCGCAAGCACAAAGTCATCGTTGCTGCCGGCAACGGACTGCAAAAGGACGTCTGGGTCGAGTTCCAGCGACGCTTCAACGTCCCTGAGATTCGTGAGTTCTATCGCTCGACCGAGGGTCTGGTCAAGTTCGACAATGTCCAAAAGAGAGGACAGCCGGGTGCCGGCCGAGTGGGATATCTGGGTTCGTTACGGAAGCACCTGCTGGAAAAAGACCAATGGATTGTCAAGTTTGATTATGACTCGGAGATGCCGGTGCGAGACCCCAAGACAGGCTTCTGTATTGTGGCCGATCGAGGCGAGCCCGGAGAGGCCATTGCCAAGATCAAGAACATGGCCACGTACATCAACTATCACGGCAACACCGAGGCGACGGAACAGAAGCTCTTGCGCGACTGTTTCGAAAAGGGAGACGTCTACCAAAGATCCGGCGATTTGCTGGTTCAGGAACGAGATAACTGGGTCAAATTCGTCGACCGCATTGGCGACACGTATCGGTGGATGGGCGAGAATGTATCGGCAGGCGAGGTTCGAGGGTTCATCTCGGAAATTTCAGGAGTCAAGGACGCCGTCGTCGTGGGCAAGCGACTCGACAAGTACGACGGCCAGGTTGGCACGGCCCTGATTGTACTGGATGATGCCTCGGAGAAGCAGGGCAGCGGCCAGGGCGAGGCCGTCTTTGTCAAGACCTTGTTTAAACAGCTGCGCTCCAAAGGCGTCCCTCGCTACGCCATCCCCAGATTGGTCCTCGTGCGAGGCGACCTCGTCGACGTCGGCGACACCTTCAAGCATGCCAAAGCCATTGCCAAGAACATCGCCTGGGGCGAACCTGATCCATCGGGCCTCACCAGGAAATACTACCTCGACCTCCAAACCGAGACCTTCAAGCCTCTGGATGCTGCGAGCTGGCAGGCCATCCAACTCGGCAAGGCCAAGCTGTGAAGTCGGTCCTATGCCACGTAAATATGTGGGTGGACATTGTGTCTCGGCTCCACTTATCTTGTACGACAACCTATCTCAGACTTTTTTTGAACCAGCTAGCCCAACTTTGGAGAGAATAGTAAAAGAACAGGCTACATGGCTGATATAATCCTGCCACAGTCCAGGGTTCTTCCGCCCATGTCGGATGCAATATACTCTAGAAATGTTTATATATTCGGCCACAATAGCCTTGTGTTGAGTACGAATACACATTGTAGTCATCTACTGCAGGCTCGGCTTTCCCAAGTACCCGCGCCTCATGTGATGCCAGGACACTCGGGTTACTGGGCCTGATGGAATAGCAACGCCGGGATGGTATCATCATTGTTCATGCATGCGATTCAGTTCCCATTTTGATAGCTGCATCACTGTTCACACGTGACAGATATCCATTGTGCCATTCATTCTACGGCTTAGGTGACCCCACACATAGAGATGTCAGCCTCGTCGCACCCAATCGACCTTCACCCTTCCATGGCCTGACACACGATCAATAGGCGACGGGATCAACACTGATCGACGACCATCCGAGAACCGTGATGCCGGTGTGTCAATGATGGCCGCATGTGATTCAGGTGCCCATGCTCCCTTGCATTCCATGCTCACCGACGATGGTTGATTGCATGAGCTCTTCGACGACTGAAGAGATGCACACGTGATGCTGCTTGGATAGCTGCTCGTGTCGGACCGGCTTGATGTAATGACATAGCTCCTGGATCGCGTTGGCAACACCGAAGAAAGGTTTTCTTGTGGTGTTCCTTGCTCGGCGCGTGTCTTGTTGATACAACAGTTACAGTTTGTCTCAGCGTGTGAACAACGTGTATTTGCGCCAAAGTTGGGCCTCGACCTCCTTCTCGGACTCTGTGATGATCTCTCCGAATCCAGAATCGTGCCTGGGCCCCATCGCTTGGTATATCCGCGCCAAATACGCTTGACACCTCTGTCACGCTTGCGAATCAATCGATTCAACACATTTTCAACTTCAACGAGTCCTTCTTCAATCTCCTGGGTCAACTTTTCGTCTTGAGGAGAGCGTTTAATCAAGGCCCTGTCGAGGTATCTCTCTTTCAACGCATCCAGAGTAGTGGAGAGATTCTCAACTTCGACATAATATTGATCCAAGATAAGTCCTTCGGCTTGTCTTCGAGCAGCGAGGTCGCAATGACCACATTTGCCATCCAAAACGTAGATTTCAAAACTCTCGTCTTGTGCTCGACTCAACAGGTCCTCTGGTGTATGTAAGAGAAGGCTTTGCTTGAATGGCACTGATATCGGACTGACGTTGAGTGGTCGAGAAGCTGGAGGTGAGGTATGAGGGCACTGAGTGAAATAGAATGGCTGAGCATACGCAATTTCTGGCTCTGGTAAGATTACCTCGCGTGTGGCTTCTCGAAGGTCTAATCGAGGCTCCAGGGCATGATAAGGAGTTGCCACGTCGCTCGGCAATGGAGCTGCTCCATTGGATTGGCGTCGTGCCTGTCGACGGGACTTGATATACTTCGGCGGAATCGCCATTTGAGACGTAGGCACCCTAGACCCTTGAGAAGCACTAAAAAGACCAGCTTTCTGACTTCGTCGGGGAGTGGGACAGATGGCAATTGACTTGGTGGATGGGCCGACTGAGATGAAAAAATCCGAATTTCTTGATGTAGACATATTGTCAGGGTTGGCAACTGCTGTGCATATCCACAAAGTTCTGCGGATCAGTCCATTTATGTCCAAGTCTCATCATTGAACACAAAGAAACATAAGATAGACATTGTTTTCGGCATGAGTTTGGATGTTTGCCTTTGTGTGTGAGCTCGGAGACGCTATGAAAGAGTTCTTGGGTCTCTTTCTTTGATCTCTTCTCACGGGTGTGGCGGAACTATTGACATGTACGGTATGAAAACTCGAACAACGCCGGCAACAGGTTTGACAACAGCTTTTGAAGTCATCCGAAGCCATATTGGCCAGGTATGCCAACCAGAACAGGAACTGCCGACCCTTGCAGCCAAGGGGCAAGATGGCATGATGTGAATCTCAGTCACGTGGTGTGTGCTTGGCGTTAACAAAGGCGCCGAGTTCATGGGCGCTGGAGTTGCCATGAGGTCAATCGTCTTGATCGACACGGCCGGTGAGGATGATGCCAAGATTTAAGCGGCAGCGAGCGATTTCATGTTCGAGAGCGCTCAACTTGGCGGCGACACTCAATAGAGTGGGATCGGAGGTTTCGACACGGACCTTCTCCCTAACCACGACATCTTGCTTTCCGCGCCACTCAAAGATCTCGCCCATCTCGTCGTGGTTGGCTGGTTTAGGACCTAAGCCGAGTAGTTTGCTCCGGAGACTAAAGCCTGATAGTGAGAATGCGGAATCAGTGGGTGTGCTGGGAGTTCCGCCTGGTGAAGTCGGGGATAGAGTTCGAACAGTCAAGACGAGATTAGCGTCCTGGACGGTAAAATGGAGACTTAAATGTTCTCCCAGCGGTGGTTGAAAGACATTCTCATCTGGACTGTCAGTCCACCAATCAGTGCCTGGGATCGGAGGCTGGTCGGAGCCCGGGATGGGGCCTTTTAAGCAGGCTTTGGCATCGCGCAGATGATCGTGGAGAAGTTTCAGTTGGCCAGAGATGAATGATGAATCAGTTGAATGACCAGTCCAACGAGAGACGTCGATGATGTCGAGGGAGTCATTGACCATTGACTTGACGGTCAGGAGTTGGGGAAGAAGAATGTCAGGGGAGGTTGGGGAGGCACAAAATATTAGACGGGTGGAAGGCGTCGATGTAGTTGTGCCTCGAGGGGTGTTGGGCGGAAGAGTGACCAGTCTGAGATGAATGTCCTGGAAAGGATTTAGTAATCTAGGTGTATGTGGGGGGCGATGATGGACGAACCCCTTTGACAAGTTTAGTTCCGACTCTATTGACAAAGCCCTTGACAGATTCGGATCTGAGAGAGGACAAGACGAGGGTTGAGCCAGGCTCTTGGGGGGCCAATAAAGCGGCACAGTCCTCTAAACCCTGTTTCAACTGGAGAAAGGACCGTTGCAGCGACTCGAGGAACCATTGAAGCTCAAGTCTCTGTAGCGGAGGTCAGATAAATGATGGACCCACGCAGTATGGGAGCTTCTCACCAAGGAGTTATCCTCGGCTGTGCGAAGTTCTTCGGGCGCAATGGGAGGATAGACCCAAGTTGCCATGATTGAATCGATGGGGGAAAGTAAGGGATGGATGACTCCTGTACTGCCAGCCTTGTGAGAGGTAGTATGAGTCGGGAGAGAGAGACACTAAAGCGAAGACAAGGCTTAGACAAGAACGTCAGGTGATTGGACGATGTGGGATTGGCAGATTCCAGCCATAACAACAACCATGACGACGATGAACTGTAGTGATGTGCGCGAATGACATGGACCTAAAATGATGGACGGTTTGGAGAAAAGAGATTTGCAGAGACAGAACTGGGGTGGAAGGGAGTCTGGAGGTCAGAGGTTACGCTATCGAAAGGCTAAGGTGGATGTTAACAGCTGAAGAGAGGAGCAACTAGGAGCTAGTCAATGTCAAAGAGCGGAGGCTAGCTATCTTCAGGTCAATTTGGGTGTTAACACTTTAGTGCATCCCTTCTGACTTTAGCCTGGCCAAGATTGGGCGATAAATGACGTCGCATCGCACATGTTTGACGGACTGATCTCTTCTTGTCGGTCCCGCTTTCCAAGCTAGTTCGGGTCTCCAAGACCGTCATGCGCCATGGATGCCACTTTTCTTCGTCAAAGCCACAACAATCATGTCATCAGATCAGCTCAAGGGACCCCTCGGGCCCATTTTGTGGTGTCAATCGCCCCGGACACCACTGTAATTATTGTTGTCCTTACAGTAACGCTTGACCTGTACCACACCACTCGCATGAGGTAAATTGCATGGCGAGAGAAGATTAAATAGGTGATTTCAATTATGAGTATTTGTATTTAGTTGAGAAAGGTGAAAAGAGGAGTGTGTAGATGAGTAGAGAAGCATCACGAGATCCTCGCTCCACTAATAATAACACCCATTATACCCACTTAGAAATTAATTTGCTGTTGTGTTGTCCGCCCAAAAGCCCCCAAAGCTCCAGTGGCCTGTCGTGACAACCAGAATTGAGCCACACTAGGTGCCCGCAGGATGAAGTCAGGCCCTAAGAGGATGGGCACCAAAGCGGGACTGAGGGGGGTCCTCTTGGGCGCATGGGGGGGGGTGCGGGTGCCCATCGTGCCATCATTTAGACTTTAGACTGCCTTTGGCTGTCGTCGGTCTAGGGCTCTGGATTCTTGGCTTTGGGCCGGTGTTGATGTGTGCGACCCCAGTGACCTCATCCAAGACATCCTCTCGACCTCTCGACCTCTGACCTCTTCTGACCTCTTCTGCCTCTTTTTGCTCGGCTATCACAAACACTTCCAATTCTTCCGCTACAAGAGTAATCCTTGTCCTTCTCTTCCCTTCTCTCAACCCTCGCTGTCGCCTTACCCTTGAGCTTGCTCACCCTCATTCCTCCAACTTCCAACATCCATTGACGTGTTTGTCACTCGTGTCAACAGCTGCACTCTCACTCGCTCCACCACCTTGTATTTGCCCAAGCTCTGACTTCGGCAAGCAACGCGCAAAAATGGCCGGCAGTATGTCAGCCCACCTGTCTGTCACCACAATACCAAGCTAACCAACATGTACTTGCAGAAGGAATCTTCAGTCTCGTCTCCTTGATTCTCGTCGCAGGCGGCGTGCTGTTCATGATCTTTATCCTCCTCGCTGGCGCCATCGATGGTTCTCCAGTCAATAGATGGTATCTACTCGAGGCCGACACATCAGCGATCCCAGGTGCCCCACCGTTGTCGAGATGGACATATTGGAACGTCTGCGGTGTCCAAGACGGTGTCACTGCTTGCGGAGATGAGGACTATTCCGATGTTCACCCAGCATACCCGCTTGATCCCGCCTCTCACCGGACCTTTGATACTGAGGTCGGCGTCCCTCAGAATTTCCTCGATCATCACAACTCTTACTTCCTGATGACCCGCTTCATGTTCGCCTTCATGTTGGTCGCCCTCTTCTTTGGCGTCATGGCTCTTTTCTCCAGCGTCCTCGCTCTCTGCACCCGCATCGGGAGCTATCTGAGTGGTTTCTTGGCCTTGGTGGCATCTTTCTTCCAGGCCATCAACGCCGCCCTGATGACGTGAGTATTCCCTCATTGCACCAGTATATCTTGTGTCGCCGTGAGTGAGTTGCTAATGATATGACAGTGCTGCCTATGTCCGCGGTCGCGACGCCTTCCGAGACGACGGCTACGAGGCCCACATTGGCCAATATGCCTTTGGCTTCCAATGGGCCGCGTTGGTATGCTATTTCATTGCTGCCGTCCTCTTCTGTGTAGGTCCTCGAAAAGACCGCGATACCACACCCCGCGGGGGATTCTTCAAGGGCAGTCGAAGCCGGAGCACCCGCAGCCGTGGTAGCTTTGTGCACGACAAAGAGTATGGGTCATGACAGACCACTACACCAAGAGCCGGGAGAGAAGGTGAGATGAAGCGGAAAGGGAGAGACATTTAATGCGGAAGAGATCAGGGGGAAGAGTTAACGAGGTTGTCGGTCGAAATCATCTGGGAGGTTCCCCCTCCAGTTGTCACCCAAAACGATTATAGTGCATCATCCCAACCACACCAACATCCACACCAACACAGACACAGACACACAGTAACGCCTTGACTTGACATGTTTGATTGATCCAGGAGTTACGTTTGAAATGAGGGCACCATCTATTGATCTGCCTATCCAGCCTATCGGGCCATGTTAGTACAGGATAGCGATGGTTGCGTGGAGTTCTTCTAGCGGTCGGGGTCTTGGAAAGGTACAGACGAACTTCATCAAACATGGGAGGTGATGCCTTTGGGACCTTCTGCCATGTCCACCACTGCCACGCCGCGCCACGTCATGGCGCATACATGGAAACGAATTTATCTAGTGTTTTGACATTAATGCTCATCTTGGTAGACATGTGCCCAAGGTCAAAGATGCTTGAAAAAGAAAAATATTTCAAAAGAATCAATACTTGAACCAATCTCCCCCGCCGTCTCACTAACGCTATACTCTAATCATGCATGGCGCCGAGGGAGGGAAAGATGCTCAACGACGCTCCAAGGATCACACAAGTGTACAATCATCAACATTGATTCACACAGGCCACACATCCCCATCAGGTCAATGACTCCCAGCCTCAAGCACCCACAACTGCTTGGAATTCACGAACCCCTTGTCGAAACCCATGTTCCCACTCCCAGCCAAACGGTGTGGCATTTCTGTCTGTCAATCGTTCCTCCCTCATACGTTTGAGAATCCACAGTTCCAACCCCCCTCCCAACAGGTCCGCTCCAATCACCGTGTTCTCGTCCACTTGACCTTGCCCCGGACCCCCAGGGCTGGAAACCGAGGCCCCGTCGAAGCCCACTCCGCCCCCTCCGCTGCTCATGCTGTGGAACGTTTGCAATTCCGCCGCCGGAACCGCACTGGGCACCACTCCGTTTAACCTGGCGCTGAAAAACTCTCGTGCATCATTCCAGCCCAGGTCAAAGCCATTAGCATATCTCCAGTGCTCAAACATCTTGCCCGGGTTCTGTGAGTCCCACCAGTTGGAATGCCCCAGGAGGTTCCCTTGCAGCTTCTCGCTTCGCATAAGGTCGGCTTGCTGCAACTTGTCTCGAATTTGCTTGATGCTAAAGTTGAATGCTGCGGGAGGAATGACAAAGTTGTTCTCGGTGGCATACTTGAACCCCCATTCCCAACCCGGCATCCATTCCATCTTGTATGTCCAGAAAGCTGATCCGGAGGCCTTGTTCTGCCACGTACGGGACTGGCTAGTTCCAAATTCTCGCATCAGGTTATCCTTTTGATCCTCAGGGCTGCGGGACCACGTTTGAGGAGCCAGGGCGAGTGAGTATTCACCGATGTAGACAGCCACGGCAGCTCCATGATTGAAAACATCTCCAACAAAGCTAGAGTCGAGTTCGGGAAGCTCGTGTTTGACTTGTTCGATGATCTGGTATGGAGAGCGAGAAGTGTCTTTTTCATCAAAGGTCCAATATTTGTGACAATCCACAAAGACTGGGGTTTTCGGAGGCCCTGCTGTGGTGGTGTTGTAGGCTCTTGTGAAGCCAGTTGCGCGGCTCAAATCCCAGCCATCACTGATGTATATCGGCAGCGTGTAGTCCATTGCAGAGACGCGTTGGATGACATCGTTGTACCATTCGTACATGCCAGGAGGATCGATGATGGACTCGTTGACGATTTGGATGCCTACCACGGCATGTTGGAGTTGAGGATCACGAATAGTTTCATCGGCGATGAATTGAATACAACGGGTGGCTAGACCCAGGTAAACCGGGTTACCCCATAGTTCGGCCTTCCCACTGGACGTGCCCGAGTGACCTTCGTGGTTGGCTCCACCAGGGACGCCGTGAAGATCGATGATGACTCCAATGCCTCGAGAAAAGCAACGAGCGATCAGATTTTTGGCGATTGACCAGGCGTTGACGTAGACTTGGGCTGGTTCGCCTGCGAATCGAGTGTTGTTGCAGAAATTGGGACCGAGAGTAAAGTAGCCGATGGGCAGGCGAATATTGTTGCAGTGAGCAGATTCGACCAGGTAGTTCAGGTCGTCTTCGCTGAGGGCATTTCGCCAGTGCGTTTCAAACTTTTCTCTGGTGGCTTGCAGTCCACGCTTGTTCAATGAACTATGGGCAATGTTATTCTTGACTCCAAGGACAGCTTCAATTAAGGTCTAGGAGCACTTACGCTATAATGGCATCATGTTCACTACTGGAGGAGACCTCGGCATCGTACATGCCACCAAAGAGCCACTGCTCGAGGATGAAGATACTACCGAGGTTGGTACCATGCTGGTATCGATATCTCAGGATATCTTTGGCGGTGGGTCGAGCTGCAGGCTGCCATGACATGAAGCCTTGTGGGGGGGGAGGCTGCGCTCGAGCTTGAGATTGTGATATGTTATGTCAGGCGGGCTGAGGTTTAAATAAGAATACAATGAGGAAGAATGAGAGAGGAGCCTGGCATGGAAGACAGGCACTCAGATCCTGAGACGAGACAGTCTTCTGGAGAGGCGTTTACCTGTTCCTGCCCACTCTAGACAAGGTTCGACGGGAAGGGCCGATGCGTCACAACCGTGATTGTAGAAGGAACAAGGGTCCCCATTGTGACATTTTAGAAGCTGAAGTCGATATATCGAAGTCTCCAGGACCTGATGTCGACAAGTGGGCACAAGGCTGAGGGATTCAAAGAAGAAAATACAGCAAACATACTCACAGGTTCATCATTCCCACGAACTGTGTCTTGCAAGTCTTGGAATGCTTTCTTAAACACCTTACGCATCTTGGTTGGCCGGGGCTCCTATATATGGGGATTTGGATGAAGGTCTTGGGCCGAGGGGCCTTGGTAAGTTGAGGTTCAATAAGATAATAGTTTATGGCATTGCCATGGTGGTGTCTGATCAATCTAGAAGAGCAAATGTCCGTTATTATTGGGAACTGCGTGACTGCCTCTCTTCTGTCTGCCAAGCCAGCTGACGCAAGCTTTTTATTCATTTAAAGTTAGGGAAAGCACTCACATCCAGTTGGGACTTGCCAGATACCAACGCACACCATCCACGACTACCGAATTAATTTCCTACGATACTGAGAGTACCTCAGTTGAGATCATCAAGCATGTCTGCGTAGAACACATGAGTGTATTCGTGCGAGATATTGATGCGTCAAGTTTCTGATAAGCAGAGTTACAAAGTACTCGGGTATTTCCCGCACCCTGGCTGGCCTTGAGAAACAATTCAACAAATCTATATCAGGAATCGCCTTGAACTCGGTCGTGGTCACGTTGCTCATTGGTCTCGCTCTTGGAGCCTCTGCTCCTGATCCAGGATGAGCACTACTTCATCAGTAATTCCATCTGCTCCTTTCGCCGTTCTTGTGCTGTCTGTGCACGTTTGGACTGTGAAACATGATCTTTGACGTCTCCGATTCCTAGAGGGTCAAGGTCATCTGCTAGAGCATCCACCGCGACCTGTTCATTTTCGGTCGTCGCTTCAACATCCAATACTCTTGATGGGGTTTCTGCAGTGTCATCCACCCCGGGGGAAGGCTCCGCTAAGGTGGCTCCGACTGATTCCTCTTCCTTGCTCCGGCTCGACGTGAAACTCGGTTGTGTAAAGGATGGCGGCTCAGCACTTGGAACATTTGCTGCCTGCTGAGAGGACACTGGTTCATCCGGGTGGTAGGTGGTAGACGCGAGAGAGTCACGCAAGGGGAGGGGGCTTTTGCTCCTTGCCACGGGCGCGTGTTTCCCCGGGGAAGCAGTCAATCCGATGCTAGTCTCGCTGTTCTCGACGGCAACCAACACCGGCGTCCTCGATCGAGACATGGGCGCGGATGTGGAGGCAGATTGCGTCCCCACAGAAGTCCACACATCTGTGTCTCCATCACCGGCACCATTTGCGGCATGTTTATGCGTCGGTCTGCCGTTCATTTCATCGTCAGTCCGGCCGAATAGTTCATTCCACCATCTCACCTCATCCGTGCGCGGAAAGATCAGCCTCTCTCTTCCTCGCACGTTGTCGTCGATGACAGGGTCATATTTGGGGTTGACAAACTCCTTCTGTCGAGCAAGAAAATAGTCCCACACGCTCTTCGTACGTTCATTGAGACGTGCGTCTCTTCGTTCCCGCTCACTGTCCAGCAAAAAGGTGCCATACTGACACGAATAAAGGTGGTACAGCAGACGTCGAAGAAATCTTTCTGTAAACTCAAACCTCGTCGGGTGTTGATACATCAACTGATAGGTTGCATCGAGGAATTGATGGAAGATCGGAGCTGTTTCCTTGACCTTGGTGATCAGCTTCTCCTTTTCCTTTTTGGAATTCCCTGTCACGATTCGGCGACCTTGCTGAGACTCGGAATCATAGTTACCACCGGTATCCGCGTCAGAATCGACAATCGACTCCCTCGAATCGTTGTGCTTGCTATTGGAAAAGAATCCCTTGGCGCTGAGGAAGGCGTTCTCGAGGCTTTTCTGAGCGCCGCTAATGGCATTGTTGGCGGTGGGATCCCGCCCCTCCGCATCGTCCGTGTTACGACTGATCCTCTCATTTTCGATCTGGAACCATTTCTCCGAGCTCAGGAATCCAGATCGATGTTTGAACATGTGCCCGAAACTCAACCAATCCTTCTCCACCAGGACGATGAATCCTTGAATAGTCCGATAGTACGGGTCCAGACATATCTGGCTCAAGGCTGACAGTTGACTGGTCCTGTCCCAGCCGTCACTGCAATGAATCAAAACATGGCTGTGCTGCAGCCCGACCTGTCTCGCGATCAAACTCACGCCATCCAGAACCGTGGCAATGTGTCTCAACCAATTACTCTTTTGAAGCAATTCACGGTTGGGGCCCAGTGGAGTAAGATCCGAGTCCTTGAGAGCATCAACCACCTTTTGCAGGCTATCACGCATGACATGGATGTTGTCGATTCCGAGGTAGGCCTTGGTAGCAAACTTGTAGTTGTTCATGTCTTCAGAACCGGCCCCCACAGCCTGCATAGCTAGAGCATTGACCGTAGGACGTGCGTCGATGATCATGTTCCTTTGCTGGGCTCCGTAGACGAGAGATTTCTTGTCGTCAGAGTCGGTGCTGGACTCTTCATCACCTCTTAAGCGAGCGATAACCGCATCCTCCAGAGCCTCGGCGTCTGTGTGCTGAAGATCACCATCCAAATTGGTGGCACAACCGGGGTCGAGAGCATCCCTGACCGAGCCAGAATCTTCGCGTTCGGGGACTGGAGAGCTGTAGGCGGAGAGGGGTCTCTCGGATCGGGTGGTGTTGAAGATGGCGGCGAGTAACTTTTCATCTTGGATACTTCGGTTTCCCCGGACACCGACCAAAGGCTGGGAACAACGCGTAATGGAGCAATCGTTGACAGGATGGAGGTAAGTGAGAACAGGGATTCTCGCCCGGGATCTGTATCGAGCTGCGTAATTGAGGGTGTTGTCAGAGATGGCAGAAGGGACCACCATGGTAGATGGATAAGTCGGGGAGAACTGTAAGTGTCAGCAATGTGTGCAACCGTGAGTCTGAATCTCGAAAGAGGATCTCAAAGTAAGCAGACTCACCGTATAATCGTGATTTAACCTGGAAACTCTCCACTGCTGCCTTCGGCTCAGGTCCCCCACGCCCATCCTCTTGAACTCGGCTTCAGGGGTATAAATTGACCAGCCGCTGGGTGAGACATCTTTCTCTGGACCCTGGGATTGATAGCTAAAAGCATACAATTTGTCTATGCCGCTCAATTTGCAGGTCCAGGCACGGATGCTGTCATAGACATCCCTGGCTTTCCGGTCATCGTGAAGATAGAAACACGCAAAGGTGAAATCTCGACAGCGTAATCGGATGGAGCTGGGTTGTCTAGAGGCAGAGGGGCTAATACGAAGAGTACATGTTTGTATGATGGGGTAGGTGATCCAAAGTTCTCGGGGACGAGGAGGTTTGGTGGTGGGTGCGGTGGTGTTGGTCGGAGGGGGAGGGGTATGGACAAAGATGAGATGGTGAGGCGTCAGGTGCAGAGTACCAGCCACTTGATCACCGCGACGAGACAGGGTAACATCTTCAACCTAGACAAAACGACAGTTAGAAGAACCGCGGATGAGTTAGTGCGTTGGGAAGGCGTTCGACGACCGACCTTTGCAATACGGGTGCGCTCCATGGCCATGGTGGCTTATGAAGCGGACCATCGACAAGATGCCCACGGTTAGAGGGTGACTCTGTGCTGACAGATGTGAATCAAGCCATAGCTGCAAATGGAGGAATATGATGTGAGGATTGGAATAAAGAAAAGAGACTTGTTTGACGATCGATAATCTCCCCAAGTGACTGAAGGTGGGTGTAGTATGAGTGATGACAGTATGTAGAACATAACATACAGTTTCAATCTGTTTATTAGATGGAGGGGATCTGATGGCATCTCGCAGATTTCAAGGTTTAGTGTCTGGCAGACGCCGCTAATTGGTTGGTTCCAACGCCATGTGGACTTCCATCTACTTTGCAAGTACTAAAGTACATTACCAGGTATTTCATACTCGTAATCTGTCCAGTGGCACCTCATGTTCACGTTCCCTTTCACTTTCACATACTTTACAAATGCCTAGGTAACCCTTCACAGATGCATTGGAAACTAGGTCTTTCATTGGGGTTCTGTTTAATTGTCCAAGTAAAGTGTCACCCAAGCATCCGGTCTCGTCCAGCGGCAGCCAGCGACATATCCTTGTTCTGTCCCATATATTGCTCGTTGACTCACCGACAGCCTTGCTTGGGCTGTCACCCACGAGAGTAATCGCTCTGTTCCCTGTCATTTCGATACCCCATCTCCTAGGTTCTCTCATCCTCAAGTTCATGAAATGGTCTTTCTGCTCGCTTTGGTTCACATTCCCATTAACCTCTTTGCTTCATGACTAATAGTACATTCAGACAAGGCAACTGTCCAATCCGGGTCATGGTCAGAGACTGGGCGTCGAATCATTATCGCATCATCCGCCATCTTTGCACTCTTTCCTCCAAAAACGCCATGCTATGTGCATAACCCACAAAAAGGTAAATGATACACGCCTGTCTGTCCTGTCTTTAGGGTCTAGACATTATCCCGCTCATAGCTTATGCTTGTGTTGCATCGCCTATAAAAACTCATCGATATGGCGCAAAATTTCTCCACCTTCTCCTTGCTGATGTGGGCTTCGAGGGTCGCAACAGATTGGGGCTCCTTCCTCGACCACGCGCCTCGTAGGTGGGAGAATCACCTGATGACGGGGCATGGAGAAGATTCTCTCTCGCTTGAGACCCGAGAATCGACCTTGGCCCGTTGCTAAATCCCCCGCCACAACCAGTCCGAATGGAGATGCTCGGAACTCGTTCGCCCGTGGCGATAGCAAAGATGGCGTCTCGGGTACATCTTGCATCGCCAGATCCATTCGTGGTGACTCGATCTTGAGTCCCAATCGTGGAGATTTGGCAGGAGGAATCGGTACATCCAATGTATGTTTGTGTTCAAACTGCTCCCGAAATGGTAGCGGCCGTGGTGATGGTGGAAGTGGGGAGGTTGGCTCGTCAGTCTTCGGCTCAACTTCCAGCATTGGTACAACATTTGGTTTAGCGATCCCACCCAAAATTTGGCTTAGTTTGGACGGTGTACCGCCAACGGGCGCCTCCTTCGGAAACAAGGGTACTGGTGGGAGTGCCTTGTTCAGCTTCACCGTAGGGGCCACTGTCACGGCTGGTAGTCGTGCGCCTTGGCCTTGTGCTAGCGATGTGTTGGACCTCTCCATTGCTGCTGGCTCGTTGGCAGTTGGCGCACGCCAGAGGGGCTGGCCCTGGGTTGAGCCACGGAACTTCCACCACGAAGGATTGGGCTTGTTTGATTTCTCTCCATATTGGCCCTTGACCACCCGTGACCGAAAGTCGGCCAGCTGATAGATCAAACTCATGTTTGGACCTACCCACTGGCTTCGCTCCTTGACCGACATGTACATGGAGTGAAAGTCACTCTGGTATCCCCTGTACAGCCCGTACGCGATAACCAACGATGCAGAACGACTGACGCCAAGTTGGCAATGGATCAGCACCTTGTTACCTGCTTTGATCCTGGCGTCAATCAGTCGACAGAGGCAGTAGAGGTCCTCGAGAATTTCTGAATTATGATCCCAGGGGATGTGGAGATACTCAGGCTGCTTTTGGGAGGTTGATCGCGGTCTCGGCGTCGTAGGCGTAGACGCCTCATTGGGTGGCAACCATTCCCACGCTGACTTGAACGACATCTCGGAAATGGCGGTTTGAGGCTCCGTCACGTCAGGACGAGGTTTATCAAAGGGACATTGGACTTCCTTGGCCACGTTGATCACCGTATCAAACTTGCTTGCTTCTTCCGCAGTTGGTTCGAGGTAGAGGTAAAGGCCCTCGTCGTATATTAGTACTGGTCCATTAGGGTAACCAGTTTCTTGCGTTTCTTGCGACTTTAGTCCGCGAGATTCGTCCTCCTCTCTTAGTCCCGGTAAAAAGCCATTGCCCGCTTTTGTAGAACTGCTTGAATCCGAGGCGGACGCCGAGTTCGGCCCCAAGAAAGCGTTATTTGTACTCGGGAGAGGTAAGAATAGACCTTGGGGTGGGGGCTTGGTGGGTGAGGCAAGTGAAGACAGGGCTGGAGAAGAAGCCATGTGGAGCAGTGCCGGCCTTGCACTAGGAGTGGGAGGTATGTCAGTGCCACGGGGAAAGGACAATTGTTGAAATCCAGGAGTTCGTATGGTAAGGTTGGTGGGTTTCCGCCGGCCTGTCCTCGGGGTGTCCTTCAGAGGTGAGGTAGGAGCAGAGAGGGTAAAAGAGGTCTCTGCCCCGTGCGATGTGGCCGGCCGCGGCGAAAGGACAGAATTCATATTGATAGAGAGGTTCTTGACATTTTTGGCATTCTCGGGAGGAATTCCGTTCAAGTGCGCTGAGGGTGTAGGCAACTCTGGTCGGATGAATTTGGGCTTCTGATGATGGACGAATTGATCTTGGGGGGTCTTGAGTACGAGGGAGGTAAAGGGCGAGATGGGTAAGTTGGAATTGGCAGATTCGGGAGAAGAAGAAGGTGAAGGATCCATGACCAAAGGCGAGTCGAATGTGGAGTTTGTTGTGGTTGGTGACGAGTTGGTCGAGGTGGAGTTCATGGATGTGATACTATCACGGTGATAAAGGGATTGGGTGGACTGCTGGAGCGACAATGAAGGTGGTGCGGCGTCAGTGACTAGCAGCTGTGTGTCACTGTTGAGGGTGTCAAGCGTGGGGATGTCTTCCATATCCTTTGGTAATGAACGATCTGCAGTCCCAACAGCTGTGATGAAGGTTGGGAAGGGTGTTGACATTATCGAGTCGACCTCAACCGGCATATTCAAAGATTGGAAAGAGAGGGTCCGACGATCGGGAGAAAGATCAATGATCTGAGGTTCGGGAAATGTCACTGAGCGGGGAGTGACGGCCTGTTCATGGCGGATGCAGCGGCGTAGGTTGGTGAGTTGATGGTAATTGGTGACCAGGTCAAAGGACCTCTTGCGCTGATGATCGTGAGCATGATTTCTGACTTCGTAGAGCATAGCTAGGATTCAGGTGCCGTGATTTCGAATGGGAGAGGTAAAGGACGACGAGCACCAGATGTGTTCTACGGAGGAGGGACGGGAAGGAGGGGAGATAGGTACAATAGACGGCAGCGATGATGTTGGAAGTCAACTTACGGAATTGCAAACAAAGAAGCAGCACGGCAACGAAACTCGCGCATGCGACCAGAGACAAGAGCGAGATGATGTCCCGACACTGGGGGTTCTCAATCGGTTTCAGATTCAGCGCGTGTGTAATGTGCGGCGCAGCAGGTCAGCCTGGGCTGGGGAGCTCCACCAGGATCTGAGGATTTGGGTTATGATGCGACCGAGGGTTGCAGAGGCCAGTAATGGTAGGTCCCAATATTTACGAAGATGAACTTGCCAGCGGTTGAGTGACTGTGAAACAACTGACGGAGGAGGGATGGTTTTGAGCAGCCAAGTTAGCGACCAAGGCAATGTGAAGGTCCAAAATGGAGAGCGGTAAGGTGTCGAACGCGGTGGATGTGACAGAGTGGTGCTAGCAACTCGAGGTGGGCGAGAAGCGCGAGATGGCGCAATAATGAACGGGGTCAGGACCGAAGCAGCTGGTGAGTAAAGTCTAGAGACGGTGGAGGCGACAGAGTGTTGGTGGTGACTCGTGAGGAAGAGAAAGAGTCGACCAGATAGGTGGAATATTGAGATGCGACCTGGGTGCGGCCAGTTGGTGGTCGAATTGGAACGAGTCTGACGCAGGAAAGCCGCGGAGAGGGTAGGATAGGCTGTCGCAGGAAGCGGTATGAGGGTATGAGGGTAGGAGAGAGGAAATGAGTTGAGATGGAACCAAACTAGGAGACAACAGGGTCCAGGGCAAAAGATGGAGGAAAGCTGAAGCCAACCGAGCAGCAAGAAAGCATGGTGTTGAGAGCGCGGAGGGTCAGAATGGCAGTGGAGAGTCGTGGTAGTCTAGGCGCTTGGAGTTGCAAAGAGGGGAGGAAGTGGATGGGAGTGGATGGCAGTGGATGGCAGTGGATGAAAGTGGAGAGAGAGGGAGAAGCTGTGGATGGACAGAGGAACAAAGTCTGCATCAGGTTGACAAGGGACAAGAAGGAAAGAATGAGCAATATTAGCCAATCAAAGAGGAATGTTTGCTGCGGGGCAAGAACACTTTGTTGTTATTGGTTCCCTCGGCCAACCTGAAACTCTGCCACCAGCTGCTATGAATAGAATATTCAATTTCTCGCTTGGCCTCCTCTCGACTGAATGAATGTCCATGCCATCCTTGCCGCGCGCATCCTACTGTATGTACGTAGATGCATACGAAGTACACGCCACTAAAAGCAACGAATATGTGTGTCTGGAGGTCTAAGCAGATGCATCCCCGGAGATGGTCCGTGGAAGAAGTGCACTTGACCATTAGGTACCTATGATTGTTGGCTTCTATGTATGGCAACCACCAGCCACCAGGCAGAGAATATAATTATAAGTCATCCTTGCTTCCTTCTGCATTCTGCATTCTGCATGCATCGTTGAGAAACCATAGCAGGATGGATGGACAATGGGGGCCGCACGTGGGTAGGCACGACTTCTTGACGGCGTGGTTGGGCAGTTGCCACCCACATCCAGGCACCAGTACGCCTATTCTTTCCTCTCCGACTTGCCCAAGATTCCAAGTCTGGGCTGACTTGGGGGCTCAAGATGTTAGTTAAGAGCTATCCGCGCCATCATCTGAGCCATCATCTGAGCCATCATGGCCATGGATCTTGCCATGCAATGATGACATGACTCTGGCAACGTGCCAATGCCTGGAGTTGGAAGGATCTTCGCGATCGCAATTTACAGATATCACCCCTAGGAATCAAACTCCGTTTTCAGAGCACGATGCACCTAAAAATGGTACACTGAAGGTTGAAAGCCCAGAACCACCCACCGCTCGTGCCCCTGTAACTCGCCGCTAAGTGCGGTAAAGTGTGGGAGAGTGCCACGAGTCCCAACTTCATGGGTATTGCGTGTTCTGTACATGTGCCAGGCCCCAAATTAGATCCAGTTTCACTCTGCTACAGACCACACAAAGACCCAGACAGGATCAACAACAATGGCTGAGGCTGACTGTTGGCTGTTGACTGCACAGCACAGCCAGATGCCCACAGGGCGCCCACAAACGACAAGGTCAAGCCCCAGGTCATTCGGGGGAGGCCTAGCCGCCAGTGCCGCCCGAGGGACCCAAGACACGGGGGCGCCACCAAGCCCGGCACCGGTTGACAAGCCTTGTCTTGTCAATGCCGGCCTTTAACCAGATCAGGCAGAGGCCAAATAGAAAGGGAGATCAGTGTCAACAGATCGTCAGTAGGCTCAAATCAAGCCGATGATCATTCTTCGTCTTGTAACAACATATCGGAGGCCGTAGCCACTAGAGGTACGAGTACTCAATACTGAAAATCCGGCTGTCTCTAATATGTAATTTGACATTGAGACTTCCACTGCACATATGGTATCTGGGCACTCTGGGTCACCAAAACATCGGCATTCTGGCGCGATCTATTCACAAAAATCATGGTACTCTTTTCGATACCACATCAGTGAGTGTCCGTTAATCAAAAGCGTGGAACCGAGGTAGATGAACCCTTACCGACCAAATCTCGTCAAGGTGCTACACGTGGCATGGCATTCGATTCACCTCGCGTCCAGACTCCACAAGACAGAGATGACCGAGCACGTTGGACGTGACCAAAGCGAGCGTGTCGTGACTGCTCAGGCACGTTGCATGCAAAAAAAACATTTCTACTATCCAAGCGTGCCCCCAACTCGCTCGACGAACTTACTCGTTCACCTTTGTCAGCTGAAGAAACAACAACCTAATTATAAACAAAGGTACGAGGTTTGCTGGTCGCTTCTACTCAGGTTTCAATAAATAACTACTTGGTTATAAGGTATCACTGAAACTCCCTCCGACACCAATTATGCACATATGCACAGTCTCAAATGCTATGATGTGACGTTGTTCGTCCATGTCAAACCGCTAAATCGTCAGGTTAAATATCCCGTCCATCCTTCTACAGCTATGCTTGTTTTCCATCATCCCATCCCATGCCCATTACGTTCCTGCCCGCCATACGACCACGACGCCTGTGGTGTGTGCTCCTGCGCCACCACGACGGCTTAACCCCAAACTTTTTTGTGAAGAAACACGCTCCAACCCTGCTGAATCTGCACAACACACATTCAAGATCTGGGAGGTATCTCGGAGAGATCAAGCCCCATGCCTCACGTGGGTTGAGGTGCAGGTGTGTTTTTGCTCATGCCAGTGCTGAACACGAGAGATTTTCAGGGTCGGGTTGAGCGGATGCAAAACTCGTAAACCGTGTGGTTCACGAGTTGTACTCAGGTGAGAGTGAGAGAGAGAAGAGAGATATCGCAAATGTCCACCCCAAACTCCAGCCAAATTCCTTTATGGTTCGTTTCCTCCATTCTTGGGTTTCCCCATCCAATGTTTCTCATTCGTGTGTCTTATGCCTTCCTTGCACTTATACCATTTTTGACGTATGCCTCTGCAACGCTGATGCCGGTGCCTGATCCTGACCCTGCTCCAACTTTGACCTTGGCATTCACCTTGGCCCTGGCATGCATGGCAGCAGGATAATGGGAGAAGGAGAAATTGGACCAATCTCGATGACTCCTTGTCGGCCTCGAGACCTCGACGACCTTGGCCAACTTCTTCTGAGGTTTGTCGTAGGTGAAGACATCTTCAAAGTCAAAGTCTTGGGATGACAGATCGAAGGCGTCAAAGCTGGCCTTGTCGAGCAACTCTCGCTCGTCTTCGGACAAGGATGTCTGGGAGCTGGCACTGCGGGCATAAGGGATGAGCTGAACTTTGGGAGACACGGTGAGAGAGATGGGAGATATTGAGGTCTGTGAGGATGTGGAGGAGGATGAAGGTTTCCGAGGGAAGGGGTAGCCGGACTGTGACGAGAGCGAGGTTGGACTGTGAGGGGGGGACTTGTCAAAGGATGCCATGGCTCCGATTTGGACGTCCCACGATGTCAGCCAGGCGTTTCAGTTGGACGTCGGTGAAGGCGATGGTATTGATCGAGATATAGTCAACGTCAATTGCAGCACTGGGCTCTCGCTCTAGGAGCGAGGATGTGATGTTTTGCACCAGAAGCGGCCCAGATGGGTGCTGCCTGCAAACGGTGAGGGCAAGGGTGAGTGTGAGGTCGATGCGGTACACACTTTACACAGGGACGCGAATGAGATGTCTGTTTCGACGTCACGGGTGTTTCGGATGCTGGGCAGAAATGTGCAAATGGGCCGTCTCCACGTTTTCGGTCTTGGGCGTTGCTGCCTGGGGAATCAATATGCGGAATGTCAACAAGGATGATGTTCTCGTAAGGAGGACTAGACGGTGATACGGTGGGAAATGTCTGGTTCCTTATATTGCCACGATGCAGGATCAGTGCTGGATGCGCCAAACGATAAAGATTTAGTCGACTCGGTTGTGTGCAGGGGAAAAAAACACGTCAAGCCATTCTACGAATCCATTCCTGCCATCGAGACCTTTAAAGGAGTCGATGACAGCCCATGTGTCATGTTGAATGGCTATGGCGACATCGGAGGATAAAATGATGGCCCGGTGCACGAATGAAGAGGCCCACCCCCCACAATTTTGTGCCCGCAACCGCCTAGTCTTGCGTATCTTCTCAGGTCGAAGGTGCTCGAAAATCCTTGTCGACTTATGACTCGTTCGTCAACGTGCTCATTCAAGGTGCTCAGGTCTCACAAAAGTTTGGAAATGGCGGCAATGGGGCGCCAGGTTGCGTTGTCCAAATCATTCAATGGCATCAAATAAATGGCGTCGTTTCGGCCCCGCAATTGCTCATTGGTTCCTTGTTCACTTGCCTCGCGCTCATTCCAGGTGTCCTCATCAATTGTCCTCAGAAAAACGTCAAAACGCGCATGCGGGCCTTGAGTAAGGGCGACGATTCGGTGGTGACATGCTGCCTGTGGCCCTGTGGTCCTCACCGAATCCACAATATGTGTTAGTCATAATTGTCTAGGATCTTGCAATTGCTGCCATCGTCCTCTTCCTTCTCTGTGGCATGACCGTGGTGCCATGGATGCCTCTCGGTCGCCGACCCATGGACTTTCACTCGTTATTGGTCTGTTACTTTTTTGCCTGGGTTCGTGGGTTGACCTTGATCCCAGACTGGCACACTCAATAAGACGGTGGGCATGACTGATCTCACTCTGCAAAATTTTGACTTGCACGTGTTTGCATCCCTAAATCTGTCTTGCAATTTTGTTCTCTTTGTTATGAGGCCATTTATTTAAGCTTCGTCTTGTTCATTGCCAGACGACTTTCTAATGCACGGTGGCGTTCTGCAATATTCTGCAAGCCATGGCTAATCAAAGCCACACGGACACATGGTCAAGACTAACACCACTATCTTGAACAACTACCGACAGGAATGTAAGTACAAGAATGTAGGGACACAATCCGCCAAGAAAACTCCGATCTGGTCGGAGGAGAAAAAGTGGCCCGCTTTGCCTGACGAGGCTGCTTGGTTTCACGCTTTCTCGAGGTATGACCCGTCATTATCTTTAAACGCCTCGCCTTGCTTTGGGGGTATCGAAAACATGGAGAAGAACTCGTCCTCTCACCAAAAACTGCAACTTTGTACATTATGATACAATAGCGCCTGAAATCTCGTGCTCAAGGCTCAGGCCTCTGCCCTGGCCCCGGTCACCCCGCCCCAACATTCTCGTACTCTTGACCGGATGGCGCCATTTCTTGGGTGCTTCGACCATCTGACACGCCATTTCTTTCAGCCTTGACTGCCCTCAGACGGCTGCTCACGCTGCTGATCCTACTCGTGAATCCCAGGCTTCTTCTTGTGTTGGATGGCCGTGCATTGCCCTGGCCGTCTGGAGTAGCATCGATCGGACTGGATGACACCGCTGGAACAATGGTGATTCGTCCCCACGGCTCCTTTGCATTCAATGGCGCGGCGTTGGGAGCTCCTACGGTGCTGCTGGGCGAACCGTATTTCCGTCTTGATATCAGGTTGGTGGACAGATTGGTGGGCATCGTACTGCGTGTGACCGGAGGGGTTTCGAGTGTGGAAGGAAGTGGGTGTTGTGCTGTGTATTCTCGAGAATAGGCTGCACGGTCTCGGGCCAACTGACGATATGCGCCCAGCTCGGTCATTGCCCGGCTGACTGGTCGCACCGATGGACTCGCTTCTTCATCGTCGGTAGCACCATCTAGATAGCCATTCCGTCGGGTCCGCAAAGAGGTGGATGTTCGACCAATTCTGGAGGAGGCAGAGCCTTGATTCACAACAGAAACAGCAGGAGGAGTCTGATAAATAGTTTCTCCGGCTGGCTGGTGGCTGACATTCGACGCCATCGGTATACTAGTCCGACGTCCGTCGAGTCGCGAATGCACCCTCGAGATCACTGGTACTCTTTCGCTCGCGTCATTGCTGTATCCTCGATTTCGAAACCCTCCAACTTGGACCTGATATGCGTCTCTGCTGCCAGGTCGTGTGATAGGTGCCGATGCCGGCTTCTGATCGGCCAACATGGCTATAGCAAGCTCGGTCAGACTTCTGCACATGCTCTCGGTGCGGCGACGGATTTGTCGTTCGGTGGCGGAGGAAACGCCAATGGTGCTACCTCCCCCACTGTGCCCCTCTGAAGTCATCATCATTGACAATTGTAATGCATCCTGAGCAGTGGCCTGCAGCTTTTGATAGACTTCACTGCTGAGAGAAGACTTTGCATTTGCCAAGGCCTCGTGGAGCAGCGGATGGACCTGACTCGGGATACCTTCAATGGCAGACGTTAGAGCAGGCACGGCAGCTTTGTTCTTGGGAGACGATGACATAGTTGTGGCAGCGGTGGTGGCGGTCTTTGGTCGATCCGACGACGTCATGGCGGCGGCTGAGGACGGTGGGAGTTTGCCGGTGAGCTCCAACTTGCGAATCCTCGACTTCAAGTCGTCAAGTTCATCCCAAACTGTGGATGGGGCGGTGGTGGATATGGTGGACTCGGTGGCATTGTGGTCGGGAGGATGTGAACGATCGAGAAATGTCGAGTCTGAGACTAGTCGGCTGTTGCGGGCGGTGGATGGACGCGGCCTGCTTGAATCTGTGTTGGCGTTGGAATATCGTCGAGACAAGGCTCTGCGAGGATAATCACTTGGTGCATTGCTTTGCGTCTCCTGGGTAAGTGAGATATGGGGCCCACGGATAGTGGCATCCTGTTGGTGTGTTCGTGTAAGGCTTCCCGGGACTTGTTGGCCTAGTGACGCTCTTTTGGAGTAGTAATTGAGGGCATCAGAGCGAGCCGAAAGGCTGGCCGTGTCGAATTGGGACTGTACTGGAGAAGATTTGAAGCTTGTAGAGGGTCGATTGCTAGTGAAGAATGGGAGAGATATTCGTGAGCGTCTTTTGTCGGGTTGGAAGTGATCTGGTCCCGCTCGAATTGCGTCTGCTTTGGCAATATTCAAAAACAAATCATCACTCTTGCGGTCATCACTGCTCGAGCCTTTGCTATCATCCTCGGCGATGGTGGGTTTTAGGTCTTGGGCGTCAAGGTTGTCGTTTCCGTCAGCACTGGTGGAGTCGGCCTGGGTCATGGGGCTGCTTTTGCTCATCATTGACACGGGGGTCAGTGGAGTCTGAGCTGGGACCGACTCTACGAACTGGGGGATGGAGGAGCTGGCTGTTTTCAGCTGGCCGTGGGAGGAGTCGGCGATGGGAGGAGTCGCGTTTTCGTGCTTCACGGGGAACATGGGTGAGGGGAAGAGATCAGTTGCTGTAGGCCGGTCATGAGGTTTGGTAGAAGACGCGTCACTTTGGGCACCCGTGTAACCTGAGCTTGGTCGCGTACTGTTGCGCTCGACGACACGAGGGCGGTCCTGAGAAAGAGTGCGTTGAGTACTATACGACGCAGGAGGACCACACGAAGTCTCGACTCCGTGACTAGAATTCGAAGCGGGCGGCTTCTTCTTTTGAGGGGAGCGTTGTAAAGGGACAGTGTTGGCTCGCTGCAAGGGGTGAGGGGAGGAGGAGTGGTCTTGGTTGGGAGGAGACGGAAGGTTCTTGTGTGAGGGAGGTGGTTGGAGTGGAAGGTTGTTGGATAGGAGAGGGACTGGTGGTTGAGGATTCGAGGTGAACTTGTGCATGTGTGAAGAGGTTGAGTTGGGGATGGAAATAGGATTTGAGGTTAATTTGGGCTTCTTGCGGAGTGGCAGCGGCGCGCGAGGGTGAGGAGGGTGAGGAGTCAGGTGGTTCTGGCGCTGGTACTGGTGCTGGCACTGGTGAACTTGAACATCGTCATGGCTCTTGTTGACTAGGATAGAGCCAGTTGGGCTTGGGCAAGAGTGGGAATGATAATGATGTGGGTAAGGTAAGGGCGTTGGATTGACACCTGCAATATGCACGATAAGATCATGATCAAGATGTGAAGCAGTGGGATGCAGGCTGGAGTTGGAGTGGTGGAGGGAAGCGTGGACACTGTGAGCGTGGTTTCGAACTTGGGTGGGCACGACACGCTCCGTCTGTCTCGGTGGTTGTGAGTCTGACAACGGAAGTGCGTCGCGGGGATGCTGGGCGCAGCCTTCCAAGGGCGACTTGACCGGACGGGCGTGGGCGTGCCTGACGTTGGGCAAGGCCATGAGGTACTGGATAGCCAGGATGGGACAAGACTGACGATCAAGCCAATATTGGATCCCTGTTTAGCTGGTTCGCTTGTCAATGGTGAAAAGAACTGCGGCGACCCTTGTCTCTGCCAAATCTCAGGGTCGTCCAGGCCGGCGACTCCTCACTGAGAGAGAGAAAAAGTCGACCTGTCGACGCTCGAGGGGTTCGACGGTGGGAAGGGTGGGTTTTACTCGGACAGTGGGCAGATGCGAGACTTTATTTACTCGAGGACAAGGTGTCGTCTACGGGTAGTCCAGACATGGGCCACTGAACACGATACATGATCGACCTCCGGACCACATCGCTACGTTAAGCGTTAGTTGTATGCTCGGTAGGTAGCTGGCGAGCTTGGTGGATGTGACGAGATTTTTAATTTGGCACCAATGGAGGCTCTGTCACCTAAAGCGCAATCCAGTAGTATCTGATTGTATAGAGATTGACCTCTGTGCTCAAGATGGTTTCTGGAGCATTTTGCACAGTTTCCAGCGGCAACCACGACCGTAAAGCACGGGACAATCTTGAGGAACGCTGGGTGGGAGAAGAAGAGGATAAGAGCAAAAATTCCATATTGATTGTGTGATTGTCAAATGAGTTTCAAAATCACCAGGGGTGGACATGAGCTTAAGTGGAGGTGGTGCATTAGGTGGCGGCCGCTAATGTCACAGATGTGCTCGAACCCCCAGAAGGGCCGAGATCACTAACAAATGTGCTCCATGTTCAGTTACCTCCAAAGCCCGAGGCCCTGAGTTAGGAATTGTACCTGTTCATCGTCCTCCAAGCCCCTGAAACTCTCTGCCCCCGGTTCTTCCCCTGCCCCCTCGTCGGGACGAGCCTGGTCTCCTTTGGTGACATTTGCCGCATGATTGTTATTATCACCGTTCCTCAACCCTCTTCCTGCTCTTCAAGATTCCATTTTTCGACGTACGGAGTATAGTTTTGATTTTGCTGCACTTGGACCCCACCTCTGACATATTACCCAGACCGCATGTACCTTTGTAAGCGACATTCCCGCCTGTGTTCGATAAGGTACATACAGTACGGAGTAGGTGTTCGAGAGAATGCGGGACTTCGGATGTGCTCCTTCTCCACACGAGAAGCATGACTCATCTCTCTGTCTTCTCACGTGCAGGAACATGAGTGTCACCTGTCAACAAGGAAGGTCCAACCCAACGTCATAAGCACCACCACGACCACCACCATCGTTCTTTCTGTTTAATCTTATCTCTATGAAAGTCTGTTTTCAAACGAAGAAAGTCTGACTCAAGTGCATAATGACTCCCTTCAGGCGCAACTTCCTGGTATTCCCCTTCGCACTTTCCCCGAATCTTGTGCCACTCTGAAAGAATTCAAGCCCCGAGAAGCCATCGAAGACTCAACATCACCGTGGATTCTGATAATCGCGCCCATCATTAGCCCAGATCATCGTCGTATTCATCTTCCTTCAGTTATCCCATGGCATCGAGGCGGGTCAGGATAGTGTGCATCTCAGATACCCACAACCAGACACCAAAACTCCCACCTGGTGATATCCTGATCCATGCCGGAGATTTGACCAACCAAGGCTCCTTCTCTGAACTTCACAAGACCTTCACTTGGCTTCAACAGGCAGATTTTCAGATCAAGATCCTGATTTGCGGCAACCATGATATTACTTGTGACGCCACCTTCTACGAGCAGTACGTAGGCTATTTCCACAATAAGAAGCCGGAAAGCTCCCAACAAGTTGAATTCCAAGTCACGTGATATCTAGGTGTGACTAGATATCAGTGAAGTAACGACAGAGTCAACCGAGGAGTCATAAGGATAGTCAGTTACGACTATAGAGTGAAGGAATAGCTACGCACTAAGGGACGTGTCACAGACCTATATAATCAGGATCTGTCGTCCCTTACTTTCATAGAAAATCATCACACTTGTACCCTAGGCTTATAGCTTTCAACTCAACAGTGCATTGATCTCCTCCAGTCAGATTCTAGTATTGTTTATCTCCGTCATGAGGCAAAAGTTATCACCCTGAGATACGAGGATGATACGACTGCCCAGCTCAAGATCTTTGGTTCTCCTTATTCTCCAGCCAAAGGATTCTGGGCGTTTGGCTATCCACCGGAAAGAGCATCTCAATTGTGGGAGCAAATTCCTCTCGAAACTGATGTTGTTGTCACTCATACTCCTCCCAAATTTCATCGTGACGAATCTGGCAAGCATGGAGCCTCGGGCTGCGAGCAGCTTCGTCAAGCCCTTTGGCGTGTTCGGCCGCGCCTCTCTGTCTGTGGACATATCCATGAAGGCTATGGTGTGGAGATAGTCACTTGGGATTTATCTTCTGCCAATGTCAAGTTCAAAGAGAGCCATGTTAAGCGGTGCGAGGAGCCACCTCCTCTGAGCAAAAAACAGTTCGTGGTTGACCTGTCAAACAGGAGAAGATTTCGTGCACTTCTGAATGACGGCAGCGTAGGCAGCATGACCGAGCCCTGCAACACCACCCTGCAGCCTGAGACGCGACATAGATCTCCGATCCAAGGTTTGCTCCCCGATGTTCCATCTCCCGCAAAATACCCCTTTCCTGATGCCCACAAGGCACAGTGTCCGATCTCGAATGCACCGGTTGCAGTGAAGGCCACAACCGAGTCACACGGTACATACGGACAGGGCGGCCCTCTGTCCAGCTGTCGCGTTGATCAAGAAGCTATCTGTGGGCGTCGAGGTAGACAAGAAACTTGTGTGGTCAATGCCGCTTACACGGCTACCAATTGGCCACATAGAGGAGGCAAAAAGTTCAACCGTCCTATTGTTCTCGACATGGAGATCCCATTGATTCAGTAGATAGGGATTAAACTCCTTCATGCAAAAACCACAGCTACATCCATTCATGACTAGATCTCCTCGACGCCACACCACTCTGCAATAAACAACGCCATGGCCACAGTAACGCGTTTCAAGCTCTTGATACTGACCCACTCGTCGAACCCGTGCACACTTTCACCAATGGGTCCATAACACAATGACGGAATGTTATCGTACAAGACATGGATTCTCGAGTCGAGATATGCACCTGAGAAACCGGTGGCCAACTCCTCGCCGGTAGCTAGCTGGTGGGCTTTATGAAGCACCTTCTCCGCCTCGCTACCTGGCTGAAGCACGTAGCCCTCGGCGAAGAAGCCGTTCCAGGTCACCGTCGGCGTGTTCTTCCTCAAGAAAGCGTCGGTGTTGGCGAAGTCGGCCACCTGCTTCTCAATCTCCGCCGCCGCATCTTTGGCATTGGTTCCGGGATAAATGGCAATGCGACAGTCGACTCGGCACCATGCAGGGACCGAAGAGGCCCAGTCCCCGGCGTTCATAATGGCAATGTTGAGATCTGGAAGTCACAAACGTCAATAGTTAGATCAGAATAGAGAAGCATTACACAACTCACTGAGAGGGTGTTTCAATTCGCCAACATGAAGTTCGATCCCGACCTTTCTTGCGTTCCAGTCCTCTTCGAGTTCCCGCAAGGCTCCAATGACTCTCCAGCACGCATCAATGGCATTTGTTCCGTTGCCCATCTCTCTTACATGGACGGGAATCCCTCGAACCTCGACTTGGAACCAGAGCACGCCGACGTTGGCTCTGGTCAGTTGCTCGTTGGTTGGCTCTGGAACCAGCGCAGCGTCAGCCTTGTACCCTTTCAGGTGAGTCATCATGGTCCCGTTGCCGGTGGATTCTTCCTCGACAACAGCCTCCAAGATGACCTCGGAGGCAGGCTGTAGTCCAATTGAACGCAAAGAATCCAAGGCCCATACATTGGCCGCCGCTCCCGCTCTCATATCCGCCGACCCACGACCATAGAGTTTGTCACCGTCAATGCGACCGCTGTAGGGCTCATCAGTCCACAGATCCAACGGGTCTAGTGGCACGACGTCAATATGGCCATTGAGGATCAGGCTTTTGCCTTCCGGGGCCTGCTTCTTTGGTTTATGCACTCCGACAACCACTGGTGCGTGCGAATGTGAGGCGCTGAACTTGCCAGCACCTTCGTGTCCGGCCAGAGCTTCGGGATCCATTTCGATCTTGACCGGAGAATACCCCCGCGAGGCATATTGCTCAAAAACCCAGTCTTGAACGGCAAACTCGTCTCCTCTCTGGCCTCCGAATTGGATCAGCTTTTGGGTATATTGAATCTGAGCATCAAAATTGGCCGAGACAGAGTTAGTGATGCGTTCGACGAGCTCTGGGGTTAATGGAGCCATTTTCTGTCTACGTCGGTCTGAACACCGATTGAGTTATCGTAGATAAGAGGTATCGTGGGTTTATATCAATCAAGGAGTGCAGTGACGTGGAAACAGAACTTGGACAGGCGTCAGAATGGGGAGTTCTTTGCTGCTGGCAGAGAAGAGAGTCTAGGATTATGAAGGATAGATGGCTACTATATGTTGATCCAAATCTTAAAGAGACAAGATGGACAATCGCCATTGCCTCGCGTGGTGTCGGTTCCACGCGACCCAATAATACCCCAAACTCCAGCTGTAAGTTGCCTCTGGGATGTACTCCGTAGGCATCGATTCAAATCCACCCGGTTTGCGCTGTCATAAATAGGCCAATTAGATGAAGTTGCGCCGAAAAGGCACGACCCGGAGGACCCCGCATGATTGGCATCGTCAACCGCTACCACTCTCCAACCGTCCAGAAGTTGACTCCAAGGCTTGGGCCCGGCGGAGGACTTCTCCGATCAGAGCAAACACATCAGAGCAAACATGCTCGAAACGTGTTGGGAGCCGTTGGATTCTCAGTGTGCAGTCAGTAAAGTTCATTCTGCTCTTCTCTTCCTGCTTAGATCAGATCAAGATGTTTGGGAATATGTTGAACAGCCCGGAGCCTCAGATACGAATATACCCATGGTTTCACTAATACCTATTCTTTCAGTCCTGACTCGGTAATATGCCGACAGATTGATTTCATGCCTAGATTGGCTCATGCAACGGCATCAAAATGACCCAAACTTGGACTCAACCACCTTTCCGCGATCGGAGTAGAACCCGGCTTGTTTGATATGGGTCTGCTTGCCGGTGCGCTCATCAAAGAGGTTGAAGCCAAAGTTTGCCGCATGGGGAGGTGTGTAGAGGTGCAGAGAGACAGCGACGTCTGTGTCCGAGACATTGGCAATCTTGTGCAGGCCGAGCTGGTCCGAGATGTAGGTGACTTGATTCTCAGTGTAAATGGTCTCTTTGACGACTCGTGGAGGCGTCGTGGCCCCCGAAAGTTCAGAAGCGTCACACAGATGAGGTTTGTCGTACAGAGTCTCCTTGAGGCTCCCTTTGAGGAGTTTCATAACGCAATGGGCGTCGGCGTGGTCATGTATTGGACTACATTTCCCTGGGTTCCAGACGACGACGAGAAGATTAGACTTGCCATTTCCCTCATCCACCAGATTACGGGTGTAGTTCCGCGTCAAGTCGGCAAAGGCATATGGTTGCCAGTGGGATTCGTTCGAGTGGTATTCTTCCATGAGTCGTATCAGATCATTCTCGTCGACATCGGCAGAGTCGATGCCTGATGAAGGGCCAAGGACCTCGGACAATGCCCGGACAAGGTGGTGGAACTCGTCGGTAGGGTCAATCGTGTCAATCTTGTCTCGGTGATGTACCGGATAAAGATCTGGCTGGGAGGGATGGTGTTGCTGGGCTTGGCTGTTGGATTGATACGATATCATGATGGCGGTGAGTCAAGACCGACCTCGAGACCTCGTGAAACTTGTCTGCTTTGTTATATTGGCCTCGATGACAAGTCCAGGCAACTCAAGTGAAGAGCAAAATGCAATGACGATGGCAGGGTCGAGTGGCCGTTGAAGTAATGATCAAATGATGGTGGTGCAAGTAATGCTTCCAATGAGAGAAAGGCACAACGTAAGAGACGGTTTGTAGACAAGGGTTATGGTTGAACTCATGATCTTCGCAGTGTCGACCAGAGGTTTGGGGAAAGTTTAAACCTGCCGAGTCCCAATGTTAGCGAGTCTGTGGATCAAGTTTTTGTAGAGGTCAAGACACATAATCCAAGGTCGATGACAGTTGCGGAAGGGCGTTGAACAAACATGCTCATGTGTCCTTCAGGTCTGTGCGGTGGCTAATTTTGGATGGGCAGACGTTGGGCTTTGCAGTGGGCGAATGATGTGCAACAGGGGTCGAAGAGATGTAGAGAGATGCGCAGGTAGGCACCACACCCCCGGAAGCTTCCGGCCAGCTCTTCCATAACTTCCGATCAAACGCGAACACGTGTTGTTTGATGATGAGCTGGTACACAATAAGTAGTGTGTGCATACAAGGCACTGACTTTGGTGGTCAGCGAATTCGATTGAGCAAGCACGGTGAGGAAATGCCCATGAGTGTCAAGTCGAGGCTGCTGTTACACTTGTGCCTTTTAATATTGTGAATCATCGCAGGCTTGAGGAAACAGTGTTTGCACTATGATTTTGATTGATATGGGCGACTACTTACCTAGGCACTGACTAACCCAGAGTATAGGCCGAGGGGGCTACCGTACGGTGCAGGATGCGTACCTACCTGACCTAGAGGTATCTACCACGTAAGGTACCTAGGTACCTAGGTAGGCTCAGGTGCCTGGGGCCCATACGAACGACACAGGGTACCTGGTTTGCCTACTACCCACGCCCCTGCCCTCGACCCCCACACTGCGTCACCGACATCGAGACCAACTCACATGTCATCGAGTCTTTCAGCCCAAGAACACAATGACCGAGAGGGCCTATTCAATGGCCTGACAAGGTCACTTGTTTCAGGGGACGTTAGCGAGGCTCTGGAGGGCCGAGGGGCGTACTCCGTACTGCCCGTGTAACTCAAAGGACCACTCAGCCACTGTAGGAGTACCCCTCGGGCCCTAACCCCTCACCCATATCACTATTTGCCTGTGTGCATGTTCGGCCTTACCTCATCCCGCTCATTTATCTTCGCCTCTCGGCCCCCTCTTGGTGGGTGGGGTAGACTCCACACAATTCCATTTGTTTTTTCAATCCCAAGTTACACCGACAGAAGTCATATCGTAGATTGTCGGCGTCCACCTGGGAATGTACCACAGCATATACCCAGCATTTCCCAGCATTTCCCAGCAGTTCCCAGCAGTTCCCTGTCTTCATTATTGGAACCCAATACCCATTCTTCACGCCGTCCGCGTTGCACAACGTCCCCCCACAGACCTGTCATATCATATTCGCCAATCTCTCGAGAGCAGCCTTCGTGTCCTTGACCGCTGCCATTTCCTCCTCTTCGAGCAGCCTTTCGGGGTAATTTGTCCCAAAATCCCCTCCGACTGCAGGATTGTCACCGTCGATCCATCGTCCTCCTTCGCCCTTGGCTCCATCCCTGCCCTGACTGTTTTGGACAATCGAGCCTACACTCAACCCGTTTGAGCACCTACCGAACCAAGTAATTTTCGGTGCAGAGATCCAACACAATGGCAACCACGGTGGACAAGATCAAGGATATCGAGGCCGAAATGGCCAAGACCCAGAAGAACAAGGCAACATCCTTCCACCTGGGTCAGTTGAAGGCCAAGTTGGCCAAGCTGAAGAGAGAACTCCTAACCCCAACTTCCTCGGGCGGTGGTGGCGGAAGTGGTTTCGATGTCGCCAGGACGGGTGTGGCTTCAGTCGGTTTCATCGGATTTCCCTCTGTGGGCAAGTCAACCTTGATGAGTCGTCTGACCGGTCAACACTCGGAGGCCGCTGCCTACGAATTCACTACCCTCACCACCGTCCCTGGTCAGGTTCTGTACAACGGTGCCGCTATACAGATGCTCGACTTGCCTGGTATCATTCAAGGAGCAAAAGACGGAAAGGGTCGAGGTCGCCAGGTCATCGCCGTGGCCAAGACATGCCATCTCATCTTCATCGTCCTCGATGTCAACAAGCCGTTGACGGACAAGCGAGTCATCGAGTCTGAATTGGAAGGCTTTGGGATACGTATCAACAAGGAGCCTCCCAATATCGTCTTCAAGAAAAAGGACAAGGGTGGCTTGAACATCACCAGCACTGTCCCTCTGACACACATTGATCACGATGAGATCAAAGCCGTCATGAATGAATACCGAATCCTTTCTGCCGACATTGCCATCAGATGTGACGCCACCATTGACGACCTGATCGATGTACTCGAAGCCAAGAGCCGAAGTTATATACCCGTCATATATGCCCTCAACAAGATCGACGCCATCTCCATCGAAGAGCTCGACCTCCTCTACCGCATCCCCAACGCCTGCCCCATCAGCTCTGAACACGGTTGGAACATCGATGAATTGTTGGAGTTGATGTGGGACAAGCTCCAACTCAAACGAGTCTACACCAAGCCCAAGGGCAAACAACCCGACTATTCCGCTCCTGTAGTCTTGAGGAAGAATGCGTCGACCGTTGAAGATTTTGTAAGCATTCACACTCTTCTGACGACCACGTCTCGACACTAACTTGATCAGTGCAATGCCATCCACAAAACAATTGTGGAACAATTCAAACATGCCATCGTGTATGGACGTTCAGTCAAGCATCAGCCCCAACGAGTCGGACTGTCACACGAACTGGCGGATGAAGACATCAGTAAGTTCCTTGCATGAATACTGCTATCGTTGGTCTGCTAATCACGACGACCTGTGTAGTCACCATCATCAAGAAGTAAATGCAGCCAAGGTCCCCCATGGCGAGCTTAGGTCTTGGACCGTCTTCCTGGACAGCCACGACAGCTCAACTACTTGGATTGACCTTTGCATCGCTGGTGCACCGTGGATGTCTGAGGTACCGCATGCGTATTTAATCTGGAGATCGGCCGGATTTTGTCTCGTAGGTTAGATCCGCAGCCGCGCTAAATAGTTTCCGCATCCCCGAAGCTATTTGCTCGCGTCCGGATCTCGAGGGGTATCGTCCACTACCGTGATCAGCGTCAGGGGTTGGACCGATGGTTACATTTGGAGTCTTTGACACAGCGCTGCCACACCTGCCAAAAGGACCGCGCCGCTGCAACCACGCACCCACCTCTCTCATGGCTTCAAGGTCATGTATACGCACATGCGTGCTCGACGTTTCACCAGCATCGTGTGACTGACTCGGCGGTTGGGATGGTGTGTCTACGATACGCACTCCAAATTACAATACCAGGGGTCATGGGAATTCTCACTGCCTCTAAAGGCATTTCTCCCCCACTGTCAACGAGCTGTGAATCTTGGGAATGAATAGCTGGGCCTGTGCCTTGGGATCAGGCTAGATGCATACACATATGGCCGGTGCCAGGGTCGCTCCCAGCCTCTATAACAGGTCGATGACGGCAGCACACTTATGTGTGTGCCAACGGGATACTACTGACGACGTCGGATCGGCGCTCCTGCTTGGATGAAAATAACAATCAATGGGAGAGCATCAAAGGCGTTAGGCCGCAGCATGCGGTGCGAAGCTGCTGTTTCATTCGACGAAGTTTTGCGAGACTGAGGAGAACTCCAGTGCTTGACCGGGATATAGACGCGCCAGAGTTTGACGAGTGCGAGCTGTGCTGAACAGCCAATCGAGGGCAGCATGGCATTGAAAATTCAAGACTCAGTCACGGACAAGGCCTTGAAGTGCGCAAGCACGAGCGGGAGTGGCAGGGTGGCAATCACGGCAGGCTATGTCCATAACTTAATGCAGCTGCAGGTCTCTCTGTACTCTGGGGCGGCACTGTCAGCGAGAGGCGGCTTTTTGACACGAGACTGTCGAATGCACGCCCCAAAGCTCCCACATGACGCCACCGAAGCAATATGCAATATATGAGGGTCTATGCACAGCAGGCCACGGGAAAATTACATCTCGAACGCTGGTTATGGAGGGTCAGACGGCCTGGCGATTCGTGTGCAGAGATGCCTATTCTGTACACCGCCAAAGAGGTGTCCGCGCTTATGATTGAAGATGTGGACTCTGGGTGAAGGCTGCCTTGAATGGGAGGACAACCCTTGAAGGCTCTATGGAAGGAATGTGTTTGACCACTATTACTGCTTGCGAGGTTCAAGGGTGTTCTGTTCCCTGAAGCTCTTATGAGGTGGCATTGGTCATGTCGAGCACTGTCTTTGGCTTCAGGATGGCTTAGAGCTACGCTACTGTAGGTACTGTTTGGGACAGGTGTGCCAGGGGCTCCCACAAACGAGTCCTGTCTACTGGTGGAGTTCCCGCCCAATCCTCCTGCCCCAGATATCTAACGGCTTTGTCCGCTAACGAGAGAAGACTGGGATGGAGATGGGGATGGATATGGGGATGGGGATTTGTATGGGATGGGATGGAGATGCGGTGGTCATAACTTGTAGGGGTAATGAATGTCCATGGAGCAAAGGGTCATGATGATGACTGATTTGGGCCGCACCTGAGACATATTTGCCTGAGGGTTTTGTCACGCAACATTGACCATCTTAGGCTTGTCTCTGTAAATGTCACGGGCGAGGTATGGGAAGCAAAATGAGTCTGCTCTACTCTGCTCTGCATCCCTCCCATGGAGACTCAAGACCGTGAACACGGGCTATCGTTTGTCCGTCGTCATCGTTGCCATTAGAGTGCATGGGGACTTTTCAATTCCCTTGACATGTTGGAGATGCCAATACCATTGCTATCCATGGAGGCCAGTCTCTTCTGTTGTATAGGCTATCGACTGACTGAGAATGAGGAGGGACGGACGAGGGTGCTTGGCCTAAGATTGCCTGAGATATTAGGTCTCACAGTCGTCATGTTAGGCAGAGAGCAGCACGGGGAGGTAATTTAGGTAGGGTGAGAGGTAGGGTAGGAGGGACCCTCGGGATATTATTGGTGAGGTTGCAAAGCCCTCAAGCTTCTCGTTAAAAGTCCCATGTCCATTCAGGCTAGGGAAATGGTTAGGTAGGTACTAGGTAGGTAGGGAGGTAAGGTACCTAGGTACACTATACCACCCCCAACCATCCAAATTCACCGGCGACATTGCTACAAATGTCTTGCGCTAGCACTTACAAGTAGGCAGCATCTCCACACCCATAAAAATATTCGTACTCGGCTAATTTGTTAGGCAAGTTTGCGGCTTTGGTGCCTGCAGCATGGCATCGGGTCGGTGTTGGTCGCAGGTAGTGGTGGTAGTGGTGGTTGTCGTGGTTGTGGTTGTCGTGGTGGTAATATGGTGGTGTTTAGTGGTGTTTAGTGGTGTTAGTGGTGGCATCGATGTGGGCGTCCCTCGTGAGTGCCTTCGTTTGCCTCGTCCATCGTCTCTCATCGCGGCATTTTGATTCACTCCAGCTTCCCAAATCAAACAAAACACTCTCTAATGTTCCTGCAACCTGCGACTTTCCATCTCAATTTCAATGATAGGCGCTTGGCTCTGGAAAGAAAAATCATTCCACGCTCCTCCAAAATGGGGGTGACGTTGTTCAGTAGTGCTTCCGCATGCACCTCGACATCGCATCATTTGGTCAACGCCTCGAGTTAGATCTATCATTTTCTCTTATCGATCCACGCCGTCGACCACGCTATAGTCCCCACCCGTTCGCTAAAAAACCACTCAGGATGATATCTACTGTTCTTTGCCGCCCATGCTTCTTACCCCTCCACCAACCATACCTCGTTTGCCCTCTACACCTCGCTCGTTGGTTACTTGTTTGCTCACTCCATTTTCGACATGGCTTTGGCGCTGACTGTCTCTCCTAGATGCCCTGCTGCCTTGCTGCCCACCCCATCTCTGCTCGAGTCCCATCCCCTGCTCTTCTCCGTGGCGTTGCCGATAGCGGCGCCCCCGGAAGAGCCACCAACGGCATCTCCCTGCCCTTCGATACCTATCTTTCCTCGTGTCCCCGTCCACGCGTTTCAATTAGCCACTCTCGACACCCCCTCTGACCACCATCCATCCAATGTCGCACAACTGCCCACTGCCCACTGCCCACTGGCCATTTCCCATTTCCTCTTAAACTAGATTCAAGAGTCTCGCACCTCGTTTGGGCAAGTCCTAACCCCCACAGCTCCCGTCCGTCTCCTCTTCTACGGCCCAGATGCCGCATCTGGCTCTGCACCTGGCATTCACGAGAACCAGAACCCGAAGACTTGTATTCTTGTGACAAGACGAGGCCTCGTCCCCGTACATACAGTACCATACCAACTCTCGCCGTCAGGTCGTCGGTGCCCAATGAGCCCCACGAACCCAGCACCACCAGCCCCAATGTCTACGAGTAGAGGTCCACTCAACCCATTTCACCACCCGTCCAGCCTCTCTGGGGGCCTCTCCACTCCGGATCGGCCACTACGATTCATTGACCCCGTCCTCCTCTTCTCTTGCCCAAACAGCCTCTGTGGGCCCCAGACTCCAGATCGTCTTGCTTTTCGGCCCGTCAAGGGAGGGGATAACGGCTAGACGGTGCGTGCCAGTAGTCCCAAGGCCTACGAGCTTGGTCGCATAGGTCGCATGACCCCCCCTGCCCTCCAAGAGGGTCCTTTCACGAACCCTTCTCCATTCCAGCGACCTCTCAACCCAACGCCCCTGATTAACTACCATCCATCTATCTCACCGAATGATGATCCTGACCATCGTGTCCTGGGCAGGTCTGGTTATCTGGTAGGTACCAAGTACTTCCTGGTGAAGCATCAGCTGCCACTCGGAAGCCGATGCACTGTCGCGGGTTTCGCTTCATCAGAGGCTTGCCATCTACCGGGGGCTTCTATGTAATCCTCCTCTCATTCGACCGCCCGCTGCTTGACTCTCGTCTGTCAATGGGGTAATTTGACCATACCTACCCCTACGCTTCCTACGACATCGTACATTGCCTCTCCACGTAATTGATCCGCTTCTCTCAAGCTTCGTGGGACGGTTGCAGACTCACCACTCAGCCCAAAGGCTCGAATCCAGGTGCCCGCACACCTGGAGCCGCAGACTGCCCGTTCCTCCTGTGGCTGATCAAGAGAGGGCCTTCCGGTCAATCTCGAGCGGGTCTCAGATGAACAAATTGAGGTCTAGCAGACCCCGAGACCCTCCTGGACCAACGGAGCCGTGACGCTAACTCGACAACTTAGGCCCGTTCCTAAGCAGCCGAACGGGAGAAAGCTAACCTTGCCTAACTCGTTGCAATAGGCCCTCCTAGGCGCCTGCGGTCTTAGCACCCTATCTTGTGTCCAGTGCCATCCCCGAGGGTCAAAACCTCAACCTGGGGGCAGGCGTCGACACTGTTTGAACAAGAGAACAAGCTCGTTGAGAGCGACAAAGACGCCGTCCATTCGAAAGACAGGTTGATATATCGCCAACAGGAATCCCCAGAGTCTTGTTGCCATCTTCGACAATTGTCGACAACCCTGCTCACCGTGTCTGCAGCCCAAGCCATTAAAACAACGCCCCTCGGTGTTCCCAGAGGCCTTGTCCCTCTCTCATTCTTCCCTTGACTTTTCTGAGAAGCCTCCTCGCCTCCAAGCCCTGGTCGAAATCACCCCAGTTCGACCCTCCCGCCTGAAGCCTGTTCATTCGACCGTTTATGCCTTTCCCTGGCTCGGTTGGCCCATTCAATTGATTCTCGAGCTTGTGAGCTTGTCTACGAACGCCCTGGCCCACCCTGACGTTCACATCCATCTTCGACCTCTTTTCCCATATGCTCGTTCACTTTCCGCTATATCTCTCCTCTGCTGGCCGTCCCCCAGCAACGTGAGACCCTCTGCCTCACGGGCTGGGATTCCATACTATAGCTCTCCAGAATTGCCCACTCGGTTCGTGGTCGACGCTTCCTACTCGTAGCTTGTTGCCATCGCTCGCTACTTCTCCTCGTCATTGTTGTCACCCGCATACTGGACCGCATGCTGGCATGTTCTCGACCTCTGGAGTAATCGCCCCTCTTTTCAATCACTGCCTCGATCAGTGATTCTCGATGCAGGTACTCTTGAATATGCCAACAAACCATCAGGACCATCACCAGACCGGTTATGGCCAACCTGGCTGGATCAATGTTCCTGGCGGCTTCTCTAGCCCTCAGACCTCCATGTCTCCCATTCAGGACTTTCCACCTTACGACTACCATGCGACAGCTCCAGTTCCCATGGAACCGGCTTACAACATGCAACGGCCCGTGTCATTTGGCACTTCTCATGCACCAATGCCCCCGCCATTGATCATGCCTCATAGTGGACTGTGGCCAAGTATGCTGGCAAGCCAGCCTCAGCAAGCATACTCGACGCCAATACTTCCTGCAGGACCACTCCACACGCCATTGTCTGCCGGAACAGCATCGGACGCAACGCCCACAAGTGCCAAAACGCCCTCCCGACGTAAGCTCACCGACGATGAACGCCGCCAGATGTGTATCGAAGCCGAGCAAAACCCAAACATGAAGCAGATTCAGATTGGAGGTATGCAATCCCCTTTCGCCAGTCGCAGCTCGCTAATCGAATGTAGCAAAGTTCAATGTTGAGAGAAGGTATGCTGAGGCGCAAATACGGCCTAGTCGTAGCTGACCATCATAGCACCGTGTCCAAGATCTTGAGGCAGCGTGATAAGTACATGAATCCCAAGCCAAAACAGGACAATTCAAGCCCCGAGAAAAAGTCCAAGGCCCGCTTGCCTGACTTCGAGAAGACGCTCGCAAATTGGGTCAAGAATCAGCGCAAGAAAGGACTTTCGACCACTGACCAAGAGCTTCGGACTCAAGTCCAAGTATTTTCTTTCAGCAGAAGTGACCAAGAAGTCGTATCCACCTCTTTGTGGCTCGAGGACTTTAAACGAAGAAATCACCTGGTCCCTTCTACCGACGAAACCGAAGCAAGCACGAGCCAGGATACCAAATCCAGAACGGCCTCGCCGGAGGACGACACCTCTAGTTCTTCTGACATACCATCTCCTGCCATGTCAACCATCGAAGAGGTTTCGGACGAAGCTAATGTGAAACTCGAGGAAGGCGACTTCTTCGACTTTGACGTCGCAAAGGACTCTTTTATCCCGTCTCCAATCGACTACGTGCTGGCCTCGGAGACCGACAAAGAAAGCCTTCAAAAACTGGACCACCTCTCCCCCATTGCGGCGCCTGAAGACGACAAAGCTGCGCTTATAGATATGGGCCGAAATTTGGTCAGGGAGAATAACGTGGATATGCCGAGCAGACAAAGAAGCCAGACATTTCCCCATGGATCTGATCAGACCTCAACCAGCAGCGGATTCACGGGTCCTTCTTTGCCCGTGCGATCTCTAACATCGGCCACAGTCGAAACGCAACCCACGGCGATTGATCCTCGCCAAATGATGAAACGAAACAAAAGTGTGCCCGACATTCATAGCCCAGAGGAGGTGCGCTATTCATCTATGCAACCTCCACTACTGCCACGATCAGCTGATACCTCACCCATCAGCTTGCCCAACACCCCAGCTGAGAATGACCTGATCGCGGCCCTACACCACATCAAGGCACTACTGGAGGAAAATCCGAGTGTTGCGGCTCCAGACGACTACATTGCCATTGGAAAATTGATGGAAAAGGTTCGCATTCTGACGCCGCCGACCATCTCTTCATTGCCAGGAGGGATGCACCCTATCGATGTCATGGACAGTCCACGCATCTCCAAGAAGAGAACCATTCAGGGTATATCGACCTAAGCGCACAGGACCGGACCGATGTTCGACCTACTTTGTCAAGGGAGAATACGGGACACGAGACTGGGAACATAATGAGGACTGGAAATGCATCAGCACTATGAGCACACCCCTTTGTTATTTTGCATGGAGCATAGTATCATGGAGACTATGGAACTGGAGTTGTAGCACTATCACGGTCAACCAGCGACAACTGAGCAAACCACAGGAACGAGCATGAGGCACGAGTTGCAGCAGTTTCACCATCTTGATGAGCAAGAGAATGATTAACAACTGGAAAGAGCGTGGAAGCTCTACGACACGGGTTTAGAAATAGCGCAGCCTCACCGCAAGTTTCTTTTTCGCAGCGCATGACGAGGGTATGAGTAGGGCATGGGAACAAGATGACGGAGTTATCGAGGTTGGATCTCGAGATCGGAGCGTCAGGGGATATTTTTCTTCTTCTCATTCTTCTTCTTTCATTCTTTTGCTTCACCCTCTTGTAACAGTAACAAGCCAGGGTCAAGGCACATTTAGTTTTCTCCTGGATTTTCCCACGGGGAGGGTCGGACATGCACGTCCGAGGGGACGAGGGCCAAGGGGAAGGGACTGAGACGGTCAAGGCATATAACATTCTCTATTGCCTTGTTCGAGGGGATGAGAGAAAGGGTGTAAACAACACAACATATCCTCATCTGGGGAGCAGTACAAAGTTGTCATATCACCAGCATCATAAGCTGAATAGACACTGATTGTATCAAAGTCACTGAGGAATCATCAGGCATAATGGCCAGCCTGTTGAACGGTCTATTCCTTCTGGATATAATGAGCGCGGGACGTCTCATAATCAGCATCATTCCTTAAAGACCGTGCAGAAGCGATCAAAGGTCGAGGCGATTAGACTTGTCGATCACGGCGATCTCTCTGACAAAGCAGCCTCACCATGAGTGTCAGGCCGTGGCGGCACTGGCGGCCACCACCTCGTGTACAGAGTGAGGCTGTCGGCTGAAACTCTTCTCCAGACAGCCGACGATGCGATCTCGAGTCTGGCTCAGAAGTCCAAGTACATACGTCCTACAATATTGGTAGGCTTTGGTTCAAGTGCCCTGTCGATCGACACACACCAACCTTGGCCTTGACCACCGCCACCAGCAGAAAGAATCTTGCATGAACAGAGTCTATCGCTTTACGGCATCCGTATACAGCGTCTATCCTGCAAGCCATCATGGCCATGACCACAGCAGTGCAAGCCCATTTTCTGTATCTCCTCATGGCCGCCCGCCTTTCCAGATTACCAAGCCACAATGGGATGTTCTCCCCCATCGAGCTTTTTACTTGGCTTCCGGGTTCACATTCCCCGAAACATCTCCCTTGCCTCCGGAACCAACATACCATGGCTTCCGCTGTCGTCAGATCCTTGCTGCCATCAGATGTTGAACCACGAGGTACTCCTTGTCTACTCTAAAGTCTCCAAACGGCCGCTAACCACCTGGTTGCATTGGCCATGAAACTTGATCCTACGACGTCGGTGTATGCGTATGCGTATGCGTACGTGCTTCTTTCTTGGTCCAAAGGCACGAATCAGTGTTCCCAAGCAACCTTGTCTTCCTTGATTCCTACAAAAAGGGGTTTGCAAGGCTCGCTGTGGATATAATAGTGATTTGTGTTCTCGGCAGCCTCGCCCGGCCATCGAGTCCACTCCAAAATCCCAGGTCATGACGACGTGTGATCCCATGGCAATCGTAAGCACAGTCATCACCAGCTCTCTGAGATATCGCAGGCATCCAGTTGTGCTTTCTTCTGCCCCCTGATTTGTCTATGATCGATCTGTCTACTTGTTACATCAGACAAAGTGAATCGGCTCCACTATAGTGTATGTCGGTGCTGATGATCCATCTTCGTGCCGTTTGTTACATAGATATACTTTCCCATCGCAGACAACCGATGTTTTCATGTCTCCATCGAACCCAAACCTTGTCGAACCTTGTCGAACCTGTAAAGACTGATCGCTGCCTGTTCCATGGACGACATGTTTGCCGCGTTGCGACCAAACTTCGGTTACAGAAGGTGCCAATGGCCGCCAAACTTCGGAAGCCAGATTCCACAAGAATTGACCAACAGAAATCGATTCCGAGACAAAGGGTCTAGAGATTATTATGGTAGAGCCATACATAGATCAAGAAAGTTGTAGTTGATGAACAAGTGCATGGCTAGCCATAGGAACCCAAGACAACGTACTCAAAGGACGAACTCTGATATACCGTACTCGGGTCGGATGCTACCTTGCCTAGCCATCGTCAGCATCAATCTACCACTATCGGGCCTCTATTCTCTGACTACAGCGGGCAAATACTTGCGTTGGGGGCCCGACTCCATCCATCCCACGTCCAGAGATCTCCAACAGTCCAAACCTTGGGACAACAACCCAATCCCCCACCTCCATGGTCTCTGATCGAGACTGACTGCATTCCGGCGCTCGACATAAAGCTGACAGAAACCAAGAAACGACAGGCCAACACTATCCATTGACACAACGATGCCACGACTCGTGCCCACGTCCCAGAATCGAGTCAATGTACTGGACTGGGGCAACGAGAGGATTGATGGGCCTCTGGCCATCAGCACCGCAAAAATGAGAGAAAGAAAGGCTACGTTAGGGTCCCCTGGGCCAAGTGGATTCGGTGGTGCCTGTTGCCTGCCAATTATGTCGCCAATATACACCAACCGTCGACATGTCGCCTCCTTAATACAACCCCAATCGTGGTCATTTGCTCAGCCTGATACTCAACCGACAGTTCCATGATGCGAAGCTGAATCACGAAGGAGCAGTGGCGGTCAAGCCGCTAAGGCCGAACCATTATTTGTCGCCGACCGTCTTTCCTGCATCGTTGGCATCCAAGGACTGGCATCCTCCTTCTCCACAGGCTTGATCATACCTCTCTCGTGCTGTCCTCGGTCGACGACGAGTGGATGGGCTCGTGGTATCCAACTAAGAATGTTCAGCTTTCAAGTACATCTCGATTGCTTCCCTCTTTCCGTCGACAGCTCCACCATGTCGTCGCCTCTATCGCCCTTTGGGTCTTCTCTTCTGTCACCTAGTTCTCCGACCATGGCCCTCCTCCCGACGGGGCTGGGACTTTGATCCGTTTCCGCTCTCAAATGCTCCACTGACGTGCCATTCAAGAAGATTGGGAGGAACAAAGGAGATCAATATCACATGCGCGAAACAGCCTCAGTCCTAGATGAGCAATGCCAGCCGAGTTGTTACTCCATCACCCAACCTCACTGGCGGCGAATCCTCTAGTCAAATCACTCCATGGTGAAAGAATCAAGTAGTTTTGGTAGATAGTGACATGTTGTCGTGATGGCAAATCTCTTCTTTGGTATCATTTCTCCTCGTGCACCAGGCTGACTGCTCTCTAGTCTCAATGATTAAGAAGATTGGGTGGGCACGCACCATTAGCTGCCCAGGCTGTCCTGCAAAAGCAAGATAGAAACATAGAATTTACTGGTAGCTACTGGTAACTACGGCTTAACAGAACCCCTCAAGTGTCCTTTTTGAAGCTCTGGTTTGGAGGCACTGCGAGGTCGTTGGCCAGTGTACTGTGCGCCTTTGTCGACAGCTTTCTGCGACAGATCATATTATGTTCATCTTCTTTTCTTCAATTTTCTATGGGAGAGAAAGATTTTCAAGTCCATCTTTGAGCTTCGTGCCAGGGAGGTGTCCACATCCTCTGCCCAGCTTGAAAGGTGAGGGGGTCAAATATGCTTTTCATATAGACAAACATTCTATGTAAACTGTATGTAAGTTGTAGGGAGTCTAGGTATCAAGATCGGCACAGGTGCATTTCGACCTTTCAAAGAGGATGAGACATGAGTTCACTCATGCTAGAGTACAGAAGCACAGGACCTTTGCTCGTAGAGACCTCCAGTAGTGCTAGTTAGGTGGCCTTATACTTACTCCATGGGTGAGAGGTGAACCGCGGAGATTTTGCCAGGTTCTGTCGCACGGTTGAAAGTCCCTTACTGCCCGACCTAGTGTACCAAGAATCAAAGTGAAGCGAAAGCTAGACTGGGCCTGTATACAAGTCACGTAGGTGTAGCGTGATGTAGCAATAGCACGACGGTCAATTTCAGTGGCCTCAAGGCCCTACCCAAAGTGAGGCGGCATTGATAGACGGATCGGCGCCGGCTCGACTGCGAATACGCTGTTTCACGGGTTTTTGGTCCCAAAAAAACTTTGATTATGCCTGAAAAATTCCAAGACAAGTCTTTCTTACCAGAAAGCCGAGATGAGAAGGCGATGAGAACACAGTTTGTTAAAGGAGAGAGAGCAGGCCTCAAGACCTGGCCGGCCCATCTCACCCTTTCTCGCCACTACGCCCAGGCATCCGACACATCAACCATTGCTTTCTTAATCATTGGATTCTCTCGAGAGTGTTTGTTCGAGACTGCAATACAGATACATCTACCTACATCCTACCTCGTCGCTCCACACATGGGTCCTAAATCAAGCCCGATTCTATACTCTTCACGTCATCCACATCTTCTGCCCCATTCTCTGCGAAGTTGACACCTCGCTCGGCCAATAGCTCTGTTGGTGTCTTGTCCACCATCTCAGGGCAGATCTTCAGGATGATGGTCTCCAACAACCCATAAACAAGATACTTGTTCAAATCGAGATCGTCCGTCCACCCCAGAATCACCTCCTCTACCTCGTCCACCACGTCCTCATCGTCCTCGGCCGAGAAGAAATTCCTCGCTATTCGAGGCGGAATCAAAGAGACAAGGTCTGAGGCAGCTTTTCGCCGAATCAACACTTGTTCCTCTGGAGTTGGAGCAGGAGGAGCTGGGGGGCCCATGGTATTGTTGGGAAAGAGAATAGCACGAATCTGGAGCAACAAGGCTGGAAGGAGATTGGGAGTAAACAACCGGGTCGATATCGAGTGATATAAAAATCTGCTCAAAATCTCAATCAGCAAACCGAGTTATGAAATGACATGTTTGGTAGGATTCGGTGGGAAAATTCTGGGAATGCTCTTTCAGCAACTCTCAAATTGACATCGTACAAGAGCTCAGAGCAATTGCGACGATCTTGCTTCTGAGAATCCTTGAAGACAAGCTGGGTTGTGTCCGTCAAAGTATGTTCACTGGCTTGTCCATGTTTCTCCTTCTGTCATGACCACAGACCTCTGCTCAAATCGAAAACAGTCGCCTGACAATGCTCTCTGGAGGCAGCAAGCCAACTCACGTGGCCATTCGAACAAAGTCGAAAAATTGCCTTGTGCCTGAGGCCAAGTCATCCAGGGGGTCATTGGCGTGTTCTAGACACAAACGTGCAGATCCAACGGCGGGATGGCCCTTAACGTGCGGGTGGACCGTTTCACGAGCATGTGTTCACACTATTGGCATCGGCTCACGCCTGAATGGGAAAATCGTGAATCCTGGACAATGAGTACGTTGTGAGGCATAGGTTCACTCATGTCCATCCCAAATTCATTCACAGGTCGTCCACCATGTCGTCAGAAATGATGGGCTATTGGACAAATTAACATATTCCAGATGTTGAATACCGGATTATGGGTCCATAGTGTGAGTTACCAGGATCAAGGATGTGCAAAATCTGCAGGAGTTCGTCGCAGATGGAGGCCAGGAGTGTATAGCAGAACCCGGGTTGAACTAGTTGATGCAAAGCAGCGAGTAAAGATGTTTCTCCAAGCGCCACTTGAGGGGAAAAAAAGGTCGACTTGGGCAGTGTATGCAGTGGAGGGCATAAGATCGCCAAAACGGATGCCCAAGCCGAGGGCGGTAGGTCCGGAGGGGCTGATTGTCGCAGGCTTGCCGAACGCTAATGTTTACTTGATGTTGCAAGCGGAGGTAACGCAAACAATGCATCAGATGACATGGTTGTTCAAGGTGTACCACTGGAGCCTGCTTGACAGATAACGGCTGCCGGGCATGAAAACTTGCGCTCGTGTTGTACCTTGGGGGAGTTGTGACGTAAAAGAATTGGTAGATTGTCATTATCGCAACCAAAGATGGGATTGCTAGATTGCGACTGACCGGCGCGTGCCGAAGGAAGCCGACCGCAAGCACTAGTGAGAGTGGGAGGCCAAGTCTTTGCGAAATGCAGAGCTTCGATATATTGTAAGCGACCAATAATGCGGCAGAGTTGGACAGATGTTCAATAATTTTATTGAGATTCGCAGTGTCATTGGCTTGCATCGATAAAATGGTCTCTTGTTTTCCGAGACTTCGCGTATTTTGGCTGGAACTTGATAGATTCATTGCTGATTCAAGGGAGGCCACTAAGAATCTGAGAAGTACGGTGTAACAAACCTCTGGTGGACCTGAGACTGAGATTCTGTAGAGGAGGATGCCGGGAAATCAGATTCAAAGACACGAAGGGGCTAGTTAGGCGGCCTGACCCATGTCAACTGCTTTCCCTAGGTGTGTTAGGGCTTGGAATGCAGCGAAATAGCAGCAAACCCGGCCAATCCCGTCGCGCAATTGGATAATCTCGCCATATGGATGCAGAATGAGACCTCTGTTTGTTCATCTGGTGGATCTGTAGGGTAGATCTTCAACATGACCGATCTCTGACAAGGTGGGTCACCGAGCAAGACGTGGAATTTTTGGTGGGAAGTTTGTTGAAGACATGATAGCGTGGTGGGCCCGGTTGGTGAGGATCGCGACCTTGGAAACTGGGCCACACAAGCCCGGCGCAAGCACGATGGAGAAGACATGCAGCAACAACAGGTTCAGCGCATCCAATGTGAGGCCATGTCGAGGGGGTTGAGTTGTTACAGGTTTGTCGGTATTGGAAAATACCGTACCGTACTTTACGACGTAATTGCCGAATGGGGTAAAGCTGGCGCCCTCACCCAACCCCCTCGAGAAAAGCAACTTAAGCACCGCGCGGAGGGTCCAAGAAAAGTATCGAGCGTCCACATGCTTCAAATATCGAGGTTTGTGGGACTGATTGGTTGACATCGAGCCCAGTCATATCATATGATCTCAGGCTGCTGCGGCTTCCAGGATAAACGGCCCTCTCACGACATTGGGGTCTGGACATGAGACAACGGACGGGTGACTGGGGACAACGAGATGACGGGAATGGCAACAGCAAGGAAATGGGTCAACTTACTTGTCAAGAGTCGAATCCACAGCCCCATGTTTTCCGGGTCCTGCACAGAGGAGATGCTGCCAGAAGCTGAATCCGGCGAGCAGCCATGGCATGCGGAGCGACAAATCCAGAATGGTGGAGATGCACGAGAATAGCCTATAGTCGAGCACTGCTCGAGGGAGAAGGTGACTGGCGTCGTGATGGCGTTGCATCGACGAGGTGGGCGGTTCTGTCGACCGCGAGGACGAGGAAGAGGAAAGCGTGGAGAGGGATTTGACCCGCTGTGGGTGCTGGTGCTGCTGGTGGTAGTAGGATCTCCTGGGTAGATGGCGCGCGTGAGCCATTCCGAGGAGGAAGAATCGTATAGTTTGATATGCAACAAAGACGTATTGGAGAAGTCTCCAAGCCCACGCGCTAAAGGGCGATTGGTGCTTGACCGGCGAATCGAGTGGTTGAACAGCGTTATTCGACGGTAATAGGCCAAACTTCTCGAGTCGACTCATGCGATCATGTTTCTGGGAGGAGCTCTGGTCGGCATGTGTTTCACCGATGGCAGACGATGTTACGACCTCGACCAGCTTGGAGACAATGCCGTGAATGAACCATGGTTGACACAGTCTGTCAGCCACGGCCCGACCCAGTATCAGGTCGGCGATGATATCAGTCACCAAGGCTCTGAGACATGCATTAGTAAGGTCCTCGGTCGGTAGGAGAAGTGCCAGAGCGCCTTGGACGAGTAGTTGCCGGTAGGCAGATTCGTGATTGAGCCGGTCGTCCTCTGGGAGGGAAGGGTCGAGGGCTGGATGTGGATTCAAAGCATGGTAGACTCGGCGGGGACTGTCTCCGTACTGCAAGGCGGCCGAAGTGGCACTGGCGGTGCGATAGGCTGTGTAGACAATAAAGGAAACCCGTCAGAGTTGTGCAAAGGCCGGGTGCTTGCGGAGGCTTGGTCTTACCAATGACATGTCTTTCCACCACCGACGGCAATTCGTCCAAGATCAACTCACTCATGTCGATGCCTCTAATCCTCTGCTCGACTGCCCGACTACAGTGAGCAATGATCTGAACGACTTCATCGACAAAGACCCGATCGGGAGTGATCCTTGTATACCATGAATTCACAAAGTCTTTGATGATGATGGCGACAATGGCATAGAGCTGCACATCAATATCATTGGAGCTCGTGAGAGGAGGTAGGATGGCGTCGATGAGGGTGGGGGATGTTGACCTCAAGTCTGATGTTGCATGTTGTCCTTCTGATACCAGGGTCTTTCGAATCAAGTTCGAAGTCGCTCTTTCGGAAGTGGCTGCTTCTGAGGATGTGGTGGTGACAGGGACGGTGCGAGAGGACGGACGTCCAGAGGCGCCCTTGTTGTCGGCCAGGGCATTGAGTTGAGAAGACTGAGCAGTCGAGGTAGATTTGGTGGCCAGGTTCGGGAAGGGAGGGCGCGAGGGAGAGAGAGCGGTCATCTCAAGACCATGAGCGTTGCGAGCATGGCCCTTCTTGTAGAAATCCTGGTATGGTGCCAACCGGTTTCGAGGATTGCAAGCTTGGGCTCTGAAGACCAAGCTGGATCTTGAACAAGACGTCGGCCACGCTGGCAATGCAGGGGCAGGATGAATAGCTCACCGGTTTGGTCCACGTTGACGGCGTCGAATGTGTGTCAACGTGTGATTGGCCCAGAGGCTGGAACAGTGTGTCGAGGCTGCGGTACAACAGACGATTTGACTGCGAACTTGGGACATTTTTGGGAGGGAGGATGTCATCGGAGGGGTTTCCTTGTTTGGCTGGCGTTTTTTCGGCTTCTTCCCAATCAGGACACCCCCAGTCACGTGTCGTAAGAAGTTGATGACACGGCGTCGACGACCTGTTTGATCACACATTCGAATTAAATCTAGGTAGACATGCCCTCATCACACCTCAGTCCCTCACCATAGACAAGAAACCACTCTAGCATGGCCTCTGGCCACCAAAGGATCCCAGTCTGGCTGGATTGCGACCCAGGTAGGTCTTTAGCCATCAAATTGTCCTCGTTCTTACTTCTATGTGTGAACTCCCCTGCTTGTCTCCCTCCTGTTTCATATATCTATATCGATACAGTCATTGATATGCTTCAACAGGACACGATGTGAGTAGCCCCTAGAGACGGGCGTACGACCTCCACCGTCCAACTCTAACAGGCCTCCAGGATGCCTGCGCCATATTGCTCACAGTCTATCATCCATCCTTGGATCTGCTGGGTATCAGCACCACTCACGGCAATGCTCCGCTCTCCAAGACAACGCTCAACGCTTTAAGTGTCTTGGAAGCCATTGGACATCCTCAGACACCAGTGGTTCCAGGCGCTCACAATCCATATTGTCGAAGTGTGCATCCTGCCACGGACATCCACGGCGAGTCAGGGCTTGCGGGCACAGATTTGTTGCCCAACCCGCAGCGGAAAGCTTTGACTCATTGTATTGCCATCAATGAAATCTATGAAGCATTGATTTCGACACCAGCGGGAACAGCATGGCTTGTCGCCACTGGACCGCTTACCAACACAGCGCTACTATTTGCCGTCTACCCTTCTCTCGCGACACACATTGCCGGCATCAGCATCATGGGCGGAGCCATTGGCAACGACTTTACCCACGTCACCATGGGACCACCCTATCTTGATGCACAAGGCCAGACTCACGAACGGATTGGCAACGTCACCCCATTCGCCGAGTTCAACATTTGGGCGGATCCTGAATCTGCACGCAGCGTCCTCACCAACCCCGTCCTCGCTGCCAAAACCACACTGATCCCACTCGATCTGACTCATCAAGCCTATGCCACGGCAGAGATTCAAGACATGCTCCTCAACGGCGTCAATGGCCCAACCAGACTACGAACCATGTTTAACGAGCTCCTCATGTTCTTTGCCCATACCTACGCCGAGGTTTTTGGGCTAGTTGAGGGCCCCCCCTTGCATGATCCGCTCGCTGTAGCGGTCCTGTTAGCCGATCATGTGGACTCGAATGCTCAAATAGCATTTTATGATAACGACGGCGAGAGGTGGGATGTGGATGTCATCCTCGAAGGCGAGCAAGTTGGGAGGACCACCGCCATAAAGGCCAAAACCGGTAAAGGGGTAAGAATTCCACGAGCGTTGGACTGTGGCAAATTTTGGTCAACCCTCGAATCATGCATGGCTAAAGCTGACGAGGCTACGAATTTTGTGAAATGATTGGCATAGACCACACCTACTGATTACTAGGCATAGACCCGTAAATCAAGAAGAGACCCATTTTACTCGTTGCTCACTTCTGGATCCGTGTCGGACCTCTTGTTCTCTTCTTAGAAGCCAATATGCATCTTGCCATAGACCCGAGCCTTTGTGTCGTGACTCAAGTCTGGAACTTCCCTCGGGTGACCCTCGACAGTGTAAGGAGCATGAGATAGCTTGATCACTGCTCTGTCACATTTGAACCTAGCTTCGTCTAGAAGTCTCTGAGCACTCTCCCTGCCTTGTTCTACGCATTTTTCCAGAAAGTCTTGCCATGCCCGGTCAACCTGGGTGTAGTCGTCAATGCCTCTGGTGGCGGCGCTCCAGACCAAAGGAGCATGCGGTGTCTCATAGAATGTCCGACGTAGCTGAAAACTCCAGCGTTTGGGAGTGCTATCTTGTAGACGTGCGTTTCGAAGAAAGAAATAATTCTCTTTCTTGATGGTCCTCCAAAGATCACTGATGTGGACACTTCTCTCCAAAGTCGCCAGAAAAGTCAGTCCGGGGCCTTTTGGCGAATTTGTTGCAGTGATTTGAACCTCTAGCTGCACAACAATAGCGACAGATTCGGGGTGGACTTGTGAGAAGGCCCAGCGGAGCCATTTGAGTTGGCTACCCATGAATTGGTTTGGTTTATGTCCATGCTCTTTGCTCTTGTCCTGCTTTGCCGGAAAGGATTGTGCATCTCGCAGATGATCAGAAAAGTCGGCAAGATTGTCAGTTGATGGCGATTTCTTTGCTTCAATCATGGAGGTCTCCAAATCGCGATTCTCATTTTCTTCAAGTGGCTTGTCCGTGATGCATTGGCTCTTCTTGACAAATACAGGTACACCACCGATGTCACCGGAGACAATGACCCTTGAAGTAAGCCCAGAGGTCTTCCCAAGACGAAAGAACATCGCGTCTTCCTCAACATCCATCAATGCAAAATCCTTCGGGGCAAAGGCATTTTCGATCCTTGTGGATGGTGTTGCTTGAGAGGCTTCGATGCTCGCTAATATCTGTTGGATGGTGGACTGATTTCGCAGACCATGATCGCGCCGGGCGTGGTCGTAGTCATGATGGTGGAGGGAATTTGAATTGGGTCGTGGCGCTGATGATATACTATCATCTGGTGGGTCGTTCGTTGCTAAAGCCGGACCGAATTCAGACTTCTTGGGTCTGAATGGGAGATTAAGGTGCGGAGGAGGCATGGTGGAAGATATTTGAAGCTGCGGGCCTTGATAGTGTGATGGAATATCTCAAGCGCAAAGAAATATTTATATTGTTGCAACAGCGGTTACAGGAGACCGCAAACGCGAACGCGAGAGTGCCGTGCTGCCTGGTTCCTGGTTTTCCGGGAGGGTAACAAAGTGTTGTGGCTGTCTTCACTTATGGTTAGAAATCCAAGGCTATAAGTTTCACCGCCGGCTCCCAGGATATATACTTGGTATTGGGGATGATTGTGCCACGACGTCTGCCATTCGAGATTAACGAGTCATGGTGACAGTTAATCACATGGCCATTCCGAGTCACCAGAGTTCTGCTGCCAACTTCCCAGTGACCTCTTGACCCTGGCCTTCAATTCAATCGCTTCGTATCTGAGATGACTAGCTTTCATCTTCGAGTACTGATCCTGATTGAAGACGCCTGATATGGTGGCAGCAATTTCATTGAGGCGATAGCCCAATGAGAGGTCGGAGGTGTCACCACCAGACATATCTGTACAAATAGACCTGGCAAGGTGAATGAGGTGCCTTCGAGAAACCACACTCGCTTTGCTCTGCCTATGATCCCATTGTTTGTACCCTTGCTTGACGCCATTGACCAAAACTTCGTGAACAGCATTCCCTGATGGATTTGGGCTTGCCACCCACATCGTAGATGTATTCGCTGCCTTGGACTTTTGTGGAGATGCTGTTCCGACAATGTTGGTAGGCTTTTCAAATAAGAATCGAGGACTTCCTTGCGGGAGCTCCTCAATTCCAAAGAAATGACCATCGCCTGATATATTGGCCAATCTACCACGAGGTCCCAGAGCTCGTTCGAAGCCAACCTGGTCATACTGGTCGCTATATGTGATGAGGTTCTTGAGATATGCGTTATCTGTCCTTTGCACAAAGCAATCAGCTGGAAATGCTACGACGCTGGTGAACTGCTTGACGGCCAACTTGTCGGTACACGACTTGGACAGGGTGGGTTCGGCATCGGCTCGAGATGGCTTTCGGCGAACATAGCCTAGCAGTGAGAAGTGGCCTCTGCCTTGTAAATGCGACGGTGAAGAGGTAGACTCCGGAGGCTGCCACGGCTCTACTTCTCGAGGGTCCATAGCGTTGATGAGGATCTCCATAGATGCATCCCCACAGGGAGCTTGAGTGGTGAAGAAGTGAATAGACACATCTTCTTTTAGCTTGAAAGGCGCTTGGAACGAGCACGAATGATCGGTGCCCTCTAGGGTCGATATAGTAGCTTGAACGAATTCGAGATAATGGGATGTAGAGGCGGGGTCTCGAACAAGGCGCTGGGCCTCTCTGAGCAACCAATAGTTGAAGCCTCGCAAGGCTAATACTTCGGCGTGACAGTCATGCAAGACAAGACCGTTGCACTTTGGAATTGACGAGACGGCGAGGCATTTGGTGCCTGTCCTATGTCCCAGGATTAGATCTTAATCATGATAGCGTGGGGCAAACACACCGGTGTTTTTGACGTACTCACCCCAGAGAGACACACTTCAGTTCATTTTTGGGCTCTGCGTGGGATCATGTAAGTGACAAGGATGACGGGAGCGGTATAGGAGGGATGGTAAGCCTTACCCCGGACGAGCACGACGGCGGACAAAGGTGTCCACTCCCGCCTCCCGTCTGGCTGAATATGCGGCTTACACTTCAGGGGAAGGCTGTCAAATTGTGACAAGACGAGCTGTGCAATTTGTTCCGGCAATGAAGTCATGTAAGAGGAAACTGGCAGGGCACAACACAGTCCAGGACAAAGATCACTGGACATGACTGCGGAGAAGTGAGCAACATGCTAGTGTCCCAAACAAGACGAAGTTGAGACTGACCGTGGTCGAGAACCTATCTTTTAGGTCATAGCGGTTTGTATGACTTGTTCTGAGGCTGCTGAGCTGGCAAAGATGACGCACATCTTGTTTAAAGATGAGTTTCGTGAAGTTATCAAATTCATGACTGCTGTTTGCGTCCCAACACTCCATGGTCGACCGTATAGAGAAGAGGAGGCGGGGATACGGTGAGGCAGGACCTCAGTTGTGCTAATTGTGTCCAGAGATGCACTGCCACGACTGACTGATGATCTCCTTATATCCTACTGGTATCACCATTGTCAAGTTGCGCTCGTTCTAATGGAAATAGAAAATTGATCAAGGTATTATTGAAAATTCGAGGGACGTGGCATTGCACCAGTACTGGATTAGCCTATGATATGATATGTGTTGTTCCTTGAACAATCTTCTGAGGGGCTTTGGGCTAGGCATGATTGGAGGAAGGGGAAACCTAGTGTGGTCAGAATGGGTCTGGAGACTCTGGGCGACCGCGGGCACAATCTTGGGAGATCCCCGGCCCAAGGAAGGCCAGGATCGCCCCTAGACAGCTGCATGCCACCGCCTGTGAAATATCATCGTCGCAGATTGGGAGGGAGATGTTTTGGGTTAATATGAGGTTGGCGCCTTGGGAAGTCCTTCTCCCAGCCCACTGGATGTTGTACCCTCTGATTGTAGTGTATTGGCCTGCAAGACGCCTATTCATAGATGCTGTGTTGTCTTACCTGTCAGTGCTTGTGTCGTCGGTTGTGCGTCGCCTCCTCGGCCTCTGATTTCATGTCCATGCGGGGTGGTAGCTTGGACTTATGCAGGCGTCTGGATGACCACGACACATCTGGGTACTCCCCGGCGTGCCATTCGTGCCTAGGTACCTACTAGTCATATCATAGACTCATTTTCATAGTTCCATATTCGATAAGTGACAGAAGGTCATCCACCGGGCCACCATTACTCCGCATTTGAGACTGGCCACTCAGCGTAGGATAATTGACAGGGCTGAGAGCGCCGGTTGGTGGGCGGCCCCCTTGCCCCTCGGCCCCCCTGGCCTCCCCGAGAGCACCAAAGGTTAAAAGAGCCACGAGGGCTAAAAAACCGGCTGTCTAGGCCATCACAGGCTGTTCAACTGCTTAAAGTATCAAGCTAGAGCCTGAAAGAAGGCAATCTTTTCCATCTGCCCCACAATCTTTTCCCACAAGAAACCCACATCAAGGTCACGGACTCACCAGACTTGACTGTTAGGAAGAGAGGAAGACGCCAGCTCCTTTCGGCCAATTCCTCCCAAGCTTCCCTTCTCCCACAATTTCAAGCCACAGTCCTTGTCAGAAAGTTGACTCCCGCCTTTCGTGCATGTGTCTGACTCTACGACGAGTCGAACGGTCGAGACGAGAGCACTGCAGTCTCGCTGACCATCACCCCCCACTACACACCCTCGACACTTGACATTTTGACGACACCTCTGAGCTCTACAACTTCAATCTGCCAGCCTTGCGTTTCCCTCATCCTTTCTCTCTATTCACTATCTGCATGCTCAGTGCGAAACCCACGCGTATCTCGGTCTCGATCCCAAATCCCAATCTCAATCGAGCTCGATCGACCTCCGCCGCCGCACGCACCACGTGAGAACCCCGTGATCTTATCACGTGCTTCACTTCTTCCAAACTACAGACTTTTTGTGCATCTCCTCCTCCAACGTGTGTGTTGTTCTCATTGTTTCAACTCACGCTTCCATCTCGCCAGCTCCGAAGCTGCTGCGTATGAGGACATGTAGGGTTCCTTGGATCGATCGCCATCCAATTCCGCCACGTTGAGCGCATTAGGCCTTGTTTCCATCCGCGACCTGATGCTCATACCCTTTTGTTCTTATTACACCTCTCACCATGTCCACTTCACGCAACCCCCGCATTGATGGCATCATCATCTCTCAGACGCCACGGCCAGCGTCAAAGCCATCCACCTTTGATCAGGATTCGCCCGCGTCTACAGAATTCGGTTTCCCCTTTGATGGCAGTCCTCATGGAAGCAGTAACAGTGGCATTGACGCCCCTCCGGATCTTCGTTCAACCCACAGTCACACTTTTCCAGCACGAGGAACCTTCCCAGATTCAGTCCGCTACGCGTCAGGTCGAATCCCCAGTCCCCAACATCGTGGCAGCCTCGCCAGCATCGATTCTGCATTTGACCATGATCTGTTTGGTGCCGCTGCCCTTAGTCAATGGACTCCCGCCAACCCACTCCCGCCCGCCGCCCCCAGCAATGCAGAATCATCGCCAAGAAGACGTCCCAGCGGATCCGAGCCGGACAAGAAGCAACCTCCTGACGACCAAAAACTGCCAGCATGGAGCGAACTAAAGACCAAGGCCGGTAAAGAACGAAAGCGACTTCCTCTGGCCTGTATCGCCTGCCGCCGGAAGAAAATCAGATGTTCTGGCGAAAAGCCCGCCTGTAAGCATTGTCTGCGCGCAAGAATCCCATGTGTCTACAAGGTCGCCGCGCGCAAAGCCGCCCCGCGTACAGACTACATGGCCATGCTTGACAAACGACTGAAAAGGATGGAAGATCGAGTCATCCGTGTGATCCCCAAGGACGAAGTGCCAGATTTCTCCGCTACGGGTCGAGCTTCCGTCCGACCACCTCTCCCTGGACAGGTGCTCAAGAAGGACAAAGAGCAGCCGAAGAAGCGATCTGCCGAAGAAGCCTTTACGCACGAATTGCAAGAATGGAAGGTCCCCAAGGAAAAGACCGGTGCACTCGATCCCACGGTAGGCTTACGAAAACAGCGCGAGGGCGAAAACAAGCTCTTTATCGAAGGCTCTGAGTCCCTTCCGCCGCAGCATATCCAGGAACATCTCGCCGAGGTCTTCTTCGATTGCATCTACGGCCAGTCGTATCTCCTGCTTCACAAGCCGAGTTTCATGAGGAAATTAAAGGCAGGGACCATTCCACCCGTTCTCATCCTGGCCGTTTGTGCCATCTCGGCCCGTTTTTCTTCTCACCCTCAGGTCAGTACGGAGCCGGCTTTCTTGCGTGGAGAGCAGTGGGCCACCCCAGCTCGTCGCATCGTCGAGAAGCGACATTACGAACCGAACATCACCATTCTCACCGCCATGTTAATGTTGGGTCTGCATTACTTTGGCACCTGCGAAGGCGGTCTTTCCTGGTCCTTTGGCGGCCAGGCCATGCGAATGGGTTATGCATTGCAATTGCACCGCGAGCTCGATCATGATCCATTGGGTCGAAATCAGCTTGCAAACAATGAAGGCAAAAAGGGCCCCAAACCGCCCCAGCTATCCTTTACCGACCGAGAGATCCGCCGAAGAACCATGTGGGCATGCTACCTGATGGACACGTTCAATTCCTCTGGGACTGAACGGCCCTCCTTTCTCAACGAAGATTATTACCAAATTCAGCTCCCGATCAAAGAATCGCATTTCCAGATGGAAGTCCCCGGTCCCACCGAAGATCTCCATGGCAATATTCGAACCGATAACAAGAAATCTCTCGATGCTGCCAGCAGTAATGATGCCTTGGCGGCAGAGGCCAAAGCCAACATGGGCGTGGCAGCTTATATTGTCCGGGGAGTGGTCCTCTGGAAACGAATCGTCAAATACCTGAATCTCGGCGGCAAAGAAAAAGATCCTCACCCCATCTGGGATCCGTTATCACAATTCGCTACTCTCCAGCGGCAGATTCAACAGCTCAAAACCTCTCTCCCCGACTACATGACCTATACGCCGGAAAACCTTGCCACACACAGCTCGGAACGCCTGGCCAACCAATTTCTCTTCCTTCACATTGTCCTTGCGCAGACCTCGCTCTTCCTCCACCGTTTTGCCATCCCGACCACACCGTCCACTCGCCCGCATCATACCGCCTACACCGCAGCCGGCATGCCCAAGACATTCCTCTCCAGCTCGGCCACAACGGTTCTCGAATCCGCCGCGCTCATTTCCAAATTGATTGCCGACTCCACGGGGTTGACGCTTACAGTGCCATTTGCAGGCTACTGCGCATATGCGGCGGCGACAGTGCACGTTTGGGGAATCTTTAGCAAGTCGGCAAGTCTGGAAGCCGCCAGCAAGGACAATCTGCGGCACAACTACAAATACCTGACACGGATGAAACGGTACTGGGGTATGTTTCACTACATGGCCGAGAGTGTCAAGGACCTGTACCGCGCATTCGCCGACGCGGCTGCCCGGTCGCAGCAACACTTGGCGGCGCGGGCCATGGCCGGCAACGCGCGACGTCCGGAGGTGATGCGCACGGCGTCATCGTCGCAATCACACTCGGCTACCCCGATGCTGATGGACCTGGACGAGGCGGGCGGCAAGGGCGGAGCGGCCACGACCAGGTCTACAACGGATCCGGACAGCCGAGCCGTGACACCTGGCGGAACTCCTATTCCGGGCGGTGGTAACGGGGAAAGCGGGTCGTCGTCCAAGGCCATGTTCCAGTACGGCGACTGGTTCGACAAGTACCCGCACGGCGTCAGTGAAAGTGAATGGGAGAAGTCGCACCTTGAATATCGGGGGGATGCCGGGACGTCGGACGCGGTCATGTCGCAACGAAGTGACTTGCAGAGTGTGGAAGAGTTTTTTGCGACTTTAAGCCCGCCCAGCAAGGCTGACGACGGTTCTGGAGGGCCACGAGGCAAAAAATTCGCCCGGCGGAGGGGCAAGAGCGTGGCAGAAACTCCTGGCAAGAAGGCAAAGGATGCTAAGGGCGATGTTGGCACGGCGGCGGCGGCAGCAGCAGCAGCAGCAACGAAAGATGGGAGCAAAGAGGGAGCACCCATGAATAACTCTGGGTCTGGTGGTGCTACCGCTACCGCTACCGCTACCGCTGCCGCCGTGACTCCGTTGAGTCCAAACGCCGTGGCTGGGACGACGCCCCATCAACTTTCCCAGTCGTCTCAAGGTGGACATCAAGTTCATCGACTCTCGAACGCCGCATCTCAGGACATCAACCTTGCGCACCCATTCAACCCCAGCGACTTTGATATCACGTCACCCAGTCTCTACGCAACCACGCAATATGGAGGACCTCAACAGTCACAGCCAGGTAATGATCCATTTGGCTACAGTTCACCCACCAACCAGGGGTTTAATAATTTTGCCTTCGCTTCGGCGCTACCTCAAATGGACCGACAAATGGTCTTTGGCGCCTATGCCGGCGTAGACCCTGCCAGCGCCGCCGGGCAGGGTCTGTCCCTCAATGCCAATTCCCCCATGAACAACTTTACGACCAACACCCCCTGGGACGCCATTGATTGGACCGGCTTTGGAGGATATGGGGACATGAATGGGGGCTCGGTGGATATGAGTTCGTCGGCATGGTTACTGCCGTTCAACATTGAGCCTCCGAGCTATAGTGAGATGGGTGAATATGGCGGGACGGCGCTGGATGGCATGGACCTGAGTGATCTTGGGGCCGGAGGAGGACCCGAGAGCGACATGGGCGGAGGATTCGACACAGGCTCGACCGGGCGATGAAGCACATATTGTTTTGTATATGAACCTTGAAATCTGTAGGATGCCGGATATTTTTGCATGTAGGAGGATATTCGCCTGAAATAGCAAAACAAAATATTCGAGCATCAATGAGCGGCACGCGAGAGGAGGACGCGTTTTCTATTGTGGTCCACTTGTGCGTTGCTGGAGTGGGTGGGTTTTAATCGTCCCATTCCTCGTCCAACTGGTCGATCAAACGGTTCTCGTCGTCGGCGTTTGGACCGCGTTCCGGGGCACGGTTCTCACCGACACGATGATAACCTCTTCGACCAGCAAAGAGTTCTGTAAGTCTATTGGGCATTCTCTGAGAGCAAGACGAGAAGAGGATGATGAACATATCCTTGATGGGCAAAAGTCAGCGGGTGGACGCTTTTGCGCAGCGAGATTCAGGGCATGTCGGATTTGTAAGAGTAAGTGTGCGGCTGCCAGGCGTCTTTGGAATTTGTAGGACGACGTTTCCGACGATTGTGCAAGGACAACGGGCTCTAGAAAGCACACGAGAGTTGGTAAGGAGTGGCGCGCCGGACAAGGAAATCATACAGGAAGAAACGAGGATAGATGGAAAAGGGGGGGGGGAACACATACCGAGACGAAACTGACCAGGCCGGCCCAGACGGCGTAATTGGGCAATTGGCGCCAACCACGTTGGTGCATGACGTTGCGTTGATAAACGATACCACCAATAAGATAGACCAACAGAGCGATACCCAGGATGACAGCAAAGACGGCGCCGGGACCCAAGGTGCCTTTCTCTTCAGACTGGGTTGTACCACCGCAGGCGTTGCGGGATCGCACTTCGAAAACATAGGTGCAGTGGTCAAGTGAGCCAATAAAGGAGATTGCAGGGCGTCCGGACAAATTTGGAGCAGTGTCACAGACAAATGACAATAGAGTCGACTTGCGACGGTTGTTGGTCTTTCTTTCGACGAGATCTGGGTCTTGGGGGACGCCGTCCTCGTCGAGATCGGGGCACGGAGAACCCTGAGTGTAGTTGAGGAGGAGCTTCTTGCCGCGGAAAAAGGGAAGGTCGTTCTGTTGTCCTATACTGTGAATATCGCCGCGGCTGTCCTTGTAGAAGGCCGACACGTTTGCGATTCTGGAAGTGGGTATTCCCTCGACATCTACCAGTTCTTCGACGACAGGAGCGCAAAAGTTCATGGAAAAGTTTGAGGGATAGTCGTAGCCTTTGACATGATAGGACTCGTTTGTTGCCACCTGGTATTTTGTTCCCTCAACAGTCAATTGAAGGGGACGGAGGTCGAAGAAGGAACCTGAAGTAGGGGATATGATTGTACAAGGTTTCGAGACTTGCTCTGTTGATGCGAGGGTTGATCGGATGACTGAGAGGAGTAGGACGAGGGTTTTAGATGTCAGATACATGGTGGGCGAGTAGGATTGAGGTCAGGTCATGAGAATAAAGGAGGTTGAAATGAAGAGTTGGTGTGTATCGATGGAGATGATGGCACAAGAGCCTGCGCTGTGGCTGTTGCTGTAGTAGAAAGATAGATTGTGAGATGTGCCACTGTTGGCGGACTGGTTGAGGCTGGTCAGCCTCCTAGATAGATGTTTGGATGGTGAAGTGCTGATAGGTTCAGAAGAGTGGACGGAAGTTGAGGTTGAGGTTGAGGTTGAAGGCGCAGGCAAGAACAATAAAGTCTGGCACTAAGAAAAGGACTTTTGCAGTTGTAGGCAGGCACGGGCACAGGCACTGCACGCGTAGATAGGAAGGTGGGGGGGTGGGCATAAAAAGATACGGGAAGGAACGATCAAGGACTCGTTGGAGTTGCTCAGCCAAGAGGATGAAATTATGGCAAGAGCAGAATCTGATTGTGACGTGCCGTCAGTGTTTCTTGGGAGGGAGGAGGTGATTGAAATACTGAGAGTTGTTCTCTGGCTTGACATAAATTGATAGGAAAAGAGTAGGACAGCAATAGTGGACACGAACACGCTACAGCCGTCACCACATGCGTCGGTCCCTAGTCTCTACAGGAAGGTGGAATCTGCAGGGGCTTGCGTGATGAGGCTCCAGAATCTCTGTGAGGATGCAGCTAGTCTGGTCCAGAAATCATTAATTGGGACAAATCTAAGCTCTATCTTGTTGACATGAAGTGGCTCGCTGGGCAGCCGGATTTGCGATCCAGGGTGAGAGATAGGCGTTTACTACCACATACTGTATGGTATGATTGCCACAGCTGCTATCCAGATTGTGATCGACATGCTCTAAGGAGAATTGTTGTAGATGGAGTATTTAGTATGTACTGTACGGAGTATGTACTGTATGTATAACCATGGCGTTTATGGCGAACTGGATGGCTGAAAAAGACTTCTAGGCTCGTCGGAAAGGGGAGTCTTAAGGGTCGAGGGGCCCATAAGTCCTCGGTGGCCCTTCAAGCCTTAACGCCTCCTGCAGCCACTTGGATCTCCATGCCCCCTTCTAAGCACGCTCTAGATTACCGGTGCATCATGTTCAACGCCCCCTAGACCTTTTAACCAGCGGCCGACCCGTGGACCTGCAGCCATAGTTTAATAGAGTCTTATTAGGCGCACATTTGGCACGGCTGAGAACCTTGTTAACAAGCCTCGACCCTAAAAATGAAGCTACAGCAAGACTATTGTGTTCATTCAGATCCTCCCATCAGACGCCACAATCGCTCTTTTAGATAATAAGACTGGACCCACGACCAGCTGTACAAATCTGAGAACGTTTGCACATGATGCAATAATGTCACCGAGTCAAAGTTCCGCGTGGCAGGTAAATGGAATTCACATACTGGTTCTGACTCCCTTCATCGACCCCAGATTGAGGCATGTCTATCTCTAGCAAACTAAATGCAGCCTTGCAGATCAGATTCCCAATAGAATACGGTAAGAGAACTGACATGACCTATCTGGACATGATGTCTGTCGTCTGCCACCCATTACTATCATCAGCCTTTACTGGCTGGGGTCTCTTCCCCGCCCCGAGTCGACGTCCCTTTTGACTTTCGTCATGTGGAAATTCTCTAGCGACCACCGACCATAGTATCTCAAAAGATAGAGCTTCCAATCCATCGACGACATCGGCGTCGGCGGCTGTTTAACACGGCTTTCCAGCAATATCCGATTACCTGAGGTATTGACAATCTGCCGACACACATATACATTACACATTCAATCCTCGTCATGTCTCGCTCGGAAGAAATCACCCAGAACGAGGTCAGATTTCCCACGCAGCAGTTGTTCATTCTAGGTTTGTTGTGCCCATATTTCCTGGTGTATAGAAGCTCATGGCTCTTGATAGCATTGTGCCGCTTTGCCGAACCTATTGCTTTCACCTCGATCTTAGCATACATATATGTTTTTACGCTCGACCTGAGACCAGATGATGAGGCGAATGCTCCGTTCTTTGCTGGCCTGCTGGTCTCGGCCTTTGCCCTTGCAGAGGCCGCGACCTGTGTCATGTGGGGGAGCATCAGCGACCGCTATGGCAGGAAGCCCATAGTTTTGATTGGTTTGGGTGGTACCGCCTTGTCTAGCTTGATCTTCGGCTTTGCTCAGAACTATTGGGTTGGTCTGGCAGCGCGAGTTATTGGAGGGGGTCTCAATGGTAACGTCGCCGTCATTCAAACCATGGTTTCTGAGATGGTCAAGAGCCCAGATCATGAGCGTATGTACATACGCCCCTCGAAGACCACCATCTCTGTTCTAACCTCATTTAGCCCGTGCTTATAGCGTCATGCCCTTCGTCTGGAGTGCCGGCTCTATTCTTGGGGCGGCCATGGGCGGCTATCTGGCACAGCCCTCCAAAAGTTTCCCATCCATATTTCCTGTCGATGGCCTTTTTGGGAAATATCCCTACCTCCTCCCCAACTTGGTGGCATCTGCTTACATTGCCTTTGCCATCGTGATTGGGATGATTTTCCTTCGAGAAACCAACACTTCCCCTACCCAGAAATCACGTCCCCAAGAGGATATTTCCCAAGCCTCGGCGGATGAAAGAACACCTCTTCGTCCAAGGTCGAGCGCGGCCTTGATGAGCATCAGTAGCGACCAAGATCATTCAACCACCGGCCGACGTCCTTCATTGATTGGTACAAACTTGTCCCTAACGACCAGCACTACCGCTGATCTTCGGAGAGTATCAACCATCTCCATGGGTGCTGTACGTCCACTGATACCGTCCATCTTCGAAGGTCACCAGGCCGAATCAGAAGATGGAAATGACATCCCTGCAACACCATGGAATCGTGAGGTGGTTCTCCTAATCGTGCAATTGATCGTCATGTCCTACCACCAAATGGCCTTTGCATCATTGCTACCCGTGTTCATCGTGGATGAGCCGACGACTGGCCATCTCGATTTACGAGGAGGCCTTGGGCAGACTGTGCGAGACGTCGGGACGTATTTCTCGGTGACAGGAGTGGTTGCCATGTTGATCCAAGTTCTCGTCTACGCACCATTGGTGGAGAGGGTGGGTGTATGGAGATCATTCATTCTATTCACCATCCTAGTTCCCTTGACATACATTGTAACGCCATTCCTCACGGCTCTCGACTCGTCAGGCATCCAAGTCGGGGTCTATGCCGATATGATGGCCAACAGCTTTGCGTTGATCATCATCTACCCGTGTCTGCTGATCCTGATCAAAAACGCCACACCGTCTCTGTCGATGCTGGGGCAGGTCAATGGATTAGCCATGGCAGCTTGCTCTGGGGCAAGGACGTTTGCTCCTCCTTTGGCAGGATATATCTACAGCAAAGGAGGGTCGGCTGTCGGATGGTGGAGTATCGCAGCGGCTGCAATACTTGGCGGCCTTCTCTTGTTTCCAATGTCTCCTCCAGTTGGAGCGGGTGAAAGCGTCTCGGACTGAGATACTTGTGTATACAGACATCTACTTGGCCCACAGGCGTTGTTATGTATACAAATTGAATCGTTGGTTGTCTCCTCTATCTGGCCACGTGATTTCGTCTTTTCGGTGCAGCCTTGTGCCACAGCCTCGTTAGCATCTGCCAGCGAATCAGAGCCAATAATATCACGTGAAAGACGCGCCAACGCGTCACGAGTGGCATCATGACTTCACTTGTCGGTTCTCTTCGATCCGAGAAAGAAATCTTGCCAATATGTCTTCCCCCACAGTTTAACCCGCCCTCCTCTCTTTCACTTCGCCATGTCTTGTTTGCTTGTCCTTTTGCAAGTCCAGCCTTGATCTCTCTCACACACTGCACATAGTGAGATATCATACTCGCACTCCCTCTCTCTCGTTCTGCAAATTTCCCGTCGAGTGCTCGTTTGACTTCGTCCACAACTATGGCAGTCAAAGCGAAGCATAAGCCCGAATATGAATTCTTTGGCCCGTAGGTCTCTCAGAACAAAATACTACTGCTATGGGACTTGTGCTGACCCCTTTTTTCCAGTCCTGGCGCCATAGTCTTGATTCTCGGGCTACCTGTTCTAGCGTGGTCCACCATTCTCTTTTGCAACGACGTTTCCGGTTGTCCTGCCCCGGCTCTCCTCGATTGGAACACCCTGACATGGGAGAAGCTCAAAGCCCAGACACCCTTGGGCCAACAAGGCCTCTCTACGCTATTTGATCTCGGCGTTTTTGGTTGGGTCTCGGCATATTTTGGCTTGTTGGTGTTCCTCCAGCTGGTTCTACCAGGGGATGAGCTCGAGGGCACCGTTTTGGGAACAGGAGGAAGGCATAAATACAAGTTCAACTCATTCAGCTCGGCTGTAGTGATTTTTGCTGGTCTGGCCGCGGGCACCGCCTACCAAGGCGCTGATTTTGTGGTTTGGACCTATATCTGGGACCACTACCTTCAGATTGAGACGGCCGCATTAATCATCGCCGTTCTTCAAGCAGTCTACGTGTACCTCGCTTCATTCAGTGTCCCCCACCCCGGAAAACCGAACCCAACCCATCGAGAACTAGCCGCGGGTGGCCATACCGGAAACATTGTCTACGACTTCTTCATTGGAAGGGAGCTCAATCCACGAATCCAGGTGCCCACATGGATCCCAATCGCAGGTGGTCAAGTCCTTGATATCAAACTCTGGAATGAAATGAGACCTGGCTTGATCGGCTATATTATCCTTAACCTGACTTTCATCGTCCGTCAATACAAGACCTACGGCTACGTTACCGACTCCATCATCCTCGTACCAATGTTTCAATCATTCTATGTACTCGATGGTCTGTATATGGAACGGGCTATCTTGACGACCATCGATTGCATCACTGATGGGTTCGGGTTCATGCTCTCCTTTGGCGACATTGTGTGGGTTCCCTTCATCTACAGCATGCAGAGTCGGTATCTTGCTGTCTATCCGCACACCTTGGGAGCATCAGGCATCGCCGGGGTATTGGCCATTCAAGGCCTTGGTTACTACATCTTCCGCTCATCCAACAATGAAAAGAATCGATTCCGGACCAATCCCAACGATCCTCGAGTCTCACATCTAGAGTCTATGACCACGGAATCCGGTTCCAAGCTGCTTGTTTCTGGCTGGTGGGGTCGTGCGCGTCACATCAACTATCTGGGTGATTGGATCATGTCCTTCAGCTACTCCATTCCCACAGGCATCGCCGGCTACATGGTGAACAAATATCAGAACCCCGTCACAGGCAACGTGACAAAGGAAGTTGTACAAGGCGAGGCCAGAGGGTGGGGCATGATTTTTACCTATTTCTATATTATTTATTTCGGTGTGCTGTTGGTCCACCGAGAGTTGAGGGACGAGGAGAAATGTCGAAGAAAGTATGGCAAAGACTGGGAGAAGTACTGCGCGAGGGTCAAGTACCGCATCATCCCTTATGTCTACTGATGAGTAGACAAGACCACGATTGGTGGTCATGGTTGTACATAGCATGGTGATTGATTGTGCTCGGTGGTAGCTGAAGTATCACAAGGCCTTTCAATGGCCACTTGAAATTCAATCTGAATATAAATAGATCTCGAATCATGTGGCAAATGTTCCGTTACCACTTTGGACTGGTCCAAGGGCTGGATCTGCCTGTCCAACTGGTTCTTTTGGATACAGAAGACGAAGACGAACAAGATTCATCATGACAGAATCTTGACCGAATATCAGACCACTCGCCCCACGTAAATGCCTTGAATAACTAGATGCTGAGGTTGACGACGGTAAAGTCCCGGCCTGGCCGACTGACCGCCTGACCAGGGTATTATGTTAGCATCTTTTGTGCAGGCCAACGGTTGTTGTTAATGTCAAGTATAAGCGAACACATACACAAGGACTACATACAAAAGATGCCTCAAGCGCCTTTGCCTAGGCCAGTCTATACCTAAGTAATCTGTTCATGCAAGTCATGTCATGAGAGAGATGGGGCCGGGCGTCTAGATACATTACTCTTATGCATGAATTACTGTTCGGCCACTCAACGTGTTGAATCCCACACCATGTCTGAAAAGAAGCCATCCTATCAGCTTGCTGGAATCATCTCACAACCTAGTCATCGACTTTACTTATTATAGCTACAACGCTCATCATCTCTCTACTCTCCACCTATCCCATCCACGAATCAGGAAAAGGAAAATTCCCCTCCAAAGGTCCAGCTACTACCCTGGACTGTCGTTTTACACTTTGCCGCCGTCTTCTATGCGTCAAGGTTCTTGAGGTAGATACCTCGTTATTTCCAAGATCTGCTTGTTTGCATCCAAGGATAGTAGTGCCATGTCAACCAAGACGGGCCATGCTCTACCGCACTTTGCCCGTTGAAAATCAGCCTCATGGGTGGTCGGCAATCCATGCCATGGATCAAGGACAGGGTTGTGGTGCGATGGCAACAATTCCTGCTTTCCAAGTCCTAAAGGTATATCTTGCTCCAGATTCCTCTGTCGGCTGGTATTTTAGTCCCATACAATCAATCTGTTGCACAAGACTCGAGATTAGGATATACATAATTACCAATTTACTCGATATACTAATTCCATCCTACGATTGTCCTGTCAACCCATCCATGATGAATCTCTTCCTCATAGCCATGGCTACGCTTGCCTTGGTCTGCAATGTCTCGGCCATGGGTCGCATTCCCCAACGGCCTTTCTCTCTTCCTGATCCTGTGTCTGTTGACAGTTCGGTTTCGGACGACGGTGCTCAGCCGCCAACACTCGAGACCCCTACGATAGTGTGACCATGGGCAACTGCACAAGATTCGTCGCATCATGAATGAAGCCATACTTGAAGTCCTGCTTCTCTATCTTGCACCCCAGACTTCATTGACGGCATCCTTCTGCTCAACGGCTCATGTCCAACTGTTGTCGGAGAGAAACAATCGAGCCACCCACCTTTGACGACGGCTTCTCCAAGCAAGCGAGCAGGCAGGCTGACATTGAACGGGGAGGAGTGTCTCAATCCAACGGCGACCTTGTACCACGCTCCACGCTCCACGCTCCACGCTCCACGCTCCACGCTCCACGCTCCACGCTCCACACTCCACACTCCACACTGCAGAGATAGTCTCTATCCATTGTTCATCCAGGCCGCCGTGTTGTCATGTCCGATCCAGAACGGTATATCAAACCCTTGCAAAGGATCCAGCCCATCGAGCGAGATAGGAGGCATTTCAGACACGCTCCCCAATTCTATGCTGGCAAAGTCTGGCCATGGTTTGGTCGACATGGTTTCTGGGAAGACATTCGAGTGCACCCCAGCTGAGTATTGCTGAGTATACTGCCCACTTCCAGATCCCATCGGCTCGGCATAGGTCTGCGGATTCTGCATGTCCATGAGTCCACCAGCCCTCGAAGGTTGTGTAGCCGGCATAGTCGTCGGACTCGGAGTGAATGTCGAGTATTGATTGAGCTTGGCCTGTTGTTGGGGCTGCGGGGGAGGTGTTGGTGGTTGGGTGGTAGCATAAGGCATCACCCACCCAGCATGCTGGCTGCTGCTAGTGTCCGTTTCTTCTTCGGCAAAGTAGTTGGTATCATTGCTGTGGCTAGTTGGCGCCGCCGTTTCGGGCTGTCGCGCTACAATACCGCTGTCGGAATGATTGGATGAGCTTGGCGGGTTTCGGTTGGTCTCGCTGCTCTGATCAGGTTGTGAAAGACCTGTACGCATATCGCGGATGGCGATTGCACAAGCCGATGGCCAGATACTTCCTCGTGAACCAAGCTTTTCGAGGATTTGAAGGCTGCGGTCCGTACTCCTGTACATAACACGGGAATTGTCAGACAACGCAACTGAGTTGACCATTTGCATGCGAATGAGGACTTGGGTGAGACTTACCGCATAGCGATGTGAGAATCGACTTCGTTCTCCATCGCGGCGTATAACATGATAAAAGCACTCATCCATACAGCCCAGGTGAACGAAGGCCAAAACATGGGCTGATAAACCTTTTGATTCTGCCCTGGTGAAAGACTCATTGTGTCGTTGACCGGGGCCACCAAAGCATGGAGTGTGGAGATAATTGCCTTGGATGCGGCAATACAGGAATGTAGGGCCCCGGCATAACTGGCCGTCTTTTTGGATGTGGTTAGCAGTGGCCGATTGAGTGCAATTTTCGATTCGTGCTTGAGGACAGTGAAGATAGCCTTGTGCAGGACATTGAAAGGGGCCCCTTGATATTCGGCTTGCTCAATAGCATCCTCAACTTGGTTCCACCATTGTGTAAGTCTAGAATTGACAAAGACAGCCCGTTCCAAGCTTTCTTCTCGGGAGGACACCATCTTGTTTCGAAGTTCCATGATACAGCCCTTGATTTCAGCGTGTCTGGCCAAGAGAGCTAGAACCATCAAACGACTATCGGCTTGTTGCTCTCGTTTTCTGGCTCCCGCGTGTTGTTGAGGGTTGGCTGCTGGCAAGATATGACGTTCTTGGTCGGGATAACAAACGTCAATGTCATCATCTCGCACCGTCAAGGGCAGACCCAGTGCCTGGCACAAGTGTCTATCAATACAATAAATCGACCAGAAGAGTCTCTGACGAAGCTGTCGTTCGGCTGGACTGAAAGCGACGAACCGCGAAGGACAGCGATGGAGGCCCATCTGAAACGCAAGTCGAATGACCAGACCCCCCAGGCGCGAAGCTGACTTTAGTCGCAGCATGGACACTTCCAATAATTGAACCGAGACGACAGCCTGCAACGCCGAGATTGTGGCAGCATTTGTCACAGCGGGCTGGATGCTTTCAAGAGCATCCTCAAATGTGGTAAAGACAAGACATTTGGGGACGGGGCGCGGAAATGGATCATTCCTCTGTCGGCGGTCACAGAGGCTGATCGAAATTATGGCTCTGATGAGAATGGAGTCGTAGGTATTCTCCCGAGGGAGTCCGTTCTGGGCGAACCTCTCGAAGGATTCAAGAATCGACGGAGCATGCAGGAATGGATAAGCTGGATGCCAGAGATCAAAGTAACTTCCAGACCATTGGACAAGGTCGTCGAATGTGAAGGTCTCCTTGAGAGGATCATTGGTCAAATTGACCTCGTGTGGTTGCCATATTTGAAGGTATCGACTGGGGCCCCAGCCGCTGTCAAGGCGATCATCCTCCCCAGGAACAAGATTGCTCTCTGGATCCTCTCCGTGAGGATGAGACGTTCTTCCAGCCATGGCGCTGTAGACAGAGCGAATGAAATGGATGCCACTAGCACTTCCGATGAAGCTTGCAGAGGCCCGTCCCATGCCATTGCGCATGAGTCCAACCTCCTTGAATCGCGAGAGCTCCTGGGGATGTGTTTCCTTTTGACGCTTGGAAGGACGCTCCTCGTCGTTCATTCGGCCCCCATCACTTGGTGGCGAGGACCGCCCTCGAGACTGATGGGCATTTCGAGACATGGCTGCATGCACAGTCACATGATGCGACAGAATCAGCTGGTGATTGACATTGCTTTGAAAGAGTAGAACATCAAAAGGATGAATGAAGTGAGGTCTGGACTTTCGGGGGAAAACATCCACACTTGATTTCCCGAAAACGAGATTCGCGCTCGGCTGCCCGAGGGGGCCGAGGGGCCTTCGGATCCCCGCAATTACCCGCGTTTGGTGAGTGTACCTACTGCAGCTGCACCCCAGTGACGCCTTCCCTGGTCGACAACCATCGCTCCTGCCCCTCATAAAACACCCAAGAGGCCAAGAGGCAAGGAGGCAGGAGCGATGGAGCACGATGGGTCACGTGATAGCAACCTCAATGTCGACACCCATCAGTATACACTGACTTTCTTCTGTCTATCTCTATTAAACCACTCAAGTCTACCTACCCGTGAACAGTCACGAGATTCAGTCTTTTTGTGGCGATCCCACAGGGATCACTGGTCAGAGTGGTTTCCTGACAATCCTATAGTATCCGCGCTCTTACGTCTAAATCTATATATTAATTACCCCGCTAGATACGAGATTAGCTACCTAGTATTACTTAGTAATGGAAGGCACAAATAGTTAAAGTTAGGATACTAGGATAGAAGCTATATTTGATTAGATATTTTCTTATCTCGTCTTTAAAATAGTACTTACGTTCTATATATACGGCTAAGTAAGATAACATCGAGCGTCTTGTCTTTCTCCACTATGCCCCTTGGTCACCGAAAGGCTTCAGTTACCTATTATCGATCCGTCTATCGGAAAATCTAGAAGGCTGAAAGAGGGTGAAGAATTATTTGGAACCCAGACATCTTCAGCTACGGTCATGCCATAGTCTGTGACGAACGGTGATAAGCTGCACGAGAAGGTGTCCAGTAATGATAGGTCCCACTCGTTATTGCAATTATAGTCATGCGTTATTGGGTGGCTGTCTTGAGTCACAGCCTCCTGCAGTTGAAGAATGCTGCTAACTTCTCTGCATCCTCCTGGGGCCATTGTCGCTTCCGCCGTATCCCTTTGTAGTGGCGTCAAGATTGCCGACGAGTTTTTATCAAGGACATAAAGTTTGTCTTTGAAGAGGATGCCCCCAAGGTTTCGTGCGTCGTCCTTCAATACCGAGATATGGGCTTTTGAGAGAAGTTGAGCAATAATTGACGCGGGTACATCCGCGCCAGAATACACCTCCTGCAACGCCTCGACCGCCTGAATGGTAGAGAAAAGCTGCTGCACGATATTGGTCCTGAGAGAATCGTCCTCGGTACCCAGTTGCTGCACGTGTGTGAGTATTGCGGATAGTTGGAACATGACAAATGGGGGAGGTCCACGTGCTAAAAGACCAATACTATTGAGATCCCGCGTGATGGAGGTCACTTCTTCGGCCGCGTTGCGGACTCTGTCTTTAGATAAAGTGTTGCCAAAGTTGGGGTTTGCCGTGAAGCATTGATGCCGGTGAAGTGCTGAGACGAGCGAGAAGTATGCAACGCGAAGATAACCGCGACAGAGTGTGATACTTTTGCTGTCGTTGCTGGGAAAATTCGATGGTTTATAGATGCACGATGGCGGAAGCGTCGACCACCAACTTTGGAGCTTCCGATCCAGGCTCCAAACTCTCTCTTCCACGATTTGGGAGCGCGGGTACAACATGGGTGTTGAATTAGGCCCTGTGGCGTCCGTAGACATGCGTCCCCGCCTCGCAGAAATCATGGAGAAATGCAACTCAATTACCAGACCGATGTGCACGCTGAGTTCGGCCAGTCTGACGCAGAACTCGGCCAGTTGTTGTTGATTTCGGACGTCTCCGACAGGGACATTTTTGAACTCCTCATCTGATAGGCCACTGCTGTTATGGATGAACTCAAAGTCTTCGAGGCTGAGGATGGGGGTGTCAAACTCGTCGGGGCGAATCCAAGCTGGCCGACTTAGGGCCTGAACAAACATTCGGTCCCGTATGTAGCACGACCACCACAGCCGTCGTCTTTGACGGGCGTCTTTAGCACTGATCGAATCGGATGTGGCAGTGCGATGCAGTCCAAGACCCAGTGCCATGGCGTAGGCGACACCCATCCAATGCCAGCACCCCTTTTCGTCATCAGCATGATTTGACCACAAAGTCATGAGCAAAACTGCCTGCAGAACCACGAGCCGGTCTTTCTCCACGTCAAAGTCGTACAGAAGCTATTATCTCTGTCTTAGCAGAATTTCGGTATGTCGAATATGAGCAACCTACCCGAACTCTTTCAAAATATGCCTTTCGAGCCTCCCTGCGGGAAGAGAAGCCTACACGCTTGAGCTCGGCTAAATCACAAGACGCGGACCCAGCAAATATCAGAGCTTGCAGGAGTAAAACACTGATGCGAGGGGTGTTCAAGCCCGGACTTGCTTGAAGAGACCCAAACACCAGATCCAGGTCCAAGAATGGCATCCACGGGTGAAGATTTTCGACGTAGCCGCGGACTAGGGCAGAGCGAAGAGGAAGATCTGGAATTTCCAAAGCTCCTTTGCGCTTCAAGAAACAGATATTTTCTTCATCCAGATCTGAGGGTAGACCTTTCACGAAAGTCGGCAGCTCAGAGGTTCTGACTTTGCAGCTGCGACTGGGGCAGTGGCCGGGACAGCGAAGCCTCGAAGGAGGTGACGTTGCAGGCGATTCACACCGAATCATGGGACCGTGCTCACCGATTGTTAACCTGGACCTCTGAATTAGTGAAGCATAGGTCAACTCCTGATGCAGAGTCTCTTCGCACGGGGGGGACAGATATCGTTCATGCTCTCTGGAAATCGAGCCGCTTGGGCCTGAAATACCCGATCAATCTCTGCATGGCAATGAGTCCAGGCAAGTGGTCTCCCTACCTTGAGCTCCTGGACCCTCCTGTGTTTGTGCCAACCACAGATGCGTGTGTTTGACTGGGTGGCTGCCTCCACCATAGAGCTGCCCATCTTGTAAGGGCCAAGAAGATTTCACTTGTGGCCGTTGTCGTGGCCTTCTGCACATCCCATTCCATCAGAGACATTCGCAGGGATAACACATAGGAGTATCTCGCACCTTCCACGCCGACTTTTGACGAAGACACACTCAATTTCATCAAGGATACAGTTGTTACAAGTCATGTCTGGGATTTCCATAACACATTTGACTTTGCGATCCCGACAGTTTTGGCATGCCCTGGAGCGTCTATGGATCGTCTTGCGGCTCTTTGTCGAATAGTCCATGATATAGATGCGGCCAATGTCTTCGTCTGGTTGTAGCAGCTCCTTTGTATGTGGACATTCAGCGACTAACAGGAAGTTTACAGAAAATATTCACTTATGTGTGACGCGGAGCAGGAAATTCGCTCGAAGTGTGCTTGAGTATAACAATCCCGAATTGAGATCAATAATCACCAGAAATGGCCAAGCAACTTTCCAGCAGGAGAGCAGTGATCAGACCAATGAGAACTGCGGGTGTTTACCTCCTAACCACGTAAGAGTTAGACCATCGTGCGCAATGAAACATGGTTGGTTAGCCAGCATTGGGATGCCTGGACTTTGCTCTGACGGGCATTTAGAAGCAAACTGTAAATAAGCCAGAGAATATTGTATCCCGCCTTCTTTTCTCGACCAATCTATGTATTTGAGACGATGTACAAAGACGCAGTATCCGTGTTCCGCGGCCTGGATCCTGCAAGATCCTTGAGAACCGAAGACGCAGGGGCCTAGTCTTGGGCGAGGCTGGGAGGCGAGGCTCTCACGCCCGTCAGGTGCTCTACTGATGTGCTCTACTGATGCCAATGACAATGGTGATTCGAATGCACTCGAGGCAAATGGTTTCTGTGCATGTTGACAGAGGTGTACAAAGACCCGAGCGATTGGAAAATGACGAGGACGGGCAATGACTTTAAGAATCAATGAATTGCTGTAAGGCAGCTTCAGCCGTACCCCATGCCACAGCGGTCCCCATGTCTGCGAGCGAAGACACTTTGAGGTACGATAGTCGGTTGTGATTCCTGATTTTATGGCCCCGCGAAAGTGCATAGTGTGAAGATATGTCGTGCTAGGGTAAACCTTGTTGTTTTCCGAACGGTGCTTCGCCATCTCCGTGTGAACGGTCGAAAGTTTGTCATCTATCTTAAGCATGGAACTGTGCAGGTCTTGTCCTGTCAAGCATTGGTATGGCTTGCACCTCGGTTCCGGAAACCCTTTCTTCCGTTGAACGGCACGTTGCAAGATAAGAAGCTATTGAGCGGCGATCAAAGAATATATCAATCCTCTCAAGGTCATTGTATCAAACTGAGAATGGCAATTTGATAGGCACGTGCCCCACCATCACAGCTAGCTACTGGCTAGGGGCCTTCGATTCTTCTTCCGTTGGCCGCGTACGCAGCAGTTGAAACACTCCTTCTCTACTTAGTAATAAATCAAAGGCGGATGATGAGCTTCCGCATGACAACGTTTCGCCGACATCTCCTTCCGATAGCGTTCCTCTGGGCCTTGTCCACACCGACTCGAGTACGGCCTTGACTCTCCAAGCATCCCCACAACGGGAGCATCGCCAAATTTCGGCGAGCTTTTGTCGGATGATGCTCAGATGTTCAGGAGATGTAACGGCACAGCCCATCACTAAAAGAGGCCAGCAGAAATATTGGTCAAACCGGGCCGTAGAAGGCCACGAGGAAAGCTGCTCGATACCCTGGCACACAAGGTCTTGAACTGACGCTTCAGTGGCCGAGAGATCGCGATGAATAGACTTGGCAAGCAGAATTCTGGCCGAAGTAGAAAACAGTCGGAGCTCACGATAACAGGCCAGTTTGCGGTCATCGTCCCAAGTAGCCAGTGCTCCGTGATGAATCAGGTACTCCTGATCGCTGAGCTGCTGTGTCAGCAAGGTGATATACTCCTTGCTCTGCTCGGCATGGCGAATTCGCGTCACGTCGCCAATGATGCGAAATAGAGAAGGTCGCCCACCAAGCAATGGTGAATTCGCCCACTGCGGCTGATCTGGAAATGCCTTCATGGTGAGTAAGCTCATTAGCTCAGCCCACCAGGAGTGATATCTCGTTAGATGTGCTCCCTCAAAGATCGGAAGGACCGACAGATGATAGACAACGGTCTCGGCGAGGCAACGGTCGAACTTCAAATCGTGATAGTCGTCGTGTCTTCTCTGCCTGTAGTTGTGCCGTAACCTGAGGATCTGGCACGCTCCGAGGAGATGAGACCCGGCTTTGGGGTGGCGGGATGGATTCCACCGCTAGGAAAATCGTCAACATAAGTACATGGTCTTATTTTGAAGGGCATACCTCGAACAGGCACAGTGCCATGACCATAAGAGCGAGCCAGTCCTCGGCGCCATTGATCTCCCCAACAGCGATCTTCTGTCGAAGCATGAAGGTGGCAGTGCTGTAATACTTCAATGCCTGGACTTGCATGTCTCCGCCCTCTGCCGAGTGATGCATGGCCGCAGTCGCAAGCAGGACGTCCATGACAATGGGCTGTTGCAATGCAACGGCCAGGTGATATGGGTGTCGCTGGAACTCGGCTTGAACGTAAGGTCTAGTCATCAAGGGCAGCACCTTGTCGAGGAAATAGGCAAAGAGTTTATGGTCGGTGGCAGTTTTCAAACCAGGACTTTGAGCTGTGATCAAGCTTTGCGGCAGTAACATTGGCCGGTTGGGCGTCAGCTGAAACTCAGAACCTAGTGTCGTCGAGGCCGCTTCGCTGAGCAAGACGCGTTTGTGGCCATTTTGTGAGGCTACTCGTGATGAAGTGCTCGGGGCTTTCAAGGTCGTGCCATGTCGCCAACGGCAAGCTAGGAGATTTCGAATACAGCCAGAACATATGGGTTGACGTTCATCGCATTTCTTTCGACGGTCGCGGCCTAAAGAGGCTGCATGTTAGGGACGGTTTGTGTATTCCATTTGGACAGAGCTGGATTTGTAAGTCAACATACAGGTTAAACATCCTGTCTTTGCCCGAAGGGGTGGACGGGGGCCCAATGACTGACGTGCACACGATGGTATGGCGACAGATGGTGGCATTAGCAAGTCGAGGCTCATTCCGAGTGCTCGTAAGGTGGGAACCGACCTAAGCTAACCTCATCGAGTTGCCTTGTCGCTCCAACGAGAGTCTAGGCGAAGTTCACACGAAGCCAAAAGTTCTTGAGCCTGGAGTGCTGCCAAATGTGATGGGAAGCCAGGAGAAAGCGCTTACGAGTGAACGCCGAGAGAGGTCAGAGGTACGAGAGACGAGCAGACGTTCTGGCTGGAGCCTTTAGGCCTTGGGAGGAAACCATGGATGTCCACGTGAACGCCATGCCCGGCTGGGAGGAGCCGATAAGACTACGTAGCGCAAAGCGCGCAAAGGTCCATGATTGGGTGGCACTGCGCTCCTACGGTATTACCAGACTTGCGGGGCGTGTTGAGAAAGAACGAGTGTCTTGTCAGTTGTATTCGAAACCGCAATCGCAAGCATTATGCACGGAGAATCATGAACACTGCCATTGTTGTGCGTCGGATTGTACAAAGTATACCGTCCCAGGACGAAAATAGCCGAACAATGGGAGCCTCGGTCTGTCGATCTGGAGGCGTTGTCGGAAACATAATCTGTCTTGATGCCGGCTGAGATGGCCTTGCACATCACCTTCCCTCCCTTGAAACTAATCTCCTGGGTGTGTCTGGAATAGAGTTGATATTGCTTCAGCATCTTGAGCAGCCAAAATGCCCGCCGAATGGGAGCTTATCAGGGACGAATGCCAGGCGCGACGTCGAGATGCCATTCCCTCTACTCTATTGCTTTCTGAAGGATCGATCAAAGCCCTTCCCAAAGATCGCTCGACGGTGGTGGACCACAGTGGTCATTTTACAGATGCTGAGATTTCCATCATCAACACCCCGGCACGCGAGATTGTGGCAAAGATCAAAGCGTATGAGTGGAGTGCTGAAATGGTCACGAGAGCTTTCTGTAAGTCCGCGGCGGTAGCACAACAGCTGGTTAGTATCAGAATTGGTGTCCCATGACTAAAAAGTAACCGGGACCTGCAGACAAACTGCCTGACGGAGGTCTTCTTCGACGATGCCATACAGCGCGCCAAGTTTCTCGACGAGTACCAGCGCGAAAACAATAAGACCATCGGACCTTTACATGGACTGCCAATTTCTTTGAAGGATAGTTTCTTCCTGGCTCCCTTCCCATCTTCCATCGCCGTCGCCGCCTTCGCGCGGAAGCCGGTTCGCTCCACTGCGCCCTTGGCTGAAGTAATGCAAGACCTTGGAGCGGTCTTCTACGTCAAGACCAATGTTCCTGTCGGGATGATGGGCTGCGAGACTATCAATAATGTCTGGGGCGAGGCGACTAACCCGTGGGGATTCACCCCGGGGGGAAGCTCGGGCGGGGAAGGTGCATTAGTGTCCATGAAAGGATCACCCCTAGGGATTGGAACCGACCTCGGAGGGAGTGTCCGTCTCCCAGCCGGCTGGTGCGGTCTGTATGGCTTTAAGGCGAGCGCATTGAGAATGTCAATGAGGGGCCATCGGTCACCACTTGAGGGCGTGGACCTGATCAAAGGAACTTGTGGTCCGCTCGCGCGTTGCTTCGACACCGTGGAATTCTGGCTCGAGCTCATCACCTCCGAGCCTCGCCTGTGGGAGCTCGACAACGATGTGAGCTATGTCCGCCCAGGTATTGATGGTTTCTTTGGTAAACTGACTGTCAGCAGGTTGTGCCAATGCCATGGCACTCTCAGGACGACCGCTATAAGAATAGGAAGTTGAGGATCGGAGTGATAAAGGAGACTGATGGATTGGTCACAGTCCACCCGCCTATTGCTCGAGCTCTAGATCTGGTGATAGTGGCCCTGGAAGCCGAGGGCCATGAGGTATTCGACTGGAAGCCGAGAGGTCATAAAGAAATGTCGGATCTGATGCTCAAAAACACATTTAGTCATGGCCAACCAGTAATTGAGATGGTTACCGAAACCGGAGAGCCCCTGCTACCAACATTAGCCGGGTTCAAAGCAGCGTACGAAGGAAGTGGCGAGCTCTTCACAGCCGAAACCCAACGAGTCATGTCGGCAACCCGTGACCGCTTGCGCAACGAGTACTTCGATGCCTGGGCCGCAACGGCGACCGAGTTGAGGCCGGAGATGGACGCTATCTTGACACCACTGTCCCCGTGGGTGATGCCACCGCTCAAGGCATTGGATAGGGCACTTAACCTCAGTTTCACCAATTTTGCAAACATGCTTGGTGAGTTTACATCTCTTCCCCCAGGCGATAACCCCATCCATTTCTAACCGAACATCAATAGACGCCCCGGCTTGTGTTCTACCGGTAACCTTTGTCGACAAGAATGTGGACAAGAAACGAACAAGTTTTAATCCACTTAACGACATGGATGCAACGATTCAGGCCGATTATGAGCCAGAGCTTTATGACGGAGTCCCGGTCTGCATTCAAATTGTTGGGAAAAGACTGCAAGAAGAACAACTGGTGGCGGTGGCGAAGAAGATCGACCTCTTGATGACCAAGGAGAAACGATGATCTAATGGAATCAACTAGCGGTCTCAAACATTTGTCTCTCTCTCTCTCTCTCTCTCTCTCTCTCTCTCTCTCGGAGGCCCACGTAGTGACACTTAGTTAAGTAAAGTAACGTACATGACCAATATTCACATTTTCAGCTACAATTTCCCCGACAGTGTTTGTCTCGTGTCCTTCCATGCGACGTCGGAGTTGTGCTTCTTGCTTCTCACTTTGTCAGCACATGCAAGCGTCACCTCCTTACATTCGATGGCCGGGTTATATCCAAGCCCACTTGACACCGCAATATCGGCCTGGCTGAGGAGGAGGTCGGTATTCTTCTTCCCATCCGCCCTTTTGTAGATAGTCACCGCCACCGCTCCAATAAGTCCCAAGTTATGCTGCAGCGCAACACCAACTCCATTGACCAACCTGCCGTTAGTCGCCCAACCTCGAAGCTGCCATACTAGCTCGCAGCACTGAGCCAGCCCGGTGGCTCCTAAGGGATGTCCCTTAGAGATCAGTCCCCCAGACGGATTAACCACGACCTGGCCTCCATAGGTCATATCGCCTTTTCGAAGCATTAAATGAGCCTCACCGATGTCACAGAACCCTAGAGCCTCCATAGTTATCAGCTCATTAGAGCTGAAACAGTCATGAACTTCGCAGACTTTAATGTCTCTAGGCTTGATATCAGCTTCTTTGAAGGCCGCTAAGGCGGCACGTTGGCACATTCTAAAGCCGACGAGCTCTATCGCACTTCTTGAGTAGCCCTCTTCAGTGTCACTCATGAGCGCTTGACCCGCGATCAGGACAGCCTTAGATCGCAGATACGGGTGAGCGCGTAGAAAACGCTCTGAGACAATAATAGCAGCACCAGCTCCGTCTGAGGTAGGACTACACTGAAGTTTCGTTAATGGATAGTGTATCATGGCTGATTGTTCAATATCTTCGATAGAGTAGATATCGTTATACTGTGCGTATGGATTTCTTGAGGAATGCTCATGCGAAATGCGGCCAACTTCGGCGAAGTCTCGAGCTTCGGCACCGTATCTAGAGACTCCTGGTTAGTGAATAACAACAGCAGGTAGCTGGGTAAGGCATGGGACGAAGCTCTGGGTAGACTAGGATCTCTCCTCGTGTACTCACTTGCTCATGTACTCTTTGGCCGCGTTAGCGAAAAATTGAGCCGTTCTCGGAGAGTCGTGACTTCCAAAGATGGCGTGCATTAGACTTGTCGTTGGGCCTAAAGGGTCTGGCTTGTCATGCCATGTAGATTTGATACTACCGGGATCCATGGTCTCAAACCCAATCACCATTACACAGTCGGCAGTACCTCCGCCAACAATAGTCCTGGCCAAATGCAGACCGGTCGATCCTGTCGCACAGGCATTGTTGACGTTATAGATAGGGATGCCCGTCATGCCAAATTGATAGAAAGTCCTTTGTCCACTGCACGTGTCTCCGAAGCAGTAACACGCAACGCCGGCTTCGACAACATCGTACTTGATGCCAGCGTCCAATAGGGCTTTAACCCCGGCTTCGAAGCCCAGGTCAGTGTAGGTCCGAAGGTGTCGGGGCCTGCTAAATTTGGTCATGCCTACGCCGACAACATATACATTGCCTCGTGGTTGCTGAGACGCCATCGTGAGCGAAATATACGAGACGCCACTTGGACAGAATAAGCGACAGCAGAATCAGAGAAACAGCGGAGGATAGAGAAAAGATTGGAAGATGTGTCTTCAAAATTACAATAAGACGAGGAGGGCTAGGAGAACCGAACCTCGTTACATTTCTCTGCCTCCATAGAGGTTGCCGCCATGGTGGTGACAGCTCGCTTTCGCACACTGAGCAACCGAAATGTCGTCCAACAGGCGAGGTTCGGCCAATTCGGCAACGGCAGTCGGTGATCTGAACCTCCTTCTTCGGAAGTTTAAAGCGACATCTACGTGGACCGATTGCCAGAGCAGGGTCATGGAGCATCAGGTGTCCATGCTGTTGCCACGAGGGGCCTCTGGCAGATGTTGTCAGTCATGGGCTTGATACTAAGGGTTCCAACCTGGGCGCATCTTAGGGGCACCCTATGGCGGAGAGAGAAAGCGCTCGGCGTAGATGAGCCCAGACATTCACCACGACAAGTTGCGCAGAACGTGTTGACCAAATTGGAGCCTTCGCCTGCGGTGTTTCACGTCACTCGCTTCAAACCAGACCATATACCATTCGAGATATCAGCAACAAATGCCAACTGACCGACCGACAGATGACTCCGGCCGGGCGATTGATCTTTACATTACTACGAAGTGAGCGGTAAAACGTAAGGTAATACACGGCAGGATGTACACTGCCAATGACAGGTAGTGTCAGAGGTTTTCTCATATGTCTGCGTAGACTACTTAGATCACAGAAGCTCGCCTACTGCACGGTGTTGGCTCCCTGTGAGCGACCTGACAATTTGACGAGGTCACAACTTTGGCTGTTTCGCCGCTAGCTCCTTCTTGACCTGTTCTCGGAAAACTCGCTTCAGGATCTTACCGCTTGGATTCTTTGGAATCGAGTTTACAAAGCGCACGCCCGCCTCAAGTCGCTTATATTTGGCTAGTCGGCCCGCGACATGGGCTTTGATGTCTTCTTCAGTGAGAGCAGCACCCTCAGGGGTATCTCGTCGCACAACGTATGCACGAGGAAACTCGGACTCGTAGATAGACTCTTGGACACCGATGACGGCTGCATCAACAACATGTGGATGGTCCATGATAACAGCTTCTAGCTCGGGCGGAGCGACTTGAAACGCTCGCACCTTGATCAGCTCCTTGAAAGGGAAATTGTTAGATATAAAACACGACTTTTTAAGGTCTCTCTGTAATAGCATACCTTCTTGCGATCAACGATATACCATAACTTTGTCTTAGAATCACAGTAAGCAATATCGCCAGTTCGGAAAAACCCTTCATGGTCATAAGACTCCTTATTAGCTTTAGGATTGTCGAAGTATCCAGTAATAAGTGTTGGGCCCCGTATAAGTATCTCTCCGCGTGTATCATAGGCCGAGATGTTATTATCATCGTCATCTACTAGTTTCGCTTCCATGTTAGGTATTAGTCGTCCCACCGACCCTGTATCGTCGGCCTCGGGATAGTTGATCAAGGTCGCAATAGCACTAAGTTCGGTCATTCCCCATACCTGGGTGACAGGGCTATTTGGGGCCAGGAGGGTCTGGAAGCGGCGTTGTGTGATCTTATCAAGGGGAGCTGATCCACACCACGCCGACCTGACCGACTTTAGAGAATACTTTTGGCTCAGAGGACTCATGATGATGTGGATGACAATCTATGGTCCTAGGATTAGGGCCTTGGTCGTTCCTTTCCAACGACGGTAGACTTACTGGCGGGACAATGATTAGATGGGTAACGTGATACTTCTCAATATTGGCCAGGTACCCTTCAAGGTCGTAACGTCGCATAATATATGTACTTCTGCCAGCCCGGAAAGTTGAGAAATGAAGCATTGGTACAGTGGAAGCGTGGAACATGGGCAATGCGTGCATGTATCGTTCCTGACATTGATGTCAGCGGGGTATCTCGTTGGATAGTTGTGGGAAGACCAACTTCGAACGGTTTTGCATATTTCTCGAACACCAACGTGTGTTGGGCAATCACATTAGTGTGACTATGGTCCACAGCTTTAGGCAAGCCGGTGGTCCCCGAACTGAACAGGCGAGTAATAGTGGTATCTTTGGCCAACTTCTCATCGTCGAAGCGGATCCAATCTTCTTCGCCGTGGGTTAGTAATGATCTCCATGATCTATAACCTTCGGGCACGGCCTGTCCGAGAGGGTCGAAAACCAGGATATTCGACCGGGATAGGCTGGTTTTCACCCCCGCCTCCTCGATGGGGCCAATTAGCTCAGGCTCTGCGATAAAATATTTGGTTCGAGAGACTGTTATGTGGTGGACCAGTTCTTGAGGGGTATAGCTGGGATTTGTGCCCGTAAAGATGCCTCCTGCCCCAACAATGCCCAGGACTAGGATGGTATAGTAGATCTACACGGCCAGAATCAGCCTCGACAAACAATTGTGTGCGGGTTGTAACTCACGTCGTTGAACGAAGTCACACAGAGACAATCTCCCCTCTGGACCCCCATCGCACGGAGGCCTGCTATTACTTGACGGACCATAGTGCGGGCCTGCCGGTGACTGAGAGACCGAGTCGGGTCTGCCGCGTCAAAGTAGATCTCGAGTATGAAGTCAGTATCGAGTCCTTCAAAAGAATTTAGGACACTCAGCATACTGGCTTGTCAACATCGTAATTGGGATCATCGAAAATCCAAGATAGGATGTCCTTGTTGGGCAGAGAAACGTAGCCATCACCCTGAAAATATTTCATGGCTGCACACGGAGTTGACCTTCACATATACTGAATGTGGATGGAGAAAAATGGAAGTCTGTGGAGAGGCTGACGTAGTTATGCTGAAGCTGTGAAGACACAATCAGCCAGGTCCAAGCAGAGTCGAAGGTCTTATATTAGATCTTTGGCTGGGCCTTTGCAGGCTGTCTGCAACCCCCAGGAGCCTCGGTAGCCAGGGTGAAACTCGCCGAAATCATATCGAAACGCTGACTCTGGCGGGTCATTGATCGTCCATCCATTTCCTTAGCCTGACCTGGCTGTTTCCCTGGCAGAAGGAGTGTTCGGCGTTCATGTTTAGGGGTCCAACACGAGGAGGGGAGAGTATTGAGTAGGGCGACTTGATTTGCCGTCGACCCTTCATTCGCGATCATTTGCGCTTCCTTGACGAGGAGTAATCCAACTCAGATCGGAAAAGCATTTTTGGATTCTCTATTTCTTGCAAGTCCTACAGTACCTCTTTTCATTGAACCTGTTCCAACACTTCCTATCCTTTCCACACTCTCAATCACCCAAAGTTTCCATCTCTTGAAAGCAAGTTTATCCTAGCATTTTCTCAGAAGAAGGCGGCAGTAAGCCACAGGCAGAGCTGCTCGGCTCAACCCTGCACAACCGCAGCGATAACGTTGGTGTTGAATCTTGCTGTACTGCCCAGGAAATAACAAGCAATGATGACCCCTACGCCGAAACCTACACTGTTATACCAGACGTCCTTGAAGCTTTCCGCATAAGCTTATCGACTGCCCAAACCAGCGCCTTCTAAGGTAGTGGCATCGACACCTAGGCGCATAGCAGCCGCTTCCGTGGAGGTGATAGATAGCGGACAATACTAGAGCGTACGAGACTAGGATCTAAGAAGCATTTTCGCCGGCCCCAATGTCATCTTCTATGTAATAGATTGCACCGCCAGAGAAGCATAACGAGATCTGGAATCTTGGCTTAAGCGTCAGTGAAGGCCGGTAAGATGCGAAAGAAGAATCGCCCACCAAAATAGAATCCGCACTGTGCCCTGGGGGCAAGGGTCTGCTTTTGTGTCCAATCGACACGACCATCAGAGTCGTCCCCCTTGATGGGTGAGGGTTGGCCGTCTTTCGCATAATGATCATGATCAGCTTCTTAGAGATCCGGGACATTTGCAGCAGACTTATCCTGCTGCAGCTCCCTCTTTTCATCTTGAAGATGAGGGACGCTCTGAGTGGTCGCCATGTTATGTCAAGCAATAGACTATAGAAGCAAGAATATGCGTATTTGAGGCAAATCAGAAGCTGGGAGGCTTGATGGGTCGCTGAAGGAGAGCTGGATGCTTAAATAGAATCAATCTCTATTGAATGGACGAGGGAGTAGCCGTACATGGCGTGATGCTATGGAACTTCTTCCTAAGAACCCGTACCTGATCAGTCTGGACGCCTCTCGATAAAGGCTGACCACCTCCAACAGGACCAATTCTATCTTCAAAGATTCCATCGATAAGCTTCGTGGTTAGAAAGTGGATCTTAGACGCTATGTAGCAAGAGTGTCGTATCATTCGGTCAACAAAAGTGGCCGATCTCGCCGAGACAGCCGAGGCTGGAGATATCAGGGGTATCTTGGTGAGCTGTGAGAATCTAGCAATTCGTCCAGACCACAGGCAAGTGTTTGGGCCAGGTCAAGGCCACCATGACGGTTGTACGCAGCGCTTTGCGTGTTCATTCGAGAAGATGCAACAAGACTACAATGAACTTTTTCTTTTATCCTGGCTCCAGGGTCCAACGAATTGCTGAAAGCCGATCTTAGACTCCTGGTTTCCCCCCTGGCGTGATTAATATTATCAACGGCTATGGTTGGATGGCTACACGGGAGTCGATAAGATTACGTTTACCAGTAGCACCGCGACTAGAAAGACCATTATAGGTTCATCGGCGGGAAGCCTTAAGAATAATACTCGCGAGACACGTGGTAAGAGCCCTCTTGTGGTTTTAAGGACGTTAACATGGAGTAGGTAGTCAGATGATCGTATCTAGGAATCACGAGTGAGTCGACTCGGCCATTCAAAAAAATAAGCTAGCAAGTTATTGGACAAGAATCTTCCCACACGTCTAGTAGTACCAAGCCGCTATAGCTGCAGCCAAGTCTGGTGGCCTTCAAAATATCTCTCCAAATGATAAGGTACTCCGCGAGAGTTCACGAATAGACTCCAACCTAGAGTTTACAATGACCTAGAAGTCATATCGTAACCGCCGCCACGGTGAAGTACTACTGGCACCCTACGGCGGCTCCTCGTGCGATGTAGCCCCTGTGGGTCGAGACACTCGAAATAAGGACAAAAGACAGTGTGTATCGAATCGTATAAGCTACGGAGGATGTTGTAAAGACTAAGCTAGGGAGAGAGATGGTGTGGAGTGAGATCCTTGCAGGAGAGGGAGCCAAAAAAGGAGGGGTTCCTTCCTTGGCTCCACAGCGGGTTCTCGTACTAGTACCGTAGCTTGTGACAATGGCAAGCTTTTGATTCTATAACTAAGGTAATTAAGTTGCATGGAATTATGACGAAAAACACATGTGCCAGATATCCTGTATCCGTATATTCGCAACACTATAATCATGTGGAGCTATATTGGAATTTCTAGGAGGCGTGTTAGTTGAACACTACTGGTTATGTGATGTAAGTAATGTAATAGTTAATGGGATCTTCAGACTACTTACGCAGGGCAAAGAGGGTTGCGTGGGATCCCTTGCTAGAAACTTTTTCATGGCATGGACGTTGGACCGATCTTCACTCCACTCCACGACGGCAAGTGAAGGTGGTTCGACAATAAAGGAAGGACTTGGACAATATGGTTCTTTTCTGTACCCTGGGACCCTGAACATCCGATCACGGACAGTTATGAGTGGAGAGGTTAGTCAATACCAAGGAAGTGATGAGCAAATCGTTATCTGATTAGATCCCTAATCCTGCCGATCCATCCAAACTTCAGGACGTTTTCTCTCATTCTCGCGCTACTACTAAAAGCTCAACCCACCCTGGTAGGTACCTACGGAGTAGTAGTTTAGTAAATACCACATTATCAACGCCCTAGGATGTGGATACGTTCCTACTCTATACTCCGTACTCATATATCAATGCTACGTTAGGTGAAAAAGATAGTCTAGTGAGACAAGGGGTATTTTGCCTCCCGTGATTCACTTCCAGGTATGCACTCCACCGAGTCGATCCCCGATCACCGCTTTAAAACTGCTGCTCCTCTGTTTAACTACTTACTCATGATCTTCTCTATTTTCTCTTGGGTTTTGCCTAAGCTGTATATGCAACTACAACCTCAAATCGTGGTGCAAAATGGCAACACGGAATGGAGGTGGCGATTCAGTACAGCCCAACGGGCAGACATCTGACCTTGAAGGGAGCGCACTTTCGTCAACTGGCACCCGAGCTCAAGACAACACGCCAGGGTCCACCAAGATCGAGAAATCCAAGAATGAGAAACTGCAGCCCCCATCAATATTCGACGCTGAAGAGGGAAAGCCCATCCACCCGAGCACGATACCAACCTCGATTGGTGTCAGTAAGGTTGAGGCCTTTAATAAGGTCCTTCATCAATCTGGCAGATCCGGCAAGATTCTTCTCTGGTTATTGGGTGTCTCCATTGGGTTAACCATGTTCGCATATGCCATCGATCAAGGCATTACATACGGCATCTTTTCGACAATGGCCAGTTCGACTTTCGGGCAACACAGCTCCCTTGCTGCGGTGGGCACCGCTAGTCAGATCATCCGAGCTATAAGCAAACCCTTCATCGGAAAATTGGCAGATATCACCTCACGTCCAACCACGTATGTGGTGATTCTTGTCTTCTATGTCCTTGGCTTCGTTGTCGCGGCCAGTTCGAGTACCTTTGCCGCTTATGTTGTGGGCATCTCCTTCGCATCCGTGGGCAGATCCGGGCTCGACCTGCTGAGCGACATCATCGTAGGAGATTTGACGCCTCTGCAGTGGCGCGGCTTTTTCGGTGCCGCGCTGTCCCTCCCTTTTGTTGTCACCGTGCCGGTCAGTGGCTTCATTGCTGAAGGCTTTGTCGACGATTGGAGATGGGGCTTGGGAATGTTTGCCATCATTATTCCAGTCTTGCTCGTCCCAGCCATTCTCACGCTTTACACAATGCAGCGGCGCGGAGAGAAGCTGGGCATGGTCACCATGGCCGCATCAAAACGCGTGAGGGTCGGTGTGGACGAGTCAATCGAGTCCAGAGGTTTCAAATACTGGTGTAATCTCCTGCTTCAAGGCCTCATCGATATCGATATGGTGGGCCTCATCATTCTTGGCACGTCTTTTGCACTCATACTGCTCCCCTTCACCATAGCGCAGAGCGCCGATGGCGGCTGGTCGAACCGAAGTGTAATCGCCATGCTCGTGATCGGGTTCGTCCTGCTCCTCGGTTTCGTCTTATTCGAGATCTATCTCGCACCCAAACCACTCATGACCCAACGAATCCTCAAGAACCGCACCTTTCTCGCTGCCGTCACCATCTACACATTCAATCAGACCGCATCTGCAACCCGCAACACATATTTCTCCTCATACATCTACGTCATCAAGCAATGGTCTACCTATGAGTGGACCATTTTCCTCGGTATCACGACAATGGGCCTCTGCATCGTCAATCCCATTGTGGGACTTATCCAGCGGTGCACCCACAGGTACAAATCACTCATGGTGTTCGGGGCTGCGATTAGGCTAGTGAGTTACGGTCTCCTGGTCCTCCCAAATGGCAGTATGATCCAGGACACTGCTCGTCTAGTCGCATCGCAACTCATATTCTGTCTTGGAGGCTTCAACGTCGTCGGGGCCCGAGTGGGCAGTCAGGCTTCAGTGCCACACGAAGACATGGCGACTATCATCGCACTTCTGACGCTATGGTCTTCACTGGGCTCATCGATTGGCAGTGCTATTTCGTCAGCCATCTGGACGAATGAGATGCTCGACCAAATGAGGGTAGAACTCCCGGATGTCCCCGAGGCAACACTTTCGAAGATGTATGGAAGCATTCGCGCTATCCGGACCCAGTATGCTTTCGACGACCCGATTAGACAAGGTGTCATTCGTGCGTATGCATATGTGAATGGACATATTGCTATCACGGCTCTATGCCTGGCTGCGGTGCCTCTGGTGGCGACATTCTTCATGCCGGATTTCTATCTAGGTCAACAACAGAATGCAGTGACGAATACTGGTCTTGATGGAGAGCCTATTGACGTGCCCCGTCGCCGAAATGAAGATGTTAGCTCTCCAGGCATCGCAACTGGAGAGAAACAATCTTTCTACCAGCGAATAGTTGCTGCCTATCGGAGCGACGTATAGACGCCCCGCCCCACGCACTCCCAGTCAGTCCGTATGGACAAAGCCTGGCTATCTCCATGGTGGAAAGGCTCTTTCGACAAGAGGTAGTCTAAGCATTGTGCGAAGTACATCAAGAGCAAGATAATGGAAGGAGTACGTTGGAGATTGCCTTGATAGAAGTCTAAGTTCCCTCTGGTCATATCATAGGAATTAGGCAGCGAGAACATACTGAGCCTTGGCAAAATTAAAGCATAGTTTCCAAGATCTGCCGTCTTATTCCAACCATTCACCATCCGAAGAACATCTGCCTCGGACCCTCGTCGACTTTGAGAACTCCGACTCTTGATCGTTGTGCCACCTACAACTCTTCATATGTTACGATGACACAGAGCTCAGACGAACGGAAGTAGAGCGAGAATTCCAGCAGCTAAAGCTGCGGGCGCCTGTCGTGTAACTGCGCCGCCGGTGAAAGTAGAAGAAATGGCACTTGTCGATGAAGTTTGCACAGCGGATGTGCTCATCGTCGGCGGCAATGTGATAACTGAGCCTCCCGTGGTAGAGAGAATGCCGCAACCGGATTCGCCAGGAAATGACGCGCTGGCACAATTAAAAGGTGTTGAAGTTGACGCGGGTGATGATGATGATGTTGTAGTAACTGTTAGGACACCACATCCAGACTCGCCAGGAAACGATGCGGTTGCGCAATCGAATGGTGTTGAGGTCGCGGTAAGGACCCCACAGCCGGATTCACCGGGAAATGAGGCACTGGCGCAGTCAAACGTTGAGCTCGCGGTGAGCACACCACAGCCGGACTCGCCAGGAAACGATGCGCTAGCGCAGTTGAATGGTGTTGATGTCGCGGTGAGCACACCACAGCCAGACTCTCCAGGGAACGATGCACTGGCGCAGTCAAAGGTGGAGGTCGCCGTGAGCACTCCACAGCCAGACTCGCCAGGAAATGAGGCACTGGCACAGTCAAAAGTTGAGGTTGCGGTGAGTACTCCACAACCAGATTGGCCAGGGAACGAAGCGCTGGCGCAATCGAACGTTGTGTCTTGGGCAGATGTCGATCTCAGACTCAGCGCAACGAGAATGGTGGTAAGAAGAGTCGTTTTAGACATATTTCCTTGCGTCGGACGAGAAAATGTCAACCTGGGTTGGACAAATAGAAAGAGGGTTGAGAGGTGGTGATGGTTGACGATTCACAAGAGATACGGATGAGCTGTCTCAACTTTGGAAGACGAAACACCAGAGGCTTTTAAAGAGAGGCCAGGAGGCATAATATTTGGCACATGGTCACACTGAAAAAGGGGCCGAAGGGCTGCGTTGCGTGCCTAAGGTGTCAATTGAAGTTCTTGGACTGTGCTGGGAACCTTGGATGCTTGAAGGCGCATCACTGCCACAGGCGCGGAAATGTCACTCACAGAAAGGACAGCAAGAAGGATTATTGCTACGTTGGCGGGTTAGCCATGCGAGGGGCAGGGCAATTCAAGGGGGTGTGTGCGAAGCCCCTCGGCCGTTGGGTGGGAAACTTTCCTAGGCAGCCACACCAGCTCAGCCTACCATCCCGATTATGTTGCTCAGAAGATTGTCGCAATGACCTTGGGAGTCTGGGGGGTTAGACTGTGTATTTTTAGCCCGTGTTATTCGAACCCTAACCCATAAGACTGACACTGTGGCGCTTTTTCTAAGCGAAACACTTCTTTGAACGCTTGGGCATACCGCATTGGGCGGCCCCGCATGGGTGACCAATGAGCGATTGATATGATCCATGACTGAGAGCAACTCCATCTCTGAGGCTGATATACTCGTTCAATACACTCTACGGAGGTACCTCCTGGGTCCCCTGGTACCTCCATCGTAACCTTTCGTCAATTTCAGCAGAGGATGTGCTCATACATTATGAAAACAACGAACTCTGCCTCAAATATCCTTTTCGATCCAAATGAATTCAATTCAAAGTCAGCTTGGTGCCTGGCTGAGAATGCCTCAAGACTCAAGTTGACCATCAAAACAAAACAATTGTATAGCGTACGCCCGACAGGAGAATTTGAAAACATTGCAATCCAAAATTTGCCCGAGCCAGATCCCTTCATTACTTAGCTGTTGCAGAAATGAACAAATCTTGGTTTGTTTGAAGCACGTCGATCACGTCCATCTTTAGCCCGAGGCCACCTCGGCCCCGGGGTTTGTTCCGTTTTGCCCCTCACTACCCCAGACATTCCGCACTCTCCGCCTTACTGGCCTTACTGGGGACGCATGAAACCCGAGTAGATGTGCAACCTTCATTTCACTTCAGGCATCTCACGACTCACAAAGCTAAGCAGCCCTCAGCTACAGCGCGAATTTCAAACTGCCTTCTCGAAAGAGTTTCTCGTATCTTAGAATCAGACAATTTGAAGACGGTGATCTTGATGCAAGACAATGTGCGAGTTGTGCGTCCTCGGCATACAAGGTATGCTGCAAAGGCCTGGTATGTAATAACAACGCGCCATCCCCGTCCTCACTACTTTCTCATCCGATGTTGTCCGAGGTTAGCAAAGATTGCCGGCGCCGCAAGGTCAAATGCACTGGAGACATACCCTGCCACAACTGCAAGAGATACGATATTGAATGTGTGTATTCCAAGCAAAAAGCCAACAGGGCTAGACCACAATTGTAAGCTCTATCATGACTGCACCGCCTCAAGAATGATCCTTTCTCACACGAAGTAAGGGGGGATTTGAACGAACTTCACACACAACTCGAAATCCTGAAAGAGCAAGTCCGTGAACTACAGTCTCGAGATGGCGTGTCTGAGCCAACATCCCAATACCAGTCCGATGCAGTAAATGCTGTACCACATGAGCATCCGCCAAATCAGCAAACAGATGTAGTGACTTCAAACCTTTCCGGCGTTACCACTCTCACCGACAGCTCGCCTGTTACCCCTGTGGAGGACCTACATAATGGTCACAGTGCGTCTGGTCTTCTACGGGCTACCTCTAGTCGATATTCTCCCGCGTCGAGATCGGAGGAAACAACAGCCCTGAGAAATTCAGTAGCGTCAGTTGGGCAGAAAGGATCATCCCGGCAAGAACTGGCCATTGCCTGTCACCCCCTTCTCTTCTTCTCTCTGGCCGAAGCACTTCGTCTCATTGACCTCTATCAGGATGAATGTGGATTGGTCTATCCATTGATCGCCATTGATCAAGTCCGCACTTTCGCGACCCATTTTTATGAATATGCTGCTATTCAAAGACAGCCTACAACCTGGCGCACTTTCAATCTCGAACCATGTTTAAAAAGGCCATTTCACGTCTTAGAGATAATTCTGGCCATTGCCCTTGTCATTGAAGGCCGCGGCTCAACGCATCTCAGTTCTGCCTTGGTGGATGAACTTGAATCCGAAATTGATCACCGGCCATCTGGAGTCTCTGCAGATCTCACCTTCGCAGAAATATTGACTCTCATGGTATGAACTACCCTCGGCCATGACATATACGTATCTAACATGACAGAAAGAGCCTCTACCAGTTCTATCGTGATGAGGAAGTCCTTGCATGGCGAACCATTGGCTTAGCTGCAAGAATCGCCCTAGAAATAGGACTACACCTTCGTGATCCCCCATTTACCACATTTCAAAGTGCACAGGAACGAGATCGAGCGAACAAGCTCTTTTGGTGTATATATTGTCTCGATAGACGCTGGAGCTTTGGGACAGGCCTTCCCTTTGGCATCCAAGAGGATGATATTGACCCTAGCCTGCCAGAACCGGTACGTGTGTCTGTATATTCTTCGACCAGGTCGCCTAACTCAATTTCCCAAAGGATGACACACCCCCTTATCTCTTCTCGAGCATGATAGCCCATTCCAGGCTAGGGTTTAAGATATTAAGATCTTTGCCTGGAACGGAGCATCCACATCATGCCACAACACGGGAAGAGACTGCTTATCTCACTTATCAAGTACAACAGTGGTACAGATCGCTCATTCCGGAGCTTCAAATTGATGATGGCCAGGATCTGGTTCTCAAAGGTCTTTCAGCTGCCCGCAATAGGCTCCGGGTCGTGAATCGCCTCCGTAAGAATCAACTGCTCATGCTGATTCACAGGAGAACCTTGTTCATGTCAAGCTCCATTGCAGCAGATCCTCGCGGAGCCAAGACTGCTGTTGACCTAGCCAAAAAGACTGTGACAATGCTTGATAGACTGCGAAATACTTCAGAGATCTATGAGTCTCATGCAGTCTGCTTCAACTACTTCTTGTACTCGGCGTTGACGGTAATACTCCTTGCGGCTTATCACGCCAAGTCAGAGTTCCACGAGTACTGTCGACCCGAGTTTCATATGGCTCTTGAGCTAATTGGTGGTTCCAAGGCCAAATCAGTCGTCGCTAGGAAACTATTGAAAATGATCAAGCATCTCAAAGTGATGGGTCCTGACTTCGGGGTTCTCCCGTATATGGAAGCACAACTGGATCATCCAAGACAAGAACCGAACTCGTCTCTCCACAGGTCAGACGATACTTCATCCACTCCACAAAGCTCATGCCCTGAGCAGTCCGATGCACAAGCCCTTCAAGCACAACCGCAACTTGATATGCATACTTTTGGAGGCATCCTGCCTTCTACAACGCCAAATTACTTTGCAGGCGATTATGCAGTGGATGGTAATTTGTTAAGCTCGGAGCTGTCAGACCTCTTCCAAGCCATCGACCCTACGCGATTCAGCCAGATGACCTCAGCATCGCTGGAGCAGCAAAACTTGCAACCGGATAATTTCCATCTACCTTCAAGCCATCTTCCGAATATTCATACCTTATTCTAGACTGGCGAATTGGACAAAACCATTCCTCATACTCCTTGGAATTGACATGCTCATTATATGAGGCAGGCTTCCAATGGTAGGCAGAAGCCAGTGGCAGTCCTTCGGGATTTTTGTTGATATATCGATCCAGCTTAGCTGTAGTCGTATCTTTATTTATGTTTTTCCGCATACCAGAGCTCGTAGGAGGCTTGTTATCACCTCCTCCGTTTCGGAACAGCGTCTTATTTGGTCATTAATCACCAGATCGTAGACTTCTAAGACTGTGACTTTAAAAGGGTAGCACCTCTGCACGAGATCGTCATAAAGGTTTGCTATATGAAATATATGAATCTAGATGTACCTGAAAGAGGGATAGCCGTTATCAATAGATTCCTGCAGTTTCTGGGCGAACGCTCTCATCCCGCCGAAGAAGACAAGGGTTGACCGAACTTTTCCAGGAACATTAGCCCCAAAGTAATATGAATCGGCATACTTGAAGACCAACTGATCATTGACATCGTCACAGATCTTGCCCCATTCATCGTCTCCTTCCTTCGTTGATTCGAATGCAACCTTAGACGGGTCGGGAGCCTTTTTGCGGTGGGTTTCGATGCTGCTTATAGCTGAGGTGATGAACTCGACGTTGGCCTCTATCATGGGCGGGACATTTGATAGCGGGGCTTTAGGGCCAAGGACCATGAAAAGATTTGGGAAACCATGCGAGGCGACGGCCATATTAGTATGTGGACCGTCCTTCCATGCTTCAGCGAGGGTGACTCCGTTTCGGCCTTGGATGTTGATTTCCCGATAGGCGCCATCAAAAGCATTGAATCCTGTGGCGCAAATGAGAACATCTAGATCCAGAAACGTTCCGTCGTTCAATCGGACTCCCCGAGCTTCGACTGCAACAATTGGATTCTCCTTGATGTCGACAATATCAACGTTCTCTCTGTTAAACTGGTCGTAGTAGCCAGTATCGCAGAGCGGGCGACGGCAATAAAGATCTTTCGGCGTCAATTTTCGCCTCTTCTCCGGGTCATGAACAATCTCGGCGATCTTTGCGCGAAGAAATTCACAAGCTGTTTCATTAGCGGCAACGTCTGTGATCAGGTCTGAAAAAGATGCCACTAGAAACCGTATGCCGCTACCTTTATCCCAACACTCCTGATATATGCGATCCCTCTCTTCCTTGGAGACCTCAAACGCTTTAGTCTTAGCTTCGATAAACCCTGCTGCTGTCACTGAGTTTCTCGCCTGAGCCCAGATATCTTCGTAGTTTCTGTTGATCTCATCTCGCTCTTCTTTTGACACAGCCTTGCGCCTGGCAGGTATGCTGTATTGGGGATGTCGTTGAAATGATATTAGGGAGCCCACGGTCGGGGCAATGGTCGTGATAAGTTGAACTCCCGTAGATCCATTACCGATAACGCCGACCTTTTTGTTGCTGAAGTCGTAGCTTTCGGGCCATCGAGCAGTGTGATATAGCTCTCCTTGAAAATCCTCCAGACCATTGATTCTCGGCCAGTTTGGTTCGCTTAGAACACCGAGTGCAGTCACGACGAATCGCGAGGTGAAGGAACCACCATCTGTCTGGATGGACCAGGTATACTCTTCATCGTTCCACTTCATCGAAGTAACCTCTGTGCCAAATTGCATGTACTTCCGCAAGTCATGGCTGTCGACGACGTGATTGAGATACTCAAGAATGTCTTTCTGGTTCAGGTAATTGTGAGTCCACGGGTACGTCTGGAGGCTTTCCTTGTCCCAAGAGTATCTGTAGAGCGTAGAATAGACATCGCTCATGGCTCCTGGGTAACGGTTCCAATACCACGTTCCCCCAGGTCCCTCAGCTCGCTCGATCACCCTGACAGAGAGACCAAGCTGGCTTAGCCTATGGACTTGATAAATGCCGCCCATACCAGCTCCAATGATGATGACATCGTAATACCGGACCACCATTGTAAAGAAAGATTAGAAGCAGCGGATACTGCAATTTCAGGATTTCTTTAGACAACACTGGCAGCTCTAATCAAGAAATTCCGAAGCGAAAGTGGTACAAAAGGCACGGCCCTGAAATGCCAAATATTGTGTGGTCTTCCACATAATTGTCACGAAGAAGCGTATATTTATAGCATCGGAGAACGGGTCTTGATGTCAGGAGTTCTTGCCCATGAGGGCCTTCGGAGCATCGGCGTTGCATGTTCCGCCGCCATGGGAAAGTGTGTGGTGATATGATGACCAGTTCGGTATTATCTGGAGGAGAAGACCACGTCTGCGTATGGCTGACTGGTTACGTTCGAGAAATCCTGTCCTCGCCTCCTTGGGATTCTCTAGGCGACTAGCGGGGCACGCGGGGAAGCTTCCGCCTTGTCTGAAGACTCGCTTTACTGGGAGCACTTCGGTAGCTGAAGAGAAATGCTTGTCCATGAAGACTAAGGTCCTGAATGGGTTTGCGGGCCAGACTTGAGCGGGGCCCCCCAGATCTGGCCATACTATGTATTCGGAATCTCGGAATCTCGGTGACATGGCCCGATGCCAAAACCTTAATTCGTATTCTGGTGCAGAGCCACGAATTGGTTCATCTCTTGGTCTGTGTTGCGGAGTTCTGTGAGAAGCATGGGTTGGTGACTGGCACTTCGGCCAATTCTGTCCGCACGCCGGCAGATAGCATCATACCACTTGTCATGTTGGTGTTTTCGGCAAAGCAAGACCCGAAGGCGAAAGAGTTGAGCTCTTGCGTGTGGCTACATATCTCCAGTGTCAAACTCCGGATGTATTTGTTGTACACTAGTTTGTCACAACCCATCTCGAACAAGAGCCAGTCGAACGCAGCCTAACTGACCAGACTCCAGTCATCACGTCAACTGGAGACAATCCCAGCAAGTTGTCCTGTCGACATGTCTTCTAAAGGAGTGGCGATCATAACGGGGTCAGCACAAGGTCTTGGAGAAGGAATAGCCTATCGACTGTCCCATGATGGATATGCGGTGGTAATTAGTGACATTTCCAGCAAAAAGGAACAGATTGACTCGGTAGTGAGGAATATCGAAAGCAAGGGAGGCAGAGCAATCGGATTGGTCGCAGATGTGACACAACGCTCCCAGGTGCAATTGTTGGTCGATGAAGCTGTACGTCAGCTGGATGCACCGCTACAGGTGATGGTAGCAAATGCGGGCCTCGGTCATGCCAACTCCATCTTCGAGCTGTCTGAAGAGCATGTTCACACCATCCTTGACGTGAATGTTGCTGGGGTCTTCAACTGTTTCGTTGTGGCTGGCAAGAAAATGCTTGACCAACGCAAAGGCGGCACCATCATCGCAGCTTCAAGCGCAGCAGCTTTCAAAGCCATGCCTCTTGTTTCTGCATACTCTGCATCTAAGTGGGCAGTGCGTGGCCTGACACAGGTGAGTGAAAGCAGGGCAAACAGGACCCCACTCAGAGACTTTTCCGTCTCCAGACCAATGCTCTAACTATGAATCTCTATCTTCTCTACTCTCTTCTTTGCTGAACGCATGTGCAAAGAAGAGAGCAGAGCGACAGAGACAAAATACAGACCTTCGCCGTTGAGCTCGGTTCCTTGTCTAAAGATCACGAAATGCCCATTAGGGTGAGTCTATCAACGGCCTTGTATTAAAACCTCTCCCGTGCGCGCCTAGTACGCGTGGCGGTTCGGGATTCAATTGAAGAGGGCTGGATGGCCTAACAGAAAATGGTCTAGGTCAACTGCTACGCCCCAGGCATAATCGGGACACCTATGTGGAATGTAGGTGAATGCTATCCTCGTTGAAGATTCGTCGTGCGCCCTTCTTCTTGGGAATAGGTCGCGATGTATTTACCCCGCGCCCTTGGTTCGGCGATGTCTCTTTGACTGCTTCAGTGGTTTCTCATGGCTGACATCTCTGCTTCATAGTTGCTCGAAGACAAGCTGGAGCAGATTGGGACACCCAAGAAGGCTAATATGAGTCAAATGGAGACACATGCAGAGTCCATCTCCATATTGGGAAGAGTGGGGGCACCAAGCGACGTGGCCAATGCTGTCAGCTTCCTAGCCGGGCCAGATTCAGGCTTCATCACAGGACAGGTCAGTGACAATTCTTCTTTGTAATCGAAAACGCATGAAAGACATCGTGCATCGTATCAGACATGACGTTAACGGTCTCCCGGAACTCTAGAGTCTATTGGTTGATGGAGGCATTGCTTTTCACTAGATTCAACTACTTGTACGGTGGTATGGATTGAAAAAGAAGAAACGAGCGACTGGTGCTACGGCTAGCATGATCCGTTCTCTGAAAACCAGTTGTACTCCTGCACATGTACCGAGACCCGAAGATGTCTGGTGATTAGAAGTCAAGATGATGAAAACAGGCTTCACGCGTGTATAGTCTACGTGAACATCGGGAGCCTGGAGACGTAAAATAACGCAGAGGTACACCTCAGGTGCATCTAACTGCAAGTTCAGTCCAAAGTTATATTTGCGTCCGCATCTTGGTGCTGGTAAAGTCCTAGATACGTGATTGGAGTGGTCCTAATTTATCTGCTATCGAGCTGGATGCCGACGAATCGGCATAATGAATTCGGGCTCGACAACCGCGATCAGGGAAGAAGAAGGATGGGCTTTTATACAGCAGTTGCAATCAAGTCAAATTCACACCCTAGATCATTAAGGTGGGATGCTAACTCCGATGAAGTGACTATATTTCCACTTCAATGGACTTGCCATCGAGGGAAAGTAACCACACCAGCATAACCACTTCGAAACTCTTACGCCAGGCAAAATTCTAGGCAGCAAACTCTTACAACTCATCAAAGGTGTCTGTAAATGACATTAGAGTGTATCTCTGTGTCATAAAGTTTCTTCCAAAGTATCGACATGATGTCTCTCTACGAAGAGCTAGGAGAAGAATTCAAGGCAGGCTCCTCCCATGCTCCGGTTCAGTATCCGTAAGTGTTCCGTCTATCAATGTCGCCACCCCCTTATCAGTTGTAACAAACGTACACGGACAGCTGAGGTCGCAGTCCGA